CGTTGGCTCTGATCCTTGCTAGGCCATAGCTGGTACGTACTTCGTAGGATAGGATTGAGCCCGACTGCCTTTCATCAACATCCAAGTCTCTGTCAGGCTGAGGCCTTGTGATTCGTACCTCCTCATCAGCATGCATCCAATCTATGTGATGGAAGGGGTTAACTTTAAAAACGTGGGCTGTGGAGAAATAGGGAGAGGGAGCAAGCGGGTGTGGGCCTTTGTAAGTGGGTCAATGACCGGAAGCCGATATGAATAAGTACAAGGTCTGCTAACCAGGAAGATCCGAGGACGTCTTGCGCCGAACGTATCCGTACCAGGACATCGTACGTCAGGAGTGCCCTCTTGAAGAGTGCGGGTAAGGACTACCGAGTACAGAGCAGGAGTAACACGGCATGGACAACGATTTGACCAGGGATGTCATCCGTTGAGGCTCGTTGGGAATGGAAACCCTGTACAAGCGCCGTGTCACTATTCTGGACGTGACCTCGGAACGAAGAACGAAAGCCAGACAGTTGCACTTTTGTTTTGTGGCTGTTTTATCTGGGGGTTGATGTTGAAACTTAAAAGACCCCTGTACAAACATCGCAAAGGGGGATGGAGAACCGAAGATCGACTCCAGGGGACGGAAGATTGTCCGCACCACCTGCAGGCTGCAATTACTTGTACAGTACAGCTCCTGCGGGCTGCTAGAGCCTGCACCTTCCACTGTCAGCCACTCGGCTGGAATACACGTTGGTGCACCATGTTGGTCAACTTCTTGTACGGGCCCCTCCTGCCTGTTGATTCATGAAGGGTGACACAGGAGAAAGACAGCGGTAACCGAGTGATGCTAGATTAATTACAATGATGTTATTCGGCGCTCGAAAAACCAAGTAAGTATCAAAGGGCCTTTTCGTATGCCCTGGAGGGGAGATGTGGTCACCTGTCGGTATGGCAAAAGAATCAGCAGAACATACATTCTGACGGTCCACATGCTGCTAAAGAGTCTAGAGTCGATTGCAATACGCCTGCCCTCGCGCGGAATTACTGCTATTCATTTAATATTTCGTCATCGAAATGAACAGGACTGCTAGGAAATAGCGTGGGATGGGAAGAACCTGTGGCGCGAGCCAGGGGATGCAAGCCACCCCTCTTGGTATCTCCCTCTCGGGCCTTGAATCCTTAATCCACTTAAACTGCACAAGGAATGTGATTCTTCTTGATGGTATCCGTACTGGACTAGATGCATTGGAGCCTGCACATTTAGGGCGAATGGATTTAATGTTGCCCAACAATTTATATGTATGCGCAAAACAACAATCTTGGGATCAGTATGGTGGCTAGGTTTCGACAAAGCACCAAGTATGCGAAATCACGAGTGAGTCGAGATCTTTCCCACGGGGCTCTAACGCTTGTTGTCTGAAGATAGTGTAGTGAGAGAACTGGAAATCATATTATTGACAGGCAACCGGGTATTGTTTGTGGTGCGTTGTAAACTACGAGTGCTCGTAAGCTCCCGTAGTCAGTATTTCCATGATGGCAAACCTATTCAGAGAAACTACAAGGATATGCCCTAGTTTGGTGGAAGTCGAAGTTTTGTTCGGAGACAAGATGCGAGGGCAAACAACTCCTAACTAGAGAAGAAACCGCTTAGGATCAAGGTTCGGGGGCGAGTCGGTGGGAAGCCGGACAGGGAAATGAGGTGATCAAAGTCAGTTGTAGACTTGTGGTCACCTACGGAGTACTAGGCAACCTCGTCCAAGTCGTGGTACCCGAGGCCCAGAGCTACTCGTAAGATGCCGGCGAAAAATAAAGCGTTTACATGATGGTTTACCCTGCGTTTGTCCCAGGGAGTTGGTGACTAGCTGCATTCTATTAGTTCTGGTTAGCCAGTGTGCTGTCCAAGAACCTAGAGCCCACCGCGATCGGTGGATTTAGTCGTCCAAATCCCCAGCAAGGTGAGCATTGGTAAGTCAGTAAGCGATGCAGGTCCATCGAACGAGCAGGGAAAAACTTTACAACACCGCCGCTGAGCCCTTGTCGTGCAGAACTATGGTTATTCACTGGCGGTGGCAGAACCATGGTTAAAGGGATCCGTACTGGATACTCCGGACATGCAATTGCACCACCACCACGACTTTTGATGGCGCCTCTTAATCTTGAAAAATTACTAACTCCTACCAAGGTCTCATCGCTAGTCATAAGAGTCAGGAGTTTTCCATCCACTCCAAGTCTAACCCTGTATGCGTATTCGGTACAAGATCAGACAACACATGTGGATGCTCAAGGAGAACTCGGATGAAGCAAATACTGTTGTCCCATCGAAGCTGGGCCATTTTTCATCAATGCCTGATTGGCCTAGCACAGGTCTACGACCGCATCTTGACCTTCAAAATCCTGTATAAACTTTACTTGGAAAGGGAGATACTACCGGGCCACCGATCATTAGATCACCAGATCATTGGTGCGAGTGCTGTCAGGCCGCACTACTCGTAGGAGACCTCAAGGTTCTTTTCTGAATTTGGAGCTGCCTGGATTTTACCCATGGGCCATCGTTCTGCTCTAAACACCCCTTAGCGCACCGTGAAATCATCGCTAAACAGGCCATCGGCCCATCAATGGATGACTGGTTGTGGGCTTCGCTAGCGACGTCTTAGCGGTGCGAGGAGCACATCAGCCGGCCAATTTAGTTAGGGATTACGGAGTAGGATTGCGTTCAGGACGACACTCCCGAATCCCTGTTCATGGCCCATGGCGCATGGCCCATGGGTTGTCTCTGGGCCGCATCTGCCTGGTGGTACCGCTTGTACGAGGTACATGTAGCGGTGCCTATCGTACTCGTAGGTGCTACAGCCCACAGGGTCAAAATGCACCGGCAGCACCGCATGATGCAAGTCGAAACTTCCCAACCTGTGGCTTTTTATGCTTCTCTGACTTTCCACTTTCGGGTCGTTGCACATCTTTTCCCTCATCTGACCCCGGCTGTGGAACACTTTTACCCACCAGTCATGCCTAGAATACTCCGTACTTCCATGGGCCATGGGCCATGCGCAATTAGTGGCAGTCTTAGCCCCCGGCGCTCCAGCTGAGGCGACGCGCCTCCCTAGGCCTCGTAACCTCTCTTTACGACCAGCCCGAGGCCAGAGAGGTTCGTATCAATACGAGCTTACCTCTCAGGGCTTTCGAGTTTGGACCGCGAGAGAAACAGTCTGACTCACGGAGGAACTGGCGATCTGCCCGTATCACGATTCCAGAGCCAGGGTTTCTTGATGCTCCTCGTTCTTCCCCACATGGCATATCCACTCACTGTTTCCGGTCCTTCATTCTCTCACACAAGGACTTCTTCTAGGTAGACCAATTCCTTGAGGTTGTTATCCTTGGCTTTCAGTTTCAAGTCTTCGGAGTGATATCTTCTATGAGCGTTCCTTGCATCCAGATGGTAGCTGCAAACGTTTAACCATGACATCGTTCCTGAGGTTGTTGGTCAATGAAGTACCTGAAACTTCCGTCATCGAACTGGGATTTCTCACAACTACGAAGTAACACTGGTGTCTCTCGCCTCTCAAAGCACCTGGAGTCTAAGAATGCATTGGCGCTAAAAACCCACCTTGAAGGACGAGTTATCCTTAGCTACATTTCAACCCCTGCTGCCCTGCAAGTTGCCTCCGAGCCCGTGCCCATGTCACTGCCCGTGGGTCGGTGGGTCTCTGCAGAGTGATTAGACTTCATGGGCGGCCCTGTCTTTCACATTTCTAGGGACTATCTTGCTCCATTGCTCGGTACGAAGCACAATATCATCCAAAGACAGCCAGTAGGGAGCCTACAAAATTCTCCTTCCAACTCTTGAACGGCGTCATCCCGTCATTCGTCACTCGCTAGGGCGTTGCTATCCCTGCGACGCTATCGGGTTCTTTGATGGTCATTAAAAGATTGAGGCATTCACCTCCGCCTCCATCTCAGGTCATCCAGAATCCGACTATTCCTCGGTTGTGCCCACATCTGCACGTTCTAAACCATGCGACCGTCACCCATGCATCTCTTCGCATCCTTGACCTTTGGATAAGACTGCAGTTTCCAGTTTCCAGTTTCCAGTCTCCAGATAGTCCTAACTCTGAAAGGTCATCGGGACGCCTCAAACTGAACCCCACTTAAACCATGGTGACCGTTTTTGACACCTTCTCCTTCGGCCACTGCATGTCAACTGGAAATCTCACACGATTTCTCTCGAGCCACCTCTGGGGCATCGCCCCATCGGTATCTTTGACGCTCCGGCAGCCTTGGTCCCAATTTTGACGCTCTCCTTCGTAGGCTACCATCTTTGAGGAAATCCACATCCACAGCCAGTCTCGAAATCGCGTCCAACTATCCGGTCGCTCCCCTGCCGGCTCCGCATTCCTGGCTCACTGGCAGAACCCTAAATGTTCTCCTTGTTTCCCTTGCCCTCGCTTTGAGACTTGATGCACACGGCAATCCTCGTACCAAGACACACTCCTGCCATCGTCTGGCGGGTATGACCTATTGGCGACTGCAACCATTACCCTTTGGTCTACCACATCCAATTCCCGCTGCTACCGCCGCACCGCCCGTTTGACGCATCTCGCCTACCTGCCTTGGACTCCATCTTCCAAACTATTCAGACACTGGATCTTTCCAATCAGCTTCATCCATCACTGTCATTCTACTGTCTCCCTGTGCTTAGACTTGTGCCGCCTGCTCATATTCAACCCTTGTACTGGGTCAAACATTGTCCTAGTCATGTCACTCCTCGGGCTCTGGCTGTTTTGCCCCAGTACAACCCACTTTGGTCGTGTTCAGTGCTAACTTTGACGACCATTGCCTGTTACCTGTGACCGTACTTGATGTGCCAGTCTAATTTCTTGTTGATCCCCTTGCTGACTGTCACTTACTTCTTCCATCTCATTTCCTTTGCACGACCGACCTAGATATGTCTTTTGGCTTCCGCTTCTTCACCATTCCTCTTCACTTCGACTACGCTCCCTGACCTCAATTTTGATCCAAACATGGACAACACACAGCCTTGGCTCCAACCATTCCCGGAGACTGGCTACAATCCAATGTCTTCACACAGTGTTTCTTCCTATTTCATTCGTCCTAGTAAGGTAGTTAAACCGAGCAGTCGGAACAACAGTCCCCGTTCTCTGAAGAGACGAAAGACGACCACATCAGCTCCGACCTCGACCAGAACAAAATCATTCGTTGATCAACTCCCATCTACCAGTCAACAATGGACCGTTCCGGATGTGACCCGTTCACGACCTGTCAGCTGGCATCCGAACTCGATGGAGGACTTTTATAATGCTTCATATGGGACTGGTACCATGGTCGACGGACAATGTTTATCGACCTTTGGGTTCTCTACCACCAATGTCAATGGACTGATTACACCAATTTCACACCCTGTCATCAATGAACCACAAATCCAAGAGCTCATAACGCCCCTCGATGAGTATTCTATGGGCGCCTCGACATATATGTGCAACAATAACTTTGTTGATAACCAATCATGGATGGTGCTGAATCAGCAGAAGTGCAATCCCTACACTTTGAATGACCTGTACCAAGTCGACTCAATTCTACCTACATGGCAACTGAGTCAAGCCCCAGTACAACCGCCACACACTGTTCACACTGCACCATCATCACCGACTTGTTTACCACTCCACGTAGATACACTCAGTCTTGATACGACAGACTTGGACGAGAAAAGTCACTCGGAGGAACTGGTTGGCATGGGGCTTTATGATTCTCCGGCTGATGTTCAATCAACTTCACTTCTATTTGGTGGCATGTCCAGTGTATCACGGAGGGGATTGAAACTCGAGGAGTCTTTTATTCCCGAAGATCGACCCGATGAGGACCTTGATGAGGACGCAGAAACGGAGGACGACGACGACGAGGAAGAAGAACCATTTGAGGTGCCAAGGAAAATGGATTACAGTTCACAATCAATTGCAAATCAGATGGGATTTCTTCCTATACAACAAGAGCCGGATTCTCTTGCGTCGAGATATCTGGCCACTCTCGGGCAACTCAGCAGTGCTTATTATCCCACTTCACATCCGGGATACAACTGGATTTGAAAAGCCGGAAATCACGACTTATGAAATGCAGCCTATACATTCAAAACATGTTTTTTCCCTTACGAGCGTCGATTTAGCGGGATGATCAACCAGGCTTCACGAAATGTTTTTTTAGTGTACAACGATACCCACATTACTTACTGCGGCTTGATCCCGCAATTGCCTTTGCCTTCAGGGCGTCATCACTTGGAGGTTCTCAGTGATGTATTACGAGTAACTTGAGGATGGAATCATGGGGAATCGATACAATCCAGTAACTTAAGGTACACAGAACAATGGAAGACGGATCTAGACCTTTGAGATCGAAGAGTGGAGAGAATGTTCTCAATTGATAGCCAATCGATGTGCGAAAAAAGATGACCCATTTCTGCGCACATCACCCCAAGCCTATTGGAAAATCTAAAAGTCCCTAATTCGTAGTCTTGACATCCATTTCCTGGTACAGACCTACCTCTCCACAATTATCTGTAGCTCGGACACTCCACAGCGGCAGGGTTAGAGAATTTGACGTGCAGCAAAAAATTTAGCAAGTCACCGATTCTTTGAATACTTGACCCAACGCTAACAGGGAAGCTGAAACTAGAGTAAACTACGAGTACACAAGGAAGTACATTGTGCCGCCTGACGAGTAAGATCAGTGTTGATCGCATAGCCTATCAATGCACTTTGTGTCCGTACTCATTATCCTCGTACATGTACGTATGTCAGTTGATCCTCACCAACCTCAAGAGCGGCGGCTCAATAATCTCACCTCGAATTAGCCAGTGGGCCGTCCGTCCATCAATTGAGCTTCTAAGGATCACCACCACCATTTCGGCAGGAAACTTCCAACTGCACATCTGATACCAGAGGTTCAGAGCGGCACTCGAGATCCCGACTTGGAGGCTGACTTGGAGGCCCTCTGATTGTGCGGCATACGTGACAAGTTAGTGTGGCTCATTCAAGTTGGCCTAGCCACTGCAGCACAGAACAAAAGCGCCTAGTTCCTACACCACCCCTCCAAGCCTCACCCAGCGGGCCAGCACACCACACGATGATCAAGCGCAGCACCGCACCCCCACCATGGCGACACGAATCAGAACTAGCCATGGTGCGAGATTGGTTCTACGCGCAGCACGCCAGGGCCGATGCCTTCTCAGCACCACCCGGCGATATGCGGCAAAGAGCGGTGGACCGCGTCAACCTGTGGCTGTTCAAGGCGGGTGCATTGCCTCCCGCGGTGTTGTCTACGGCCAGCTTGACGGAGGCGGTGATTCATCATGATCGCGTGCGGAAGACTACTGGAGACGATGGGCGAGCACTGGTGGATTTGACTATCAGCGGGCAGGCCCTGCAGAGTATCTACGCCATGGCGTTTGCGAGGTTTGTCAACGCGTTCGTCGACCGTGATGTTGCTCGTGCCCATACTGCAGACCTGATGGTGCATGACTCTTCTGACGACGGGGACGAGACCACGACGAACACGGGCACTGGCGGCAATGGTACTACTTCTACGGCCCGGGGAGAGAGTTCCATGTACGCGCACGCGGCCACGATCGGGATGCCCGAGGCTTTTGTTGACCTGCGGCATCAAGTCGCGCATGGAGAACTCCCCAGTCTGATCTACTTGAGGAAGATGACGTTGAGTGCGCTGGAGTGGTTGTGGGAGCGCTGGTGGGTGAAGAATGCAACTGGGGACCCAACGAGAGCACTGCTGGAGCTAGCGGAAAGGCGACAGTTATCTATGGAGGTGCAGATGGCGAGGAATCATGAGCATCAGGGTCTTGATATAGAGAGCCCAGAGTCGGGATGAATGTTCACGCTTGTTTCGTTGCCAGCAAACGACTCGATCATGACTTGGGCGCGACTTCAACTTTTAAGACAAGAGGTGGACACTCGAGGTTGACAACGATCACCTCAACTAATATGTACCAACAAGCCTGATATCACCATACCACTTTTGTTTACATCTGCTTTGACTGTTGATTTTCGTGATTGGAATGTGTATTTGTGAAATACTCAACGTGATGCCAAGGCCAGACACGTGACGGTGACTTGTAGTTTCTCGAACTGGAACCTCATCGACTTGACCTGCGTTTGCCTCCCATTGTTCGTCAGCGTCGAAGCAGCCTGGAGCCCACCATTATTGTTCTTCACATGAACTAGACTAATACTCTGAATGGAACTGCTTCACATATATACCGCCGCACTCGACTTTAGACTCTATGCCCTGCCCTCAGTTCGACCCATCCTTCCAGCGTCACCCCTTCCTCCGACATGAACAACCCCCCGATTAGGGCATACGAGAGCCCTCTATACGACTCCTCAGTTGAACCTTCCCCATACTCGACATTGACCAAACTGGTCTCGACTGTCGCTCTCTTGGCATTGGGTTCCTACGCCTTCATTCTCCTCGATGCCTGGCCCGACACCTTCAAACGGACCATCTTCGAAATCTTTGTTTATTTCGTCCCTTCTCAATTCATCTCCGTCATGCAGTATGGAATGGTCAAGCTGAGACTTTTAGACATAGAGGAGGCCAAATTCCAACGAAGAGACCATGGGGACATGTTCGCCAAACAGGCCGCCCTCAACCGCATGTTCGGCCAAAGAAAACTACCTTTTGCTCTAGGAGGAATTGGAGGCGTCTCGAACGTCGGTGGATATCGTTCAGCTCCACGAGATCCGTCCCCACCAGGTCTGGGCAACTGGGACAACTCGTGCTATCAAAATAGCGTGCTCCAAGGACTTGCATCCCTCCCGGCATTCTACGACTATGTCCAGACGAGTCTCAACCTTTGCAATAAATATGACGTACCCGCAGAAACGCATCGGGCCTTGGATATGTTCTTGGAGCAGCTTACCGTGTCGAGCCCTCAGCGGACAGTATTATGGACCCCGGCTGTATTGAAGTCTATGGATAGTTGGCAACAGCAAGATGCACAGGAGTACTTCACGCGAGTTTTGGAGGCGGTGGAGAAGGAATCTCTCAAATACGCAAAGGCCATCCGAATGTCCTCAAGAGCAGGCCTGGAGTGCCTTCAAGACGTGGCCCTGGATGCAAAGCAAACTGGCACCGAAAAAGATGTCGACCCATCACCCTCTCTTTCAAATGGACCACACCTTGCATCCATCATAGGCAGTCGTGCTCAGCTAGAAGTACCGAGTCCGATGGATGGTATGACTGCCCAAGGACTGATATGCAAGACATGTGGATACACCGAGGGATTGTCACTTACCCAATTCACCTGCCTGACACTGAATCTGGGCCTGCGAGGAGCATCGAGCATAGAAGATTTGTTGGACGATTACACGGCCCCAGAAGAGGTGGACGGGGTCGAATGTGATCGCTGTACGAAAATGACATATGGTGAAACTCCAGATCAGACTGAAACGAGTGAAAAGTCACAGACAACGGCGAAACGAAAACCCATATTGAGAAGCAAAGCGAAGCAGATTACGGTGGGTAGGCTACCTAAGGATCTCGTCTTTCATATCAATCGCAGCATTTTCGACGATTATGGAAACCAGAGAAAGAATAGTGCAGCCATAAGATTTCCGACTCGGCTCGATTTCCTGAGTCGATGGTGTGCACCATTGAATGTCGAGAATGATCGGATTGAGGCCGTGTACGAACTGAGATGTGTGGTTACGCATTACGGACGTCATGACAATGGGCATTATGTTGCACTTGGGAAACGAGATAAGAACTGGTATTCCTTCAACGATGAAATAGTGACCAAAGTGACGGAAGAAGACGTTCTGAATAGGAGCAATGGTTTCATATTCTTTTATGAAGCTGTGACACAAGTGCCAGAAGTCAGAGCAGCTGAAACAGTAGCAGGGGTGGTTGCAGCATCGATTGCACCCAACGAGACTGGTTCGATTAGTGGGTTCTCTGAACCACTTGTGTCACAAACTCGGCCGATAGTCGATACACAGGTTGAGGCCGCGCCACCGAAGGACGTGGACGAGGTAGAGACCACGTCGTCTCCGGTTTCGCAAGAAGCAGGGAGCTCCGAGACAGCCAGCACTGCCTCGGATTCATCGTCTGTCTCCAGTGCAGAAGGGATTGTGGATGGACAGGTTGAGAATGACCAGGCTGTTCCTGTCTTGAAGGCTCTGGCTACGACGAGTAGAGTGGCGAAAGAGCAGGTTATTCTACCTGTCTGATGAGATTACGATTTACGACTGTATAACCTACATAACCTACGAGTACTTAATGATACCCCGACTGGTGTGTGTGGCCTGTAAGGTACAGTCCCACCCGGTCTTGAAGGCCCAAGATGAGAAGTGGTTCCACGTGCCAGCACCACTGCCATCCCTGGTGCTGACCTAACCCACATACATGTTGACATTAGTAGCCACTAGAAATGACTTAGTAGCCACTAATTACTAGTGAGGGTAATCCCCCAAAACGGAAGGTTAGTCATCGGAATGCGGGACATTGTTTTTTCCCCGCTTCAGATTTGAGGTCGTTCAAGATTATGACAATGACAATATTATATCCCATGCCCAGCGTCATCCAAGTTGCGGTGCAGTGGGTGAACAAGAAAATGGTGGACAGAAGTCCCAAGGATGCCAATCCTAATTCTTGATATCTCTACGCCCATTTGACATCTTGACATCATTTCTTGACATACTCCTACACGCCAACATTTACCTCGAAAATGGCTGCAAATGGGACCCCTCATCTAAGTCGGCGGATTAGTGAATGCCTGCCAGATGATGTAGGTACCTTCAAGAACACCCGATCAACATATCTCCAGCCTTGACTGACATCAATAGCTACACAGCGGCTCTAGCAGCGAAGATGAATTCAATCGCAAGATCGAGGTTGGTGGTCACCCCTCACAGGACAATCCTTGTCCCATCCCACTTCTCACTCTATAATCGCTCACTCTTCTTGACTAGGTTGTCTTCGACCAAGACAGCGCGCGAAGACGGAAGTCCTCAGTGGTCCTCCCTGAAACGCCATACATCGAGAAGCCCTCAAGACGACAACATGCTCCCCGTGCGACATCTCAATGCCTCGTGCACAAATTGGTCGAGAAGACCTCGCTGGGCCAGCAGCCCAAAGTCGAGTCGAAGCTAGAACAAATCAACGAAGTCGAACCCACAAAGTCCGGCCCGGGATCGGTGTCATCGAACAGAATCGACGACGATGGCATGAGGGAAGAAGCCCGGGCCACACAGTCACGCCTCTTGACTAAGAAACAATTGAGCGACATGGCTATGAGTGTGCGGACGTTGGCCAAGAGACTGGGTAATCTCAAAGTCCGGTTGAGGATCCGGACGATTTTCCTTTTGACCAAGGCGTATGATCGATCCTTGATTGCCAAAACTCAGGAGGTGGCCAGGTGGCTACTCTCCAAAGATCGCGCGGTGCCGTATATTGTCTACGTAGAAGATACCATGAAGGGCAACAAGGCATTTGACGCCGAGGGTCTGATTGCTGAAGATCCCTCGTATGGAGAGAGGTTGAAGTACTGGGACAATGATCTGGCTAAGAAACATCCGCATCTGTTTGATTTCGTGGTCACTCTGGGTGGAGATGGAACTGTGCTCTATGCCAGTTGGTTGTTCCAAAGGGTCGTACCACCTGTTCTGTCCTTTGCATTGGGGTCTCTGGGATTTCTGACCAAATTCGATTTCAACGATCATCAACAGATTCTCACCCAAGCTTTTAGGGACGGTGTCACGATTAGCTTGAGACTACGGTTCGAAGGCACAATCATGAGGTCTCACAAACGCGATGATGATGCCGAGAACCGCGATATCGTGGAGGAGTTGATTGGGGAGGAAGTCGATGACCGAAAGACACATAAGCCAGACCGGAGCTTTGAAATTCTGAACGATGTGGTGGTTGACCGTGGGCCCAACCCGACCATGTCGACGATAGAACTGTTTGGCGATGAGGAACACCTGACCACCGTCCAGGCAGACGGAATCTGCGTGGCCACACCGACTGGTTCAACAGCATACAATCTTGCCGCGGGTGGTTCTCTCTGTCATCCGGAGAACCCAGTGATACTCGTGACTGCTATCTGTGCACATACCCTTTCTTTCCGACCGATCATTCTTCCGGACACGATCGTGTTGAGGTTGGGTGTGCCTTATGACGCGAGATCTAATTCTTGGGCGAGTTTCGACGGACGGGAGAGGTGAGTGATATTGGATTTTCCAGATGAGTTCCAGGAGTGTTCAAAAACTGACATGCATTCTAGAGTCGAACTCTTCCCGGGAGACTACGTGACGATATCGGCGTCGAGGTATCCCTTTGCCAATGTGATGCCTCCAGGTCGTCGTAGTGAAGATTGGGTCAACAGTATCTCGAGGACTTTACAGTGGAACTCGAGGCAACGACAAAAAGCTTTCAACGAGTGGGAGGGTGAGAAGATAGAGGAGGGCAAGTCTGCTGAGAATGAGGCTGGTAACAAAGATGAGGAGAAAGATGTTGGTGGTGGTGAGGGTGAGGATAACGGTGCCGGTGCCAATGAACAGGACTACTTTAACAGCCACTGATCTGACGATATCTTGGGCATGAAGACTCGAATAAAAGGAAATGCCACTTCTTTTTGGGACTGGGATATTCGTGTTTATTATTTGGGCAAGGTCGATCTCAGTCTATCCTGGGACTTAGTCTAGCTATTTATACCTACCCATCTTACCGGGCTGGTGGCTAGGTCCTAGATACCTATGTAGGCAGACATATATGTACCTACATACATGGATAAATAAAGGGGGTGAGAAAGAGAACGCGACTTCCCTCGGCTCACCTTCTGCTTTGGCTTCCAACTCCAACGTCAACTCAACTTTACTTCTACAATTCCACCTGGAACAACCAGTCCTCTCTACCAACCTGCCACCCTCAATATCGTGACCATGGCAGGTCTCCCTCCAGGTGTCATGTCAGGCACCTCCTCACACACAGCCTCGCCCTCACGGCATCTCTCACAATACTCCGTGGGCGGCAGCGGAACACCTACTTCCACCGTCTCAACCTCCACCCTCCGCTACCCATCAAGTCGCAAGACCATCTACGATCGAAACCTGAACCGCTCACGAAACGCCGAACTCTCCCGCTCTAGCTTTGCGTATCTCTTCATGGAAATGGTCTCATACGCCCATCGACGTGTCAAGGGAATCCAAGACTTTGAAAAGCGGCTGAACGAGCAAGGATACCCACTGGGCCTGAAGTTGCTAGATCTACTGCTCTACCGTGCCAGTCCTGCCGGGAGCTCCAGTTCGTCGTCCTCGACCAGTAGTTCGTCCGCGGGCGCAACCGGAGCGAACAGGCCGTTGAGACTGTTGCCGTTGCTGAACCTGCTGACGACAAAGTTATATCCGTTGCTGTTTTCTCGTCCTGCCGACTCGTTGGAGCAGTCGACTACGAACCCCGGCGAATACATGATCATTGATAACACACCTCTTACCAATCACTACATCTCTGTGCCCAAGGAGATGAATCAATTGAGTGTGGCTGCCTACATCGCAGGGATCATCGAAGGTGTCTGTGATGGGGCCGGCTTCCAGTGTAAAGCCTCGGCACATAATACGAGCACTGATGTCTGGCCAAATCGGACCGTCTTTCTGATCAAATTCGAAGATCATGTATTGGAGCGCGAGAAGGAACTCGAAAGACAGGGAATCAAGTGATTTGTGCTGAAGTCATGATGTTCAACCACATTTATGGTGATGCAGTACTATCATGCTAGTATTCAGCACCTCGACCTAGCGGCCACAGCTACTGGAGCCTTCAGACCAAACGACTCGCATGTTCACCTAAGTATCGATTTGCACAGGTCATTATGTACAGATCTATCAACATTGCAGAGAGCCTGAAGATGCTCGTCCCTCGACCCCTTCTCTCAATTTCAACACAGCCCTAGAAGTCACAATATTTCCTGGCTGTAACCAAGCCAAGCAGCACTGCAGTACCTCCTGAGAGAAATCATCGAGGTACACTAGCGTTGACAGTCCTTGAGCCGGTTGATGAATCCCCAAGCTCACTTTTTGGGCTTAGGGCCCTGGTTCCCCTTGTCCTCGTCATCATAACCTCCGATCTGATTTGGTGACAATGATGCTACGGTATCATACGGACCTGTGTTAGCGGATATGTCAGAACTGGGCGACCATAAATAGAGGCATTAAGTCCAGAAGGACATCTTACTCTCATCGTCTGAGAAGGCCCCCCAGATCGGATCACACTGAGCCAGGTCTACACCATATGATGAGCATTTCCCGGGTTGATCACGTCGAAGAAATCAACCCCACCGATAGCATCTGGCGGTATCAAGGGGTCTTCGGGGGCAAACGGAAGGGGAGGTCTTACGGGTTGCACTAAGGGCAGCGTACCTGATCTTTCGAGGGAAGACGTCATGATGAATATAGATATACGGGTGGTTTCAATGATGGGTCGAATCGGTTGATCAAGAAAATCTTAGAGTTGGTGGATACTTCGGGCTTGGAAAGGGAAGAAATCGCACGGGCCAGCAGAATGAACTGCACTTTATACCCTTCGGCCACTGCATGAACAAACGACTCGACTGGCAATCAATCTCACCTGCGAGGACTCACATGGAGCCACCCATGACAGATGATTCAGTAGTGTCGATTCGAAATGTCGAAACATTGCGTCGTTTGGAAGGCGCTGAAATAGGATGTTACAATCATTCAAACCAATGTGAGCTGAGCTGGGGATTGGTAATCCATGCGACGCAAACTCGTGGAAGAATCATTGTCACAACTGCATGGGAGAAGGAAGTCGCGACCTTAACCTCAGTCTCTCGAATCCCTGGGAGTGATGACTTCTCAGAGAGGATATGACCAGCATCAAATGACTTGTCTGCATCTGAAGAGAACATTCGATTCTAGCTGGCTGTATGGGTGGGCGCGTCGGAGTCAGAGTCAAACGTTACCCATCAATCTCTCCGCAAGCATTCATGCTCAGGTACCTCTATGCCACATGTCTGACGGCGATTCGACCCCCCTTACAAGGAGATAGATGATGACGTTCAACAAATCAGGATCTGGCACGGCTGTACTTCCGGTCAGGATAGGATGAAGAGGCAATAGAGGGTGATCAGGCACGAGAAATAAAAGTCTCAATCATAATCACCCACTTCCAGCGAGCTCTAGGAGTTAAAGCTGCCCATGAGGGAAATGCGAGAGACCTTACAAGCTCCATGTGCACTTTCGCTACACACCTGCATACAATTCCATCTACCTAGACAGGGGAGGGGGTAGTTCAATACATTTCGTGATCGCAGCTAACTCGACCTGCCTGCTCCGTTTGATGACTCAGTAATCTCACAATATTCCCGTCAAGCAGAACCATCAATGGGTCTCTCTGCGCTGTAATGTGCTTGCTATCTCCGATCCGATATGAAATCATCCATTTATATCACAAGTGCAGGTATGAGTGATGGGTGATGGGAAAGTTTCAGCCTCGAATTCAGTTGTGTCTAAATGGATTTGGATATCGATGGCACCGTTGTCTCGCTAGACCGAGGGAGCTTGAGTGAATGTGCTGTCCTTCAAGTTGTGGCTGGTCAAATTCTTTGATTTGATTTGATTGATTGATTATTGATCGAGACTGACTCTAACTGTCTCGCCGTCTATCTCGATCTCGGTCTCGATCTCGTACTGCTTCCCTCTCTCTGCTCCGTTCCCTGTAGCCTGATCTATCGTGGTGTCGAGAGTTCCGATCTCGGTCCCGAGAATCATCCACGTGCCGCCTCTTCCGCGCGACAGGCGAGCGGGACCGTGAGTGCTTACGCCTGCTTGCTTGAGGAGGTGAGCGAGACCGTGACCGTGACCTTGAAAGAGATCTGCGCGTGTCGCTGCGGCTGAAGCCATGGTCTCGATCTCTGCTGGAGACATCGTCTCTCGATCGCCGTGAGGGTTCATGATCTTTCCGCAGGTTGACAATACTGGCGTTTGCACCGGTGGGACCTGTTCGCCCACCTCCACGCTGGTCATCAGGCAGGAAGCGATCGTCGAGTCCACGCGTATCGAACTCTGCGCCACCTCTACCTTCACCATCGCCTCTGCCACCACTGCCCCTCCACCGCTTGACATCCTCGCCAAACCGTCCGGTATCCTGGCCTTTCAGATCCGTATACCTCGTCCGTCCCTTCTTGCCCAACTTGGTCATGTCCCTCAGGCGCATATACTCCGGCAACACGGATTTATCTGCGACCTGATCCTCAAACCGCGCGCCCATCACATCCCGCTTCTTGAGGAACTCGGCGTTCTCGTCGCCCTGGAAGAACGCACCCTTATGGTGGTAGCGCGCAAGATACTGCGGTCCAGAATCGGCCTTCCCATCTTCGCGCTCCTGTTTCTGTTTGTCGAGGAAGGCCCGGTCTTCTGCGTCGCGCTCTTCGGCCGTCAGGTTGCGGCGCCGGTCGATCTCTTCGAGTTCCTTCTCACGCGAGATGAGGGCTTCGCGGTCGCGTTTCAGCCGCTGCAGTTCCCGCAGTTTCCACGCGGCGTGCTCTGCATCAGGGTCGAGGCCGTCAGTGTCGTCGACGAGGTTTTCGGGTAGGAGGTCTTCGTCGTCATCCCATGCTTTTTTGCCTTGGGCGCGCGCGATCACGTCGCGTTCGAGTTTGTCTTTGATTAGCAGATCGGCTTGCGCTAGGCGCCGGGCCTGCTCGTCGACTTCGGTCGTGGGTTGGGGTGTTGAATTAGGTATCTGGGATGTTGTGGTGTCGGCTTCTCCAAGAGATGGTGGTATTGATTGTGATTGTTTTCGGTCGGATTTCTTGATGAACGTCGGTCGTTGGAATTTCCGTCGGGGTGCTTCTTCCTCCGAAGACGAGTCTTCTCCTTCTGAATCGTCATCGTCTTCTTCCGAGGAGTTATTCGCTCTTCCATCTTCTGGTGGTTTCTGCCGCTGCACTGGCTTATCTTGTGACACTCCCGCCGTAGATCGTTCCGTTGAAGTCTTAGCAGTTTCCAGATTGTCCTCTCCATCTTCTCCATCCTCCGGGTCTGTCACAAAGCCATCCTCGTCCTCGTCCTCACTCTCCTCGGCCTGGGGCGCAGGAGCCTGCCTCTGAGGTCTCGCTGGAGGTTTCCGCTGTGATTTGTTCTGCTGCTGTTGCAGTTGGTGCTCTTGTTCAGATTCTTCTTCTTCGTCAGATGACTCTTGCTCCGCAACTGGCTTTCCTGGACGATACCTTGCTACTGGCCGGGCAGGATTTGCGGTCATGCGCTTGGACGGGTTTGGCATTGAAGGAGGCATTGTGGATGATTCCTCGCAGAGAGAGCCGCAAGGGTCTGAGCCAACTTCTCTGCACAAGCTCTGGGGGCTGTGGGTGCCACTGGAAGGGTCACCACTTGGATCTCGAAATTGATGTCCCTCCGAGTCGTAGAAACAATTCCATGTCGGCAGACTTGCCCCGACAAAACTCTGATGTCACAGCCTGATACGGTGGGCCATAACCCTTGAAGCGCAGTATCACAGCCTGACGAATAAATCGTGTTGGACCTTTAGCGAACGTTTCAACACAACATCTGGGGATTCTAGCGAGTAGATAGTAGCGAAAGATTGACTGAAAGCTCGACTAGTCTCTCCAACTTATCCTGATCCTTCACTGATGAGGAACTTCAATTCCCTATGCTGCTGAAACTTCATCGTGGAGTTCTTGGTAGTCTCTCAAGCAAATCACGTTGAAAGGTGCTGTACATCGCTCTTTTTCTCGTGGGCAAACCTTATCCTTGTTGGCAATTTGAATTTTAAGCCACGTTGATATAAGCAGCTGATGTAAGCTCGAGCATGTCAGGCTCTAGTAATGGCAGAGATCAATCTCTAATGTGAAAAATCTACGTGTAGCTACGTTAGTCAGTCCCATGAACAGGTTGAAGTGTCTAGATTTTTTACTTCATCTAAAGGTATGCCGTGGGGCACCTCAGCGTAGGCATGGTGCACTGAGATATGGGTAGCCATTGAACCAAAGGCGTGCAGCAGATTTTCGAGCAAGTATTGCAGCGATCACCGAGAATGAATCTTGTTTCAGATCATTTTGCAATGACTGGTCCAAAGAATTTATCTGGCCCAATCTTCGACACGAGATCTCCAACAAGATGTTCATTCGCATCAGTTGCTGTGGTCAGCACGTTTACCTCGCCTAGAGTCTCGAGGCTTGTAGCCCTGAAAATAAATCAGCACTATCACAATCGAGGGACTATACAACTTTACCAATCAGCTGAATTGATCAGAGGAGAAAGTCGTTGCCATTGAAGTAGCTGTTATCTGTCGGTGATAGGTGGCGGCGAAGTAATCCTTGTGCGCGGCCAGCTTCATTTTCGTCCACCTGCTACCCTTGTGGCCTGCTTTGATGGGTTCGATTTCTATTTCAATGTGTTTAATCAGCCCACAGCAATCCTGGACGCTAGCATACACATCCGCAACGAAGACTTGTGGCAATCCATGAATGTCTCCAACACTCGATGCAGCTCGTTTGGCATTGTTCAAGCAATGCGTACAGGGTAGAAGCAGCTTCCCCAGTCTGACCTGCCCTACAAGACTAGCCGCTTCAATAACACCAGCCATGGAAACTCTTCCTATGTCCAACAGGCGGTTTGTTTTTGACGCTAAACAAAACATGATTGGTGAACAGAGAATCTCGAAACCTTGGTGTGCCGAACATAGTCAGACAGTGCCCTCTACAGTCTTCCGATCAGTCCTCCATGTAGAATAATATGGTGTGGTTTTTCTCGGCCGAATTGTCGAGAGGTTGCCTGACAAGTTCAGCTGCCACGTACAGCGTTGTTCTTGATCCTTTATTTGGAAGACAGATTCTGTGCTCCAAACCGCCGATTGCATGATGCATCAAGGTGTATTCGATCACGAGGGTTGCCAAGCGGAGCTGAGTTCGTCTTTATCGCCAAGAGGAGTACCACATGCTTGCATTGGTCCGAGAGCTGGACAGTATTTCGGAGCCCTGCATCTCGGATGCAAGAACTGAATTCAGGCAGCCAGCGTGGTGCAATTTGTTAAAGATCATCAGTCCTGCCCTCAACATCACAACATCGCAAATATGAACTTTTATCCTTTTTTTACCAACAGGGAAAAGCTAGCGACTGAGCTGACGTCTTGGCCATCATGAGGGATTTGAATGTCCATAGACCAGGTGCAAAAGGTCAAGAGATTTGGGACAAATGCAAAGTACAATGCAGAAAGCCGTATTGAAGCTGCAAACTCATGGTGGTGCACAATTCTAGGCCCCGTCTCAACAGATCGCTGTTCCTTTCATATCATTGCCTTTTGTGTTGTCAAGCGAGCGCTTCCGCTTGGCAATCAATAACTGGACCAGGGGCTAGGTTTCCAGTACCTTATTCGAGGAAAGACAAGCCAGAAGTTCAGCAAGTACTACCTGATTGGAAAATGAATCACAGTGGCAGGTAGGGGGTGTATCAGCTCTGAGCTTAGATCTCAGTAGTTGGACTTTGACTTACAGCTGAACGCCCGCAAGGCGTTCGGAAATCCTTCAGCCTCACGACTACTAATGTGATCGCTGAAGAAAGAATCTTCCTCATAACTGTCCCATCATCCACATTTATTTCGTTTTGTACAGGACCCCGAAACCATCCAGACAAAAAATCCACAATCCCCCTTCCATTAGTACAATTTGTAATTTTCATTATTGAGGCCTCGAAATGAACAAAGCGCAAAAGCCTCTGTTGTTTTCGACGACCGGAAATAAAGATGAAGCAAGAGAAAACACTACGGAAAAGGTGCTTGCATACCTGAAGTACTTCGGCTATGTGGGCAAGGACTCTGAACTTGGATCAGGCGAGTTCAAGGAGGGTCTGACAGAGTACCAGAAGGATGCGGATATTCCTGCAACGGGAGAATTCGACTTGGCTACTGCTGATGACATGAACAAACCTTGCTGTGGTATTCCTAACGGGCGTGCTATAGCAGCCTTCGAGGCTGGAGCAACAAAATGGTCGTACTTCACCTTAAGCTATCGATTTGACAATTTCTGTGAAGAGGTGAGCGAGGCAGACTGCCGAAGGGTCATTACCGCAGCATTCGCCAAATGGTCGGCAGTGACACCACTTTTGTTTCGAGAAATATATGGTCCAGGCGCTGTGGACATTAGGATTGGGTGGTATCGAAGGGATCATCCGCCATGCAACTCGTTTGATGGTACAGGGGGGCTCGTGAATGGAGAATTCACTAATGTACTGGCTCACGCATGGCCGCCGCCGCCGATTGGCAGTGATCTCGCGGGAGATGTGCATTTTGATGAAGATGAGAACTGGAGTATCTCGCTCTTGGAGAACGTGGCGCTTCACGAGATTGGACATGCAATCGGCCTGAAGCATTCAACCGTAAAGACTGCCGTTATGTACTACCGTGCTAACGGACAGTCGAACCTGCAACCCGATGATATCGAAGGCATTCAGTCTATCTACAGCCCGTTTCACCCCGTCATTGCTGAAGGAGATCCAGGCCGAGGTATTGGGGATTATGACCTTCGATCAGCAGCTGACCGGGCTTTTCCCTTCGATTATACCGGGAGCGGCAAGGCCGATCACCTGTGCTTCTACCGACCCGGCACAGGGACATTCTGGATCTTGAGGAACAACTTCAACGGAACATTTACAGCCGTCTATGCCCAAGGTGACCCTGGTAATGGAATTGGCGGGTACGATCTCAAGTCTCCGGCTGATCGTGCATTTGCATTCGACTTCGATCATTCTGGCAGACTTGACCACATCGCTCTATACCGTCCAGGCACTGGCACATTCTGGATCTTGAAGAATGAAAACGGTAATTTCCGGGCCGTCTATGCGCAAGGCGATCCGGGCCGTGGAATCGGCGGGTATGATCTCAGGTCCACCACCGATCGCGCCTTTGCGTTCGACTACGACCATTCCGGCAAGCTTGATCATGTTGCGTTGTATCGTCCAGGCACGGGCACTTTCTGGATTCTGAAGCACGAAGCAGATCATAATTTCCGTGCAGTCTATCAGCAGGGTGATCCAGGACTCGGAATTGGTGGCTACGACTTGAAGTCTCCCAGAGATCTCGCGTTTGCTTTCGATTATGAGCATTCGGGAAAACTCGACCACATCACCCTTTACAGGCCCGGCACCGGGACATTCTGGATTTTGCAACACAAGAGCGACCATAGCTTTGCTCCCGTGTATTCTCAGGGCGATCCTGGACAAGGAGTTGCTGGTTACGATCTAAAGTCCGCTGCGGACCAAGCCATTGCTTTTGATAAGGATAAACTTATCCTCTACAGGCCTGGCAAGGGAGCTTTTTTTCTCCTTAAGAATGACGCGGGGACATTCAAAAGTCAATATGCCGTTGGCGATCCTGGCCCAGGCGTGGCAGGGTATGACCTAAGGTCTTCAGCAGACCAGGCGTTTAGCTTCGACTTCAACTCGAGTGGAAGTGCGGATCATCTGGTATTCATCAGGCCCGGCACGGGCACAATTTGGATATTCAGGAAGCTCTAAATATATGCTAATATTTATCGAGCTGAAGCTCCCTACTAGTTGCCTTCGCTGGTCTCGCGCATCCGCATAAGTCCGGGGCTGTATGGTGCTTAAGATGTGCTTAAGATATACTCAAAACGTCCTCAATGTGCGCAAATAATGTGGACGTACATTAAGTATAGTAGAAAGGCAATACCTTGGAGCGGTTAGTGACAGGACTGGAGCGTCCTTGCTTGAGCAAGAAGTCGTTACACTTGCGAATGGTAAATGACCCTATCCAGTTGCTGTAGATCTGCCATATCCTCTGTTGGGAACCTTACAATTAACAGCCGCCAGACTACGGAGCGTTTGGTTCTTTCGTTCTTTCTATCTTGAAAGAAGATCTTTCCAGCAGTCCGTCGCCTGCTAATATTTCCTCTTCATATAGGCTTAGGACTACATTCTCTCCAGATCCTTCTTTCTTTAAGGTTTACACTAGCCATTTAACTCGGTCAAGCAATCTCTTCGAGAGTTGCACTATATAACCCAGCTAATTATCTAGTAAACCTGATTAACAGCCTACATTAGGTCATAGCGATCATTGATTAGATTGATAGCAAGAAGAAAGTCCTCAACGATGTTCATGGTACCATATACGATGATTCTAGTAAAGATCCCGTATACCTAAAGTACTACAATCGAACGAACACTCCGTCCTCACTAGATTCTAAGCTAGTGTGCCAGTTATTAAGGCTATAGTTGACGTATTCAATGGCTGGCCTATCCATAAGAGACGAGGACTAACTATAGACTATCCACATTTATGTTCATCCACTCGGTCGGCAACACACCATTCTTCCGGAGGCTCTTGATGAAGCGATATCTGTTCAGATCATACTCAATAGGTCCCAAAGTATTCGCGATGCCAAAGATGCCAGTCCCGTATGTGGTATAGCGAGGCCAAATTGGGAGTCCATCTGTTCCTTGTCCGTTTGGATTTGTATACTTCGCAAAGTTGGTCCAGTATTTCCTCAATTTAGCAGAAAGCGCGAAATCTTCCTTACCAGGACTAACCCCGATCCTACTCGGTAGAAGATTGCCAAACACGAATGGAAACTCAACGCCGTGGTTGGGTAGTGGTGAATATGGTGACGAGTAGTTGTACAGATACATGTAGACATCTGACACTCCGCTATTCCGCAGCGTGTCACCGATTTCCCAGGTCTGTTCGCTAATCACGAGATCACCAATCAGAGTATCTGCCGATGTGTTGACCTGTCCTCGGGAGTCGGCAGGGTACAGCGCAAGGAATTCCAGAGTCCGGGCACCAAAATACTTCTCTGCACCGGCTTTAAACTGAGCTGGTGACATATGTGGAATTGCCCGAGGAAGAAATCCATTTCCTTCTAGTCTATTCCACCCTGCCATCAATGGTATCTTGAGCTGACGCTTCAAGCTCGCCTTAGTTGCTGGTGGTTCAGGGACGACAAATCTGTCCACTCCAGGGGTAAAGCAGATGAGCGTTGGATCGATTGCAAAGTCAAAAATCGTGTTATCGTTAATGGTTTGGGCAGGCACGGCGCGAAGCTGGGGGATCGTCGTTGCGTTGAGTCTTGCGGCAAAGTTTGTTCCATTGCGACGTGCTAGGTCGAATGGCATCAGAGAGCCATGCTCACTGTCCCACATACTTCCGCTTTCTATGATGGCCTTGTGAAATAGACCATTCGAAAGGGGCGAAGACATCAGAAGACCAATTGCGTGGGCACCAGCCGACTCTCCAAAGGCCGTCACATGGTCGGGGTCTCCTCCAAAGGCTGCGATGTTTAGCTTCACCCAGGTCAGGGCAGCAAGCTGGTCTTGGAGACCGAAATTACCAGAGAAAGACCCTTCCTGGTCCAGACCCGGATGTGCCAGAAACCCGAAAGCATTCAATCGATAGTTGAACTTGACCACCACCACTCCTTCCTGAGCAAGCAAATTGCCATCGGTTTCTTTCTCGGCTCCACCACCAAAGACGAAGCCACCTCCATGGACCCAAACCATGACAGGTAGCTTGTCCTTAGCAGTCTTCGCAGGTGTCCAGACGTTGATCGTTAGACAGTCTTCATCTTGAGGTGTAAAAATCGGATACTGTGGAAGACCTTGCCAGCATGTGAACCCGAACTGTGTGGCATTGCGAACACCAGACCAGCTCGAGGGTGGCCGTGGAGACTTCCAACGAAGATCGCCCACGGGTGGAGCCGCGTAAGGGATCCCAAAGAACGACAAAATGCCTGCACCATTTCGCTGATTACCGATGATACGGCCCCCGACAATAGAAAGATTGTGATCGATTGGATCACTACCACCACAGGCGCAACAAACGATAAACACCGCGACGAGGAGAGCACTGAAATTCAACATTATGGCATCGCACAATGACTTTTGTCTGGCTCTCTGTTCTGGGAACCCACATGGTTATATTCTGTGATAGCAGAACCCTGTAACATGGCAATTCCGGAAATTTCGAACCCGTTGGATCACAACGGCTATTTCGTGACTGCTACAAAACCCGGTAGAGCAGTGGAGATCTTGTAGTATTTCCCCGCGATCACTTCCTGACATACGCAGGTCCCGCAAATACTTCCCACCAACCGTGGGACCTGCTTTTCATGCGAGGTTCCTGGAATGCACTGTAGCCCCCAATAGAACCGCAAAGATGGGGCAAAGTCACTCCATCTTTTCCAGATGGAGGCAGAAAATCGATGACTTCCGGACTGGAGTAGCTTATAGATCTCTCCACTCACCGAGATTGCCTGGCAGAAAGTGAAGCATTCTCCCATTGTCCTTCGGAGTCAACGGGCCGGTCCGTCAAAGGTGATCATGCATGGGCACTCGTGCGTGGAGAGAAAAGGAAAGGAGAGAGACAACAGGACTGAAAGCTTTTATGAAAAAGGACATAGCGTGATGAGACTGTGAATGCCGGCTTGTAATTCGACAGACTCTCTCTCGAACATCACTCTTTACAATCAATCTCATCGTCGCGCAGCCTGATATAGACTTGGGTTGGCCATATATGCGTAATGGGATTCTTTGTCCAAGGTGAGACACTGAAATGTCGCGGGAACGCTGAGCCAAGAGGAGTGGCGGAAAAAATCAACGTAGGTGTTGTTTAAGTCTTCGATTGTAGACATATGCTGGGTTCTCATACCTATCCAACGTCCTCTCAAGATACGTAAACCCTTGATGCCTCTTGGTCAATTGTCGTCCTAATACTTGATCGAGACGTCGCAACGAAGCCCCCTGCACGGAAATTCGGAATGAAAGCACGGACGATTGGACTCGCCGTCATCGGTATCAAAAGCGAAAGAAAACATGGTTCTTCATGCTGGGCAAGAGGCTCAAACAACGGTGGAAAGGTCATGCCGATCGCAATGCCAGCATGGCAAGAGACACTTTTACTCATGTCACCAGACACGAAAACTTGTTGGCCGGGTGTGTTGGCAATGTAATGATCCTGACGGATCCTCGGAACGAGATCGCCCAACACAACGTTAACTTCGACCAGATTCGCAGAGATTCACGCTGGGATCGAAGATCTGATTGGAACGCCCAGAACGAAGCAGGTTATAGAGCGGTTGTTTCTCGAAGGCAGCTTCACTTTGAGTGCATCAAGCGAATCGCTGTCGCTAGGATGATGCTGACACATTACTTCAGGTTTCGTTTGATTTGTAGCCAGAGAGCACCACATATCAAGACAAGACCCAAGTCTGATTAGGAAGACTTCCCTTGTCTATAGGAGCCTAGCTTCTCCATCAAATCTAAAGGTCCTCCAATCCTTATCGCAGTTGGCGTACAAAGCCCACAATTGTGACAATTGTCTTCGAACGGCTTAGATACAAGATATGAGTGGCGGGCATCTGTCTAGATAATGCAACAGGCATGCTTGAGATAGCTGATCAGCTTTACTCCGTATTCTCTCGGGATTAACGATAGTAGAAAGTGGATTGAGGTCTGGAAACCTCATGTTCGGATGCCGTCAATCCTTGCCCATAATCTTTGATTGATGTCCACAACGTGATGGACAACTCAGCGTAATTAGCTGCGAGCCCTGCAATCACAGCAGGTTTATCCAACGTGGGTCATCCATGTCTTGAACACATTCCACCTGATCTTTCTCGTAAGGATGGTATGAATTGGGTCACTTGGCGAGACTCGAGGGTGATTTGGCGGCGAGATTGCAGCGGAGAACGTTTGAGGTCCTGCGCCTCCGATCTGCGGTTCTGTGACGCTTGACGATCCAGGATTTATTCCTGGGATGGAATGCAGGTGGACTATCAGGAATCGCCGTTGCGAATGTGTTATAGGACGCCTTGCTTGGTTTCAAGCGGTGTCGCTCCTCATCTGTTCTCAAAGGAGTAAAGATTTGTGCCGCTCTTTGAGTCTGCGCAAACCATTCCCCGGATCTTGCGTGTACTCCATATTTCAGAATGCGAAACCGCAAATGAGAACGACCGCAATAGTCGTTATCCAGAGATAGAATACTCCACCGCGTCGGTCTTTGAGTTCACCATGCCCCACTCCTCCCGTGGGTGCCTAGCCTCGCACGCTGTCACTTTGGAAGAGCGCTTTGGGACATCACACAGCACCATATGAGACGTCTAACCGAAGATGCCAAGAGCTAACACAGGTCGTTGAGGAAGCCTAGGACCGCGTGCTAGGGTTCGAGGACAATCGCCCCAATGATCTGCGCCAAGCCTTGCGGCAGATACACCGCCCCCACTGATATACGAGCCTGGAAGATGTACGTATTTCGGAAAGCCTAAAGTCTAGGCAACACCATAGTGAGCCAGTCAAGGCATAGACCAAATCTCGTCCAATAAAGCCGGGGCCATTACGTCGAGCTGGTGGGTGATACAGAGATGTTGACCGCAGTCCATGGCATTGCCCAGGTGCAAAGGCTTCCGCTTTATATTTGGACATCCTCTTGTAGTGCAGACATTTCCAGTATTGCTATCTGCCTTTTCATCCGAGCGATTAATCTAACTCAGAACCTCTATCAGGATGCGGTTTGCGACTTATACTACCTCATCTTTGGCGTTCCTAGGGCTGGCTGCCATTGCAGTTGCACAAAGCAGCAACGATCTGTCCTGGATTCCCTTTGATCGCCAGAGGTTCGACGGAAATGTTGCTCTCGATACCAATGGCGATGTTCAACTGTTCTGGAAAACTGGAGACACAAACTCTACGTTCGGGATTGCCTCCCGATCAAGCGGCTATCTGGCTCTAGGTTTCAGCGAGACTGGAGCAATGACTGGCGCTGATATCGCTGTGGGATACAAAGATCAAGATGGTAAATTCACATTTGAGAACCGCCATGCGATGGGCTTCATTACCCCTGATGTCTCGCAGGACCAGGAGAACAACATGCGACTTGAGGAAGGTTACCAAGCAGACGGGGTTACTGCTTTCGTTTTCGAGAAGCAGAACAAAGCCACCTGTCTCAAACTCCAGACTGATGTTGAAAAGGACGCCTGGCAATGGTTCATCTATGCACATTCTGACGACAACACCTTTGCCATACATGGACCCGGCAATAATGGCAAGAAGTACGTCAAATTAGGAACAGGCAAAACCATCTCGACAAATGATGTTCGAGACATCGCTAATGCGAAGAACTTTTCTATTGTCCAGGGTGAAACGACAATCCCGACCGCGGAGACTACTTACTGCTATACCCTCCATAAAATGCCCGCGGGAGCGAACAATTACCTGCTCGGTGAACGACCAAACGACTCAAGTGCACTCCTTCACCACTTGGTTCTTTATGCATGTTATAATCTCCCTGACGAGTACATGGATATGCTTGGTAAAGAGCCCAACTGTAACTACGAAGAATTCTCGAACCCTTGTAATGGTTTCGTGACAGAGTGGGCTCCCGGCATGTCTGGTCGCACATTCGAACCTGGTTATGGCAAACCCTTCGGCACCGACCACTACGAATATGTGATGCTGGAGACACACTACAACAATCCCGAAGGGATTGAGGGCGCAAAGGATAATTCAGCTTACACATTTCTCTACACCGAGGACCCCGTCGAAACAGAAATCGGGACTTTGACATTGGGCGATTTGCAAGTAGAAGGATGGTTCCTCGAGCCTGGCAAGCCTCTCGTGGCACATTCTACAGTCTGCACGCCTGAGTGTACCGACCGCTGGCCCGCTGAGGGTATCACGGCTGTTTCGGTCTTCCATCACATGCATTATCGGGGTCGCAATGCGCGCGTTCAGATAATTCGAGATGGAAAAGAGATCACTCCTCTATCCACCCTCCGTGATTTTGAATACGGCTATCAGTTTTCCAAAAACTTGGACTCTATTCAATTGCTTCCCGGGGACAAACTCATTACCACTTGCGAGTTCGACACATCGAATGACACCGCCCCGGTTCCTGGTGGCCTACCAAGTAAAGACGAAATGTGCTTCGCATGGGTTGACTACTACCCTGCCAACAGTGTCCTCGCTTGCACACAAATCAACATGGGCAGCTCTCCCGAGAATTTGATCAATGGCACTGCAGCCCTTTGCATGGAATCCTCTGCAGAAACCCCGGCCGTATACACTTCACCATTCCTCACCTCCACGTTCCAGAATCTAACAGCCTCTGGTAACACCTGTCCTGCTGATAACACCACATCCGGATCTCCAAACCAAGCTGCAGTCTTGAGTACTTGTCCAGAGACAGATGTCTGTTTTTCGCTGAATGTGCCTGAGGAATCGGCCCGCTCAAATTCGGGTGACATCTACTTTCAACTCTCAGCACCAACGACGTATTCGTGGGTAGCTCTCGCGCAAGGCACCTCAATGAGTACCGCCAATATGTTTGTCATGTATAGTTCAAGTGATGGTCAGAACGTGACGCTCTCACCAAGAACTACATCAGGACATGTGATGCCAACATACAACGAGGGAGCTAACGTTTCTTTGTTGGAAGGGTCCGGAATCTCCAATGGCAGGATGACGGCCAACGTCCGATGTAGCAATTGCAACCAGTGGGGCTCAGGCACCATGAGCCTGCAAGGCGGCAACAGCAATTGGTTGTATGCACATTCCCAAGGCTCACCTATCAACTCTGATGACACGAGAGCCCCAATCTCGCAGCATGATGGGAAGGGTTCCTTCCGGTGGGATCTCTCGCGGGCCACTGGAGGCACGGGTGGGAATCCGTTCATCAATGCGTCATCGACAACGACAACAACTGGGGCTGAGGGACAGAACTCGTGGCAGAGATTATCCACACAGACACAGAGCCGTTATGTAAAGGCTCACGGAGCGCTGGCTTCCATCGCCTTTGTCGCTATCCTTCCCGTCGGTGCCATCCTTGTCCGTTTGACTAGCTTCCACGGATTACTCTGGACCCATGCTTCCTTACAGATCTTTGGTTACATTGTCTTCATCGCGGCAGCAGGGCTTGGTATATTCATTGCAAAGGGCGGTGCCTATCTGCATGAACCGCACGCAATCATCGGCATGATACTGCTTGGCACCCTGTTTTTCATGCCATTCCTAGGTACGATCCATCACAAGATGTACAGGAAGGTCCAGAAGCGGACAGTGTGGTCATATGGCCACATCTTCACCGGGCGAGCTATCGTCATCCTCGGCATGATCAATGGTGGTCTGGGTCTTCGACTGGCTGCTGCCTCAAGATCTTCCAAGATTGTATACGGTGTCTTCGCGGGCTTGGTGGGTGTCGCATATATCGGCGCGATGGTCCTGGGTGAGCATCAACGTTCCCGAACGTCCCCACACAACGTCGTAGCTTCCTCATCAGCCAGTGGTGAGGCTAAGCGACTCAATCGAGACGAGAGTGGTAGTGATTCATCTCACTAGACGACCAATCAAGAACCACATGATATTCTTAGGGCCAGTTGTCGAAAATAGTATGCTTCGTATGTTGAAGTTGTTGATGAAGGATTGTTGCAGCACAGCTCTCAGTGGCCATCACATTGGCGTTGGGAGTGCTTCGTACGAGGGTAGTGTCTGAGCTGGAGACATTTTGACCAGAAAAAATGGTAAGAGATGAGTCAAATGCTAGCCTTTACCTAGCATCACGTAAAGGACCAGGGGGAGACCTCATGGAACAAAAATTTAGCTCGCATCATCGAATGGAGGAACTCACTTATGCCACGGAGGCTATATAATGTCAAATAGTACCGCAATTCATTTGGTATCACTTGAGTCAAACCCATTGTCATGGAAATATTTCCCTTGGCCACCCTTCGAAGGTTGCCCTTTGGATATATCATCACTGTACGTCCTAAGTTTCATATCGCTGGCACCGCAATTTGAAGCGCTCAGTGATAGCCTACTTACTTCTTTTCACCAATTTTGCTCATTAGGTTCCGGCCTCTCCCGGTGAGCATTCAGGACATCCTGTGCTTCACCGCACCATTTATCAATGTCCAAGTCAAATTGAGGCAGTAAGGACACATTTCCAGTCTCCTTGAGCATGATCAGAAGTAAGTTCTTGGCCTCGACCAAATTTCCATCCATTGTGAGGATGTAGGCTTGCGATTGACGACTTTTGTTGACCACGCCATCGGTGAGCCCAAGTGTCTCGATAAAGCAGACGTTCTCCCATCCATGTGGTGCATTCCGGTGATGTGATTCACCTACTGCATAGCGACCCAGGTATATCAGCTGGCTCGCAACATCTATGAAGCATGTTGCAGTGAGTGGATTGGAGAAAATGAGGAGCCTTCCAAAACCTTGGTACGCACACTGGTATGCAGCTAGTGCTTCAGCACGACGATCAAGGTTGTACTGGGCATGGCTTATTTGATTAAGTACCTGATACTTTGACAAGTTTGCTGGATCATCCAAATGGTTAAGTGCACCCTCGGACTTCCTCGAATTGGACAAGTTTGAGGGTGTTTGATTGCGATTGAACGAAGGACTCGATATCATTCTGAGTAATAACCTACCTTTGGCTGGAAGGAGGGGCCGATGGGGCTGTGGCGGAAGCCATGGTTAATGCTGTGGGTCGAGCCGAAAGATCCACATTCATAGCCTTATCTACTGTGGTATTAGATGTAGGAGATCGCAGGATTGAAGATGAATGATTGTAAATCATGGTGGATTATAGAATATTCGTCCACATGGAATCGAAAAAGACTGCATCAGGCTAACACTGATATACTTGAACACCTCTGGGAGAGTGCAACACGATGCAGTGCTCGCTGGTCCTGTAAGCCGCGGCCATGCGAATGAGGAGTTGATTCCAGTATCCGTATTATGAAGGAGCCCAAGGCATCCTTTGTTGTGCGCTAGCCAGTCAGACGAGCACTCGACGCTGAATGTGCAAGTTTGTTACTCCGCGAGGCAGACAGGATCCGGATGAGTGCCCACTGAATGTCCAAGAGAGACGCCTCATTCTCTGAGCCGCATGAGGTACGAAATAGCGAGTAGTGGTGTTGACCTACTCGTAGGTACCCAAAGATTTCCAAGACTACAACATGATCCAGATCCTGCCTAGCAGCGGACGTGGTTGATATTGAATATGGTTGTTTATATAAAGGAACCACCCTGGGCAACGGACATTCTCGGTACTCGGTACTCGATGGCGGTGAAGAGCCCCCACGCAAGCCGGAGCATCAATGGTCATGATCAGGCTTGCCGGAGATGAAGATGCCGGTGAGCCTGAGGGTCGTGGCTCCGGGCCCGAGTGACCCCTATCACCCCTATTTATTTACCTACGGACCTAGGTATTAAGCCACTATTATTCATTAACTAAGTTTCAGGTGCTGCTTCCCCAACATTCCCCCCATTGCCTGCTACTTTTTTTTTTCTGAGGCCGGTAAACACCACAGTCACTACCTACAGGATCCTATTTATCACCACATCACCCACCAACTCAATGTCCACCGAAATAGCCACCCCTGGGACAATCCCAAACGGACCTCATGACCCCGAAAAGCCGGCCACTGAAATCACCAATGGGTTGAATGAACTCAAATTGAATGATCAGACTACACCCGTCACGACAACCAACCCAGCCTCTGCGCCCAAACTTCCTCGATCGTCTGCCGATGGTCTCATCAAGACTCCCCTGGCCGAGCCCCTCGAATCTTCACAGCCTGTCCCAAGACCAGCCCTGACCTCGGAGCAAGAGACCAAATATGCCACTCTACTCAAGAATGTACAAGCATGGACCGAGATTGCGGAAGCCTCCACCAAAGACGCAAAGTCGACTCCCATAACCGACTCGGAGCGCATGTTCCTCACGAGAGAATGTCTACTTCGATACTGCCGGGCTACCAATTGGGATATTGCACAATCAGAAACAAGACTGAGAAATACCTTGGTATGGCGACGAGAATACGGGGTGGAAACCCGCACCAAAGACTTTGTGTCCATTGAGAATGCGACAGGAAAACAAGTCATTTTGGGATGGGACAACCATGGACGCACCTGTCAATATCTCCGACCCTCCAAGCAGAACACCGAACGCAGTGATCGACAGATTCAACATCTCGTGTTTATGCTTGAACGCGCCATTGATTTGATGCCACCAGGTCAAGAAACCCTGGCACTACTCATCAACTTTGCAGAGACCAAGTCAGGTCAAGGAGCCACGTTGGCACAAGGTAGACAGACCTTGAACATTCTGCAGAACCATTACCCCGAGCGACTAGGGCGTGCCCTGGTCAGCAACGTCCCCTTCTACATCTGGGGATTCTTCAAGTTGATCACCCCGTTTATTGATCCTTTGACACGCGAGAAGATCAAGTTCAACGAGGATGTGGGGCTTCATGTTCCTCGCGAACAATTGTTGAAGGAGAGTGGTGGTCACGTCGAGTTTGAGTATGACCATGATTCCTACTGGCCTGCTCTGAATGCATTGTGTGAATTCAAGCGGGCGGAACAATTGGCGAGATGGGAGAAAGGCGGTAAGAAGATTGGAGAGTATGAGGGTTATCTCAAGGGTGCGGAGGAGAAGAGTCTCAGTGAGAGAGAACAGGAGGTCGAAGTCAAGGTCGAGAACTGACCTGGGACTATATTATTATTGTTGCCTTATATCTTTCGTATGGTGTTCTGGTAGACTGGGTACCTGGGTGCTTCAGGTACGTGATCCGATATAGTATCTGATAGAGATTGTCACATGTTAATTTCGACTCCCAACACCCGTCGCTGCTTTTGTCTGCACTAACTCCAGACAGGCAGGCTCGATCGCCGGATTAAACATCCAACATCCCATCCCACCTTTTCCTTTCCCGTTTCCCCCTCCATCATTTCCCAACCATCCACTGCATCCCACACTCACTTCCCATTACTGCTCCCAGCCTTGAGGATCGCTGTTCCCATCACCACCAGTGGCCGAGGGTGCCACCACCGTATCCATCGTTGTGTGCCTCAGCTCTTTTTTCCCCCTTAGGTTCCTCAGCCTGGACCTTGTGCCTCTCCTCCCCCGCGACAAAAACTAAGCCGACACGTTCCCCAGACCCGCTCACTACGACTTTTATTAATTCTCACCCGCTTTCTCTCTCACACGCTCGCTTTTCACCACCCTAGCCTCACGTTCAGCCCATCATACGATGCAGCTGGACCCTTCATCATGGCAGAGAATGTTGAGGTGACCAGAAGTCATAATACCACTCCCACTGCCATCCCTCCCACCAACAACGCACATCTACTATCCTCTTCCAACAACTCCTCATCGCCATCACCAAACTCGTCAACTCATCCTTCGCATCCCTCCCTCCACCATAGTCCACCTCCTCTACATGGCCATGAGGCCACCTTTGTGCGACCTGCAGATCTCCTGAGACCCCGCGCCATTTCTCGTCCCCTCACCCCGGCCAGATCCGATCGTCCTATCGATCGAGATGAAAGAGCAGGCTTGGTAAGATGATACAACTCGAGGTATTTGAATCTATCTAACCGGATTCCAGAAAGCCATCCGGGACTTTTTAAGAGTACGCACTTGTTATGAAGTGCTTCCCCTCAGTTTTCGCTTGATCGAACTCGACGTGGGCTTGACAGTCAAAGAAAGTCTGAATATCCTGGTTCAGTGCGGTATGTTTATGCTTGGATTCATGAGACCTTACAAGGTGCTGACCAGTGGTTCAGGAATCGTCTCGGCTCCGTTGTGGGACTCGACTACTTCTACCTATGCCGGTCTCCTAACAGTTACCGATTACTTGAATGTGGTCAGATACTACAATCTCCACGCCGATAAACTCAAAGATATCGACAGTTTGCTCCTGAGTGATCTTAAAGGTCAGTCCTTCAAACTCCTGGATATCTCCGCGCTAACCTGCTCATCAATCAGATGTCGAAAAAGTCCTCAATGTCAAGGCTCCCGAAACTTTGTCCGTGTCGCCCGAAGCCATTCTCTACGACGCTCTACGAAAACAGCTAGTTTCGCGTGCTCGACGTATTCCCCTGGTTTCCTACGACAGTGATACTCAAAGGACCATGGTCACCAGTGTCATCACTCAATACCGTATCCTCAAATTTATCGCTATGAACGTCAAGGAAACAGACATGCTGAGAAAGCCGCTGGAAACCATCAAACTCGGGACCTACGGAAAGATTGTGCGCTGTAGTATGGACACTACCGTGTTGGACGTCGTGGACGAGATGGTGACCAAGAATATCTCCAGTGTTCCGGTTGTCACCACTGAGGGTGAGATGATATGGAGAATCATTTATCACAAAACTCTGCTAACCTCGCTGTTCAGGAGTCCTGTTGAACGTGTTTGAAGCAGTAGATGTCATTGAAATTCTCAAGACCGGCGATTACGGCAATCTCACCTGGACCGTAGGCAAGGCTCTTTCTGCACGATCACAAAACCATCCCGGCATTTACTGCTGCTCGTTCGAAGACGGCCTAGACACCATTTTTGAAACCATCAAGAAATCACGAGTTCACAGGTTGATGATCGTCGACGATAACAACTATCTTAAGGGGATATTGTCTCTCAGCGACATCCTACATTACCTTTTGGTTGAAGGCCATGAGGAACCCAACCAGGCATGATGAAAACAACCGCCAAGAAACGATTGGAATGAAACAGGGTGGACTACTTGCATAGCCAGGCGTTTTTTCGAGGCCATGAATGGAAAAAACGGATGGGGGCAATCTGTCTTTCACTGGGTAATAATGAACTGCCACAAGGTTTGTGTCAATGGCTGGCGGGTTGGAACCCGAGATAGAACAGCGGTCACGATAGATTCGGAATGACCCAGGGTATTCGACACGAGGACGAGACAACTTAATAGTAGATATTCTGCCTAGGAGCGTGATGCTAGCAGTACACGATAGAGTAATGTCAGATCTTCCTGATATGGACCCGCACGTTACACTTGAATGACCAACAGATCTTCTCGACAGACGCGCTCAGGTTCATACTGGAGTCATATTCCCGGCCAGGTGACATGGTCAATAACACCTCCTCTCGTAGGATACGAAACGGCTTACAGCAAACCCCTATGCTTGCGTTGCTGGACACAACTCAGAACCTTTGGACACAGCAGTCTAGCGCAATCTGCTGTCGAGCTCGTCACATCGATAGGCCTTCTGATGGAGGATTCTGCACGTCCTGTCCTGTCCACAGCTTGAACGCCGCCGAGGCTGGTCAAAGGTCTGTGATGCCGATCTCTTGCGGTTGGAAAAGTTGGCTGGTCTCTCTGACCGTCATTGATAAGACCGGTTCTGAGGCTGATATTTTGCGTGGGCGTGGTCATCGTTGATATCGTGACTTCATTCTTCCGATCGTTGTTCTCGTTATTCCCATGGTGCTTTGGCCTTCCGCACTTTCTGCACATGAAACAGCTCAGAAACCAAGTAAGCAGTGCTTTCGCGACTCTGCTCATGTTCACAGAAATCCGAAGAAACTAGCGCTCCAATGCATTATAAGTTTGAAAAAAAGATTCGCAGATGCCTCTCATTTCCCGAACTCCGTGAAAGGAAAATCGAAGAACGAGTCCGAGTCCGCGGCCTGGTCGAACAAGCCCGCAAACTCGTCTCTGATATACGAGCCCTCAAACGCCGACGTCATGGAATTACTCCCGGGCGTCGGGTCGCTGAAGTCGGGAAACTCCATTCTGAAGTCGTCGGACTGCTGGCTGCTGTCCTTGGGGATGGTCATCTGGCGCGGGAGGCTGGCCTGTGCGGTCGTCGCCAGCGTCGCCGCCGAGGTGATCTTGGACTGCAGTTCCTCGAGCCCCTGTAGCCGTTTCCACAGGCGCATCAGGGGCCCCGAGCGCGTGCTCAGCAGGCGGATCAGCTTCAATGCGAGGTGGAACTCGTCGCGCACGATCGTCCAGAATTGGCTGGTGGCGTTGACGACCAGCAGCGAGAGGTTGCCGAACGAGCTGAGGACGAAATGCTTGAAGACGATCGGGTGCGTTCCAATCAGGTTGGTCGTCTGGTTCAGTTGCCACATGGTGGCGATGGAGCTCTTGGCCACGTCCGCCGCCACATGTGCATACCGTTCGTTCTCGCGGATCCTCGTCGATGACTGCAGTATCGGCCGGTAGATCAGGTTGCGGAGGTAGTTCTGCCGGATGTACAGGATTGTCGGAAGGTAGAGAGGATCTTGATATGAGTCTTCGTCGGGGAGCTGGATGTTGGCTCGAACGTACGAGAGTTGCAGTTCGTCCGGGACTTGGTTGTACCATCGCAGGATCTGGTAGTCGAGGAAGTCGATTTCATCTTTGGATATCACCGACGCCTTCTCGCATTGGTTGTTGAGGATTTGCCAGGCTTTGCCCGCGAGTTGCGTCCATTCCACCATGTTGGATAGGAACGGATTTGATATGTCCTGGTACTATGATGTTAGCGTTTTGTATCCTGTCGAGCCAGATTGATTGGACCGGAATCCAACAACCTACCATTGTATACAAAGAAGGGTCAATATGAGAGTCTTGGATGGAGTACGGAACTCCTTGGCTGAGACTCGTCCTCCGTTCCAATGTGTATACCGACCATAGGACTCTCAGTGCAATCATGCGATCACTTTCGTCTCGAAAGGTCTTGAGGATGGTTTCCCTCCGGTGCAAGCCCATCTCTAGACAGTGTCTTGCTGCGAACCCTATGATTCGAAAGGTCCGCACCTGGTCATCAAGGTGATAATAGTATAAGGCCTGGAGAAATTGAGTTAGTCTCGAAGTATTTGAGTCCACGATATTTCTTCGTACCACAAGAACCAGTAACTGAATTCCACAGATCCCATCAGAGTTCCAGAGAAGGCCTTCTACAGCCTCCGTCACGCTCTGGAACAGTCTTTGCGCCTGGTCGCTACGTCCACCACTCTCGAGCGTTCGTCCAATTGCAATAACGACCTTCAACTTATTCGTATGCGCGTTGAAGATGGCTTCCGCAGCAGCTAGACCTCTTTCCTTCAACTTACCCCCTTGAGCCGATTCGAGAGAGCCGAATACTCGGTTGGCTATATTCATCATTGTATGGTGGTCGAATATTGGATACGTCGAACCAGGGCCTCGGCAGAAGTCGCAGATCAAACGAAGTGCGTCCGCTCTTTTGATGTCCCAAAGTGGATCCATTGTGAGCATCTTCATGAACGCTAGAATATCAAATGAGATTAGCTTCGACATGTTCAGAGTAGATCTTTGGCAATGGTGTTCGAATCAGTCGGTGGAGTAGGCATCGGCTTAGTTAAACAATTTCTGACAGAAGTAACTTACGACCATACTGAGCAGGCTCGAAAGAGAACTGCCGTGATACAGCATCCTCCGGGGTGGAAGCATCGTTGATGACGGCGTTGAGACCCATGGCCTTGAGGTTGCCGCTAACGACACTCAAAGTGAATTCCGAGCTGGACGGGCCATAAAAGCTGGGGGATTGGTGTTCCGGTGCTCGATATGGCGTTGTCTCATCGCCCGTATATGTCTGAGTGGGGGATTCCGTATGGCTGCTCTGCTCCACAGGCGCACTAGGAGGCAGAGGCTCGTCACCACTAACCCCGCTGATTGGAATGACCTGGTTATAAAGACCATGGAACTTGTCAAACGTTGACCCGGAGGTCTTGTTCAACCACTTGGGCCTGGCGGACTCTTTCCGTCCGCGTCGATTGGCTTGTTGATAGATGCATGGCGCCTCCTGAGTGGCGCACCTGCGACACGGCTTCTGACCATCACATTTGATTTTCCGTCGCTTGCATTCGAGACTGTATCTCTATCAGTAATGGAGGGTTTCAGTCCGGGGAATTGCTAGTCTTCGTACCATGCACGAGTTGCGTAAGTTGCTCGCTTTGACTGTGTGCTCTGCTCGATTTCCTTCGCCAACTCCTGCAACTCGGGGTCCATCTGTCAGGTTTGTGGGGTCTCCGGATGTGGAAAATCGATCCAGCCTCTAAAATCCAATCGAGACAGGGTCGAGTTTCGTCGTCCTGGTATCGCTTGAGTATTGATCTAACTCGCCTCAGGGTGTTGAGTCACGAGTCCTTACGGCAATCTAAATCACTGGTCGAATGAAAGATGTGATGCAGGGGGTTAACATATTCTCAAAAAAGTTCATGTGTGTGTGTATGAGAGTACCATGAGTAGGATGGAGGTTGTCCAAGATATTGATGGGCCTCGGGCAGCGGAATAGTTGTCCGAAATTGGCAACGTTTTCCGCGCACGTGCGATCACGCTTTATTCTCTGAGCAATGGAGAGCAATAACAAATTGCCTTCCGAAGGGTATAGTATATTCTAGGAGTTATAGTACAGGTCTATAGTTTTATCGTCGACATATCGACTGTCGTTGCCGTTCGTCACACATAATGTTCGTACAAAAACTCGTCTCAATTAGTAAGCACTGCCTTCATTCTCGAGTTCCTTCTCGACCACCACTGGAGGTGGAACTGTCTTAGGGGTTGGTGCCCATTTGCTCTTCTGTCTCAACTTGGGGCCGTATATAGTGAAGATGATCGGAACGGGAATCAAGACAGCTGCAACGCAGCCCAACAATGTGGCAGCCCATTGGATCTCCATGTTCACGAACATCTGACGGTCGAAAAGAGGACTATATGCCATGTTAGAAATGTGATGATGTTTTGAAAAGGGTCGGGCTTACCAAGCGGCGGCAAAGAGGGATCTTATAATCGTATTTCCTGCTAGAGCTGATGCGGCACTGGAACAGGTTGGTTAGTCCTGGACAGCTTCAAGTAAATGTTGAAGTACTTACAACATGAGATAGGCATCCACAATATACATTGCGAGTGCCATGAAAATTGAAAGCAACCCAAAGCCGATGAATACTCCGGCAAGAGTTGGGACAATCCAGTGGACACTTTTGTAGGCACCCGTCCAACCAAACCAGAAAAGTCCAATAGTGAAGATGACACCTCCCACTGTGGCGAGTGGCAGCCTCCATTCCGGTACGGCTTTTTGGCCATTTGCTAGGTATTTCGCAACCCAGATCTTGTTGTACAGAAGAGAGCTCAGTCCACTTGCGACCATACCAATTGCCAAGCCCAAGAATGGGAGACTTCCAACCCCAGGGGCCATGCCATGAACACCCTGAAAGACAAGAGGCAACGCGGACAATGTGATATAGATGAGCCCATAGACGAAGGTCATATAAATGCCGAGCAGGATTAGAATTGGTTCGGTGAACAGCATCCGTAGTGGTCTGGAAAGATTCTTCTCAACCATTTCGTGAAGATCGATCTCGATTTCTTCTTGCTTGGCATGGATAGCCCAGTTTTTGGTGCCACGACGGAGTAGTGCTGCTTTGGAGACCAGGACTGTTGGTGGATAGGTCTCTTTGACGAACAACAGGATAAGAGCGAACGTGGTGAAGCCCATGATTGCGGACCAGTAGCTATCCCATCTCCAACCGAGATAACTTGTCACGGTGAAAGAGCCAACGATCGGTCCCAGCGTCGGGCCAATGAAGACTGAGACTGCAAAAACTGTGAGTGCTGGTCCCCTTTGCTTTGCATCGTATATGTCCGAGTACAGAGCCGCGACAACAACGATGGGACTGCTCCCAAAAACGCCCATGAAGAAACGACTGATCATGAGGGTCTGAACATCCTTGGAGACTGCCGTTGCAACCGCAAAGACAGAGAACCCGAAATTACCAATTAGCAATGGCAGCTTGCGGCCACGGAGCTCAGACAACGGCGCCCAAAACACCGGACCGACCGCATAGCCAACAAGGTACAACGCGCTTGATAACGAGGCGACTTCGACGGAAATATGGAAATGCTCTGCTACCTGACGGGTGGCTGCGGACAGGACCGAAGAGGCAAATGTAGAGCAAAAACATGCCAGAGCACCGATGGCAGCTGTAACAAATCTATGGCGTGTTAGGCTTGGCTTGCTCAACGTTGCATCGTGGGACTTACTTGGTCCTTGGGCTCCAGTTCATAGGATGCAGAGGGTCATGAGCTCCTGTATGACAAGATTAGGCTTGCTGAATGAGGCGCACATTGATTGGTGATGCCTACCATCGAAATCAACCACATAAGCTTCCCTTTCTGCAGGAATATCAGGAGGATAGGACTTTCCACCCCCAAATGCTGGCAGGATGTTGGTTACACTCCGGCTGCGGTGGCGCGACTCCGGTTCGGAGCCTACTGTTTGGACATGCTGTATCCGTTGTGATTGAAGGCGTGCTATTTCAGTGGAGTTTTGGCGTGCATTAGTATTGATGGTTGTTGCATGAGATGAATTCGAACCACTTGTATTGGTTGGAGCAAGTTGTCTTGAGGACCATGTCTCGGCTCGCTCGAGGCTTGTATCTAGGGAATTCATGATAAGTAGCAATGAAATGAGACTTGGTTGAATGCGGAATGGGGAGGTTTCTTTGCAGAATGTTGCATGCACCAAGACATGGCGAAGCACAAGAGGTTTATAAGAATGCTCGAGGAAAGGCTACAGCCTTGATGAAAGCGATGGCATCATCCCATGCAAAGCCATAAACATTCAAAACCGATACAAACCGCTGGTTTTCTGGATTATTAAGGTCTGCGGCCGTACAAGATAGAGACCTATGACCGAACTGGGTAGGTGGCGTTGGGGTACCTTGCAGGTCTTGTACCAAGCACATCAACCACATGCTGCAGACCATTTGAAGCAAAAGAGCATATCGACTCTTGACGCATGCTCGGTAATCTAGATAGTATGAGTGCTTTAGTGGAAGCCATGTGAAGAAGGCATAATTCACATTCACAGTCTCTGGTTGATCAACCAGCGAAGAGAGAATTGGAGACTGGTGAGGTTTAAGAGGCCCGAGTCGGCTAATAGAACTCGCGGATTACTGAACTTGAAGTTCATGGTCCTGACCAGTAACAAGTGGCCATGATTAGGTCATGGCCGAGGAGAAAGGTCCTCTACAACGGCCGCAACGATGCCTTAGGAGATCCGCAAGCAGCTTCAGGTGAAGACATTGCAAAATTGGGCCATACAGCGTCATACGAAGACACATCGCATGAAGAGTGGATGCCTAGGTAGTTTCATTACATGGTATCAATCTAATAGACTTGATGGCGGTACTCCATCAAATGCAAGCTGTCGGAGAGTAAAAGGTGGAAAAGGAAAGGAAAGCTGAGCAATCCCGACCCGTCGTTCTTATCTTATTGTCACGTGATCTGGATGTACATATAGACATAGTGGGGGAAGTTGTGACCTTCACGCGCCCTTGTACGTAACTGTAGAGCCTCTTTCCTCAGCAGTAAATAATGACGTAATGCCCAAGCTGAGACCTCGGCAAAGCTGCCCCGCCTCAAACTCCGAATTCAACACGAAGAAGGAGGTCCATCATCACATTAGAACGTATTGCACTTCTGCAGTGCAGATGCTATCTTTGCTCTAGACTTCCAGGTGAATTTTTATAGCTTTGCGGATATAATGTCATCTCGATCAAGACTGACTGCCATTAGCAATCAACTAATCAACACCACAAAGTCCTCCATTAGTGCGCTGCAATCCAGAGGTCTCGCCAGCATGGCCCACACTCAGTCCGCAGCATGTAAGGGTGTTTCTAGCCATGGGTATACTCGTGACTGACCATCATAGGCTGCAATACTCCAGCAGTCATCAGCAAGGGCTATGTATGGCCTTTCCATAAGTTCTCAAGCATTGCGCTGACAGCAGCGTAGAAGGAGAAGGGCGACTATATTACCGTCGATGGTCTGAAAACTTGTCGGTCGCTCCAAATTCAAGTTAGCATACCTTCCGATATCTAATCAGCAACCTACGCAGATACTACCGGACCTTCCTCTGCCAGCCAAGGCATTCTCGTCATCTACGACATCTTCGGCTTTTTCCCACAGACCCGACAAGGAGCAGACATTCTCGCACACTCGGACAAGGAGCATCAGTATCAGATATTCATGCCGGATTTCTTCGATGGTAAACCCGCAGACATCTCATGGTATCCTCCTGACACGGAGGAGAAGGGCAAGAAGCTCGGCGAGTTCTTCCAGACTGCGGCCGCCCCACCAAAGACGATCGAGCGGGTTAAGAAAGTCATGAATGAACTCCAGTCCAAGAATCCCAATGTCAAGAGCTGGGGCGTCCTAGGCTACTGCTGGGGTGGAAAGGTAGGTCAAAGACGCAACAATAGTAGAATCACTACGGGCATAGGCTAACTCGCCCCTTTAGATCGTCAACCTCGTCTCCCAGGCTGGCACTCCATTCAAGGCCGCCGCCAGCTGTCATCCCGCCATGGTCGACCCCAAAGATGCGCCAAACATTACGATCCCTATATTGTCGATTCCATCCAAAGACGAAGATAAGTCGGCCATGGATCAGTATGAGGCTGCGCTCAAAGTCCCCAATAAGGTTGAATGGTATCATGACCAGATCCATGGCTTCATGGCGGCACGAAGCGACCTCGAGGACGACAAAGTCAAGGCTGCATATGAGAAGGCCTATCAGACTGTACTTGGTTGGTTCCACCAGCACTTATGAGGGGATGGAAAACCGTGATGAGTTGTAACGTGGAAAAGGAGTTTTTCAAGACTACTGGAGACTTTTTGTTGTGGCCGAATAAACGGACAGCAGCCAGAAAAGTTATGTACAAGCCGGACCATCCAGCTAGCGCGCGCCCTCAATATGCCCCTTGAAAATTTCAATCGCTTTCCAGTTGCTACAGATCTTTTGATATCTCGAAATCTGAGTCAGTACCAGAGAGAATACTCGGTATACTAGGTCTCCGTAGACCAAGGACAGGGTACTCATCCGTACCTAACGTGATGTGAGATGACATCGACAGTCCCAGTCGGATCAGTGTTGGCTTCATGAACTGTGGTTGGACATTACCCTGTGGTCCTGTCTGATCCCTGTTTGCACGACTTCTCTTATGATATGTTTCAAGAGACGGCTTTGCGCCTCCCAGCAAGACAGCGTACAGGTGTGGGACGTTGAATGCCCATATTGTCGGAATATGAGTCTGCAATCAGCCAGCTTGTTGACGGCATGGTCCAATAACGGACACTTGGCCCAAGAGATTCCAGACGGCTTGACAAGCGAGCAAGCTTGACATCCAAGCATGGTCCTTAGCGTGGAAGACCTCGGTTCTACTCCAGATAGCATGTCCGAAGCACGATAACCTGTATCCTCCAACTTTAGTCCTCGTTGTCGTTGTCCAGATTTGGCTCGGCCTTCCAGAAGCACCACGTGAAAATGATGACAATCTTCAAAGTGGCCGCTGTCCAGAGTGCGCCCGCAAGCCCAACCGAACTATGAGCCCACAGACCACCAATCACTGCTCCTAGCAAGAGTAATACCGGTGCTGCAGCTCTCCGGTTCCTTTCATCATTTTGGGTGAGTCCAGCCAAGATCAAGGGGTCGGAGAACAGGTCACAGTAAATGCTTGTGAGCACGACACTGGTGAGGCTGTTGTACTGTAGAGCACGGCTGGTGACCGCTTGTCCACTGCTTTGAAATGCTACCAGGGCAAGAGGGACTAGCACCTCCCATCGAAGATCACCTCCTTCCTCTGTGTCAACAAGTACAATGACAGCAGCCGCAATGACCAAGACCAATTGAGCTGAAAAAGATGCAAGCAAGACCCAGCGGCGCTTCGGCGAAAAGTACCGATGAAATCGACTGAAGACCAGTGAACCGAAGCAGAAGAATGCGATTGAGGTGCCAGATCGAATCCACCTTGTTCCCTCAGTGGGCGCAACCAGACCCAGTCCCAGATAGACAGTATTTCCTGTCTGCATGCTCACGAATGAACCCCATATGAAAACGGCCGAGCTGTCCAGCAGCCCGGTGATGACGTATGACAGAAGTAAAATGAGGTCTGCCCAACTTCTGTCAATGTCTTGCTTTAGATATTTGGACAATCGAGTTGAACGTCGAGAGCTCTTGGGTTTTGCAAGCAACGGACTCTGTTCATTGCGAGAGTGTTGTGTTGGGTCGTCGGGCGACGAGTTCCCGTTGATTGTTCCATACCCGTTTGGAGAAGTCATGGTATTTGAACCAGTTGATGAACCAGGACTACCAAGCAAAGTTGAGGAGAGGAGTATTTTTTTTAAAAGAAGAACAAACTATGAGAAAGTGGCAGGAAATATCTGCCGGCTCCATTACCCCCATCGAGGTCAATCGCGTCATGCTGGAGGTTGAACGAGTTGAAAAGGCTGTTGATCGGCCCGGCAGAACGTTTTGGCGGAGCTGAAGGGGAGGCAGTCGTGACGTGCAACTCTGATTCGTACCTGCCCTGGTTGAATGCTGCAGGACCACCTCCTCCCGGCCTTCCGTGGAGCATTCATCAGCCTTTATTAAAGGCCAGAGCTCCTCCCTTAAATTCACCACCACTTGTAGTTGGAGCTGAACTCTTCCTCTTTACTTGTCGTCCTCTCTACCCTCCATCCAAAATGCAGCTCTCACTCCTCTTGTCGTTGCTTGCAAGCACCTGTTTGGCGGTTCCTATCCATGAGAGGCACCAGCAACCCATTCAGGCTTTTGATAAGAACTCCCCCTATACTAGAAAGCATAGGGACCCCTACGACCATAAGATTGATTCTTATGGCCAAGACTTGGAGCCCTTGCCATGGCGAAATGGTGACGGTGCCAGCATGATGGGACCTCGCAACAGGGATCGAGAAAGGCAGAATCCTGATATGTTGCGACCACCAACAACTGATTCTGGCAACTTGCCCAACATGCGTTGGAGCTTCGCTGATTCACATATCCGAATTGAGGTGAGCAGTCTTCTGTTACCGGATCACACGACCGTTGCTAATGCCCAACCAGGAAGGAGGCTGGACACGACAAACCACGGTCAGAGAGCTTGGCACCAGCAAAGAGCTTGCTGGAGTCAATATGCGACTTGACCATGGTGTCATCCGTGAGCTCCACTGGCACAAACAGGCCGAGTGGGCATATGTCCTTGAAGGAAGTTGCCGTATCACTGCCTTGGACACCGAGGGCGGAAGTTTTATCGACGATCTACAGAAGGGTGATCTATGGTATTTTCCACCAGGCCACCCACACTCGCTCCAAGGTCTCAGTCCCAACGGTACCGAGTTCCTCCTGGTCTTTGATGACGGCAACTTTGATGAAGAATCAACCTTCTTGCTGACTGACTGGTTGGGTAAGTCATTAAATTTCGTCCCGAGTACGAAACTATATTCTAACCGTGCATTCAGCCCATACACCAAAATCTGTTCTCGGAGAGAACTTCCGTCTGGCACCAGAGGTCTTTGACGCTTTGGACCCCTCAGACAAATATATCTTCCAAGGAGCTCTGCCCGGCTCCATTGATGAAGAGAAACCCAAAGGCAAGGAAGTCAAGAAGTCCAAGCTACAGTTCACTCACAAAATGATGGACCAAGTACCCCTGAATACCACTGGTGGTCAGGTCAGAATCACTGACTCCCTCAACTTCCCCATTTCCAAAACCGTCGCTGCAGCACATCTGAACATCGAGCCTGGTGCTCTCCGAGAGATGCACTGGCACCCCAATGCCGATGAGTGGTCATACTTTATCAGTGGAAGGGCTCGTGTTACCATCTTTGCCGCAACAGGTATTGCTCGAACTTTCGACTACATGGCAGGCGATGTTGGTATCGTTCCCAAGAACATGGGTCATTTCATCGAGAATTTGAGCGACGATGAGCCCGTGGAGGTCCTGGAGATCTTCCATGCCGACAAGTTTGAGGATTTCTCATTGTTCCAATGGCTTGGTGAAACACCCAAGAAAATGGTCGCGGATCATCTTTTTGCCAATAATCCAAAGGCCGCAAACAAGTTCTTGGAACAAATTGAGGATGCGGAGAAGGACCCTATCAGGGATGTTCTTGAGAAGTAAGCTCAGAGTATGAGCATGTATATGATTTGGCGTCCCGGGAGCTTTTGCTTGTAACTACAAAAACTGCCACTCTGAGAAGTGAGCTGCACCTAAGGGATACTTCGTACAAAATTCAGATAATGAACACGAGATGTTTGGATGCTCCATACCCCGGACTTGGCTTGCTGCAAAGGGGTTCAAGTTGCAAGCATGTGTTACTAGGTCGCTGGTAAAATGATTAAGCGGAACGAGTGGTCTTTGCTCACGGCAGTATTCCTGAGTTTTCAAGGACCCTACCATCGAGCTTGTTACCCTCTTCAGTTAGTCTCAAAGGTTTCTGGGAGGTCTAGACAGCGAGCCTCACATATCTGAAGCGGGTAAAATATTAATATTCTCCTCTTGATTACGTCTGGACAAGGCTACGCTTACTGCTGGTCCCCACCCGGAATATATTTTTGATTTGCTCCGATATTGACCATTTCGAGAAATGGCGTTTCACAGAATGCCACATACTTGTTACGTCTCATCTTGGATGAGCTCTGTCCTGTCTAATCCAAATATATCTCCGTATTAAAGTCTTATCAAAGCCTAGAAATCAACATAAACCCGCCCTTCGAATGCATTCAAAACGCCTTCTTCGCGCTTGTTGCGCGTCGTCCCTACCAGAAGCTGCCAATCCGATGAATCTGATAAACACTCGTTCAAGGCTGGTAGTTCTTTCCTCGAATCCGAGAAGTTGAGAACAACAAATGCTCGTCGGCTGCCATCGGCGCTATGCTTAATGTAGCTAAAGACATCTTCGTTGATTTTGTCCAACAGCTGGAATGTACCATGGACGAAGATATCCGCGTGCCGTTTCCGCAAAGTCATCATTTTCTTGTAGAAGGACAACACACTTTGGCGATCATTTACCTGACTCGCCACGTTGATTTTGCACGCATCGTCGTGAACCCGCATCCATGGCTCAGTGTTGGGAGAAGTAAACCCAGCATTAACAGAACTGTCCCATTGAAATGGGATACGAGAATGGTCACGAGCGAGAATTCGAAGTCCGTCCATTACTCGATCCTTCTCCCTCACATCAGAACTTCGTGCAGCTTCCTGGTAGAAGTTGTTGCTCTCAATGTCTTTGTACTCCTCGATGGGCCAAGTTGCTGGCATATTGGTCATGCCAATCTCTTGGCCTTGGTATAGGAATAACGTGCCTGTCAGCGTTGCCTGCCACAAGGCGATCATCTTCGCCGAGTTCTCCCAGTGCTCGGGCTTGTCTGAGCCGAAGCGGGAGACTGCTCGTCCATTATCATGGTTTTCACAGAACACCGTGGTCCAGCCGTCCGTTCCCTCAATGAATTTCTGCCACCTTTCAACGAGTGTCTTCATTTCGCTCAGTTTCCAAGGCTTGAACACATATTTGCTGCCGAATCCATCACCAGTGCCCAAGCGAATCATGTCAAACTGAAAGATCATGTTGAGTTCTCTCTCGGATGCCTTGACATAGTCCAACACTCTTTCTGGATCTGGAGTATTTGAAAGTTCCCCCACTGTCACCACATCATAATGGTCAAGCACCTGGCTGTTCATCTCTTTCAAAAACTCATGTATCCGTGGTCCATTGCACCACATATCAGGTGCAGGTTGCCATTCGCTCTTGGGATCCGTGATCGTAGCGTCGACGAAGTCTGTCCTTTTGCTGTACTTGTTCACTGTGTCCACTCGAAATCCATCAACGCCTCGATCCAGCCAGAATCGCATGGTATTGTCGTAGATCGCTTGGCGGCAAGACTCACTATCCCAATTCAAGTCTGGTTGATCAGATGCATAGAGGTGCAGGTAGTATTCCTGAGTCAATTCATCCCATGTCCACGTCCCTCCGGCGAAGTAACTTCTCCAATTTGTGGGCGGTTTTCTGTTGCCATTCGCATCGTACCGAGCTGGCTTCCAGATATACCAATCCCGCTTTGGATTGTCTCGCGAGGATCTTGACTCCTTGAACCACTCGTGCTCCTTAGAGGTGTGATTGACAACAAGGTCCAAGATCAATTTCATCCCTCTTGAATGGCACGCCTCGACCAGGTTGTCGACATCTTGAACAGTCCCGTATCTAGCGTACACTTTCTGATAATCGGAGATATCATAGCCCATGTCAGCCTGGGGACTTTCAAACATTGGTGACAGCCAGACGACATCAACGCCTAGATCGTGTAGATAGTCGATTTTGGAGACCAGGCCAGGGATATCGCCCCAGCCATCGTCGTTGGAGTCTTTGAAACTTGCCGGATAGACTTGGTATATCGTCGCTTCTTTCCACCACGGGTGGGATACTCTCGATATCATCTTGTCTACAAGCACGATGAGGGAGGGGATTGAGATTACTGTGAATGGCACTTATGTGTCGCACTTTTCTGGAGACATACCTGCAGCCAGCATACCAAGACATCGGATGAATCCAGATTCGTTTAAAAGCAACCGTTGCTGGTTGGGGTCTACGCACATCATTACTGGAACCGTCATGCACTGGATTCGCGCCGAGTGAGATGATCACTACGAGTACCTTGGGCGCAGGACCGCGATTGCTCCGAATCTACTCCGTATGATATGGCTGGCTACGAATTGTCTCCGAATAGACTCCGACTTACATCCATCTTGGCAGAAATAGGATCGACCTAACGGCTCGTTTGCAACTGTCTTAACGAGAAATGTAGCCAATGGCGCAGTTCAAAGAATTCACCGCCTGCGTCAGAGGCTTATTGTGAGGAAATACTCTGCAAAATCATCCTGATCTTAAATCGAGAAAGCGTTGATTATTCCGAGCTTGTTGTCACCCCACAGCATGCAATCCTTGAATGCCCGTACTCCAGACTCCACGTGGAGTGTGACTATGGTGGTTCACCCGGCTCACGCTTGTCTTTTCCAGTCGCTTACAGCCATGATGGCCGTCGATAAATACTGGTAGGTCACCCACGGAACAGGACTTTCCTCCAGATCTTCTCGCATTGCATTTTTCCACAAGTCCATTGTTGTATCTAGATAGTTCTCACAAGCAGATCTCATCGACATGGCGGCACCAAATGCAAGCAACAGCGCGTCTGTGTTGAACGAGAAAACAGTGGATCAACGAGAGTTCAATGGAGCCACAGCATCACACACAGAAGGCATTGGTCTTGTCGAGGAAGCTAAACATGCCTCTCAATCGGAACAACAGATGAGTTTGAGAAAAGCCATCAAACTATATCCCCAGGCAATAGGATGGTCGGTTCTTCTGTCCTCCACTTTAATCATGGAAGGTACGTTGCAATGAACTCTCCAAACAATGTTAATAGCGGCTGACCGTATGTCCGATGAACAGGTTATGACCTTGCTTTGCTTGGAGGCCTCTACGCGTCTCCACAGTTCAACAAGAAGTATGGCGCGTTCAACGAAGTGACAGGCAAATGGGCGATTTCTGCAGCATGGCAATCTGGTCTGTCGAATGGTGCTCGAGCCGGGGAGATCTTCGGATTGCTCTTTGCAGGCTGGGCTTCAGATAAATATGGTTACAAAGTAACGACGATTGGATCTCTTATCTTGATGATATGCTTCATCTTCGTCTTGTTTTTTGCGCCGAACCTGAAAGTTCTGGTCGTTGGAGAGATTTTGTGCGGTAAGCCAGAGCATATTCACCCATCCGACGATGACACTTACATCCTTAGGTATCCCGTGGGGCGCGTTTCAAAGCGTGACGCCCGCTTATGCATCCGAAGTAGCTCCAACTGTCCTCCGACCATATTTGACAACCTTCATCAACCTTTGCTGGGTCATTGGACAATTCTTTGCCCAGGCGGTGAATCGAGGGTCCGTACAACGACCCGATCAATGGGCATATCGAATTCCATTCGCTGTCCAGTGGGTGTGGCCACTTCCCATTCTCGCCGGGCTGATCTTCGCTCCTGAAAGCCCCTGGTGGCATGTTCGTCATGGAAATCGTGCGGCAGCTAAGCAGTCGCTGCTGAGATTGACTTCCAGAAACCAGCCTAATTTCAATCCAGACGAGACTGTTGCTCTCATTGAGCATACTAACGAACTTGAGAGATCTATGCAGGAGGGTGTATCGTACCGTGATTGTTTTAAAGGCATTGACTTAAGAAGAACTGAAGTTGTGGTCGGTATTTGGCTTGTCCAAACTCTTGGTGGACAGAATCTGATGGGATACTTCTCATACTTCCTGTGAGTGATGCATTCTTCCTTTCAGGCTGGTACCAGAACTAACAAGTTCCTCAGAGTACAAGCTGGACTCGATCCCGTCAACTCCTTCTCCCTCTCCATGGCAAACTCAGGTCTTGGGGCCGTGGGCACGATAGGCTCCTGGTTCTTGATTAGTCGAGTCGGTCGGCGCACAATCCACTTCAGTGGACTTTGCTGCCAACTAACGATTCTGATTATTGTCGGATGCCTATCCTTCGCACCAGCAAGTACCGGCAAGTGGGCAATCGGTGGAATGCTAATTCTCTTCACCTTTGTCTACGATTTCACTGTTGGTCCAGTGACATACTCATTGGTCTCCGAGCTGTCCTCAACGCGACTAAAAGCGAAGACAATTGTGTTGGCGAGGGCGGCTTACAATGCCAGCAACATCTTCGTCAACGTCATGACGAATTATCAACTGAGTTCGGCCGCATGGAATTGGAGCAGTCGCGCAGCATTCTTCTGGGCTGGCACCTGCTTGATCTCTGCTATCTGGGTGTACTTCCGTCTTCCTGAGCCCAAGGGACGCACATACGCTGAACTTGATCTCCTATTTGAGCAACGTGTTCCTGCTCGCAAGTTCGCTTCGACGAGAATTGACCCCTATGCTGAGACGTCAGCCAAATCCCATAAACATTCTGTCGGAACGGACGATGGTGAGGTAGTTGACGAGAAATTGTGAGCGAGGACAGACTGGCATTCAGATAGCTTAATCAGAAGACTCGCGAATATCTGCCGAGTATTTTGGCATTATATTTCCTGGACCATTTCTGATTTGTTCGTCTGGGATGGCCACACTAGGATTTGGGGCTAGACCAGTCTAACATTTGAATGCCTTCGTAACGTACGTTAACCTCACCTTTCGTAGACTCACCCCAGAACCTAGACTATTGGATTACAATATGATCTTATACCGACATAATCTTGCTAGCCGATGAGTCCTTGACTAAACCTGCTCAATGAGTCGCATTACAGTCACCAAAGCATGCGACGCATGCAGACGCCGCAAAGTCAGGTGCAACTGGGGCCAGCCATGTTCAGCCTGTAAACAAGCCGACCTGCAGTGCACATTCCTGCTGGCTCGCCAGAAGAAAGGACGAAAGGGCGATTCTGCAAATGTCATCTCAGAGCTCCGTAACATCCAATCTGAACCCATTCGTTATGCTGCGCCGTCAAGCCCGGAGCCCGGGCACAGTCTGCACTACACTTCGCCCTCACTGTCAGTTGAAGCGCAAACGAGCCCCCGAGGCCTCGACTCTCAGCTCAACAGAACGTTCTTTCTACGCAATACTGGCCTTCTACCCGAGAAGATTGTCGAGTTATGTACCGAGCTGTATTTCTCACAGATGCGGTCGACTGTGCCGATTCTGACGCGCTCATTCGTGAAGCACGCTACTCTGTCGGCCGCTGGTGGGGGTGAACTGGGAGAAGAGGCATACTGCCTGTTGTGCTCATTCTGTGCCTTTGTTATCCTTCAAACGGGCAGCATTACTTCGCAGCAATTGACACAGATCGACATCCAGCATGCACCGATTCCGTTTGGACAGCTACTTCTCCGAGAAGCCCTGTCGGCTCGAAGCCAGTTGGATATTCTGGCAACACCAACTCTTCGTACAGTCATGCTTACTTTCTTCATCTATGGTTGCCACTCGGCATTGGGGAAGCATCGACTGGCATGGTTCTTCCTACGGGAGGCAACAACATTATATACTTCTGCAACAATGGACTCAAATGATGGTCTGACAGACGAAGCCTTGAATCGGTTATACTGGCTGCTCCTCATATCTGAGAGGTGAGAAGGGCCTTCCTCAAGTTCTGGGAACTGCTAAATAGTATCTAGGTCGCATGCAATTCGTCGCCGCCGCCCAATAACGCTCCAGATTACCCCACAGGTCCCATCACTGGAGCAGACGGTGAGCAACGACGCAGAACTTACTGGTTTTCGTTACCTGGCAGAGCTGTTTCGTCCCATTGATGATACCTTTATTGCCCTCTGGAATAGGGCTAGCAGCAACGCAACCAAGGGTAGCTTGGTTGAGCTTGAAAAGAGTCTTCGATCGACGGTGCCGTCGGCACTCGACCTGGTGGAAACTCAGCTGGCAAACATCCGAGTATCGCAACAATGGCTTAGAGTCATTGTCTGGCAATTATGCACGATGTTGGGATTCCTCTCTAGCGATACTGCCGATGAAAGCCTGACCTTCCGGTACCCGTTACGCATTGCCCACGATCTGGCAATATCAACATGGAAGCTACCTCTTCATAGTATGCAAATGCATGGCATCGGACTAACGGAGAAGGTCTTTGACATCGCCTTCACACTTGTCGACGTGATAGCATACATACCTAGTGGCGAAGCCAAGGTGAGCGGATTTGAGATTGGGCCAGAAGATAACTTGAAGCATTTCCTTTCATTGATATCACAGCTTCCTGGTGGCGAGAGGAAGTACTTGCCTTTGTTGATGACCAAGGTTGAGCAAACTCTGCCTGACATGACGGCACCACTTGCCAGACATCTACGATTGCCTGTGGACAAGAGTTTTGCGCCGACTGGAGATACCTAGTTATGAAACAATGTGAGGAGCGTCCTCTAGCTTACCTCCGGTACTGGTCCAACCTAAGGACGGTGACGTGCCTACGGGACTTAGGAAGCGACCCTCCACGCTCCACGGGCGAGCTTTCCTCGGTAAGACTCCTGGATTTGGTTAGGTATCGAGCGGCAAATTGGCAATTGGAGAAGCATGGGCTTCAAGTTCGAGGGGTTGCATTTCACCACCGAGGCTCTTACTACAAATGTGCACCGCGCCGGCCTCACCAAAAATCTGCTCAATTTATTGCATGGCACATCCAATAGTTCTTTTCTTCACTACACTTTTGGAAGAGGGCGCGTTGCTTCCGATGTCTTTGTTTCGAATACCTCCCTGATGTGTTGCGCTCGATATGGCTACAGTACTGCCTCGACAGTCAAAGAAGAGGCCTCTTCCAAGAGCGAAACAGGCTTGTGCAAGATGTCGCAGACAGAAAGTAATCGCCCTACAGTCCCTCACCTGCGCCTCTACCCTGGACTGACGATGAAATAGTTGAGAGTGCGTTCTTCTCTCATTTCTAGAGAACATCGGCCTAAAGAATCTGCCTCATAGTGCGACAACGCCCGACCTTGTGCTCTCTGCGATCGCGCAGGTGTAGAATGCAGAGAACAGGAGACTACCGTCCGGTCAGTATTAAGAGCCCATATTTTCTATAGTTGTTCTCTAGACTAGGGCTGAGAGTGTCAGAACTCAACGAGATCCCATTGCGTGGGCTTCCCCACGCCCTTCGGAGAGTCTGTTGGATTCCTCTCCAGGGCAGACACAACCACGACCTTCCCCTCGGATGGCCCATGGCTCCACATACCATGCATCGAGCCGCACTAGAGAATCAGTGTCGGAAATGGATATTGAAGAGCAGGGAGGTGCATCGCCCGAGATATATCGGGATAGGACATCTACCTACGAGGTCTTAGACCAGGTATGCAGATGATCAGTTCTAGCACGTTACAAACCTATACTGAATTAAGACGACAGCTATTCCGAGAGCGTAATTCATCCGCAACACTCCATCATACCACGGCTGCAATACCAGGAGGGAGCCCCGAGGCGAGGACATCTGATGCTCGGGAACTCTATGTTTCTGTCACAGACCTCATCGGAGAAGAGTTGCCAGCTCCAGATATTGTAAACTACAGCCTGCAGAAGTATTTGAATGCTGTGCACTGGTTTATGGTTCTGTTTCACGAACCTACCTTTCGGATCGAATTGCAACAGATCATGTCGACTGGTTGTGTTCAAAAAGATCGGGCCGCCTTCTTGTATTTGGCCGTACTCGTAATTGGAGTCGGTGCAAGGTATGCTGCAGATTCAGTTGATGCCCCTATGAGCTACCAGAGCTGCGGTTTCGACGGTCTGGGATTGAGGTTGATCCGGCTTGTCGAAACCAAGCTCTTGGACATCTTCGATGAGTCTGGCATTGAGGCTGTTCAAATCGCGATAGTCATGTCGTCGTATTACCTTTACCAAGGACTTCCGAAACGAAGCTTTGCCCTGCTGGGGAGTGGTCTGAAGGTAGCACTGTCAATCGGCCTTCACAGAGAAAGCAGCTGGACTATGTCAAATCCTGTCATCAGAGAGGTCTGGCGACGACTCTGGTGGGCTCTATACACAGCAGAAGTGTGCGTTGTTATATGCTGTACTCTGTTCCATCACTGACCACTCGCACAGATTCGGCGCCATCAGCTATGGAACACCTTGTTTGATGCAGGACAATGGATGGGACGTTGCTCTCCCTGGAAATATCGAGGACATGTCTCTCACCTGTCCTGGATTTGACTCTCAAGAGACCTATGGGGGCACTACTGTCGGGCCTGTAAATGTGTTTTCTTACCACCGCTACAAATTCCAGCTGTATCGCCTGGCATCTGCGATCACCAAAAATATCTACTTACGGAGTGGAGTAACGTTGAAAGACGTTGTGGCGGAAGTCAAACGTATCAACCAGAGACTGCTTGAATGGGAGAAATGTATTCCTCCAGAACTGCGGCCAGAATCTCTAAAATCACTCGCTTCCAGAGAGCAATATCGAGGGACACTGAAAATCTTTCAATTGCAGGCTCTCGTTCTACAACTATCCTATGACAATGTTCAGATGGTTTTGCATCGCCCTCTACTGACCATGAATCAAGTACAGAGATGGCCCCGGTTTGTCAATGACGCTCGGGAAACCCCTGGCGAGCCCCTCAGAGACTCGACAGATGAGGTCAACGATATGATAAAGTCCAGCAAGTGCCAGTGCTGGATCTCGTCACTAAGAACGTCAACTATTGGAGACTATCCGGAATACCTCATGGCTTCAAGGAGCACTTACGGTGCGGCATATGCGGCCATCCAGTCCTTTACCTCTGGTGTCGTTCTGGGGATCTTCGCATTATCAGATCCTCTATCAGATCAAGCCCATCAGGGTAAACGTGCCTTGAGCAAAATCATCAAACTTCCGAAGCTTTACAAATACCGAACGAAAGTATCTGACCAATGTGGCCAAATCTTGGAAGAACTCCTCCGTTTGATCCTTTCGGAAGAGATGAAGTCACTGCTTGTCGATGCAAGAGACTCAGATGATAGCGCACAAAGCCCGGCCCTGATGTCGAACATCAGTCTTGCTGCTGATACTGGGCCCTCTACATCTCAGAACGATCATCCAGGTGCTATACCTGATTCGTCCAGAAACAACGGAGTTCACGATAAAGATCCGTGTGCAGCTAGCCTCAACCCTTCAGGTGAAGATCAACCACTTTTGTCAAATCAAGGCCCAGACTTGAACATCGACAGCGATCTCTTCGCACTTCAGTCTGTACTACCATCAGACATCCATGATGGAAATTTCAGTGATGCACTTCTGTCATTGCAAGATGGTGAGAACTCCTGAAGCCCAATTTTCGTACTCTGCTAAACTAGTGATAGTGTTTCGAGACAGCAGAGGTGCGGCTCAGTCAACCGTTCCATATAGTTCCAGAACGCAGCTGTCCGGGGGAACAACACCCACAATCACCAATGCACTATTGCCGGCCTCGCAACTACAAGGTCCTCCGTTCCCTCGAGCAGCAATCCCATTCGATGGCACTTCACAGGCATGGATCTGGGATGATCTTCTTTGGCTTCCTGAAGCGTCATGAGCCCGGAGCAAGGTTATATGTTCACATTTCTTCGATTCAACGCCCTTTGAGGAATTTTGTGCTACTGGATCTATCGACATTCTGAGTGGCAGTTCTACCAACCCTGGAACACGGAAAGGAAATAACAGTTGCAACTGCACCTGGCTAGAGTCGGCTAGAGTCTTGTATTGATTCTACTTTGGCTGTGATGACCATTCTCTGAAATTTCAAGTATAAGGAGTCTTTTCTCCTGTTTCCCAGCACACCAGTTGCTCAAATAGCTCGGCGTCCGAAAAGCTATCGATGCTGGAGTCTTGATTACTAGTCACTGCTTTTGTACTTGGGAGCGAGTCCATCGAAGTGGTAGGACCTAGAAGGCTGTAGTCCCAATCTACCAGAGATTTGCTCTCCTGTTCACCCTCCAAGGTCCACGCTCTTACGGCTGATCCACATGTGGAAGGCGAGCTTGCTGTTGGAGATGACTGATGTCCAGATTGTGCCGAGCTCCCAACATTCCAACTCCTCGAATTTGGACCCGTTTTAAGACGTTGCGCAGCTGCGTTTATCATCGAAACAGTCGTGTCTGCAAGGCTGTACACTTCTCCCAGCTGGAGGAGCATATTCCAACATAGATAAAACCTCTGAAAACTGTGATGCCTGATCTGTGGTACATCGGATGTGCTGTAAAGGAGGTGAGTGACTATGGCTGGCTCCAAGGCAGCAGTGGCTGTTTCGGGGAGGTACAACAAGAGATCCTCAGTGTACAGAGCACCGAAACTTGCAGTGATCCCCTGTGCTGCCTGGAAAACGACTTTGACTGCAGTGCGACGAATATGCTTCTCTTTCTCGTTTTGGTTGGACAGAGAGAGCAGAGGTCGATACAGTGTCATAAGCGTCATGGAGTAGTAGGCCGCTAGGAGGGAGTTATGCACCTGGATTATTCTGCCCCTAGATATCGATGCACGTGTTGAGTATTTAGATTGTTGAACACCCTCTGGTAGAGTGCGACACCAAGTCTGGAGTTCCTGTGCAGAGCTACTGATATCAACCCAATTGACCCCCGATGTCCTTGGAACCAATGAAATGGTTTTATTGGAGAGTGTCTGAGCTCCAGATATCCTCTGAACCGAATATTGGATCGATAGAATTTTGTCGATATAGTTCGAGAGTTGTGCTAGAGCCATACAGCAGTTCATGACGGTATTTAATGTCTCCAAGTTCAGCTCATTGCTTCCCAGGTTGCTTTGTGTTGCCTCAAGGAGAGACTCGATCTCGAAGTCTTCCAGCTGAATCATGGAAACCTCGGAACAGGCAGTCTGGACCTGTACTGGTCTCCTGAGAGCAACAGCAAGCAATCGATCTCGCATCACCAACGACCACCATGTTCTTTTGAGAACTTTCTGCCGGCTGTTCGTCTTGGGCCCGGTCATTGGATCGAGATAAAGTCCCATTCCGTTCGCGTGCGTTGTGGCTATTCCGATCCAATAGTAACTGTCTCGGATCTGGTCCCCATCGCCGTCCCAAAAACTCATCAATATCGTGGATTGAACAATTGAGAGGTGATCAGACTCTATATCAAAATCATGCAAAGCCTTACACCGTTCATATAGCATCCTTCGAGTGTCCTTCCGATCTTTCACGCCAATGTTCAAATCGCAGTATGGTGATGCCGCGAGCATCATAGACTGGAATACAAGCAGGCTCACCGGTCTAGCCGCCGTGTCACCGGAAACAGCCTTGATAATGTTTGAAAGGTCCAACATTGGCGTAAAAGGATGAACCCACATCGTGTACGCCTGTAGAAGTCTGTCTCTCAATTCCAGATCTGGAATCGTAAAGCAACCTCGTCGTTGTAGATACCTCAGATCATCTGCAGGCAAGTGATCGGGTAAAGCTGTAATATATGGCGGTAGCACCGGTATCGACTGCTGCTGGTCACTGCAAAGAGTTTGTGCTGGTGATGGATATGCCGTGATGACCTGTTCGAGTAGGTCGTTCTCGTCGACAAGAAAATCATTTACCTCAACATCTTCAAGCGAGCCCAGTTGACTCGAAGGGAAGAAGTCAGCAGTGCTGAATTCAAAGACATCGAATCTTGGATTTTCGACTACCGGCTCCTTTTCTTTCGAGGCAGCCGTGATACTCGAGGTATGAGCTGATGGTGACTGTATATCTCCAAAATCGATGATAGCATCGCATATGGGCCCCTTGGAACCAGAAGCGCTGCTGATCAACGAGGGTGAGAGAATTCGATCTCCCACATGTCGTCGTTTACTGATCGGGACCGTACACGTCTTGTTGTCCAGTCTACAATTGGTGCATGAAGCTCCTGTTCTCGTCACGTCGCACCGGACTTTGCGCGTCCTACATGACTCGCATGCCTTGGGAGCTCGTTTGTTGACTCCAGCCCTTGTAACCGATTCCGATACCCGGAAACCCATCTTCTAATAGACTCGGCAGAATACAGCTCTCCCTGTGAGCTGAGACGACAGACGTGCAATGCAACAGTTGAATTCGAGCAAGGAAGCATTTGACGAACAGGGCGCCCCAGGTATTATGATCGGGAAATTAACTTTCTGCTTGGACTTAGACAAGATGGTAGTTCTATGGAACTTAAAACAAAGTCGAAATCATTTCTTAGTCTTAGCACACATCTACAAAGAGCCCGTGTTTGTCATGGGCAAGCCACCATGCTCACCAGCGTGACTGCATTGGCATTCCGGTGGAAGTTCTTCCGGCTGCTTTCCGGTAATATGCTAATCCCCTTGATCTGAACAAGACTAGCCGCTGCCTGAAGTTTGATAGTCTGTCTTTCTCCATTACAAGTCTTGTAGCTCGTACGCACCGGCAAAAAGAGGCTTAGAGGTCTAGAATTCTGCAGCCATGAAAGATCTCATAAGTGTGATTTGTCGAGCACTGTCTCAAGACAATCGAGCTCAGAAATTAGTGCCTGCGCCAAAGCAGTCTTTCTTCAAGAAGAACGGATAATTGGACGATGACCAAAACTACTCCACGCGGGCCAGAGAGTTTCAAGCGGGGTAGATAGATCGAGCTTCATCAATCTGTCTTTAGTATGGACGAAGGCTTGAAACTAGCGCCCGCCAAATGTCTTGGATTGGATAGCCTTGCTTCCGAGAATGTCTTCCGATCTTGGCGCTCAGCCTTGCTTCCGACTTCCGTCTTTGTTTACGACATCAACTTCCGAAAAGTTACGGTCTGGATTCGTGGTCCAATCTGCTTGACAGATGGAAGGTTGCACACCTGAGCATCTATAGGAGTCCAGACACTCGTGACAAGAGTATCACGTTACTTCCGGCTAGGGAACTGACGGCTGTAACGTATGGTCCACCAGCGCCGTCCAGGTCCCAACGGGAAAAATCTACTCTTGCTTTTCCAGTCTGAAAATTGATCCGATGATTTCCCCACCTTTCGTGTCGCCGATTCATCACGAGATGTGACTACACCCCGTGGGGATATGAAGATGCACCCTGGACATTCTCTGAAAGTAGTTGAGCACATCCCGTTTGCGCACGGCTTATGGCCGCATTGGGCTGAAGAAGCAGCCTGATGTCCAAAGGTCGGAATGTGTTGAGGAATGAGGATGGCAAGTCACAAGAGACCGTGTTTATAAAAGGTCTTTACCTTTTTATGCAAATCGATACTTGCCATTTATCCAAATCTGATTCTGCTGCTGCGCGAGAATTGCATATCGACACGACTTGGCAGACATGCTCTCCAGATATATCCCCAATGCTTTTAATTTAGCTGTGGTCATCTTCGTGGCCCTGGGTTCGACTGCTTGCAGTTATGGCCTGGCTGTCATCGGGTAAGCCGCAATCCAGTAGGAGTTGGCAAACCACAGCATGAAACTTAAGCATATGAAGTGGCCATGGCCGCTCCTTTGCTTAATGGCAGCGGCTAACTCTACACTCCAGATCCACAGCAGGACAACCGAGCTTTTATAAGTCCATGGGTTTGGCTGCATTCGGGGAAGATGGTTATTCAGGAACTGCACAATGGCTAGGCGCCTTCAATGGTGTGTGGCATCTCCTCCATTTATCCTCACCGTCGTGCAACAGTGACTTACCAGGCTATTCAGGGCTTAACTCGGCAGGAGCTGCTCTCGGAGCAATCCACAATGCCTGGTCTGCCGACAGGTTCTCTCGAAAGCATACCATGCAGATCGGGGCCATCATACTCATCATTGGCGCTGCTCTCTGTGCGGGAAGTGTGGGTAAGACGATGTTTCTCATTGCCAGGTTTGTATCTGGGTGGGGTATTGGCATTTTGATCAGTGTTATACCTATGTGAGTGCATATGGTGCTTAAGAAGAGTAGTCTGTGTCTTATTAATTTGCCTACAGGTATCAATCCGAAGTGTCCACGCCTGAAACAAGAGGGTTCATGGTTTCGATGCACGGTATGAAGTTCCACTCCGTCCTTCCAAAACAAAATATCTACTGACAAATGCCTAGGGATTATGTTCGCAGTTGGATACGCTTTGAGTGCCTGGGTAGGATTCGGAGTCTGGTTCATCTCTGCCTCTGGGTCTACATCCACATTCCCCTGGCGCTTCCCACTGGCTTTGCAAATCCTTCCAGCCCTTATACTACTTATTGGCTCACCCTGGCTACCATACTCGCCTCGTTGGTTGATGCAACAAGACCGAATCGAAGAAGCAAAGGCCGTACTGTTGAAACTACACACGAGATCTGGACAAGAGTCGGAAGACCATACAATGCAAGCCAACATCGAGTTCGAACAGCTTCGGGCGCAAACCGCCTTGGACCAGGAGATGGCTAATCGCCGCTCACGCTGGGAATTGATCAAAACTCCAGGCAATCGTAAGCGAGTCATGATTGCTACGATTCTCATGTGGGGCGATATGTTCATGGGTCCCATCTTTGTTGCGAATTACGGGGTGATTCTCTTCACGCAGCTGGGCTTGAAAGGCTATGTTCCGTTGATGTGTCTATCATTCCTCGTCACTGCAACATTCCCCGGTAATGTCATCACAGCTTTATACGTCGACAGGTTTGGCCGTCGCATCTTCTTGTTGATTGGATGTGTCGGAATCACGATGTGCCTCATGTTTGAAACTCTGCTTCAAGCACTTTACCTTCAGGGCGACAATATTGCTGGTCAACGTGCGGCAGTCTTCTTCATCTTCCTTGTAAGTACCACATGCCTGCCAGGAGTGTTGATTTGCTGCTAGAGTGCCACTGACCATTACTTGCACTTCAGTACGCCATCTTTTGGTCAACGTTCATGGATGCTACGCAGTATCTATATCTGTCGGAAATATTCCCAACTCATATTCGTGGACAAGGTGTGGCTGTAGGCATGTTTCACTATTTCGTTGCGACGGTCATCATACTCGTTGTGGGTCCCATTGCTCTGGACAAAATTGGTTGGAAATTCCTGTTCGTCTTCCTCATTCCCACCGCCTGCTACACCGTCGCAGTCTACTTGTAAGTGAACGGTCTTACCCAAGCACACACATTGCAGACTAATCGATCTTCTTTAGCCTCTTTCCCGAGACTTGCCAGCGATCACTGGAAGATATAAATGCACAGTTTGGTGAAGTAGTTGCTCTCCCCTATTATCACGACGAAAACGCCGATGGAGACAATGAGGGCAAAAAACCACAAACTACAGAGATCGAAATGATAGGACGTAAAGGTGAAGAAGCTGTCAAGTCCGTCCCTTAAGACGATAGCAACTAGAATTGACTCTTGTGGTGGATATGGTTGATTACCGAGGTGGCTTGAGCGTGGCATGTGGGAAACACTGGAGACCTGGTGGTATCATGGCACTACTGACGTTATTTACCGCTTCGAAAGGAAGCCGGCGACAGCAGGGTGCTCCAGGAGGTGTGATTGAAAGAAGGTTCTTGTCATAATTATAGCGGGGATTGCAAAAGCTGTGATAGCATTTTGAAAAATACACGCCAACAGAGGATCATGCAGTGTTGTATGTCAGCCCATGTCCAAATTTGAAAAGAGGATTCTCTGTGTCAAACGGAACGTCCTCTCGACTGTTACGGACAGCCTCCATGGAACGTGGCAGATCGAATGGAAGTTTCCCTTCCGGTTGAGTGTCTCCGAATAAAACATCTAAGCATGCGTATTCACTACTGCCATAGTTGGCAATGAGAGCAGATGCGTTGGCCGCCAGTTGCGTTAAGACACCAGGTCGGTCGAGATACACATCAACCACGACAATTGGGACAGTCTTGAAGATACCTTCTAGACGTTGTAGCTCGTCCCTAGGATACTCCAAACTTCCTGCGTGAAAATGTGCCTCGAAACCACCAGGTCGTGGTTCATAAGGACACCGCAAGCGGAGGATCGCAAGATCGGCTTCCTCCGGCTTCTCAACCAAGTTTAGGCCACGCTTCTGGGCCGCCCCCGGTTTCAAGCCCTCAGCATAAATCTTCTTATCTTGCGAATCACTTTGTGAGAGTGGAAGAGTGTTAGATTTGTTGGTCAGAAGCGTCATGGACTTGCGCTGCGCAATTTCTCCTTCATGCACGAAGTCTGCCCTCCCAACGACGTCTCCTGCCGTATCGACATCCACAAAGGGATTGTCGAAAAGACCGAGTGCGAATTTCTCTCGCAGCAGTCGACTCACAGATTCATCAAGCCTTGCTTCAGATACAGCTCCGGTTTCGACGGCCTGAACCACCAGCTCTGGGCGGGTTTCCCCTCCAAATTGGTCACATCCAGCGTCAAGGATTTTGGTCACCCGTTCAATTTCACTGAGACTTTCACATCCCCAAGCACGTGCAGGCATCGACTGACCTAATATTGTGGCGTCAGAGACCAATCCCCAATCTGAGCAAATCACTCCATTGAAACCCAATTCCTTTCTGAGTATCCCCGTGATTATCTGCTTGTTGAAGGCGAATCCGACCTCTTCATACTGCGTTCCGACAGGCATGCCGTAATAAGGCATGATCTGACTTGCTCCGGCTGCAATGGCCCTTTTGAAAGGCTGAAGATGGTACTCAAAGTTGTTGCCAGGATAGACTTGCTCTCTGCCGTAATCAAAATGAGGATCTTCGCCATTCATTTGAGGTCCTCCACCAGGGAAATGCTTGACCATAGTTGCGACACTTTGGTGGTCAATGTGTTTGTTCAATCCCTGGAATCCTCTTATATAGGCCTCGACGTAATCTCCAGCTAAATCCGCATCTTCACCAAATGTGGCAGTGATACGTGCCCGTCGGTACTCAGTTGCTAGATCGACTTGAGGATGAAGAGCAACACGTAAACCAAGTGCCAAATACTCCTGTCTGGCACATTCTGCGAATCTTTGCACCAACGCAGGATTCCTTAACGCAGCAAGTCCAAGAGGTTCTGGCCACTGGCTCAGGCAGCCAGCGTTGAAAGCCGTGCCGACGTTTTGAACGAAGTGATTTCGTGGATCTGACGAGAGTGAGACTGGAATCCCTAGACGGGTATTGTCTAGGACGTGCTGTTGGAGTAGGTTGTGCCACTTGGCTACCAACTTTGGATCGCGAATGGGGCCGATGAGATTGAAGTGTGACATGAGTTTCTCCTCTAGGAGAACTGTGGTCGCAAGTAGACCGAAAGCTGGGGTTGCAGGAGCCAGACCACCCTCCGGCCCTACGCTAATCATGTTATGAAATAACTGACCAGCTTTTTCTGCAAGCGTCATGCGAGAAATAAGGTCGGACACACGCTCATTAATGGTCCTTCTCGCATCGCGATAAGGCACTGCCTGATTATTTTTCTTCTCCATAGTATCACGACAGCTTCGTTGCCGCCGACGAATTTAGAGAGGTTGTCGTTTTCCTGCGCTATGTCGTGATATCAAGGTTACTAGTTTGTCCATGTTCAATTGCACCTTGGGACGGGGTGCCTTGAAGTTTAATGATTAGCACCTGCATCTTCTCCGCATTTCGACGACAATGGAGAAAGTGCAACCGACGATAATCATTCATACTTAGTAGTTGGGATTGTTGAAATTCCTTTCAAGTCCAATGGTTTTCGAGCAACGTTGACCCGACCGTTGTCACAGAGGCCGGAGTTCATGGTTTTCTAGACAGCCAAAGGCATTCAATCCCCCATACTTCACTTGTGCGACATTCGGAGGGATGACACGTTACTAGTTAACACCCTGAATTGTGTGCATTACTCTACCTCAACCTCTAAAGGAGCGAGCTTCGATATAATTGTGCTGGTCGCTTTCAGTCTGGAGGTAGTTTTGTGTAGTCCTTAACAAATCTGCCAGCCTTTAACGAGCCCAGAACCAGACCTCTTATCTCGAAGAGGCTGAAACACGTAAGCCAATTAGGTGCTTAGTTAGGCTCGAAGGAAAGCGCTTCGTAGCCAGCCGCAAAGAGTTTCGGATAGGGGGAGATTGCATCAATGCACTTTGGGTAAGTGGAAGAGAAGGGCTTAGGGCGGAGGGGCGGCCTTCCGGGGCATGATGATGCCGACCGTTGCCGTGAATTGCATAAAATTCAGCCAACACTCCATACTGATATAAGAACTCGGAAAATGGAGATTCTATCCGGAAGGGGTACTTCGATTAGAAGACAATACCAGTTCTGGCTCAAGGTGACCTTGGTTTCTTGTTTCGTCTGCTCCTACCTACACGGGACAGCGTCTCCCAAGGCTGAATGATACGCGATGCGGCTGTGATCGGATCACTTTCTCGTCCGAGTCTTACCTTACCTCATTCCACTTCGTGTCAGCCTTCCTCGGTTGGTCAAAATCAGGTATCTTGATCATCAGTCAGCGCCCTAATGCCGCTGAAGCCGATAAGATTATGACCAGGTAATCAATCAGATAACTGACCATATCGTCCACCCGGTGCACGATGATCTAGTAAGGTAAGAGGTGTTGAGTTTACAAATCATTAAGTGGCCTGAATTCTCCCGCGCTGTGCGGCTCAATCAAGCTTTGCCCGAACACCAGATGGGCGCGTGACTCAACGCTCCCCTCTTCTCGGTTTCAAACAAAGTCCGGCTTTTGTGAATCTTTTATGAATGGACCAAGGGTGAGATTGACCCTGTCTACAGATTGTGATAGGTTACTGACTTGCAGATGTCGACCCAAGTACGCCGTGACCGAAGCCATCACTTGTGACATGAAAACCCAGGCGTGGAGCCTGACTAGTGCAAATCGCTCAGCCTGATGCCAAAACCCGTAATATCCGCCGATATTCACGGCGTCTATGGGTCGAGATGTTCTATGTGCCCTCATTCGCTAGTGTCGTCTTGTGGACCAATATCGTTGTTCTGCGCTGGGCCGTCTTCATCGCACGATACCATCATGTACAGCCTTAAGCGACGAGCAAGGCTGACTAGAGGCCCGAGGGTTCCGATCATACTGGGAATGCTGTCTTCATCTCGAGAGGTTCGCTCTTTGGTTTCAATATCTCTTCGACATCCATTCAAATTACCATACTCAAACATATTACCATGAGGCTATCGCGATTATTGATATCTCTCTCCGTGTCCTGGGCTGGTGCATTCTCATTCAATGCCTATGACCTTGGACTCTATGGCCTCTATCCTCGTCGGCATTTTCAATCTGTCAATCTGGAAGCACCAGCCCTGAAGACAACAAAATGGGATTCTCGATGTGACTCGGGGAATATTTTCCTCACTCCAAGAGGTCCCTGGGTGACAGGTCATGCCAGGGGTCCGATCATTCTTGATGCACGTGGTGAACTGATATGGATGGACAACAACGACTTTGAGCAAGCGATGAATTTGAATGTGCAGAGCTATAAGGGAGAAGAGTACTTGACTTTCTGGACGAAGAGCAAAAAGAATAAACATAAGAAGCATTCTAAGAAATCATATGTTATGGTAAGGATAGCATCAATCTTGCACCACCGTCATGAATTCAGCACTAAAGTTTTAGCTTAATTCTTCCTACGAGGTAGTCCACAGAATAACGCCCCATGGCAAAGGGCTCAAGGGGGACTCTCATGAGTTTCGCATCACCCCACAAGGCACAGCACTCATAACTATCTATCATAAACACCAGACAGATTGCACCAAACTCGGCGTAGGGGAGAGTTGCTGGATCCAGGATGGGCTGTTTCAAGAAATCGACATCGAGACTGGAAAACTCCTTTTCGAGTGGCGAGCAACAGACCACATAAGCATGCACGATGTGTTCAGCAAGCCTTGCCGCAAGGATGGATATGGAACATCAAAGCAAGATGCATTTGATTTCTTTCATATCAATAGCGTGGATAAGATCGAGTCTGGAGACTATGTCATTTCCGCCCGTTACATGCACGCCGTGGTCTGCATCAGTGGAAAAACAGGCGAGATCTTGTGGCAGCTGGGTGGCAAGAACAACAACTTCAGAGACTTGAACACTGCACTCGATTTCGCGTGGCAACACCATGTGACATGGCAGGGGAATAACACGATATCCATCTTCGACAACCACGCCAACAGTGTTGTCCACAGTCCATCGAGCTACAGCAAGGGCATGGTAATTCAGCTCGACTTGGAAGATATGACTGCTAGTCTTGTGCAGAAATACATCCATCCAGACAAGATCCTCAACGTCTCGCAGGGCTCTGTGCAGATATTACCAGAAAGCGGCAATGTACTTGTGGGCTTCGGTAACTCACCCACTTACGTCGAGTACTCGGCTCAGGGTGACGTCTTATGCAACACCCATTTCGCACCCCACATCGCGTTTGAGATCATTGACTTTGGTTTGGCAAAGTCGTACCGTGTGTTCAAGCATCCATGGATTGGGAGACCAAACACAACGCCGGATGTGAAAATCAAGCATGGGAAAGCGTACGTTAGCTGGAATGGAGCCACTGAGGTCACGGGCTGGAGGCTTGAGACTGCGAGAGGACTACTACAAGAAAATGATGATGGCTTCGTGACGGCCAAGGAGTTGAGTCGTGATGGCTTTGAGACAAGCTTTGCACTTGAGAAAGCGCACGGCTATGTTCGACTAGTCGCGCTGGATGCTAACAACAAGCCAATAACATATTCACAAATCATCAAAGTGCCTCCACCTTCATCGGTAAGTCTCAGTGTCCGAAGTATTCGTCTCAGGTCGCTAACTACGTCTAGAAACTACTGTCGTCCATAGTGTTCTTGTGCTTGGTGGTGAGTTTGACTGGAGCCCTAGCCTTCTTGTTGCCAACTTGGAAGACAATCCGAGTCCCCCGTCGCATGCCACGGCTATCACAACTCAGGAGCCGCTGGTACACTGCCACGAGGAAGAACAGGGAGTTCGATGCCGAATCAGAACCATTGCTACTGGATGTTAGGGATCCTTGAGAAATCTATCCGGCTCTGCACAAAATTACCAATGGAAGTCTTGCGCTCCTGGTACGCCCTATGTAGAGTTTGGTCTGGAGAGCTGGCATTTCCTTGAACACCGAGTAATCGGCATTATTCGTAAGGCATCATGCTGATCTGCACAAGGCAAGATGCGGGACAGCCAGACTCGAGACACCCACTGTGCAGGATATCCAGGATTACTAGAGCTCAGTACGCCCGAAGCAGATCAGTGTTGCCCGAGGCTGACAAAAGGCTTTGATCGGGAAATATCATACCTACCTCTGCTCCGGGATGTCGGAGGCTCGGTATCCACAAAGGTGCGCCGCAAGCTGACTTAGATCACTCTCCGAGTGTATTTGATATGTAAGATTAGTCTCCAATAGAAATATTCCCGCATCCGAGTCCATGGATAGTCATGATCTTGGCAGATGTGCAGGAAGCGTCCTTGACTCACAATGAGGCTCTGTGTTGGACATTTTTAGTTAAACTCATAGTCACAGGTCCCACTCAAGTGGAATTCACGCCTTTCCTTTTTTAGGTCTCTGCATGGTCAGAAACGTGGCATAAAATCAACAGCGCTCGGTGCCGGATAAGCCATAACCGAGCGGGAGATATGAACAAAAGAGGGAATGCATTGTCAGCTTGCAAGGATGATATAAAATCAGCGCAGTTGATGAAGCGAAGCCTTACGGGGCAGATTCACAAGCTGGCAATGGGTACCTCGGTTCTGTCGAGAGGGAATGAAGGTTCCACCTGCTTGTACCGCCCGCTAATCCGAGGGGGATTATCAATCTCGATTCATCACCAAGTTCAATTCAAGCAGATCAGGTAATGGTCTAGTTTGACTTCCCGTTTTCATGCAGTACTCAGGGATCCATGTAAAGAGGTGAGCGTCAGTAAATCTTGCTGTCCGCGGATATTGAATATCAAAGGTTTGAAACATTGTCAGCATATTTGATTCTGGCATAACCGCGTCCGATGGTAATCTGCGAGGCTAAGCACATTTTGGACGTTCTGGCTCCAGAGTGCGGGCACTATGAAAGTCTCTTCCCCATGACTACGGTTCAATTTGGACGTCCTTCACTTTCGCCCAATACCTTGGTCGAGAAGACCACTCCGTTCGCCGTTACAAGCGTGATTCTCCTCCCTTGAACGCAAGGATACTCTGTGCGAAAGCATATATTGTATGGGTGACGGTGACGCAGTTGGGTGGTCAATCGGTACAAAGCCTCGTAGTATTTCCACTGGCACTGCACCTTGTTTAACAGCACCGGCATCGTCCCCAGCCAGAACAAACCCAGAACTCAGCACTGCGGATTTTGCACCCTTTAAGCTCTCCCAGAACCAAACATAATCATGTATCCCACAGCTAGAGTTTGTTAGACGTCCATCTGGTCGATCTACTCTCAATTGCTCATCTTTTGCATCAGCATTGACACGTTGAGCTAAAAATTATTTTTTCAACATCTGATTGCGCCCCAGTTCTTAAAGTTGGCGTGGAATTCCTGTAAATGAGATTTGTTACTAAGGCCAAGAAGTCGTCGCAAGTCGCACAAAGCCGGCCCTCATAACGATCTAGTTTCCGCCCGAGGAAACTCAATAAGCTCTATGGACGTACGAGGTACCTACGTCCGACTTCGTAGATCTGAATCGGACCCCATCGCGGAGGATTCTCCAGATCTGAGGTATGCATATTCCGGCATATGCCGCATTTACGGGGAGGATTCATCGGACAGTGACTGCTTATCGACGAGATCGTCTATGTTGTTGGAAGAAACAGGCTCTTCGTTCGTTGGAGTCTATGATCCAAGATCGAGCAGCAGTGGGCGAGTGGATGAAGAAGACCTCCGGACGGAGAACCTACCTTCGTTGCTTGCCGTGTCACCATCTAAACAGGTTGATATTGGCACACAAATATCGAAAAGCGAACCGTCGCTCAATGATACAAATAGTGCCTACGAGGCAGCAACGTCCGTTCGCAGTCTGGCTGACCCAGCCACTGATGCCATTGTGCATGGCCAGCAAGCCAGCCATCAGCCCAAGCTCACATTAAAAGATCAAACGCAGATGTTGATCTGCCAAAAATCTATCCTGCGCGACATCTGCGCGGTATCTGCGGAGGACGTGATAGTCACTGTACCCCAGGCGGCGAGCGTGGAAGACGCATTCGCCTGTTTGACACCCGTAAGGCAACAGACCTCTCTAAAACCAGCGTCAGCTACCCGCAGCTTCAAGGCAGTCCCCAGCCTGAAAGTCCACTAGAAGCCCTGGAATCCAACACCCACTTGGCCTTGACGGTTGGAACTGCGGAGTTAGAGTCGTCCTCTACACCACCCGTAACCTCCTACGCGGAAGCGGAGCCGGAATTGACCTCGGCGGGACTTCACTCCATGTCGGAAGAAAAGCCGAAACTGACATTGGGGGTACTTGAGCTCATGTCTACCCAGCCAGTGTTAGAAACAACAATTGCTTTCCCTGGTCCCGCGGACACCATCTCACCCCTGAGTGATATCTCGCCCTCGAGTGAATGGCACGAAAATCAACATGCGACTCCCACTATTGTCGTGGCAGAGCAAAAACAATACAATGTGCCTCAGAAAGAGCCGGGAAGATATGTCCATACAGTGTCAGCTACAGACAAAGTGTATGAATCATATGAATCGTATTGGAAAAAAGCTGAAGGGTCACTTGTGGCTGCCACATCACTGAAGAGTAGTTTGACCGCTGGAACAAACAACGAAGACTCCTTCCCCAATGCGCAAGTAACATCGTCCTTGATGACATTATCTCCTGAAGGAAGAAATCATATATCTCAGGATGTATCGGTGGACTGTAACCCGGACAAGCCGATCTTTGGATCATACCCGAGACGATGGAGCAATAAAAATGCTGTTCTAACGTCCTCGAGATGGTGGAACATTCCCAAATCAATTGAAGTGAGCCCCGATATACCGTGTCAGAGAACGCCGGATGTGAAGAGGGGGTTGATTTGCATTGGAGATTCCCTAAGTGGAAAGACCAGTCTTTTACTGTAAGTCGCGGCCTCATTAGAGAAGCGAGTCACCGACGCCACTGACACATCAAATCTTCACAGTCGGCAAGCGAAAGGATATTATCCATTTGTAGGTTTCATGCATTCAGGGATGCTGCCCACCTTCATGTCAAGCCTTCTACTTACCAGAGCAGTTAAGTTCCGGAAGTACCACGCTCTGCTTAGGCTGTTGTACCTACGCTCGAGTCTCGCACGAATGGATTGAGCTCGAGCTCATGGACACGCCAGGAGAGGAAACCTTGAACCCGCGCCGCCAGGAATTTTATGCGGGCTCGCACGTGGTTTTGATATGCTTTTCTCTTGTCGAATCCGACATAATCGACAACATCCAGGAAAGAGTAAGCGAAGATTTGGAGATCGAAATCTTCCTAGCTAACACGGATGTGATATAGTGGGTAGACGAATTATCGCAATTTGGACAATTGCTACCTACTATCATGGTAGGCTGTCAATTAGATCTCCGCAACGATCCCGACACAATCGAAGGGCTCCTACACACGAACCAACATCCTATTACATCAGCAGAGGTATGTCCACCCTTTACTTCGCCTGAAGTCGATCAGGCCAGTAGCCTCACAAAAATTCGCTGTAGGGTAATGAGATTGAAGATTGGTGCCATCAAATACCTAGATTGTTCTGCAAAGACCGGAGAAGGGGTTCAAGAGCTTTTCAACTACGCAGCACAAGTTTCCCTTCTCGCAGAGGGCGAAAGGCCTAAATCTAGACTTCTGCGCAAGTTCTTTCAAAAACCCCCTTCACCAGATCTACGCAAGTCTCCGTCGTTCTCTGGTCAAAAACGAGGCAGGCCCTCGACGTAGGAGTTGTACCATACCACACTGAGGATGAGCCGATGATTTGATTCACTCGGAACATAGTCTGGACTAGGTACTCACACTGAAACCCCTTCATTCGGCATATCATTAATGGAATTCAGGGGACCACTTCAACCACATTTCTCTGCCACATGGGTACAGCTGCAAACTACTGCCTCGTGATAGTGCAGAGACACAAACTGCCACCCCACGGGCTTGCGGAGCAGCACGCCAGTTATACCGCCCCATCAATGCATGACATGGCACGTAATCGACACACGCCTCAAATCCGTGTGTCTACGTAGCTGGCGAGAGCCTTGTGTACTCGCTAAGACGAGGATCTCTCCTTGGACCGATTTTCGAAAAGATTCACTCCCAAACATGTGCAGGTTGAAAATCACTTCATGATTGAACCAGAACGGTTCCGGCTTCAAGGTTTGACGCCCCGCGACAAACCTCCCCACACTGCCCCCTCGACCCACACCCGGGTGGCATTTACAACTGCCGACTGTTCGGAAATCAAGGGTTGACGCGAGAGATATGTTAATTGTAGATATTCATTGCATTACTATTTCCTAATATCTGTGAGGTGCAGGAGAGCATGGAACTTCACCTGCAGCAACAATAATCTAACGCGACCAGACTTCACCCCTCTGCGCCCGCGACAATGGCGAGCATCAGCTCACATAAAGTTGCCGTACTCGTGGTATGTGTCATGCTGGGTGTCGTATCGCGCAATATGAGCCACGTTTTGACATAGTGCAGAGAGGAGAAAACGGATCATATGACTTCGAGCTCGCGAACAGGGAAGTACCAGCACTCCAACCAACCGATTTGCTTGTGAAGCTCTCGGTCTCTGGAATCTGCGGTTCTGACTTTCTCCTTGCCTCGGGAAATGCTGGACCAACTCGAGACATACTCGGCCATGAGGGCGTTGGTCGAGTCGTCGAAATAGGATCTGAAGTTCCGCCTTCTCTGGCTGGAATAGGAGCCAGGGTAGGTATTGCATGGGTGAGGGACATATGCGAGAACTGTGCGTTCTGCAGAATGCCTGGCGGTCAGGGTGAAGGCCATTGCTTGGAAATGCTATGCTCGGGTTTGAAAAGAGATGGCACGTTCGCGGAATATGCGATTGTGCCCTCTAGGTTTATCGTGCGAATTCCTGAAGGTGTGCCTGACCACTTGGTTGCACCCATTCTTTGTGGTGGGGTCACGGCCTATAAGGCTCTCAAAGTCAGTGGGGTTTCCTCAGGACAGTGGGTTGTGATATCAGGGGCTGGTGGAGGATTGGGGTCCTTGGGCATTCAATATGCCAAAGCCATGGGATGCCGTGTCATCGCCGTCGATGTTGGAGAATCCAAGAGGGAGTATTGCCTTCAGACAGGCGCAGAGGCATTCTTTGATGGACTAGAATTTGATAAGAGTGCAATACTGGAACTGACTGGTGGTGGAGGAGCGGCAGTAATAGTGACAGCAAGTTCAATCTCGGCATATCAGGCCGCTCTGGACTTGGTGGCTCCAAATGGATCGTACGTCTGTGTGGGCATCCCGCCACCAGGGAAACAAGTTGGCTTTGATCCCATCACATTGATTAGCAAGAATATCAAACTCATCGGTTCGGCGGTGGGGACGAGACAGGATATCTGGGATGCGATTGAGTTTGTTGCACGAGGAGAGGTCAAGCCAAAGGTGGAAATGGCACGTCTAGAGGACCTTTCGCAGATTTCAAAGAATTTCGCGCAGGCAAGTATCCAGAATGCAGATGTTGGTACTCTTGACAAACACTGACTTTGAGAGTAGACTCTTGGAAAACACGTCATCCGATTTTGTGAGGAGTCTCCAGCTTGATTAGAATTGGAGGGAAGAATCCTCGTGTTGCAATGAACCACACGCATCACATTCACATGCTCACGGAGTAGTAATTGAAGTTGGCAGTCTCGATCTTCGATTGATGGCTCGCCGTGCTGCATGTACAAGGATCATAACTGGCCGTTCGGAAATCCCGGTCCGGATTCTGTGACTCGATTGGACTGAAGGGCCTCTTCCCCGCAAAGCAGGCCGTTGTCAATCGACTTACCACATCCTTGTCATTCAACAACAATCGTTGCAACCATTGGGGAAAACTTCGCAGTACGAGCTCGAAGCTTCTGCACCAAGCGTAGTGGAGGAATGAGCTGTATCTTATATCAGATGACAAATAAAACCCCTCTTGCCAAAGGATAATCTAGACTTCGTCTTGCCCAGAACCTTCAGCTGTAGAATTGACCAAACTCTTGCTCCCTATGCAACTCTGTAAGCTTCTCAAACACAAAATCATTTAACCAAGACAAAGGATTGCATAGCCAGAAGCACAACACAATGGCAGCACGACCGCTCCTGGTTGGGCTTGCATCCGCACGGATTGCCATATTGAACACCGGGCTTCGCGGCACTGTGCCTCAACGGACCTTCCGGCCATCAATAATTCGAAGGGCACCTACCGTAGCGACCTCAACGCCCTCAACAAGCAACACAATCATCACCCCACCACCAACGTCTTCCCTTCCACCTGAGGAAGTAGCATATGAAACCAAGCACGCCGCATTTCTCGGTGAGGCAGACAGTAACGACGGACACGAGGCATTCAGGGACGCCTACGGAGCGCCATTACCGGCGCTGGATGCTCAGAACTCGGCATTCCTGGGCGAGGCAGACTCGGACGACGCATTTGAAGCACAGAAAGCAGCAGATGGTGATAAACATGAACCACTCGATGCTTCCCAATCCGCATATCTGGGCGAAGCAGATAGTGATGATGGATTCGAAGCGGACGTCGAGGTGTACCCTGAGGAACATCGACACAGGATTGAAGATACCAGTGGGAGTGGATTGCATGGGCAGAGTGGTGAGCAGGATGGTAGAATTGAGTGAGTTGTGCACACTGGGAAATCCATTGATACTGTTCGTGGGTCAGTGAAACACGGTTCTGGTTGGATTTGACCTGAAAATTGAAGAGAGCTATCAGCCTTTTGATATATCTGTAATTTTTCACCCGAGTAATGTGAAACATCCGAGTCACTATTATCAGCTTGTGCCTCGAGGACCGAGGATAAAGGAACGCCAGGACTAGCACCCGATGCCGTCAATTGGAAGCCATATACGAGGAACAGAGGTTGAACTCTTTACCGGAGCACACGAGCCCCAGCTACTCCTTCTCGAAGCTATCATAGTCCTCCTTGGACATCAGGCCCTCCAGCTCTTTGGCATCCGTGATTTCAATCTTGGCGAGCCAGCCATCTGTTTCGGGCCCTTTGTTGATTGTAGCCGGCTTCTCTTCCAGTACGCTGTTGTGCTCAATGATCTTGCCCGAGACAGGTGTGAGGATGTCGGACGCCGACTTGACCGACTCGACTGCGCCGATGACATCTCCTTTGCTAACCTCAAGATCGATCTCGGGCAGCTCGACGTAGACCACGTCGCCGAGAGCCTTTGCGGCATACTCGGTGATTCCCATCGTACCTGGGGTGGACACGGTCAGTCTGTGACTGGAGAGTGAAGGAGCATATGATATCGTGAATAGAGGAGGACAGTACCGGTGACACCATCAGTATCCATCTCAATCCACTCGTGGTCTTCAGTGTATTTCTTAACATATACTATAAGTCCCAACATCAGCTTGGGGATCCGACCGTGGGCTGCAGGTCTACCGACAACTTGACCGGGCAGAAAATGATCTGCGCGCACCGCCGATGTAGCGACACGTTTGTGATCTAAGAGGAAGGGATGAAGTCGTAAGTCGTTGACTGGCAAGTCGAGAGACTAAGGGCAGCAGCCGGCTCAATGCTGAGTTGTTCATGGTGAAGATACACTGGGATGTAGAGCTGTCTTCTGCGACTCAAAATCAAAGGAGGAGAAACCCAAAAGAATGTGAGCGCTCTGGCAGTCACTGGCGGGTAAGTGCGCCCTTCAACTTTGATGTTCAAGGTCAAGTTCAACTGGCAGTGCTCTGCATTGGCGGCGACATATCCGCCGCTCTGTTCGGCGGAGAGGCTGCGGACTTAGTCTTGTGTTGCACCGTATCTTTCTAAGTCGTGGCTATGTATTGTACTCCACCGTACTTTTAGAATCTCGAATTGAAGCTGGCGATTCTGCCATCACCATGGACAGACTTCCCTTTCGCTCAACACCACCAACACATCCCGACCATGCTTTACGAGCTGATAGTAGTCGCCCGGCCGGGCAACGTCAGCGCCGTCAAAGAGTACATACTCCCCCATTCCGACTCCTGTCCACTCATCAAAGCCACATCTCCATCTCCCTTTCATCCCGTCTCAAATCTCAAGAACTAACCTCCTGCTCCCAGAATCGCGCGAATAGCGGGCTCCCAAATCCTCAACAACCGGGGCGTGATCCGAGGCCTGAAGAACTGGGGGCAATTCGACCTTCCCCGACCGACAGTCAAACACCAAGCCCACCACCGACAAGGTCACTACTTTGTGATGCAATTCGACTCGTCGATCCGGGTGCAAGAGGAAGTCAAGCGCACGTTGAGTCTCGATCCACGCCTGATACGATATTCGGTCGTCAAGATCGGCGATAAACTCGGCGGCGTCAATGGTGCCATCGAGGATGTGACGGGCCAGATTCCTTGGAATGAGAAGGGTGAAAGCTTCGATTATTTTAACAACATCCTGGGCAACCAAAGTCTCACGGCGCCACATACTCCCCCTGCAAAGGCAACGTGAAACCGAATAAAGACAAAGCAAAGGAGGAGGAGCAAGGGACTTGATCATAATATCTACATGTCGAAAAGAACGCCCGCTATAACAGGAGTGGTATCATCAAAACAAGCTCCATCGACCACCTTTGTCCTTGCCCGGAGAGGAGACGCCCACACCCGCGCCCGCCGCCTGCTGAGACTTAGTTCTTCCTTCCAACTGACGCAGACTCTCAATCTTGGACAAGACCAACTCCAACATCTCCTTGCGCTTGATCACATCCAAATGGCGACGAACCTTTGGATCTTCACGGGCGAAGCGTTCAATCTCGGCCGCATCCAGCTGGCGACCGAGCCGGATATCCAGCTCGCGAGGGAAATTGTAGTAGAACTCTGAGAGAAGCTCGACGTTTAGGAAGAGCACAGCCGTGGATGTGAGCTTGTCTGCCACCACATCGAGGAATACTTCGGGGCAGTAGTATTTGTTCTTGACATTGGCGCACTGCTTCGACTTGACCGCTAGCAGTCGCATCTTGATCATCTCGGCGCGATCTCGGAGGAAAACCGCTTCTCGGCCTGTAAGATATTAGTTTCACAACCAGACATGTTATAGATTGTACAACACTTAAACATACCTGTTTCTAGCAGTGCCGACGAGAAGCCCCCTGCACCTCCTCTCCCATTACCCTCAAGTATCACATCTCCTTTGCGGACCCGATCGATGAAGCCCGTGACGTCTCGTAGTTTTCGCGAGCCGACCGAGGCTTCGAGTTGTTTTTGCGCAGCTTCACAAGCTTTGAGCTCACCTTTCAAGACGGTCGCGACGTTCTCACGACCTTTTGCCCACTCGTTGTTTTCCACCTCAATTTCAAACTTGAAAGGCTTGATGCAGTTCTCCACTTGGTCGCTTGTGCTGTAGAAGCGATCATTCAAGATACTCGAAGAGGCATCCACAATCGCCCGTTGTGCGTATGGATGAGAGGCAAAAGTAGACGTGGCAATCAACTTGTCAACCTGACTTTGCAGCTCAGAGGCCACCACGGTAGTCGCAAGTCGGCCAATCCCCAATTTCGTCAGCTCCCCAGTCGATGCATCCAATTTACGCTGCCAGTAAAGCGAATTCGGGTCTGACTTGGGTAGATCTGACAAGGGATCGGCCTCGTAAGGTAGTTCCGACATCTCCTCCAGTGGCTTGTTCCAATATCGCTTGGCCAATAGATCCATAACTTTTTGGTCCAGTACTTCTTTCAACAACGCTCGAACTTGAGGTCTACCGAAATGTTCACTGAACTCTTTGAATGAATGCTTGAAGCTATCAAGACTCTCGGCCAAGTAGGATTCCGCGCTCAGGGGTCGGTCATTATATTGTACTTTGAATTCATATGTTGCTTCTTCCAATTCTTGGACAATTGCTTCTCGTGTGCCAGCGAGACTTGATGCCATGGTTTGCTCCAGCACGTGCATCAATTTGTGTCTCAGGGTCGTTGTCCCGACAGCTAATTCTGATTGGGCCCCGAATTGTACTGGGTGGGCTGAGAAGTATGCGTTTTCGTTCTTGACAATGGCGTTGGTTATATTTTGACCCGACCGAGAGAACAGACCCGCCGTCTGGGGTATCTTGCAGACCACTCCCACATAGCCTAATCGCAGTGGGTATTTCCGATCGGACAAGATCTCGACACCACGGTTGGCATCCACCAAATCCATCTTGGTAATGACTCCAATGGTTCTCTCACCCCTTGGGTCCACTCGACGGCTTGCTCTTAGGGCAGTGGAGTTGGCCAAATCGACGTCGGCAGCGGAAATGGCGAGGATAACATTGGGAGGTTGGATATATTTGTCGCACAGGTCGGCAATTTTCTGTTTGAGTTCGACAGGTTGGTCTTTGCCAGAAACCTGAATATAACCCGGAAGGTCGATCATCGACAAGTCCGGGACATTTGGGGAGTAGATTGAGAGTTGTATAGGATCGTCAGTGACACACTGTTCCGCCGGCACAGCCAGATTGAGGTCGGTCAGCGTTCTCTGAATTTGGGAGAAGTCGGTAATCTTGCCTAGACCAAGGGCCGGGAATTCTCCATACTCGGCCTTTGCATCGGGAGTGTTGACCAGAGTCAATTCTATCGGCCGCCGAGTGACCATGTTTGAACCTTTGGGTAAGAACTCATGACCGACAATGGCCTCGAGCACTGAGCTTTTGCCAGACGACTGAGATCCAATGACCACGATGGATGGTAAAGTCAAGGCACCTCCTTGTCCAACGGTGTTCAAAATGCTCCGGATTTCGATCATCTTCCGCGTCAACACCATCATTTGATCGTCCCGGGCGATTCTGGCATCTTGTCGCTCGTCTTGATCTTCCGTCTCGCCCAGAACCAGAGCAGCCCCAGATGCAGCAGCAACACTGCCCACCTTTTCTTTTCGGGGTGGTTCTGGGCCAGACCCTCCTCCGCCCGAACTCTCCTCTTTCTGGAACAGTTGTTGTAGCCACTCCGGGAGATGTGCATCATCTTTAGTACGCTGCCAGCCACTGCCTATCTGGTCCGCAATACCCATGGCACCACCATATAGACTGGAAGATGTGTCTGAGACCTGATCCCCTGCTCGTTTCAAAACGTCCATAGCATAGGTGCCCGCCTGGGCTGCCTGATACTGGATGTAGGCGAGACCGGCGATCATGCTCGCACCGAACATTGCCGGAATGCGAGCCAGTTTGAGAGCGAGTCGAGGAAGAACCCTCGCAAAGGAAAAGGATCGAATGGCGGGGACATTGTGGATGGTGTTGTAGCCGGGTGGCCATCGTCGAGGCGGGACTCGTCCAGAAGGCCTCAACATGCCACCGGCAATGGACTGGGCATGATTGTGTAAAAGACGTGCGCGAGCGACGGTGCGCTGGCGCAGCAAAGGTGCGACCCTGGTGGAGAGAAGCCTACCATTCATCACCGATCAGGATCCAGCATCAAGGCCAAAGTTGATGAGTTGAGGAGAGATAGAATGGGTTGCGGTTCAAGTCTGGCATGACGGAGTGGGCAGTGGAACCTTGAAGTGGATTGACGATTCGGACGTCAACAATTGCAGTCACATGTCTTGTTAGTCAGTTCTTAGATAAGCGACGTCGGAGATCACATGATCTGAGGAGAGATCATGTGACTTTGATGACACGATCTGACTGGTGGAGCACGACATGATCCTTTTTGGTGGCGGTGAGGTCCTCCCATGGCCACTCTCAATCCCAACGGGTCCTGTCTCAGCCTTGTACCAGGTGGCCTCACTTGAGCATAAGAAGAGTCTCCTTTCCAATTATCCATTCAACTTCGAAAGCTGTAACCTCTTTGAAAATCCGTCTGGAGTTCCTGGGTCACTGGTATCTATATTGGCGTTGCTTTCTCCTTCTGGCAAATACTTCTTTTTCAAGGGCGATCTTAGGTCATCAAGGGGTCCGACCAGAATGCCAGCAGTTGTGCTCGTGACTCACAGCTTGTCTACAGATTGATATTCGTTTTCATATTCTAGCACCGTTGAACAAATCTCCAGCATCAAATGTGTCGATTTCTAGTAAGTGCCTTTTTCGTCTTTTCACAAGCTCAACAATACTGACTGAGTCAGGTCTACAAGGGCTCCAAGCCGATCATTCTTTCCAAACTCATCACAGAACCATCACACAGCATTCTCACCCAGTCATATGACAGTCGTCTACGTCTTGACAGTCGACGTCCTGTCAATGGCGATGGCTTTGGTGTAGGTTGGTATACTGAGGCCGAACTCGGTCCAGATCCATGCATCTTCACCTCAACCCTCCCGGCATGGAACTGTGTCAATTTGGAACGCATTGCCCCCAAGACGGCCTCGCATCTGGTCTTCGCTCATGTGCGAGCTACAACTGAAGGATCTCTCGCAGAGAACAACTGCCATCCTTTCCAGCACAATACTCTCATGTGGATGCACAACGGCAACATTGGGGCGTGGAAATATGTCAAACGTCCTCTCGCAGACTCATTGGGTGACAAATGGTTCCTCGAAGTCAAAGGAGGCACTGATTCAGAATGGGCATTTGCCTTGTTTCTGGACACACTGGAAAAGGAAGGTGTGGACCCGTCCTCCGAACCAGCCGATGGCTTCGAGACCAAAATCCTCCGACGTGCCATGAAGAAAACCATTGCCAAGATAAACGCCTTCGTCAAAGCCGTACCTGCCGAGCATCAGCTGCGCGATGTTGAAACTCGCAGCCTCCTCAATTTCGCAGTCACAGATGGCCACTCGGTCATTGTCACCCGCTACGTCAGCAGCAAGACCGACGCTGCAGCCAGCCTCTATTATTCCTCCGGCACCGCCTGGGTCGAAGGCAAGACCAAAGGACAGTTCAAGATGGAACGACGAGACAAGGCTTCGGACGTGGTCTTGGTCGCCAGCGAACCACTGACTTTCGAGCGTCATAATTGGCTGTCCGTCCCTACCAACACCATCGTTACCATCTGTAAGCAGACGGTGTTTGTGCGGCCCATCAAAGACGAATTTTACGTTGCCGACCCTTCGACGGAGCGGTCTACAGGATTTGCTCGTTCAAAGGGCCTGGTGTCCAAAGCACCCGGTGGTGGTGCATTGACCCCATCTTCTGCCGCTGCTACGCCCGCACAAACTCCGCTGCCGCAACCTGAGTTGGAAAGTAATGGTACAGGATATTTGGGACAGGCAGCGCCGGGGGACTTGAATCACCAGTTGTCGACTCTACATTTGCATCAAGTCGCCGTGCCGAATGGTAGTCAGCCAGTGGTGGCTTGAGCATAGCGAAGTGAGATGGTCAGATTGTATTCGGAGAAAGGGAAGCAAAAAGCCAGAGCAAGCACTGTGGGCAAATAGAAGAAATGGGAAAAACGGGAAAATTGATGGGCAAAAAAGACATCGGCCAGAAGGAACAGCAACATGGAATAGGAACGTTAGAATGATACCCGAGATATTGAGATGGGCTTTGAGCGAGGCGTTCAGCTGGGGATATGAAAAACAAGACATGAATTTGAAATACTAGTATCGCCCTCTTCTTATCTTTTAATCATCACCCTTGAAATCTGCATGTCTGAAATATTTCATCCCGACCCAAGCCACCACCACCCACACCCAGGCCATCACACAGGTTAAGACCAGCATTGCGGGATAGTAGCCAACAATCGGCAAGGTCGGATCATCTTCCAACTCTGGCGGTGCGTAGGGTGTCTCTCCGACATCCCAAGCCCAAGACCACACCCCGAAACATGAGCCCATGCCCACAACGAAGACGATCCAGGTCACAATCAAGATGACATAGCCCCAGAACGCAGTCTCAGAGTAATCCCAGACCTCTTCACCCGGGGGTGTGCCCGCAACCGAATGTGGCTGAGAGGCAAGTGGAGAGCGAGCCCGAGAGCCAAACATACGGCGTACCGGGTCTTGAATGGGAAAATATGAATCTCCAAAGGACGATGCCACGGATGGAATCTTCCGCAGAGAAGGCATTCGTGGTTGGACAAGGTCTTCATCGTCGGTAGAAGCGTCGGTCACCAGCGTGGGACTGATGATCGAGGCGGCAGAAGACGCTGGATCCAGTGAAGCAATGCTGCTGCGAATGGAAGGGATCGAGACTCTAGAGAGCGTCCTGAATGGCCATGAGGGAGGCGAATCTGGAGACGTGGGGCTCAACAGGTCTATGCTTGAGCGTGGAGTTGGTGCCTGTTCCTGGACGGGTGTTTGCACGGGCGTGGAATTGGCGCTTGATAGGGGCGATTTCTTCATCTCCGAAGCCTTTCGATCTCGACCCTTTCCCAGAACGGTTTTGCGTAAAGATCCCTTTCTCTTTCGCTTGCTCTGCAACTGAGCCTCGGCCATAGCGCCACGCCCAGTGGAGAAGGAGTCTGAGCCATCTTTGTCATTTCCACCTCCATCGCCCCTGTCCTGGTCGCTGCTATTGGTGCGCAGGAAACTCAAGCGGGAGAGGATATTGCCTGAAACCGATCTTTTGTGACTTGGATGACCGTCTCCCCGTTTCTTGGATTTGGGGGTGGCATCTTTGGGGTCCTTCTCTTGACTACTTATCTCCTCATCGATCTTGGGAAAGGGGATCGGTTTGTCCCAGGATTCAGGTGCACCATATCTTGACCCGTTCATTGGAGGTCGTACGTTTCATAGAGAGCATGGTGGACCACCAGCGAGGCCAGCGTAGTAGCAATATTTCAAATTTCAGGTTGGTCACGGTGTGCAAGAATAGAACAGAGACCACAGTGGGTAAACTGAGAGGAATTGCGGTTGAATTGATAGGGTGGACCATTGATTGCCTCTACGGGGAATCGAACGAAGATCTGCGCTGCGGCCTTCCTGAATGCCAAGAATAGCACTTGGCCTGATGGAGAAGCTTGTAAACACGACTTGGAACCTGAAGTTGCAGTCGTCCTCGGCAATCACAACCCCGCGTTGTTGTAAAGTCTCGTGAGGGACCCTACTTGTTCGAGTAGGTAGCTGAGATACAGGCATAAGCGTGGACCTACTATCTATCCGCCGTCACCCTGGCGTCACCTTGTCCACCACAATCTATCCTCAGCGTCAAGGACCTATTACAAGCTCAGCTGCAAATATCTTACGGTAGGGTCTCAGTACTGCATACACGAATCAGGCGGCTGAGTTGAAGAACAACGTTGTAGCTCCGTCCAGACTCCTGAGTCAGTATGTTCGAGGTGGACCGAAGCTTAACCAGCCTGATGACCCTCGGCAAGCTACGGGCGTAACATTCGGCATCCTTCATACTACCTATTATGTCTAGATCCTCAGTCTCTTGTGAGGTCGGGACTTAGCATCTCTCCTACATATATTAGTCAGTACAACCAGGCCGAATTCCTCATTGCGTAGACCACTGCATTCCAAGATAAGAGCACTCATCTGCGAAGCATCATGGACAAATTCCAAAGAAAGACTCTCAAGACCAAGAGGTCTTTTACTTATACTTATTATGTCTCTCCTCATGGGGATTCTAGCAAATCCATACCAACTCTATTTTTCATTCACGGCTGGCCCGACGGTGCGCACCTGTGGAAAGATGTAGTGGCCCAGTTATCCGATCTGCCTAACAGGATAATCATCCCCGACACATTGGGCTATGTAGGCACTGACAAGCCCGCCGATACTGAAGCCTACAACCAAAAAGGGCAAGCCGATGACCTGTCGGAAATTCTGATCAAAGAAGGTGCTCAGAAGAGCATCATCATCGGCCATGACTGGGGTTCCAGCATAGCTCAGCGAACCTACCTGCATCACCCAGAGCTCTTCTCGGCTGTCATACTCTTAAATGTTGCATATCTCCCACCAAATCCAGAACCATTCGATCTGGACCAAACAAATGCTTTCACTGAGAAGATATATGGCTATCCTCAGCTTGCCTACTGGGAACTCTTCGGCTCCGAGGAGGGAGCCAAGATCATAGAGAGCAACCTTGAATCGATGTGGGAGGTTCTCCATGGTGACTCCGAGGATTGGATGAAGAAGATGTTCTGTACCAAGGGTGCCATGAAGAAATATCTGACCGGTGATGAGCACGTTCCACTGAAATCGTATGCCCAAGAGCCAAGATGGAAAGATGAATTCTTGAGCCAATTTCGCCGAGATGGATTTGACGGACCACTTCGCATGTACAAAGCGGCAATTAGCAGGGCCCACCAGGAATCAGACAAGCTCATTCCCAAGGAGAGACTGGTGATTTCCGTGCCTGTCCTATTCATCGGCTGTACTGGCGACTTCGTCTGTCGTCATGACTTGATTGAGATTCCCAAAAAAGTAGGACTGTTGCCAGATTTGGAGGAACAGTCGATCGAATCCGGTCATTGGGTTCCCATGGAGCAGCCAGGCCAGGTAGCCAAGCACATCAGAAACTTCCTTACCAAACGCTTTCCATAGAACGGCTAGTAAAGAATGGAGCAACTCACGTCTTTGAAAAGGTCTGTTCAAGAAGATTACACATATGAAATGGAAATTGGGCACACGATGAAGCTCATGTCTATCGATCAATGTTTAGCAGCACCAGTTATTCCATTCTTACCCCGAATTGCGGTCATGCATTGGCCATCAAAGCTCGATCAGAATCTTTCCTACCCCTCGCGAGACACAACTCAGCATGCTGGAGCTCTTTTCTTCATTTGTCAATCCTGTTCCTCTGTGTTCTATCCTTCCGTCTTTGACAACTAATCTGCACGTTCCGCAGTTCCCAGCCTCGCATGACGATGCAATATCAAGCCCGGCGTCGCGGAGTGCATCCAACAGTGATTGCTCGCCACTAACCTCGACGGTTCTGTTGGTCTCAGACAACTGAACGGTGAATGGATCTCCAGAGGTCGAAATCTCAAATTTCTCAAAGTGCAATCGGTCCTGGCTGATCCCAACGTAGTTGGCTGATTCTGCAACGGCATCCATCAACCGCTCCGAGCCGCAACAGTAAACGTGAGCCCCAGACGCAATTCCTTTCAGAGTCTTTTCGACATCAAATACCTTCCCTTGTGACTTGTCGTAGACCGTGACATGACCATCAAGCTCGTCAAGGTAATGTCGAAGAGCAATATCCTGCGATGTTCTCACCAAATGATGAATATGGTATGGACTACCACGCTTCTGGCAGTGCCGAGCAGAGGCGATGAACGCGGTCAACCCAATCCCACCCGAGACGAAAACATGTCTTTCGGCGTTCTGTGCAAGTGGAAAACTGGACGTTATTTTACCCACAGAAAGTACATCGCCAGTTTGCAGGCGGGTGTGGATGAAACGAGAGCCTCCACGACTACTCGAACTGTGGGCGACCGCCAGTTCAAACTCATTTGTGTCACCGGAAATAACGGAATATGCCCGTACCAATTTCCCTCCCAGTCGGAGACGAACATGGGATCCTGGCTGAACGACTTCTGGATCAACGACCGGGTCTTGTGCCGTAAAGGTGAGCGACACAATCTTGGAAGTTTCTGGTGTCTTTTGGGTCAACCTATAGTCCGACCAAGCATCTAGAGTCAGTGAGTCACCTCCTCCAAGGCGTCTCTGCTGATTCTCATACTGCTTCTTCAATCTATTTGCGAAGATATCATGGATTTCCGCTCCGAGTTCCTTGATTTGGATCAGCTCTTTCATGGCATCCTCGTTCCGCATATCATGGTAAAGGTAATGCTGAACGCGAGCGACCGTCCATTGAGGATTCGGTCTTTCGAGGAGAGTCATCTTGTCACCAGTCTGAATGGTGCCCTCTTTGAGAATCCGATAGAACCAACCCGTTCGGGATAACTCCTGTGCTCTCCGAGACATATCCTTGGCTTGAAATCGATGATTCAACTTATAACACGGCTGTCGTGGAATAGTGACCTGAGCGAGCACATTGCCAATTTGAATTACATCGCCTATACAAATGTTTCTCTCGTTGGCATACCGTGCAACCAGGTTCTCCCCGAATCCACCTGGCCCGAAGAGATCCTCGCTTGCTGGAAGTTCTTTCCGCCATCGATCATAGTGCTGCAAGCAGTATTGCAGCAACACTCTATCCGGTCCGCCACCATATTCAAATGCATGCTCATCGGCTCCGATTATTAGTTTCGTGACGTTGATGGGCGCATTGTGAGTGCTTTTGTAGATAGCAGTGCGGATCTTCGGCCCAAACGCAGTCTTTATCTTCCCCGTGCGAAGTTCAACCAGTGTTTCCGATGTCCATGGCTGTTCGAGAAATCTGATCGCCTCCGTGTCGGTATCCTCGTAGATGCCCATTTATGTTTTAGTGTTCAAGAAAATGGGTAATACGAACACAATCCTACACAGAGCCAAATCGAGCGGGTTGGGAATGAATCGATACTTGAATTGTCCACGAGCAAGTAGGCAGGGTGTGACTCAAACCCATTGAAAACCCAAGGCATCAGCGACGACACAAATTTCGAGGCAATGGCAGCCTGTGGGAATGCGCCGATATCCGGTCATATTTTAGACCAACCCTGTCCTTGAGCGAATCACTCCACTGGAGGATCGCGCCTTTCGGTTGACTGACTTGTCCGATAACCATGTGTGAAGTCGTGCTTGAGGTTGACGATGTCGGGTCAACTTTAAAGGCTCCTCAGCCCCTAGATCAAGATAATCTACACCCAACAATAACAGTTTCCCCTGATAAGCCCCCTCGGCCCCAGGTCTCAGTGGAAGATAGCTTGGGCCCTGCGCGGCTTAGCCTAATCTTGCAAAATGCTTATTTTCACACCCGAGTATGCCTTGTCCTTTTATCTACCACACGTTAAAGGATGAAATACATATCTTAGATCTTCCCCGGCCAATACTTACAAGCTAAGTATATTCTCTCTTCCGGATCTATACGTTGAAGGATAAATCCCCCTCGGTGCAAATCGTCCACAAGTCTGACCCGCCGCGGGGTAGCTATTGTGATCTTCAAGGTATCCTACAAAATGGGACAATGGCCACAAGCTTCGTTTTCAAGCTTTCGAAGCAGCCCCGTCACTATCCTCGTCCGGTCGATGTTACATTTGACCTGTTCCCCCACAGACCCTCGCTGCTAACGAGGGCGACGAGTCAGTTATCAATCTCGCCTATAACGCACGACCGAATGAAAGATTTATGCAGCGTGCAAATCTTCGATGCACATGAGTAGTTAAATATTCCCCCACAACATTGCCATAACGTGTCACTATCGACATCGATCATCAAACTCGCTTGCAAATGACCATAGAATGCCAAGTTATAGATTCTACAAGGTTGAAAGTCTGTTCGGGCGGATGATCTGCCGAGCTTCTATACTGTTGCACTGCTCACAAGTGTTACCGCATCGGATCCCATCTCCAGTGAGGGGAAATGCTCAAGCTTTACCCCGAACGCATCACTCTCGACGATTTATGACTCGCACAACTCTAACGGGTCTGCTCTAATGCCACGAGACCACTGCCGTTCTCCACTGTACAACATGACAGAGGCGTGACTGAAAGTTCAAAAATCAAGGTCATTTCCCTTTCGCCGTCAAACCGTTAACACATCTCCTTGATTTCCTTCCAGATAGCTCGCACAATGAAAATAGGAACAAGATTCGTGGCGTCTTGCCTCAGCCTGGTTGTCAGTGTTCTTACTCAGGACTATTCCACCTCACCGCCAGTATACCCCAGTCCTCCAACACTCGGAACGGGATGGGAAACTGCGTTCGAACAGGCGAATACATTTGCCGCTAACCTCAGCTTGGAAGAAAAAGCACAACTCGTTACTGGCACGTCACCGGGGCCTTGTGTCGGTAACATTGGAGCAATTCCCAGACTAGGATTTGGTGGTCTTTGTCTCCAAGACGGACCATTGGCCATCAGACTTGCAACATATGCTTCTGTTTTCCCAGCTGGCCTCACCGCTGCTGCTTCATGGGACAGAGGGCTAATATTTGCGAGAGGAATGTTCATGGGTGCTGAATTCAAAGCAAAGGGAAGTCATGTTGCCCTTGGCCCTGTCGTTGGCCCTTTGGGTCGGATAGGTTATGGGGGACGCAATTGGGAAGGCTTCTCTCCAGATCCATATTTGACAGGAGTTGCAGCCGAAGAGACAATCCGAGGTATGCAACAGGCGGGTGTCCAAGCATGTTTGAAGCACTACATCGGGAATGAACAAGAGACACAAAGAAATCCGGATGTTTCAGCCAACGGCACTACTATTGAGGCTGTTTCCTCCAATATCGACGACCAGACTCTTCACGAACTCTACCTGTGGCCATTTGCAAATGGAGTCAGAGCCGGAACCGCCTCGATTATGTGTTCGTACAATCGGTTAAATGGTTCTTACGGTTGTCAGAACTCCAAGACCTTGAATGGTATCTTGAAGACAGAACTTGGCTTCCAAGGATATGTCATGTCTGATTGGGGTGCCACACATGCTGGCGTCGACGCTATCAATGCAGGTCTCGATATGGATATGCCCGGTGGGTGGTATACCCCTGGGTTGTGGTTATGTTTCACGCGGCGCTAGTAATTTGATTTGCTAATTTGTTGTTGATACAGGAAGCACCGGAGGAAGTCCAAATGCATCGTTCTTTGGTGGAAACTTGACACAAGCAGTCAACAACGCTTCCGTCTCCCAGTCGCGCATTGATGACATGGTTCTCCGCATCATGACTCCTTACTTCTTCCTCAAACAGGATGATTACCCACCCATTGACGGGCAGTCCCCTGCGCTGAACAACAATAATCCGCAGAATTATCGATATCAATTCACCCTCGGGGAGTCAGATACAGATGTTCGTGAGGATCATGCTCAGCTCATTCGTGAATTAGGAGCTGCGGGCACTGTACTTTTGAAGAACGTGAACAATACTCTGCCACTCAAGGCTCCACGATCGATAGGAGTCTTTGGAAATGATGCTGGAGACCTGGTCAACGGGGAGTACTTCTCTGGGTCGTCATTCGCAAATCAATTCGGCTACGGTGAGTTTTCCCAGTGTGGTGAAATGCAAATGTTCCTTATTGCTTACCATGATTACAGAATACGGAACACTTCCTATGGCAGGAGGCAGTGGTGCGGCCCGTTTGTCCTACCTTGTACCACCCCTTGATGCGATCAAGGCCCGTGCCTTTCAAGATGGGACCCTTGTGCAATACATCTTGAACAACACAATTCTGAGCGGTCCGGCCAAGGTTCGCAACCGAGCAGATGGACTTGGATTCATTTTGCCTGTCCCGGACGTTTGTCTCGTGTTTCTCAAGACCTGGGCATCTGAGGGAGTCGATCGATTGTCACTGGAGGCAGACTGGAACAGTACCGCAGTGGTCAACAACGTGGCCTCGTATTGCAACAACACCATTGTCATTACCCACTCAGCTGGTTTGAATGTCCTCCCATGGGCGAACAATCCCAACGTCACCGCCATCCTCGCTGCTCATTTGCCAGGACAGGAAACAGGAAACTCTCTTGTCGACATCCTCTATGGAGCAATCAATCCTAGTGGCAAACTACCTTACACCATTGCACTCAATGCTTCAGATTACAAATTTGCTCCTGTAACCAATTCTACCGAGTTGCAAGGCACAGAAGATCCAAATGCCTGGCAGTCCAATTTCACAGAGGGCCAGCTAATTGACTATCGACACTTTGACTACTACAATCAATCAGTGCTGTATGAGTTCGGCTACGGCTTGTCTTATACCACATTCAACCTATCTGATTTGCAAATCGAGAGTACAGTGTCCGGAAAACCCGTCACTGCCCGTCCTCCACTCGCAGCGACTGTGCCGGGAGGAAACCCCACACTTTGGGCAGTGCTTTACGTTGTAAACGTTACTGTCACAAACACCGGCAACACGGCTGGAGCAGCAGTACCTCAATTGTACCTTTCTCTGCCGTCAACGTCACAAAGCAATCCAACTCCTGTTAACGTTTTACGAGGGTTCGACAAGATCTTCCTCCAGCCAGGAAAGAGCACCACCGTACAATTCCCTTTGGCCCGCCGGGACCTCAGCTATTGGGATACTAACTTGCAGGATTGGGTGATTTCATCAGGTGCAATTGCGGTACACCTGGGTTTTAGCAGTCGAGACTTGAAACTGCACGACCAAGTGACAGTTCTAGTCAGCGATTAGGAATCTCGTGGACCAAGATTAGGCTAGTGATCTTTGAGGTGGATTGAGTTATAGTTCTAGTTCACTCGACTAGTTTAAGCACAATTGATAAATCCACATCGATGATTCACCGGCCTTGTCCATCTCGAAATATCACAGTTAGACGAATTGGAATAAAGTTGAGATATTCTGTCCAAATTCCAGCCTGAAGTGAATTGAATATCTTTGTCACCGACCTCGTGTCCAAGAACAATATATGGCCAGATTCGACATTGACTGTTTGTGTAGGAGTATTGTAAACATGTTTGGTTCATTTCACACGCCTGCGCACATGCCGATAAGGAGTGACTCGCGCTTCCTAGGACATCGGCGGATAGATTGTCCCAGAAATCGCGGGACGGTGTGCCTTGTAGACGAGGCTGTCGATACTCGAGAACTTCTGAATATACTAGTGGTCCCTGACGGAACGTCAGCCTGAGTGACCGTGGAAGAAGATGAAAATACCGTTTGTGCTCGTCTAGTACGCTCCCAATACCATAAAGATCTCAGAGAGTCGGCGGTCATGCGGTGAAGCGATAATAAGGGATTGCACCATCGTGGTTCACTGACACCTAACGCCTCGAGAGAGTCTCCGCTGAACATCGGGTAGAGATCTTCAACTTTAACACCAGTCTTGTCAAGGATCGCATAGCCCAACACAGCATCTCCGCAACAGTCGGCAAGCATCCACTCTTGATATTCTTCGCTCAGGAGTGTCCCATCCCCAACGAGATCTTTCATCAATCCTTGTGACAGTACCATCCCAGCACCGCCATACGCAAACCATCTACCATGAGACCCCGTGGTTGCTGACCCAAAATAATGCATGTCCTGCCCGTTGAACTGGTCGAGGAAGCGGAAGAGGTTGTCCCAAAACATGTACACGTCGGCTTCGAGAAATACATACCAGCTTGCATCGGGGCGCATCTTATAGGCTTTATTTATCATGGGTAGGAATTTGAATCGATCTAGCTTCCATCCTCCGTTAGAGAGTCTAATTGGCTCCCCTGAATCGTACGCCGTTCGCTGTTTCTGATAAGCACCGAAATCAGGATGTTGAAGGTACGGTTCAGAAAGGCCCTCTAAGACATCGATAAATTCCCGATTGTGTATTCGCTCTGAAACATCGGAAAACACAATTAGATTTCGAATGCAGGACGTAACAGAGATCAGATGGGCTTCATTTTTGTCTCGCTGTCCCACTCCCGTTTTGAGGACTACCTGAACTTTTTCGAGCCACTCCAGTGGGAAATTCGAGCAGAGGTCGGACTCGCTGCTAGATTGGATGTCACCCAGAGATGGAAATATAGGCAAAGTGGTGTCGTTGTAAGTTTCGGGGTGCTGAGGTACCGAGACTTCAAGTAGAGGTTTAAGGATTGTCTGTTGTAGTTTTCCTAGTTCGTTCCCAAAAAGCAGAAGCAGAAGCACCAGCCAAAAGGCCAATACAACAGAAAGAATGATATATCGTATCCGTCTCTGGCCAAGCAAATGTACCATAGCTTGCGGTTGAATACATGGTCTGTGGTGGGTGAACAGTCGATAGAGCCAAGAAGCAATACACTCGGGGTTGATTTAATGGTGAAGGGCAGGACCTTGTGAAGGATCGCCGCTCGATTGCCTTGCACCTGCGAAGTTCTCAATTTGTGCATAGCGAGATGGCCTTACGATCAAGCTACAAATTGGGCAGAAGCATACGTGTGATCGTGTAGGACGAGTTCGCTCATGACGTGTCCTTGCTGGGTGCACAAAATTTAAACCTGGTTAGGATAAGGCCACCCTGATTCCGAAACAATGCAATCCCCCTATGATACAGTTAAAGCTATTAATAGGTACATCAGAGTTTCTCAGCCTACTAATATCCATTAAGTAGATGCTGCTTTTGATGACTCGTACATTAGACGACGCGAAACCTTATCACTTAAGTAGGCGGGTGATCGTAACTCAACCCTTTCGCCTCCCCACCCCAGAACACAACCAGACGCTCTAAGAATAGCCTGAGTCATGGATTTACTCTCTAGCCAAAGACATATAGAGATATACTTCCATTGAACAGGTTCCAATTGTCCCGGTTGGTGGCTTGGAGGCGAGTAAACAAAGGCGAGCTTCCGATGGGAGGACAAACACGGAGTGGTATTTGGAAACAGAAAAATTCAAGTAATGATAGTACTGCATTTTCCATATCTGCTAACCCCTTGAGATCTATGTACAGCCTGTGTCATAAAAATCTCCAGGTACAAGGATGGCCGAGACGTTCCCTTCGTACCCCAATTGGACCAAAGACTTGGAGGTCGCATTGAACTCTGGCCAACCATACTCCAGAAGCCCTGCATGTGGATCTTTCACAAAAGCTAACCAAGCTTTTTGCATATATTGGCTTGTCAGCTTTTCAACTTCAGTGTTGGGACCTAGCAGGTCGGAGGTACCGAAGACGATGGGCAGCTCGCCTAAAGCAGGATATGTCAGCATCAAGAAATCAGGGGTAGTACTAGTACTTTTATGCAGGTTATAAAGGAGCGGAGGGTTGGAAAAGGAAGACCCACTAGAATGGTAGGCTCCTAGCCAGGGCAAAGGATTCAAGTTAGGGAATTCCCCAAAATAACGGTAGCGCCAGGATGGCACGTCCCATTTCGTTCTCGCCCTTAGATATTGTTAGCGGCGATGTGTTGAGAGCTACTTAATCGCAGGTCCGTCCGCTACTTACTGTGCCGCCTTTCCGGCCGGACATGTCATCGCATAGAGAGTCTGGCTTTGGATTACAGTTTCGTTAGGTCCGTTTGGGCTGTATGGGAGCAGCGTCGCAAATTCGTTATTGTTGTTCCCAACCAAAAGTGGCTACACGAATTCTTGTTAGCTGAGAATGCATGATGCGTTGTCGTTAGTCAAGGATGTCTTACAATTCTGGCGAACTTCCCGTCGCGTTGCAGCCCACTGTAATCAACGAAACTGGTCTCGTTATCGCCGGCGGGGGTGAATGACAAGCTTCGTCCACCATTCGTAGAGACATTGTACTTGTTCAGCACTGCAATGATGTCCTGAGCACTGGCTTTCTGCACGCAGGTGAAGGCCTCGTCTGCATCGGTTTGATTACAACCAACCTGCTGAGCCACATAGGTAAAGTTGCTAGTGTCCGCTGCGCTCTTCCCTATCAGTGTTGCAACGCCAGAGTCGGCTATGAAGCCCTGAACAATCGGGTCATCGGACCATGCGTATGCGTACTTGTCGACCGAGGAGCCACCCGCAGATTGACCCCATAATGTTATACGTGACGGGTCACCTCCAAAGGCAGCAATGTTTTCGTATACCCATTCTACGGCTTTCCGTTGGTCCAGCAGACCGGGATTGAGGTTGTGCTGATTTAAACTCGCAGCATTAGGATAGCCAAAGATATTCACCCGATAGCTAGGTAACATTAGTAGTTACGTCGCGCGTCATCGTCAAGACAAGTAATGGTGGATAACCTACTTGATGGAAATCACAACGACGTCTTGGTTGTCCCGAACGATATTGGCGCCGTACTTATACTGCGAGTTGGCACCGCCTCCAGTGAATCCACCCCCGGGAATGTAAATGATCACAGGTAGTGATCGGTTTGCCACAGCCCTTGGGGCCCATAGAATAAGACTTAGGCAGTCTTCGGCAGTAGTCGCGCCGGGGGCTAGCAAGAAACCAGGTAGATGTTCTGTGTACGCAGTAGGTTGGCCGTTGTTAAGTTGAATACATGATGCTCCGTATTGTGTACCATCTAGGATCGCCACCTCTGGCTTTTTAGTAACTGGTGGCATGAACCTGAGTTGATCAACAGGAGCCTCTGCATATGGAACGCGACGAAACGTGCGAACGTTAGTGGTATTCGGCTCGACGATTCCCTGAATGGTGAAATGATTCGTCTTGACAAGCAAGTCTGATTCAGCCTGTGCCGCCACCAAAGCTGTGAGCAGCCCCAATGAGGTAGCTATCGCATTTAAAATCATTTTGCAGTATGCTTGTCTTCGCTGCAAGCGGACGTGTGCATTATAAGTTATGTATTGGCTCCCGAGTCCATTTTATATCGCCGACTCCCTTCTTGCTCAGCCCATCAAGCAATTTATTAGTTCTCTACGCTCGTGACGAGCCTCTTTCCTGGGGATAAAAGCTTTCCCACCAAGCTCTAGACATGCATAGGTCTTTAACTGCTTTGGGAGAACTTTATAGGCGATCCTCCACTCCCCACTATGTACCCCTGCCAAGAGTAAAGTTTGTTAACCATGAAGAGAAGCTTCCCCGCACTGGTAAGGTAAAAAGGGCATTGGAGAATAGCTAAGAGCTCCGTTAAAGGTAGTATCGGATAAGAGTATCGGCAATAGTGTTCGACATCGTCATTTATCTTTCCACATTGTGTCATTTATGGGAGAATTTTATGCTCGCCACGGTCTTGTATTTGCCACGGTCTCGAGATTACCTAACTAAAAAGGCCTCTTTCCAGCCGTTGAGCAAATCAATCTAGTTAGTGACTTTGAGTCCGTTGGCTCATCACTGATTCATCGATCATATACATCTAAATTGTGGGCATTGATCAGAGAAATACCCTCGGCCCGCCATGTGTCGGCTTCCACGCAGCTTGTTACATTGGCGTCATACACGAAATTGACCGGATTACCCAAATCGTACGGCGGCCAAACCGGGGTACCATAAATTGCGGTCTCAGATCTCCACGAATTTGGATCTCTTGTCGCTGTGAAGCTCACGAAGTCACCACACATCAACCTCGCAAGATCTCTGTAACTTTTGGGCTTGCCCTGGAATGGAGGTAGCCGGACAGGGGCATAACCAATCCCGTCAAGACTTAGCATAGCGAATGCCACTTCGACGAAATGTGTTGCACCTTGTTCTTGGGTATATCCAGCAGGAATGGCGTTGAACCGATATGAGTACGCTGGTAACCCAGCAGTAGCCCATGTCTCAGTCGTCAGTCGCCGACCGGCGATGAATGTCGAATCGCCAAAGTATGTTGCTACCTGTCTGTAGTGCGCACCAAAAGGAGGACCAGGCCGATACTCGGGAGGTAGGTTCTGGAGGACATTGGAACTTGAATTATCGGGATATACTCGCAAAAGCTGCTCAGCGAAATTTGGTGGAATACGCGATGCTGCTCAAAGTTAGTGAATATAGCCCACTAGAAAATGTGGCAAGCTTTTACCGATCAGAGCATCTTTGAAATCGTCGGTTGTGTTGATTTGCCGAGGCGAGAACGACGTCCCTTCATCTGAGTTGGTACCGATGATTATGGGGACATGAACGAATCTGTTCTCAGAAAGTTGTATAGATGAATGAGTGTAGATCAAGTCGTTGTCAATCCGAGGACCGAATGCACCTGACAAGCCGGTTGTATTGATGACAGAGTTGAGCTGCTCAAAGGGAAGGCTGCGTAGGCACGGAAGGGTATCGGCAGAAGCAGCGCATCCAGTCTGTTGTGTGATATTGTTGTATTGTGGCTGTAGAGATCGGCTTTGTGCAGAAGAAAAAAGAGGACCACCGCTGTCCATAATGGCTGCCCGGAATAGCCCATCATCCCTGCCATTATACGCCGTGAGATGTAAACCCACGGACATGGCTCCAGCACTTTGACCCCAAATTGTCACCTGGGAACTGTCGCCTGTGCGGGTTCAAATGAGTACCTCTGACGCTTACAGCTTAATGTGCCGCTTACCTCCGAAAGCCGCAATATTCTCTTGGATCCAATGAAGTGCGAGGCGTTGATCACGTATACCAAAATTGGAGTTGCCACTCTGAATTGTTTCATCCGATGAAAGGAATCCCCATGCACTGAGACGATAGTTGAGGGATACTGCAATTATTGGATAGCCAATTTGAACTGAATGCTCGACGAGAAAAGATAGGTTGTAACGCAAATCTGGTGCTCCGCCTTGAACAAATCCTCCCCCAAAAATCCATACAAGAACTGGTAGCTTTTCATGTTCGAAGTTTGAGGGACGAATAACATTCAAATACAAACAGTCCTTGATTTGTGAGCTATCAGTACTCGTACGAGCGGTGGCGCCAGGGAATCTGGGTGATCTGATCTCACCTCACTGATATTGTAGCCCATCTGAGACGGCTTCATCCAATATCAGCCTCCACAAAATCATGACTGGATCTGTTTCTACTCACCCCATAACCAACACACTCGGGAGAATAGGAGGTTGCGAGCCTATTCTCACTCCAAGTAGAGTTCAAGGACTTTGGATTTCGAAACCTTCCGTCACCAGTCGGGCTCTGAGCAAATGGTATTCCCAAGAAAAAGTCTTGATTGAATTGGGATGCATGGAGCCCTGAATATGTGCCGTTGATCACTCTTGCGGTAGGAGACGCATTGTACTCAAACCTAGAACTGGGCAAGGCAGAGGTCACTGCAAATAGAATGCTCACTATCCAGAGTTGATGACTGCCAAGCATGATGATAATGGCGAGAACGCTGGTCTCGAATCATGTCGAAGTTCCTGTATATATATCACCACTGCGAATGATTCATCGTCGTGTCGATCTAGCCAGTAGCTCTAGAATTTGGTGGAGATCACAAGTTCGCTAATTTTTGCGGATATATCTTTACCAGACAAAGTGTTACTGAGTATTGATCATCGTATGACTCCATGCCTCCAGGCTTTCAGAATGTGTCTTCTCCAACTAACAAGCCGAGGTAAACTTACAAAACTTATTGCACAAACGGTAGTGCCCAACTTCTTCATTGAGGGGATGGGCGAAATCAACCTATGAAAAAGACCCTCGCCTGCACTTTGTCATCGGTGACTCGTTTAGACTGGGAGTAGCGTTGTGTTATAGTTCCTCAGGCCCAAATCGTGACGGTGAATAACTATTTCGAGAAAGAAAAAAGTAGCGAAGATGGATAAGACATTATCCAGTTGTTCACCGCCAGAAACGTGCTGTGCACTATGGCGCAGAACTGCTTTGAGGTAGAATCGGGGATTAGGAGAATGGCCGACAATCGTGGGATGAAGAAACAATATCAAATTGCTGGAATACAGCCGTCACATCAAAAAATGTGTTACATAAAGTACGCTCGCAAGCAGAGTCAGTTCCTACAGGAGGAACCAACGTCCATGCCGCCTACCTTTGGATCAGGTCTTCGTGAGCAGTTCCTGAAACGAGAAATGCGAATCTGCTCTAACATTAAGTAACACTTGGAAATTCTTGATCAATATATGTATATACATGTCAGAATGCAATTGTTAGGCGACAAATACGAAAATGAGCTATGCGGGGCTGGAAAAACATGGGCCCTCTCGAGTTCTCTGGGCGCCCCGCATTCCTAGGCAGGCTTAAAGAACTCATGCCAAATGGTGCAACCTTCTCTTTCGCTAAGGTGGAATTGATCAGGAATTTACCGTAGCACAACCCAGTAAATGAATAAACCCTGGGAACAGAACCACAACTCGGCAAAAGAGCAGCGCCACCGAAGGGGGTCGAGCTGGATGTAAGAGAGATGGCGTTAACGGGAGATGCCCAGCTGAGACTACCAGCGGCAGAGAGGAGACTCAAATGTCCTCACTGTCCACGAATATTCAATAAAAACGACCATTTTAATCGCCATGTTCGCTCTCATACAAACGAGAAGCCCTTTGGCTGCAAAATATGTGGCAGATTCTACCCACGTCGGTATTTATTCATTCATTCTCAAGTTGAATGATAAGATCTTTGGCTAACCAATCTAGTGACACGCTTCTACGCCACTTCAAAATGCACGATGTCCGCCGTGGGTACAAGTTGCAGTCTCTGATAATTAGTCGAGAAGAAGCTGTCAATATTGAGAACCATGATTTGGAAGATGTCCCTCCCCGTGAGGAGATACTCATGGCTCGGCACATGGATTTTGAGATTGAGGGAGATTCCAACGAACCTGAGGAGCTGTATCTGCGTGGAGAACCGACAAAATCTGCACCTCCTTTGCTCCCGGAACAAAGTGGCCCGACCCAGCCAGGAACGAACGCTTTCCAGCCCGCGATAGCCTCCCCAAGTACAGAGTTCAACCCTAGGGTATCTAGAAATGCAATGACGACTCCCGGTGACCCAGCATCCGAAATTCGCAGCTTAGCAGATGTCGTTCATCCACAGATAGAAACCAGTACGACTGACTGGCTTCTGGATGAGACTTTTATGAACATATTCGATGACTGGAGGGTGGATGCTCCTTGGAGCGAGGCTGAGAACCTACCATTCCCAGAAACAACCTATGCCACACCATCCTCTACCGGAGGTATCGCTGCTCATGCGACAGTGTTAGATCTGCGGCAGATTTGGTATGTTCAGGTCGGATATAACATCGAAAATCTAGATGCCTACTGCGACAAGTCAGGGCGACGGCTGCCCACGAAATCCACATCAGAGATTGATGAATCGTTCCGCACTAGCATCACAAAAGAACTTGGTCTCTTGCCATCCACAGAACCATTACCATCAATCGACTTTATGGTAGGGATCCATGAGATCTCTTGATTTTATGTTGCTAACATTCTAGCAGAACCTTTGTATCCAACTATTTTTCACCCGCTTCAATGTTGCAATCCCGCTAATTCATGCTCCAACTTTCAGACCCAGTTTGAACCATGTCCTACTTATTCTGGCAATGTCGGCCGCAGGGGCAACAACAATGCCAGGAGCCAAAGCGAAACGGATTGGCTCGAGCATCTTCGAGCGAGCAGCGAAACTGGGTTTGAGCTATCCGTGGGAAAGGGCACTTTCAGACAATCCGCAGTTCACGCCGTGGAATATAAAAGGTTCGACGATCAGTCAGAGCATCGCGATTTTGTCAGAAGACCCTTCCCATCGAGCTAACGCAGCGGCATACCACGGTTGTCTTATTTCGGTAAGTAAGATCCTCAAAGATGGTCAGAGTCACTGACCCTCTTCTGCAGATTGCTCGGCATTTCAAAATATTCACTGAAGTTCCTGAAATTGAGTTGCCTGATACGATCTCTGATCCAGAACTAGATATTCTATGGAGAAAATGGGCCATCTTTGAGGAAATGAAGAGGTAATACAATGTTTTCTTGATGATGGCTCTCAAAACCGTTGCTAAACTCTCGATTAGAGCAGCTTTGATTATACATATTCATGATGCCGAGCTTGCGGCTCTGTTTCACCAAGAACCGGTCTTCAGGCACAGTATGAAACTTCTTTCTGCTCCAGCGCCTGACAATGTCTTCCAGGCACGGACCGCCGCAACTTGGGCAGGAAAGTATAGACTCCACCAGCAAAGTCGGTTGAGTTATCAAACCAGCGATACTCTCGACTTGAGTCCCCAATTCCAGAGCAGCCACAAAGCAATCACCCTTGAAGAACGGGTAAAACATCAGTCCACGCTCTATTCCTGGGCAAGACTCGCTGGTATTGGTGCGACTGTCTGCGAATATCGGCAAACCAACACCCTTTCTCCAATGAATGTTGCTGAGTTGGAGCTCTCCGTTCTCAGCTGGTTCTCTTTGACCGGTGAATGCTGTCTTCCTAAGCGTCCTCAAGAACAACTAGATTTGCCATTCGGCCTTCGACCACTCTGGCACCAGACTTTCATTGCACTATATACCGATCTGAACACATTGGAACATCTGACTGGTAGAGACGGAATAGCACCTTCGACGCGCGCCTTACAATACATCGAAGCATGGATCTCCTCCCGAGAATCGCAACGATGTCTGTTTCATTCGTTGTGCATACAGCAACTTGTTAGCTCTGGTAAATTAAACGCCACCGTTGCGTTCCACACGCCAAGGGTGATTTTTGCAGCTGCTCTTTGCTGGCAATGTTTTATCGTCTACTCTCAACGATTCCCAATCAAAGCCAGCATATCCGGAAGTTACGACGATATATCTGAGTACCTCATGGGATTGCCAGAAGTGGAAGCCATGCGAAACGATAGTTCTCATCCAGCACTGTATCAAAATATCGTGCAGAGGGCCATTTTCGAGCTGGTGAGGATACTCCAATCCCCACTGCCCGAAATGAAGGCGAGCACTTTGTGCGTCCTTGAGGGAGCTCTTCGTCAAATGACAACGAACGGTATCTCGAAGAGGTTCGCAGACATACTTCAAGTTTTCATACTTGGAGACACCTAGATTGGCGTGCTGACCGCAATATGCTCCAAATACTGTGTTTTGCTCTCCCTGTTCCTCCGCGTCCCACTTCCCACCTCACGCTATCACCTCATTCGTTCCCACATCCCACATCCCACTTCCCACGAGATGCCAATCGCGACCTCAGGCGGAGGGAACAACAAACGCACACGCTGATGAGTTACACAGTGTGTTCTGTACCACGCTACTGACCCCTCATACCAACGTCAATATAAATCAATGATTCTCCGACTCTTTACCTGTTCAACGCTTATCACCAAGTGCCCTTTCCAGTAGCTGAGATCTTGCATCCGCAATGCGCATCAGATCCCATATTACCAGTGAAGATGGAACAGTATGGTATTACGAGCAGGAAGGTTCCGGTCCAAATATTGTACTGATCCCAGATGGTTTGGGCGAGTGCGAGCTTTTCGATAAACCAATGTCAATCATCGCAGCCCAGGGGTACACAGTCACAACTTTCGATATGCCCGGGATGTCGAGATCGTCTAATGCGCCCTCGAGTACATATCAAGATGTCACTGCCCAGAAATTGGCAAAATCCGTTATTGGTGTTCTGGATAAGTTGAACATCAACTTTGCTTCGTTCTGGGGTTGCAGCTCTGCCGCCTCGACTGTTCTCGTCCTATGTATCGACTTTCCCGACAGAGTGCGAAATGTGCTTGCGCATGAGGCCCCGATGATTACCCATGACTTTCTCAAGGATCTGCCGGCGACCGACCCGGGTACCATTTCTTCGTCGATGGCAGCGATCACCAGGTCAATGTCTTCGAATGAGACTGCATGGGACAATCTTGGAAGTGAGGTCCACAATCGTCTAAAGGAAAATTACGTTCGGTGGGCTCACGGGTATCCCCTCAGTATTCCACAATCTTGTCCAACCGATGTCGATGTCCTGCGAGGGAAGCCAATAGACTGGACTGTTGGCGCCTCGACTCAGAATCAAATGTTCTTCGACAACATAGTTATCGCAACGAAGGCGGGCGTTCCTATCTCGACGCTTCCTGGACAACACTTCCCATATGTATCACATCCAGATATCTTCGCAAATCATGTGGTACAAACAACCCGCAAATACCTGTGACCGGCGTGCAGAGTTGTTCGTATTGGTTCAAAATTAGCCGCATTGGGGGAATTCAGAAATGGTGATGAATGACGACGTCAACATGGTATATCGCCTCAACACAGGATGTATTAATGTCACGAATCAGACTTATTGGGTTGTTCGTCAACACTGCCTCATCTTTCGGCGTACAGCCGAGAAACGAGGACTGAGATACAGAGATAGTTATCCATAGTATCTAGATATGCAACACGTTGAAGGCTTTTGGTTGCTTTAGTGAAGACTAGCTCAATTCACGTCTGCCAATATGAAAATTGTTATTCCGCAAACGCAGATGAATACCAAAGAACATGGCTTAGTGAAGTTCCAGTTGGATCAAGCGCACGCTCAAATACTTCGCTAATCAACCTGCTGGCACATAGTCTACCAAGGGCTGTGAATTCTAGCCTAGTCTGGGATCACTCGAAGGATTTCATGCTCAAGGCAACAAAAACGTCCGTTGGGGGTATGAAGCGCAATTGTTGCCAATCCCAGTCAGCCCGGCAGCTTATTACCTGACACCCAGGTGCATGCTTCTTTCCAGAAGTGTTCTAATCCTTCACCTTGACGATAACGAAACGGCAAGAGACTCTCTGAAATCTCCTGAACTTGTTTCCAAGATTGTTCCTCGAGCGGTATTGGACTATGCCTGAGTTGCTCCGCAAACCACCATCGGTTCGACTTCTCGCGGGATGTGAATCCTCCGATAATTGCTGTCCAAAGAAGAACTCGTGGATATAGATCCCAGTAACCGAGTCGATCGCAATCATCCATGGCAAGCAAGAGAGCTCGAGAACTGTTTTCATGATAGAGACAAAGCTGTCCCATTGGCTCAATAGACTCGGCAATGAATACTTGAACTGCAAGTCTGCACAACTTGAACAAACAGTCACCAGAGTCATCCACGCTCATGGCCTCGTTCTGAATTGCTCGTCTAGTCAGAACCCAACGCACTATGTCAATTCCTGCTTCTGGGTTATTGATCATCAGGTCATACGTTGCAAAGAGTGCTCGAGCTTTTGAAACCACATCCGACAGAGCCCTTACAGGCTTGGTGTTTGGTAGAAAGTCAAAAACATTCTCGATTGCGGGGTACTTTTTGATGGTCATTGCATCCCAGTAGCCACGAAAAGAGTGTAGTGACTTATTGGTGGGGACTAGAGGAGCAAACTGGGGCTTTCTAAGGTTGCACATGGCATCGTGTGTGTCAATGCTGGAGAATTAGCACGTTTGTATCTGGTGGTTGGGAAACGTCATACCCCATAATAAGTTCTGCCAGGTTGTGAAGCTTAAACGTCTTAATACCTCCCCTCTGCTTGGTCAACTGGATGAGAGCTTTCGCATGCGCAGGTTCCCAGCCTCCATTGGTGTAGAACTCATTGTCCCTGTACATTGGGTCTGTTGATCGCGCTAGTCTTATTGGGAGATCCGTTGAACCGACCACGGCCAGCACAACCATGGCGAGAAGCATTGCGTCCGATACAAATGCACCAGGCTGGCTCACTGCCAAGCGAAGGTTCGCTATCGAGTCGCGATAAGATGTGATGCGGAGTTGTCGAAGTGATTGTTCTTGACAGCCGAGAAAGAGCTGATAGCTTGCGCCAGCATACAACATCGTATGCAGAAGACAGTTGTCGCCCATAGCTAAGGTCATCGTCTGTGATAGCCATGTGGTAACGGCCGACTTGTGGGTGGAAAAGGCAAAGGCAGGCCACTGATGAATTATTGCTGAGTATAAAATTAGCTATACAATCCATCTGAGGAGTGGCCCGTGCAGCGTTTACCAAATTGCAAAACCCCCTGATTTTGAGCAGGAATCGTCTCGTCGGATAAAGTATTGAAGGGATCTACGCATCCAGCAAACTGTTTCTCCGGATGAAAAGCTTTCTGCAAGCCGAAAATTGATGTTCTACTTAGAGCACCAACATTTCCGCCAGCGGCAGGCTTTTTAGTGAGGTCTGATAGTCCAAGTTAGTTGCCTGCAGTCACGTCAAGACAAATTTTCCCGAACCTTCCAGTTGGCCCTTAGCTTTTTTAGATCTCCTTTGCCGATGATTGAAGGTTGCAGCGTGTTGAAACCGCCGCACGTCCTTCCGTGCCTGTTGCCCAGGCTTCCAGAGGAGGAAAGTGATTTCAATGGGCTGTTCGACCTCTTGTGCCATGTGCAAAAGTACGGGATCTGTTCAAAAAAGGGAATTGAGAAGGTCGTGTATGCAAAGAAATGGAGGGACAAGGCCCGGAAGAAAGAGCTTAACATTGTGCCAACTCGTTGGGACCAGCGTCGAGCTGAGTTTCTGACCAGTGGTGGGCAGCTAGGCGCTGAAAAATGGCCCGATGGAACAGCTGTGTGCTGTATCAAATGGGTGATTTAAGAGGCCTAGAATGACCTAGATCTCTTTCAGCTGAAAGCTTGTACCAACGCCGGGCGAGCCACTAAATAATGTGGTTGGCTAGTGAAGCTTTGACTATCTTGGCAGCTGATAAGTTTGAATAGCATTGTGTTTGGATTTCAATTCCCCATTGCTCGGACCATCCCCACGGACAGGCAAGTTGAACGGGAACTCATGTTCGTCCCCTGGGTCAATGCGGAGCGCATGGGGCCAGTCTCACGGACGCCGGCAACGTGTGCAATAGTTGCTACCTAAGTACTGCTCAATGACTCCCAAGTTCGCGCTTGGCAGGACATGCCATCCGAACCAGATATCTTTCAAGGTAGATACCTTGATTAAGCGATGAGTGGACTACTGGATAGCAGATCCGAGTCTCGTAGGTTTCAGAAGACGATGAATATTCAAGCTCGAACCACTCCCTTCAAGACCTCGCTCATAGTGGTGGGCGCATCACGGCCTACTGCACCGCAAGATAGATTCCTATCATAAGGCAAACGGTGTCATCTCGAAGAACTAACGAATGATCCCCACTTGATTAAGTCTTTCAATTATTGGAAATATTTTGTGTCTGGACAGAGTCACATTGAAACCCTGGGAATGCAGCAGATGTGTGAGCAAAAGAAAACAATGCCTGAGGGGTATCATGTCAGGTGAAAGGAGTATCAATGGCTTGCGAACATGCAGCTTATAAACTCACGTTTGAGCCGACATCGAGTCTACACCAGGCAATCTTCTACTCACCACTTCCACCAATACCATTCTGCAATGACAAGCGGCACCATGTTTTCCCTACACTCACTACTCATTCTACTTTCGTTTTCCGCAACGAAAGTACTGTCATGCTCTCGTGTGACTTATCATGCGGGAGTCGACGATCGGATCACCGCCGGCAGGTCTATGGACTTCGTGGCATCGACAAATTCTAGCATGTACATCTTTCCGGCTGGCTTACAACGCAACGGGTCCATTGGGGAGAACTCTAAGTCGTGGACTTCTAAATATGGTTCCATGGTGACGACCATGTACGACATGGTCAGCATTGACGGGATGAACTCGGAAGGTTTGACTGGGAGTCTTCTGTACCTGGGCAATAGCGACTATGGCGCTCGCAACACTTCACGACCCGGACTCCCCATCGGATTTTGGCTGCAATACTTCCTGGATTTATATCCCAATGTGGCAGCAGCTGCGGAAGCCTTACAAAAAGAAAACCTACAAGTCGTTACCAAGGCTCTAGTCCCTGGGGTTTCATCAACAGCTCACCTCGCGCTTTCAGACAAGTCCGGTGATAACATGATAGTCGAATACCTTGATGGAAAGATGGTCATTCACCACGGACAACAGTACCCAGTCATGACTAATGATCCGTCATTTGATGATCAATTGACGTTGAATACGTACTGGGGCCCTATATCGAACGTATCTCTACCAGGAACGGGTTCCCCTGCCGGTGAGTTTTGGCTAGCTTACGCTCAGAAATCACCCGAAATAGTCGAAAGACATGCTAATGACTATCTGATCATAGATCGTTTCGTTCGACTATCATACTATAACTCCTTGGCGCCCGAGTCAAAGGATCTCATGACTTCAGTTGCAACCACTGCGGCTATGATACGGGCCGTCAGTGTTCCGTTTGTCCCTGAAAGCCAAATCAACACGGGACTCGACATCTGGCCAACATTGTGGAGAGTCTACCAGGATTCCAAAGACATGGTTTACTTCTATGAGAGTTCCATGGTACCAATTTCCATTTACATGAAATTTTCGGACTATGACCTCTCGTCCAGTGGCAAGATCATGCGATTGGGATTGGCAGAGGAGTCGTGGGAAGATCTGTATGGTGACATGAACGGAAAATTCACAAATGCCACTGCATTCATTCCTTTAGGAGCAGGGGGCTGAGTACTCTTTTCCACGAGTTAGTGAAGACCGATCCGTGACTTTGTATCACAACTGAAGAGTTGGTGAATATATCAATGTTAGGAACAAAATTCTGAAATAAGGCATCGCGAAACAGTCCGTCCATAAATTTTAATCTTTGCCCGCTCGGTATAAAACAATGTTCCTGGGGCCATTAATCCCCAACGTCTAAATCGAACGACACTCCGAAAGCTCTTGTTCATTGTTGTGGAACTTCACCACCCGTTGTACCTTATTGCCTTTCCCCATCCCGGTGACGGTCATGCTTCAGGGCATTCTTTCCCCAACTGCAGATAATTCCAGCAAACTGATTGCATTGTTAGCATTTCAAGTTCGTTGCCATGAGAGAGACTTACTACTATCTCCCAGGTCATCACCAAATGAACTTTTCAAGACCTGTTCCCCAAAAGTTGTACCCTCACTAGGATGATACGCAACCGCCTGCTTGCCTATTGCAATCGCCATCATAGGTGGAATGGTATCGAGTTCTTTGAACTTAGGTTGATCTTGGTAAAGTTGTTGAAGCATGAGTTGGTGAATGTTATGAGCGGCATATTGTCCCATATGCATTGCAGTGCCGCAGCGCTTGATGCCGGACCAGCGAGCAATATCTCCGATCGCAAAATGATACCTTGCATTCGAAATCTCGGGAAGAAGGTTTAGCCTGACGCGTTAGCATGAATCAATGCAGACAGCCTGAAATCGCTTACGAAGGTGTCACTTGAACATATTGCTGGTCATCTAACGATGCCTGCGGCATGTATGCAGTCGAAGGGACACTCTTTGACATGGCATGAATAACGCATCCGCAGGTTATATGTGCCCCGCTGCTCAAAATAAGTTCCGAATATTGGGAGCCATCTTCATTCGTCAAGTTGAGAGTCTCCAGGACCCTTTCTCCCAAGATCAACTCAACACCAGTTTCCTCGAGGGCGAGGCGAGATCTCTCTTTGAAATCATTTGGCAACGGTTCTGAGGATAGTAGGTTCTCTCGAGAATGGATCAGCGTCACTCGCTGTGTTGGCATCACCAATTTTATTTCAGCGGCCATCTCGATGCCAACGGCCCCTGAAAATGGACATTAAGCAAGGAACACCAGGACAAGAAGAGGAATTACGAACCACCACCGACAACGACGACTCCATTCGCTGCCGCTTCAACCGACTTGATATGGCTCAAAGTTTCCCCAATATAATCAGCTTTGGTCAAGCTCTGCGGTACAACAGGCCAGGCTCTCCGCAATCCAGAAGCACCAACGAAAAAGTCGTATGGGACTTCTGTTGGTAATTTACTGTTGGCTTCTATGATAGTCGCCTTCTGGAGCTTGCTCTCAATTCTCTGAACACTGCCTTGGATTGTCTTGATGTTTTTCAATGCCGGAATCTCATCGAACCTTCGCCAAGCCTTTTTCGCAAAGTCACTGGATGCAAGGACTAATGGAGAAGAGATCAAATGGTCTGAATATCGGCCGAAGCTGTTAGTCGATCGAGGGATATGAGCAAGTTACCAAGTTGACTACTCACAGTATCCGTCACGTTCGTCAACAATCGTGATTTCGACACCAATTTTCCGAGGATCAGGTTCGCCCTCCACATTGTACTCGAACCGTGGAAATCGACCGGAACATAGATCCAGCAGATTCAAAGCCGTTCCCAAACCAGCATAGGAGCCACCCGCAATCAGCACCTTGATCGGCCGAGCCTGTAGCGCGAAATTGGAGGCCACCATGTTGATGATAATCGGGAACACCACTGAGGGTCGGAGACTTGGGGAGCAGGTTATCCATTTTGAGGATTCCCGTTTGAAGTGATTATATTCAAAACACTGTGACAATGATATCTAACAAGACAATATGTTGAGAAATGATTCGCCGATGTCGGGACGGGGGATGATAGCCTGGGCGTTGATCCAATCTTATCAGATGTAACCCATTTTCAGGCTCCAGCGGCAGGCAGAGAAGTCTTAAATTATGGAGAAGTCATCCAGTAAACCACATGCCAACTATTCGTGAAGTCCAGGGTAGTGAAAATGACTTTCGCGGCTTTGCTGGATTTAACGAAGAACTAATCCCTAGCCTTCCGTGAGTTGCTGTGGGGAGTATTGTGCTATCTACGCTATCGGTGATGGTCTCTCGGCCCGCCTCGCCGCCAGTCTTCAAGCATCACGAATTCCACGCTCTGCGACCCCTTTTCAAGTTGTGTCTGGTGTTCAAGATTAATTTTCACCACCAGAGTATATTATTGCTAACTCTATTCCAAAACAGGAGCGTTTTTTGCTCTGTCAACTGTGGCTTCCTTCATGAATGGGCTGCGAGCTCGAATGCGCCGACCAAACAAGATGATTACCACAGGTGCAAACGAAAGGACAAGTGCTAAAAATCCAAGAAGAGTGCTGCCCCATTGAAACCCGAGATTTGTATACATGCTCTGTGCCGCGAGTGGAAGAAACGCTGCAAATATGTTTTCGCCCAGCACGATCGCGGCAACCGCGCTTCCCGCGTATTTGCTGTATGCATCAACAACATAATCGGCAATGGCGATCACCACCACGTTTGTTCCAAACCCAACCATGGCAAGGCCAATTGCGGGGGCTATCCACGGAAGGGACTCGTACGATGTCCATCCATACACAAACATACCTCCGGTCACTCCCACAAAACTCCCGACCAGGCTCATGTAGAGACGTGCTTCTGGTATAGGAGATCCCGGAATCTCCTGATTTCTTGATCCAGACGCAAAATATAGCTTTGCGGATATCAAAGCACCGACCCAGCCAATGCACTCGCCGATGACCACAGCGGCTTGAACGTAGCCCGCCTGAGATGCGTTCCAGCCATAAAGTCCAGCAAATACCTGCTCAACTGACTGCGTGAACAAGTAAACCGTACCGACCATGAATGCTGACCAGATTGTGAAGACAAAAACCACAGGCTCGGTGACCAGCATATAGATAGGTCGACGTATGCTATCGCTAAGCTTTTTCAGGAGAGGCTTTTCCTGCTGCCGTTCTAGCGTACGATGCTCCGTGTGTGTCTTCGATTTGTTCTTTGTGCGCCTTTGGAGAACGACAGAGCCTCTTGTCTCCACAAAGAAGAAAAAGTAAACAGGAGCGAGACCGCCATACCAAATCAGCTGCATGTATGAAATCCACCGCCAACCCAAGGATTGGAAGATGATGCCCCCAATAACCGGTCCCATGCTACTACCAGTGAGGTAAGCAGTCACATAGAACGCCATTGGGATCGTACGTCCACGTTCGTCTTCCCAAATATTTCCAATGACGCTAGCTGAGGTATTCGCTAAAATCGAAACGCAGCCACCAGAAAAAAATCGAGAAACGATCAAAGTCGCGAAATTTTGTGCCACAGCCTGTGGAATCACAAAGCATATGAAGACTCCATAGGTCAGCAAGAATCCCGCTCGAATACCGAAGTCTTCCATAAGTGGTAAAACGACTAGGGAGCAGACTGCACCTCCGAGAGCCCACGAAGTAACGGGCCAATAAGAGTTGGGAAAACGCTCATCGCTGACACCAAACTCTTCATTGATCGCTTCATGGGCCACGGTAATGATGGTTCCGTTCAAGAGCGTAGTGAAAGTTGCTAGAATGGCAATTGCAGTAATTATCCATTTCTTCCTCGATGGCCAATTGTATGGGTTGTCAGGATCTTCTGAGCCATACCAGTCCAAGGAATCGGTGTTTGAGGCGTCCCTTCGCAGAGTTACGTCACGGCTGGTTTGAACTCGAGGGGCGGAAATGCGGGAGAACTCCCTATCGAGCTGGGACGGAGCATTTGTCAACTCATATGGCGATACTGGCATTAGCGCGTTGTTGGCTTGAGCGCTGGAGGGATTTTGGTGAAGCGTGTCTTAACAGTCCAATCTATCGGATAGAAAAGAAAAAGAAGACATCATGTATCCATGGGCTCATCAAGAAGAAAAGCTTTGTGCAAATCTTCATCGTTACCTAAGCATTTTTTTTCGGATCTGAGCGAACTGTTACCTAATTGCTCCGCTGCCATGCCTGTAAACCGGCTGAGGTCGCCACTAGAAAGCAAATTGCGACATGCGGATATTCTACGCCGGAAAGTGGTATTGAACAATAAAAATCCTGCCCTCTCGTCAGAATTTATGTAGCAAGCCGGCTAAAGAGACAACAACATGCTGCTTTTACAAGTCTGACAATTTTTGGATAAATTTCAGACATCGAGGAGTACCATAAAAGTTTTGCTTGGCCTCCAAGCAAATATGTCGGTCAGCCGGGGCTGTAGGACGAGTGCTCAACAGGCACGAATAATGTCAGCGCTCCCAAATGAAGTTACAAACCATCTCACAGTGGAAGGTCTGCTTTCACGTCATACCACTTTCCTTGTTGGTCTGACTACTTAGCTCATGATGTTAGATCAAGCTGGCCGAAGCTTGGCCCAGAAATCTTCAATTAACAATGTGACTTCGGGGACTTTTTGGCGCACAACCTCGTGGCCAACATTCCGGACGACACTGATGTTCCTGAACCCAAGCTCCTCGAGTTCTTCCTTGGTGCATACGTCATCTGACTCACCAAGTACCACCAGAAATGGGATTCCACTGCCTGCTGCCCTCTCGAAAGCAGCGTTTTGATCCATTACACCACCGTCCCTGAAGATTGCAACGACGGATGCGATGTGTCCAGGGTGGGCCTTTTTCTGCCATGCCTTCACTGCTTCGGCAACCACTTCGCCACGTTCGACTCTCTCTTTCCAATCAGCTGGAACTAACAACTCGCCGCCCTGGAGAAAATTCAAGATCCATTTCCGCGCTGCAGCTTCATCGTCGCCACGTAGATGGGCATGCTCCTCGGTTGTAAATGCAGATGATGGAATGATACCGGCAGGGGCAATCAGAGTGAAACTTTGTACTCTTGATGGTCGCGAGACAACGTATCCGACCGTGAGAGCGCCTCCAAATGAATAGCCCACAAGATGGGCGGAGGGCCATTCCAATCTGTCCAACAGGAAATCTAGTAAGTTATGGAACAGACTTGGCTCATGCGGTACAACAGGAGTATCGCTCAATCCATGGCCCCAGAGATCCACCAGCACGAAATGGGTCGCGGGAAATGATGCTTGCAATGCTCGCGCAAGTGGAAGGATCCCTAGAGCCGGAGTTTGTACGCCATGAATGAAAAGCACGCGCTCGGGCGTAGACGAGCCATCTTGTTGCGAAAGTGGTGACAAAGGTACTAAATCGTAGTATACTGCTTTTCCGTCGCTCGTGTGTAGATAAGTCGCTGGAGGGAGTAGTTTTCCGAAAGTCTCGGTGAAAGCTTCCTCAGTAGGGCCCGGGATTGGTGAAGATGGTGACTCCGATAGTGCACCAGGGCGTGGAAGAACAGTTTCCTCAGTGAGTGAAGCCATTCTTCATCAGGATTGATATGTCGAAGAAGACCCTTGGTGCAGGGGAACATTGAGAAGGCTACGGGATTGGGCTCATGATAGTCAACGAAGCCTCTGAAACTCAATTAATAAGCAGCGCCCTTCGTCAACCCTCACCCTGACACCAATCGATTGTCCTCATGTTACCAACCCACATTACGATATGTATCTATCTCGCTGTCTCATGAAGCTCATTACTTTAAGCATTCGAATAGGAATTAAGACAAAGATATAGTGCCAAAAGCGTATCTCATTCCCGCAATAGGAGCCAACTAGTAGCCACTCCCGGTTCTCATGAACAAATTGGATGGGGAAATGCGGTTGGCAAATTCCTCGTCCAATTGATATTCAATCTCAGGACCATCCGCGCTGAAACCTAGCTTTTGATAGACATGCCTTCCCCTGACAGATCCCTCCGTGATGGCCTCGAGATCTCCACGTCGTTTTGCTTCTCCCAAACCCCACTGAACCAGCTTAGAAGCGATCCCACGGCGTTGGTAACTAGGATGCACCGCACAAATGTCAAGTGCCATAACGTACGGCGGGCTTTTATTGGCCCGCTCAAGCATATATGCCCGGCGCTGGCTTTGTAAAGAATTTAGCATCTGAGAAGCGTATCGTCGTTCCCTCTCGTCATCAGGATGGTGCATTTCAAAATCACTGGGCTTCCATTCCTTTGGCTTCTGTCCTTGTCCGGGCACCATGGAAATTTGTGACCATATTGCAAACCCCACTATCCGCCTGGATGCTGGGTTTTGGTCATCTGGTATGGTGGCCTTGAGATGCAGTGTGTTGCTGTCGGATTTGCGCCAGTGATCAATCATCCTTTCTGCGTTTTTACGAGCACCTTCAGGTGTATCCCAACCCGGGTTGGTACTGATCCATAGATTGTCGTCTGCCTGTCGACCAAATGCCTCTGCAAGGCATTCAAAGCAAGTTTGGAAGTCCTCAGGATCTTTGACCTGCTCCACGAGGACTTCTTGGTCCAGTCCGCCCATCACTATGGTGTTTGATATGTCTTCTCTGGGGCGCGATTATCAGTAATGAAGTTTTGCTTGCGGCCAACATTTACCAATCTCTGATCGAAAGATTCACAATATTATTTGTGGCGATTATGCTAACCCGGTAAAACATCGGCTCTTACATTATTTATCTACCTCCAAGAATTCTGCTCTTTGAACCTTTTACCTTTTACTTCCATCCAAGCACGTCGCAATGTAACGCCACAAACCAAGCACCATCGTGCTCAGCCCATTCCGCCACGGCTTTCAAGGTCTGCTCAATCTCCTCATTAGTGATGTCGGCATCTAGCCAGCTTTGGTGAAAAGCATCACCAGGCTGCAACTGGCTGGTTCCCCGCAGAGCCAACCATTTTCGAGCTTCGGGTGTCGAATAAACAGTCGTTCCAGCGCTGACATGGATTCCCCCAATCTCCAGGTCGAAACCGGCCTTGCGAAATAGCCCAGGCATGCTGTTCCCAACCGAATCTACAGCAGGCACCACACCTTTGTAAACAGCTCTTTCGAAATTCCGCACCCATAGCCGGTCGAGATCAAAGCTCCGTGGATAAAAGTGCTGCTCCGCTCCTGTACGCGTTGCCAAAATACCTCCTGGCTTCAGAACTCGTCGCATCTCAGTCAATGCTTGGACTGGCAGATCTGGGGACTCCACGAAATACCCTAGCACTTGACCACAGTATACAATGTCAAATGAGTTATCAGCATATGACAGGCCTGATAGGATGTCACCGGCCTCGAAACTTATTGAACCAGGTCCTGTGTTGAGAATCTCGGCTTCCGCCGCCATGCTTTTGGCCTTCTCCAACACTTCTGCTGAGATATCTATACCAACAGTCGTGCCTTCGCTCGCATACTTGACGAACCCCAAGGAAATAGTCCCTGGGCCGCATCCGACATCGAGAACCTTGTGATGCTTCTTGATATGTGGTAAAAGAAAGGCAGCGTCTGTCTCCGCTGTGCGTAGCAGATGTGACGACAACGTCTGTTGAGAGTACCCCTGGGTGTAATTACCCGGGTGATTTCCTGGCGCCATATCTACGGTTTGGTGCTTCAGAGCGACTGATCTGACTATGAAAGCATCGTGCGGGGTGTTTTGTACAACAAGATAGGCAACAGCAAGAATTCAAGACCCACAAGTGAGTACTATCTCCAAGGCCTATCTCCGTTAATGCCAGTGATGTGCATCAGCTCTTTTCTAATCATAAAACATTCTAGCACAACACGAGTACCCAGCGTCCCGTATCTTTCAACTCAGTATACCGTATATCCCACGGGCGACACGTGGCTCGGCCCATGTCTGTTCTAGCTACAAAGCTTTGACCAAGCAATATGTCGAAGCTTAAATTTCATAGCTACGTTTGGCCTTTGGACACGTTCCAATATTTATGAAGTCTAACTACCCAAACTAGGTTCAAGCGACCTCTAGAGACCAATTTTGCGCAACTGAATTGGAGTGATCTACCTAGGTAGTTGGGGCAGCCTCATTTTTGATGGACCAATCTTCCGCCTACCCAGACACGATTAACATTCCTATCATCACCGTTCCATACCCACTTGTGGACTCTGTCGTGCCAGTTCTCCCAACCAAAGATGTCAACCGGTTCGGTCTCCCAGTTGCCCAGTTGAATCTCTTGTACATCCCATAGCATACCAGGAGCAAATCCACCCAGTCTTCCTTCCATGCCGGTGAGTTTTGCTCCGCCCATGGTTCCGAGGTACAAGACCTCAGTAACTGGTACACTGAGGCTTGCATTTTGACCCTCTTGGAAACTCAGCAGCCGGCTTACTAAGAATGCCTGCCTTGCTGTTTCCAGTACGCTGGCGGAGTATCCGCCTGCTGCATCTGTTCCAAGCCCAACTGTGACGCCGGCATCAATGAGCTTCCGCACATGACAGATCCCAGAACCAAGAGCTGAATTGCTGGCTGGGCAATGAGCAACTCCCGCACCTCGAGCGGCGACCAGGGCAATTTCTGCATCCGTCATATGGACGCCGTGTGCTAGGATGGTTCGATTGGTCAAGAGTCCATGGTCATCATAAACACCAACATAGGAGGACGATTCGGGATACATTTCCGCCACTAATTTGACTTCGCCAACATTCTCGTCCGCATGAGCCTGAATGCGGAGGCTCATGTTATTGGCCAATTCAGCCAACATCGTCATGGACTGATTTGTGACCGCGGGTGCAAAGCGAGGGGTGATGATGGGAGCAACCAGTTCCCCTGACGGGTCGATGTCTTGGATATGCTTGATCGTCGCAAGTGTCTTGTTGAGCGCATCTTCGGGTGATTCGTCCCGGTAATATTCCGGGTTGTACTCCTGGTTATCCATACAAGTGCGTCCGATGTAGGCACGTTGGCCTTTCTGGAGAGCAAGACTTGCAAGGAGATTTGTTGCTGGTACATCGACTGTCGCGTAATAGGCTGCACTGGTAGTGCCATACGAAAGCGTCTTGTCAATCACGTGTGCATACACAGCTTGAGCCCTGGCGAATGGATCTGGAGTGGTGGTTGAATTTGCGTACATTGGCGAGCTAGCATTACCAAGACTAGATTCCATGGGGAAGGTATATGCCTGCAGCCAGTCAAGCAATGTTCCAGCAAACAGTCCCAGATTGGGATATTGCGGAGCGTGGATGTGTCCATCTGTGACTGTCAGCACGTTTCTTCCCTCTCATCGGAATTCCAATCGAACCTATGAAGCCTGGGAAAAAGAATCCTTGATCATTGGAAGTGACAACTGTGGTTCCGTTGGCTGCCCCAAGGGCTGTGATAGCCGCGGCTGGACTACTCACATTCCAAGCGACAGCATTGATCACTCCTCTTCCGTCTGCACTAGAGACGAGTACTGCACCCTGTTGTATCAACAGTTCGTCTGGCGTGGGTGTTGAGATGAATCTTCCGAGAAAAATTTGCTCACCAGCATTGGCACGCGAGGTAAGTCTGTCAGGCGATGAATGATAGTTCGGTGGATGCGCAGAAGCTATTACGGCACATCCAAGACCAAGCACCAGGGTGAAAATTGAAACCATCTTGCTTTGATTGAGACTGCTTAGAATTGCAGCCTTAAAACTTAGGGGAGCGGCATCAGCAACAATTTATGTAGGTGGGGGGTCTTCAGAGATCCGACAACGTATTACATCTGAAGTTCTCTCCCACTGTCTCCCAAAATTTGTTTAAGCCTTCTTGGTACCGAAGATAGACTCCAAATCCCTAGTCTAGCGATATATCGAAGTTAAATTCCATGTTGGAGGAAACTTGTACCGTTGCGTTCATCTGCTCGAGACATCCTGCAGTCCGAGCTCTTCTCACCTCCCAACTGCGCCACGCAATCACCGTCCCTTGGTTTGCGGTCATCTGATCTCTCGCTGAGATTTTCTTATGGATTTCAGGAAGTGTGAGACACCGGGAAAATAATCGGCTGCGTTCATACGTGGTCTTGGGGTTACGAGGGTGGGAACTTTGGCTGGATTGCAACAATCGTTGACTTTTTTCCTCCTGCCTAAGGCTCGAAAGATGAAGACGATCTCCAAAGGAGGCTCTCGTCTCACAAACTATGTGGAACTATTCGAGGTAGATCAGCCAGCGTGTTTCTGCTGGGTCTTCTTGTGAATGTAGTGATACTCTGGTTTTTCATTTGTTATTTAGGTGATAGGGATGCGGCATTGCGAGTGGCAAGAGTAAGCGAGAGATAAAAGTATTCTCCACTACAACGAGGCTACCCGACACAGAAGATGTAGTCATTGTGGCGCGAGATATAGAAGCCCAGCTGTTCGTCAACTCAGAGGCCCAGTCTGCCGACTCAACCGTTTTGTGCTCGTATTCAAGCCCCAGCGCTGCGCCCAGGGCGCATTTCCTTGACTAACTGTCCAATCACATCATTCTCTCGGTATGCTGGGTGTATCTTTCTGCGTTTGCACAGGTTCAGTTCTCAATAGGCGTAGGCATACGCTTCTTGCCGTGGGGCATATCCGGGCCCTTGGCCCATAGCCTCTTGTCCATATGGATTCATTTCCCCCTGTTCAGATGAGATGGTACCGTCGGCATCATGTAGGTAGTCTTGGTCTTGGTCTTCCCAGCCTGATGCTTGATAATTTGCCTCCGCATCATTAAAGGTATCATCCTCCCCCGCATGAACGGGACCATTTCCCTGTCCGTCAAAAGTATCGTCTTCCTCTCCGTGGTAAGGGTCATTTTCCTCGTTGTTATAGTGATCATTTCCCTCTCCATTATAATGATCATTTTCCTCGCCAGTATAAGGGTCATTCTCTTCCCCGTAATAACCATCGTTCTCTCCGTCCTGGTAAGATAAATTATCCTCTCCGTAGTATGGCTCATCCCATTCAGCGTAGGTATCAGGTTGTGGGGCTTCAAATCCTTGCTCGTCTGTTGCGGGTCCTTCCTGCCACCTGGGCACAGTTGATGGCGTCCTCGAAGGATATCCTGGAGATTGTTGCATTGATGGTATTCCAACTCTAGGAGTTCCGACCGGCATAGAGTGGTCTTCCGGCCATTGAGCTGCTGCTGCAGCTTCCTCTGCCTTTTTAGCGGCGGCTGCATCTTCTTCTGCCTTCTTGGAGGCAGCTGCATCGTCTTCAGCTTTCTTAGCAGCTGCTGCATCTTCCTCGACCTTCTTAGCTGCTGTATCTTCTTCTGCCTTCTTAGCCGCTACTGCATCTTCCTCGGCTTTCTTCTTGTCCGCCTCCATCTGGATGGCCTGAGGAGTCTTGCTGAAAGTGACCTGCGCATTGTTAGGTTACACAACGCCAAATCCATGTCGTTCGCACTCACGGTTTTGTCCTGTTTGTCGAATGTCCCCACCATACACCAGTTCAGAAATCCACTAGAATTGATGAGTAAGTGAGGTGCATAAGCACAAGGATTATAACCATACCCGTCTCCCTTGAGGACGAATTTTCCCTCATCAAATATGTATACAACATAGGCCAATTTGGCTCCTCCCGGGGTATCGCACTCGACCGCTTTCTTTTCCACCCCAACCAAACCACTGGCGTCGTGCTCTGTGTAAACCACCATGATGTTCTTGCCCGGATTGTCAGTAGATAGCTGAGCAGCCGCTTCTGGGGTCCATTGATTCCGAAAGTCTTTCTCAGCCTCATTGTCAGCGAAAATACCAGCTATGAGTGTGCCAATCTGGATAGCCGCGTCGACAAATGTGAGAACCATTCCCGCCATTGTGGGGAATAGTCTGGTGTTTTCTAAGAAGGACCACTGGTGTGTCAACGCAAAGACAAATACCTATCTGAGCAGCACAGGGTACAGGCTAGCAGAAGCAGAGAAATTGAGACGGATTTGGCAAGAGATTGAGAGTTAAGAAGGTTCTAGTGGAAGTTATTGCAATAGTAATCGTTTCTTCAATGCCTCATGGTCCATGGACCGCGCACTATTTCGCTTTCTTTGGGAAGGATTGTAGGCCATAGCCACGGATGAAACACCTATATTCGGCTCAGAGGGGTGGCCAGAATAGGGCATGTGAGATGTATATAAAGATACATACACTCCACGAGCGAGGTTCTCCTTGGAGGATGCTTTTCGTTTTCGAGTTATTGACACTCTCGGCCCCATACTTCCAGCCATGGATTAATAGGCAACCCAGAGAGGAACGCCTTGCTGAGAACGACTAATAGCTGACAAGTCGTTGAAAAGTTTTGCTCGCCTATGCTATTCGTAGGATATTCATGGTAACGACACCCTTGCTCATCGCTCCAAGCTTCTAGCCTCAAACGTCGTACTCGACGGCAATGAAGCATGCTCAGTGATTTAAGAATACTTCGCACGCATGGGTGCTCGGGGTCGGGCTCCCCAGGTAACCCCCGCGGGCCGCCCAGCGGCCAAGATTCAAGAATAACCCACTGTACAATGTCTAAACATATGGTGACAAGGAACTCACAGAGCCACTGACGCTGAAAGAACATCGTATTGCAAGTCGACATGGATCTGACAAACCATTTCGGATATAGGTGCCCATTTTGACTTGACCACGGCGTTGGGCTGGTGAGAAATGAGGAAGGACGAGAGTGCCTGAGTGAGTGCCCGAGCCCCTTGAATTGACGGAACGATAGGCATGTTATGCGAGCCTTTGCACGTGATCTCACATGATCTCACGTGATACCGCAAGAAACTCTCCCGCCTCGGTCTCCAACTTTTCTCAATGTCTCAACGATTCCTCCCACACGATTTCAAGGCATGAGCACCAACATGCCTTCATAGGCTCTCTCCCAAAACGGCGACAACACGAACATTCCCCTTCTTCACTGATAGAGACACTTTAACCATTGGGTGCGAAAATGGAGAAACCAGTTCGCCCAAAAGCCACGGCCAAGCCTACGCCTTCATCCTTGGTCACTCAGACATACCTGCTTGCATACAATGCAGTGTGCTTCCTCCTCTGGTCGATCGTGACTCTGCGAGCCCTGGTCCTTATTCCGACCCTGGCGTCGCACGGAAAGCTCCATGGACTCATTGAAGCACTCTTTCCCCTTCTCAAATGGACTCAAACAATTGCACTTCTCGAGGTCGTCCATGCTGCCATCGGCATCGTTCGTGCCAGTCCCGTCACGACTGCGATGCAAGTCTCTTCACGTATCCTCGTCGTCTGGATCGTGCTGGAAAGATATCCACAGATCGTGTCCACTACCACTTCATGGGGGCAAGTCATCGCCGGGTCCAAGACTGGCCCAATCGCATTCTCCTGGATTTTGCTTGCTTGGGGAATCACAGAGGTCATCCGCTACGGGTTTTTTGTCTGGAAGACCACCATCAGCGAGAACATACCTTCATTCTTGACTTGGCTGCGCTACAACACCTTCTTTGTGCTCTACCCCATTGGCATCTCAAGCGAGTGTCTACTCATGTACTTGGCGTTGAAGCCTGCGGCAAAAGAAGGACAAAATGTTGATTTGCTACTCAAGATTGTTCTGTTCATCTACGTACCTGGCAGTTATATACTGTACACTCACATGATGGCTCAGAGGCGGAAAGTACTCAAAGGAAAAAGCAAGTCGGCTTGAAAATTTAATATGCTTTCCCAATTTTCGACAACCGATCACTACATCAATACTTTGGCAGCCCCTCCGTTCCAGATAGTATGGCTTCTGCCAAGGCGATGCTCACAAATCAGGACATATCCTAACTCATGCACCGAATGCGTTATCCTCATACCAGGTAGACCTGCACATCACGGAGAAAGATGTCCCGCAGTTTGGCAGTGGTTGGCCCGTTCAGCAGGCAGAGTGCCATCTTCGCAGCCCTCAACATGGCCATCATCGTGAACAACTGCTCCTCTTCCGTTAACAACGCCTTCTCGAGTGTGTGGGCTATGAGTCCAGCCAATTCCTTGACAATTTGGTGTCCTCCCTCTGCCGCTGTCCGGTCAAGGCTGCTGAACTCCCTCAAATTCAAAGTCAGTCATCAATTTCTGGATAAGCATCGGCATGCTTTGCAACAGATTGTTTCGACCATCATAGATTTCGGGTTGCCGACCACAGAAAGAGAGCCAAGAATCCAAGGCCATGAGTTCGGCCAGGTTCTCAACCACCAGAGCATCCGAACCCTGGTAACTAGAGGGGTCGATCTGTCGGTGGTAGGATCCGAGTAGCTGGATGACCGGCATTGGCGAGCTGTAACTTTCAAACTTGACGAGATCATACCCTCCTGGGATTATGACCCCACCCATCGCGTTGATTGCGTAGCTTGGATGCGTAGCCTGGCCTCGACGTAGCCAATGTTCACACCATGGCAGAGCATCGACGTAGGCCAGAGTGGAGTGGTCGGTATAATATTCCAGGGCCTCTAGCATAGTCACAATTGTACCCAAGCATGTTTCTCGTGAAAAATAGTCATGCCACGGGTTCGCAAAGTATCCCGGAAGAACATCGATTTGACAGATCCACAGCCATTTGATTGCACCATCTCCTACCCTCGCTTTTATCATACTTGGTTGCTGCACGTCCGATCCATCAAGTTGGGAAATCCCATGCCGCCGGAACGGGTGAGATTTAAAGCTAACATCGCCGGTGACACCAATGCTGAATTTGTCCGAGGAATCGCTTGCAGAACTAGACTCTCTTGAAGAAGATGATTGAGAACGAGTAGAAGCGCGGCGACGCGGAGGCAGTCCATTCGTCTTCAGTCGCTCCTCCCACTGCGCCGCTAGGGCCTGTCGAGGCGACATTGACCTGTTCTGCCCACCCGGAGAATCGTCAGTTCGTAAGGCGACACCTGAGGCTATGCTGGATTTCTTGGGTTGGAACGAGGTACTTCGACCACGGTGAACCTCCTCTGTCTCTGAAATTCCATCTGGTGAGTGGGATATCCTCGGCTCTCCGCCAGAGCCATAGACAGACTGACTGGACCAATTAATGCTTGATGACGCATCCTCTGTGCTGGGATTTGCTGAAAGAATTTGGTCTGGGTTGTCAGTCCCCGCACTGGACCATGACTAGGAGGATACAAGACTAACCTGGAATGCTTTTTGCGGGTTCATCATCTGGACGATTGGATGTGCTTGCTTTCGTACTTTTCACTTCTTGTGTCTGCAGGGATTCAATCCACTCACGTTCACGGCCCTCTACAGCTAAGGGTCAGTGTTTGTTCAGGACCCTGGGGAGAGTCTTTGGAATATGTAGATTGGAGACCGGGAGACCTACCTCGAATCTCTTGCGTGCGTCTCGCCAAGTCCACAATTTCCTGCCTTGACAGAACTCTCAACACAACCACGTGGTGGTCCGTTTCTTCAAAACGCTCGCCTGCTTGTCTCAATGCCTCTGGATTGACGAGCCCTCGACGGATCTTTGTCCAGCGAGCGTGAGCTGGTATTCCTTCGGAAAGTCCAGCTTTGACCCGAGGGGCAACTCCTTCTCTTACTGGTTTCGGGTCCTCGGGAAACCGTTCTCGAGGCGGTCGCAGAATGCTTCGGGGGGCTTCTGCGATGATAGTAGATGGACCGCGTGTCGATGGTTCTTCGCTCTTCTCGGGCATTTCTTGCAAAGGTTCAACGGTGATAACAGGATCACTTTGTGGCAATGGCCCTCCCACGGGTTTATGGTTAGTAGGCACGGGCCCGAGAGCGTCCAATTGTGGAGACATATCAATATCTTGCTCACCTTCTTGTCGGCCGCTGTCGTCGGCAGGTGCGGGCGCCTCGTCCCTTTCAGTGTAGTGTACTCGCTTCCGTCGGCTGGGCTCCACTTTTGACTGGGCAGTCGTTTCTGGGTCGGGCTTGTGGGGAGGGTCATCAACAGGTTCGACTGAGTACGCAGCGGAAGCATTTCTCCCGTGGATCTGGCCGATTTCGATAGGCTCACGACCGTAACTGTAATTTATGTGGTTGTCTCTTGAAACGGGGTGCAGAGAGGAGACCTTGGGAGGAGGGCTTTCGCGATGATCTTGTTGTTGTGACAGCACTTCTCCATCCACGGTACGACCGTGCTTTCGCTTTGAGTTCTTTGTGGAGCTCTGTATGCTGCGTCTTGAGTTGTGACTCTCGCGCGAGAACGAACGTACGTCTGAGGGAGAGACTCTACGCCTTCGGTCGCTTGCAGCGATACTTGATTGGCGTGAAGCGGAGTAGTAGCTCTCAATCTCCCACTCGGTCTCGGTGTCCCTTTCTTGCCTCATTTGCTGCCGACTATTAAGCACCTCTCGCCACTTGTCGACCAGAGATGAAGATCTCTCACGCCTTGAGTGAACCAATGAGGCCTGCCAGTCTTGCTGCACGTCTTCTGTGGGTGATGCCTCCTCTGCTGATAATGGCCTCCAGGTCAGGAATAGATTTCTGCCTTGCGGTATGGTTTGCTCGGCTTGCTGCTTTTCCTTGATGTACTGCTGCAGAATCCCGCCATCCAACATTCTCCGTTGCCCAGAGGCTGGTGGAAACCAATTTCCATTGACGTTCGTAGAAGCGCGAAAGGGTGCTGCATTTACACCCTGGAAATCACCATTTACTGATTCATCATGCGTGCTTATTCTTGCAGTAGCGGGATGTACAACCCCACCGTAGCCTTCAATGTCCGTAGCATGTTCACTTGGACTTTGCTGAGTATTGCCCATGCGGGAGTCTATTAATCTTCTGGAGAGGAGAGTACGGAGATGCCGTTTCCATGGGAGTATCGACTTCCTTTGCCTCGTTCTGCTATGATTATCTGCATTGGCATTCCCCGGGGAAAGATTTGGATGAAGAGTGTCGTGCTGTGTGCTCAACTGACCTCGCACCACTTGCTCAGGAGACCTTTCACGATTCGGAGAATCCCGAGAATTGGTTGTACTTTGAGACTGGTTCATTACGTTTCCATTTCTGATGTGGTACGAAGTAGTCAGGGCGGAGGTTCCACTGACCGATTGCGCTCGGTTTGGCGAGTGAGCAGTCGCACGGCGCCGCAGGATCCTGGTAGGGGAAGTCGACCTCAATCGAAAGCTTCGCACAGGCGAGCGAGAGGCGGGTTGCTTCAAAGGGAGTGCCTTGACCATGGAACGACCACGGGATGTTGCGACCCAACTGTGGCCCTCATACAATTCATATATCTTTCTGTCCCGTGCGTCATATCTCCGGCCAGCAATGGTGACAATATCCCACATTCTCGCCATCCATCCAGGTTCGATGGACCCAGCTCGAATTTGGATACCCAAAGGTCGATGGGCATTCCTTGGACTGAAGTGCATGATGGACCCCAACATCGGATGCGACGAACTAGTGATTGTGCCAGCTGCACCGTCCATGGCGACGAACTTTCCTTGGAACGAGGCATCGGTGCATTTCATTCCTGCCATCAAAGCGATAACTACAATATCTCGCATGGAAACCTGCATGGGCACGACAGGAAGATCTGACGGGCATCTGTCTGCATCACAGTGTTGCAAGTCGTAGAAGAGGTCATCCGTACAAGCATGTTGCGCCACGCGACACAGAGATACCCAGCAGGCTTCTCCAGCAACAGCAGAATGCGCAAGCCTGGTTCTCTTCCCAGAGGTATTTTCCGGCAGGTAGTTTGTTTGAGTAGCGTTAGGATCAGCCGTGTGGCGTAGATCTGGAAGTGGCAGCAACCCACGCTCCCAGTTGTCATGGTGTGGAAGGCTTGCCTTCCATAGACTTGGGCGGAGGTAGACCTCTGGTACAGAGTAAATGACACGGAAACGAAATTGCGCGTACTGCCAAACTCGACGACCTCGGCCGGGCATCTTCCCATAGACAACGCTATCACACATGCGGATGAGCAGGCCAGTGTTGAGGTACTGTTGGAGAACCTGTGCAGTTGCGATTGTCATGGCCAAGACTGACACCACCAAGGCTGCCACCGCAGCGGCAGTGGCAGCATCCATGACTGCAAAGCAGAGCAGGGAAGTTATCTCTTGTTATAGATTATTCAATATTGCTCCGATGGTACCGCACCCTTGAAGGTCAACCTTGATACTCTCGAAAAACATAGGCTCACTCGCCAGCTCAGCTTGGGAGCTTGGGGGTCAACCCAAAGCGTACATACTGGGACAGCGAACAACGAAAAGGCTCAGTTACTCTGCAAGGCGCCCAAAGGCTAAAATTGCAGTCGTGAGGCTGATGAACACAAACTAATGCAGATAGGCGTCATCGCCCCCACGGCGAGACTGACCTGTCCTGACGATATATCTATCCTCTTTGAGCATCGTCTGTACAGACTGACTGGTCGCGAACAATAGAGGCCATGAGGGAGTATTTTCCACTCTCCAGAGGTTTTATCCGCACTACCTCGTCTGTTGACGACCACGGGGAAGACGGGATGCCTGCCAGTAGACAACCCAGTACCTAGGTAGGTAGCTAATAGTAGCAATCCATGATATGCTACGGTGGAGTGTTGATCATGCCGCACCGTAGCTACGGCGGACCAAATTTACCTTGAGCTGCCACTTTTTCGGCTGGTCGAGCATCCGAAAGATGATCTCGATCCCCCACACTGCGAGCCACAAGCCAATTCCCATCCTACCCATGCCATGCCATGCCGTACGCATTTTTCTGCCTGATATATCTACCTGGGGAGTCTTGGTCAAGTCCAGCCATCACTTGAGCTGCTACTCCCCAGGAACTCGAGCGCCCTCGTCCTCATCAACCCGGAGACCACTCTCGCACCCAGACACAGACTGGCAGAAATATCGGTCCTCGCCCTGGTTACTCCTCTTCACAAATGACACAATTACCGTGCTCCCTCCAGTCACAGTCAATGTCGCGACAGCATGACCTTTCGAGGCAGCCATCTCTATGTCAATGGACCTGAGATCCAAGGCGTTTTTGGCGTAACCAGTCTACCGCTGACTACCGTCGCCCAAATCATCTCATATGTAAGGCGTTCCACGTCTCTGCCTCCGCACTGTTCAAGTCCGACATTGACTCTGCCCAAAAGCTCGATGGCGATGTCGCATCACTCGCCCGACTATGTCGCACTTCGCGTTCATTGTACTACATGACCGTTCCTCACCTCTGGCGCTCCGTGACCCTGACGTCCTATACCTCTATCCGCTACAAAGATGATGTCCCCGAAGGATTTGGCAGCGCAAGCCCGTTTAGCATGGGCCTCAATGCCCTCGTGACACGCAACGTCTCGAATTTGGTCAGGTCGCTACGACTCATGGGCGACTTTGGAGGTTCCGATCAACAGGAGAACTCCAAAGCGGGCAGAATTTCGGAATATGGCATGATTTTGAACATCGCAGTCAGTGCTGCCCTCGAAAAGTGTACCCAGGTGGAGGATTTCAGGTGTGCTTCCCCCAGGCTCAACGTGCAATGTTGCCAAAAGTTGGTGTCCATATGAGGCTAATGGTCAACAGATGGAATCTGGACGCCCGTATACAACCAAATGTGTACTCTAGCCTGGCACGCCTTTCCAACCTACAATCCCTATGGTTGGAGTTTCCGCGAACCCGGACGCCGCACCCGATCTCGGATCTACCACCTCTGAAGAACCTACGATCATTTACCATGACAAATTATGACCCTCTTTGTCATCCCGATGATATTTCGACCTTGTTGCTTCACGGCGACAAGTTGAGCAATGTCCAAATGCATTTCTCCCCCAGGATGAGAGATCAAGGGGAACCGTCGGTCATCTTTCCTCACTTCTTTCGGAGGCTTGTCATGGCCAAGAAACAGTTGAAGATAGCTCGATTAGGTGTGTATAATCTGCTTGCGTCCATGGACGCTGCAGTATGTATGAGTGTGCTCGACACTACTTACTGCGAAGATTTCACCGCCATCAACTCCTTCGGGTTCGATGAAGATGCCTTTACCGCGCCTAGCAATGCCACTTATTTTATTGATAGAACCTGGTTGGTTCCGTTTGAGCAGATAGACAAACCCAAGCCTAAGACCTTAAGGGTAGATCAACTCCACAAACGACACGCTCTCGAGCTCCAACGCGCCGCAGGATTGGAACATTTGTACCTAGTCAATGCTAGGCACAAACCAGAGGGTGTCAATGGCTATTCTCAATCCCATTCGACCCCGAATTCAGCAGGTGCTTCTCCTTACGCACTGTCAGCCAGTGGCAGTGGCAGTGGTAGTGGCAGCAGATCATCGTCGCGGAGCACTCCCACTCCGAACAATAGCCTTCGTGATCTCTACATGGACAACATCTGCAATGTCTGTGGTCCGAGTCTGAAACATTTGATTCTTCCATCGCGATGGCCACTACATCAGACGAGTCTGGCAAGGCTTATCCGATCAGCCCCCAATCTCACCCAGCTCAGTGCAGCTCTGATGTGCAGTAATATGCAAGTTACGCGGATGCTCATGCCATTCCTTGGCAAACTGTACGCCATTCGGCTACTCAGCCCGACGCAAGAAGGTGCAGAGGGTGATAAACTACGCTGTGAGTTTGAGAGGTTTGTCAGTGGGGATGACGAGCATCACATACAAAAGTTTTCGGAGGAGCTCGGCGGCACGACGGCCAGTGGAGGCAAGAGTGAATTTCCCCGCTTGCGATATGTGGGATTAGGTCCCAAAGTATGGCTAATAGGTGGCATCATCGACGAGACTGTCGTGGTTCCCAGTGGTGATGAGGAGACAAAAGGAGCTGGAGAAATCAGGTATAGGAGGCGTGTCACACGGATTTCAGAGTCTGAAGTCATGGATGTGGAGATCTGGAAAATGGACTCTCTCGATGTAATCTAATCCACGTTCTCCGACTATTTTAACTCGGAGTTAATGACGACGAATCGACAACAAATACCCCGGGAGTTACCGACTCTTGATCCGAATTGGATCGAGTTCAGAAACATACCAATGGCGTGGATGTGAAGTGACATTTGTATGAATATATTTGGTGTATAGTATACTCTACTCCGAAGGTCTATGACTTGTTAATGCGAATGAGATTTGAATTTCATAATTCAGTATAGCATTGGCTATCAATGAGTTTATAGACGATTGGAAACTAGAGGTCCAATACAGCATGTCACAGAAATATATTCACCTGACGTGCCTCTCAATCTCCGATGGCGCGCTTGATCTCGATATGAGTCGTCACCATGCCGGATCCACAGGTCCTGTTGTGTCTCGGATAATTGTCAGCACTTGGCTTTGAGTAAAGAGTTGGTTGTCGTTTGCCGACTGTACCTTGGTGAGCCCAGGCATCTTTTGGTATTGTTGCCAGCGTAGCAAGGCTGTTCAGCCCCTCGTCCAGCAAGTAGAAAGTGTTCCACCGTAGCCACCTTGACACTAACGCGGTTGGTCTCTAGCTTGGAGCACTGGTGCGGGCTCGGGCTTGGCACATAGTTTTCTTCAACTTCTCGTTCTCGTTCAATTTCCCATCAATCTAGCGTTCCTCCTCTATCTACCTTCCACACTACAGAAATCTCACCTCTGAACAGTAGAATACGCATTGATTCATGCTGAGTAACTGGGTGTGCGAGAAGCAAACATGTCGATGCTTACCGTATAGCTTCGGCCTCAATGGTCTTGCAGTTTCTGCACTGGAGCAAATCTTTTCCCCTTGATAGCCCCCCTTGCACAACGCACATTGAATCACCCATTCACATGCTGTTCACTTTGAGAAATCATTCTCTCACATCCAAACACCGCTTCTATCTATGCTAGAGCTGTCCGCTTCAATTATCCCCAGAGCGAGTCAGTGTGGACAGGGAAGCCAGATGAGAATCGGGTCTCGATCACAACTGGCCAAAAGAGCTAGTTGCGAGACCTTCCACGAATCTCTACTACCAAGATCTTCGAGGTCTTGGTTTGATATCCATGGAGACATACGTCACAGTTTACAATTTACAACTTCAAAACTCCTTTCCAGCCGATTTCGATGTCGTTGCGTTTATGATTCTTGTTGTTCTGTGACCCTGTGGTTTTGATTTGTCATTGAAAGACACCTGCCCTAGTCATAATGCCCCGGAAATCCTCCATACTCACGCCTCTACTGATACCAGACCCTCCATTGGCCTCGAGAATCATGGCTTTTAGCACATCGTCGCTGACGTCTTCTTTCAACGTTCGTGCAACCGCGCGTAGATCGTTCAATCCAATCACCTCATCTCCATCACTTCTGACTTGGCCATGGGTGAACAGATTGAAGGCCGTCTCGACTTCCTCTGCTTTCGTTTCGTCCGTCTTAGACTTGAGTTGTATGGCGCAAAGCGCAAGAAAGTGAGGATAAGTGACATATCCCGATGAATCAGGATCAAGGGTTTCGATAAAGTCATCCATTTCCACCTTGGACCTTGGAGCGAGACCTTGGGCTCTGCACGAATAGGCTTAGTGTTGGCCAGGTACACTCGAATCGCCCATCAAGTTCTTGTCGTGACTCACTTCAAGACATTCTTCACATCAGTGGTTTTGATGATGCCCTCTTTCTCATCCTCGTATTCATCAACATCCTGCACTCGGAACAAAGTCCATGCTTCCTTGATCTCGATTTCTTCTTCAGCGGAGATGTCACTCTCCTTGGCGAGCTTTGACCGTCGCGATTTTGAAGCTGATGCGGTTGATTTGGCTGCCGCTGCTTTGCCTTTAGATGGAGTTTTGCGGGGCGGCTGAATTCGGTGTGAGATGGTGATCACATTGATTAGATATCTCCTCACCATGATGTTTCAAGGTCATATTTCTCGCATCAGACTTGAAAATCTCCTGCACATACGATGTACACCCACGATGGTTCCATAGGGATGCAAGATTGACCTGGACATTTGGTGGCGAGGCAGGTGTAAAGCAGCAAACATTTCACTCGCTTTCGCTACAATCCACCGTACTCTACCTACGGTGAAGTACTATACCAGAGAACCCGTGCTGACGTAGGTACTTTTGCCGCCTACTGCTGGCAATCACAGTGCCACTCGTTCAAGATACTCTCGCCTTTCGAACATCACTCTTATGGTGCCTGGATTGCAACATCGTTCTGTCACATATATGACATTCAGGGCACTGAGATGACTACACTGACTCCTTAACAGTACTTCTTGCTCATCCTGTGCATCTCCAAAATGGATGTCCAACTCTATGTTTATGACTTGTCACAGGTACGTATAAACCCCTGAGATGCCATGATCATGTCTCTTACCACCGTTGGCAGGGCATGGCCAGACAGTTTTCTCAGGCTCTGACCGGCATTCAAATCGATGCAATTTACCATACTGCAATTGTCTTCAACAGCGTGGAGTATTTCTTTGGCCAGGGGGTTCATCGCAAAATCCCTGGCTCAACCCATCATGGTCGGCCCATGTCAGTCGTCGATTTAGGCAAGACGGAATTGCCGGTCGACGTGGTGGAGGAGTATGTCGAGTCTCTCGAGCAAGTCTACACTCCCGAATCCTACGATCTTTTTTTGCACAATTGCAACAATTTCACCCAAGACCTTGCCATGTTTCTGGTCGGGAAAAGCATTCCTGAAGAGATCACCAGTCTGCCAGAAACATTCCTGAGTACCCCAATCGGCCAAATGCTGCGTACACAACTTGACCAATCCATGAGGACTATGACTCAAGCACCTGATGCCATGTCGGGGAGAAATGCCAATGGGCAGCGGAGCCATGTCTCTACCTCAACCTCAGCCTCGTCCCTATCCCCACCAAAGCCCGCCCCTAACGCGATCGCTTCTAAACGAACAAACAGCACCAACTCAAATAAAGGTGCAGAGCCAAAATTCATCAATCATCAGCTTGCCATTGTTTCGTCCCCAGGTCATGTATACAACACCACCACAGCCTCTGAAGTCGATTCTCTTCTGTCTACCGCCCGGGACTCATGTGCAGTCATCTTCTTCACCTCCGCCACATGTCCACCCTGCAAGATTGCCTATCCAACCTACGACGAGCTTGCCTCCGAAGCTGGTCATCTCCCCACTGCACGCCTGATCAAAATTGACATATCTGCTTCACACTCTGCCCAGTCTGTCGCCCAGCGCTACCTTATCCGAGCCACCCCTACTTTCATCACATTTCTCAAGGGCCAAAAACAAGACGAGTGGTCTGGTGCCAATCCTGCGCAGCTTCGAGGAAATGTCCGTTTATTGTTTCAGATGGCACAGCCACCTCAGCACCCTCACGCAAACCTGAAGTTACCAACCTTCCAACGATACATTGAACGGCCGACACTCTACTCCCGCACTCCTCCACTCGACAAACTTCTGACCAAGGTTGGAGATCAATTCTCATCGCATCCTTCTGTCCAGGATCTAATCTCATACATCAAGTCCCGAGAGGCAAAGGGGATGCAAGACGCACCGCTCCCGGATCTGCACAACTTCAGCGCCCATCTCAGTTCAACATTCCCCTCTCTTCCACCGGACTCGCATTTTGCCGTGATCGATCTCGTTCGTACCGCAGCTGTCGACCCGCGCGTGTCGAGCTTCTTGACCACCGAGCCATCTCACAATACCCTCACCACCGTATTTCCCAAATTCGAGTCCGGTGTAAATTTCACGGATGCCAAGTACAACGTCCAATCCGTCACTCTTCAACTCGCGTGCAACCTTTTCAGCTCGACAATCTTTCAAGAGCAGCTCTTCCGCCATAGTGAAGAGCAGTCAACCTCGAATCTGCGAGGGACCATAGAAACTTTAGCAGCACAGGGCCTCCTCTCACCTCATGCGAATTCGAGGTCCATGGCTGCTGCTCTCATTTATAACATTGGTGCGTACAATCACAACGAGCGGATTCACGGTGCGATTTCCGTCGGCTCCGAGAAAGAAGATGGCACAAACAATCTCGGAGTCAGCGACGATCTGACGGCTGCGCTCCTTGAGTCCATAACTTCGCTTTCAGAGATAGCCTCTCACCCAGCCTCGCCATCATCCTCCAACGTCCAGGAAACACTGCACGCTCTGCTCCTGGCCCTCGGTATGCTTCTCTACGGCGCCCCGGCTGACGAGATGCTCTGGGACCTATGTCGGGCGATGGATGTGCGGGAGGCGTTGAAGACTTTGGCAAAGGATTCGCAATGGAAAGCCGAGCCCCTGCTCCGAGAGGTTGGGGAAGAGTTATTGGGCAAGGGCGGCTTTTGACTTCATTATATCGGTTAGCATTGTGGGTACTTAGCTAGCTGGGCGCCTGTGGGAGTTGGAATGGGTGATCTAGATAAACACTTGGCTTTGGACTCCGCAGAAGGCGCATGCTGAAAAGAGCACAAGAGTAGAGCTCTTCATTGTCATGGCGAGTCCAGTTGTAGCACAATCAAGTGATTTGGATGGTTGGTATTAGATGTAACCCATTTAAATAGTCGGTTCAAAGTCTTCCCGAAATGGAGTTCCAACCTGTATCTCACGCCGACCGAGCCTCTGAATGCCAAATCACAAAGATATTTCCCCTAGCGGCTCTCATGTGGCCCGCTTTCCAGTTGTTCCCAAATCTCCCATTTGAGATGGCCAACGACAACTTAAAGTCTCCGACGTTCCCACAAAGCTGGACGAATATGTGAGGGTCTATGAATTTGGGGAGAACCGACTGCACTGACTCGAGTTCGGATAACGAACACATGCGGAGGTGTCCGTTCGTTGTGAAGCTGGAAGCTGATATATATCTTATATGGGTACATAAGCAAATGTTTAGAATCCCTGTTGTGCTACTTACTAGGCTTTGGCGAGACGTAACCAAATATAGATCAAAGGTAGCATTCGATCAACCCAATATATCATCAATACCTCAGCAACAACGAGCATGGCCGTCGAAACAATCAACTTCGGCTTCCTTCTGGTGCCATTACAGCTCCTGGACTTGGCCGGTCCCATGGACATCGTCGGCAACATCTCCCATGACACGGTGGAGAAATACGGTGGGAAGGAACTAGCAAAAACGGCCCCTCAAATCAACTTCTTCCACATCGCATCGACGTTGGATCCAGTGCCGCTGACGGGCGGGTTCTTGGCCAAGCCGACGACGACGCTCGCAGACTGTCCGCAACTCGATTACTTGCTCATCGGGGGCCCGGATCCGGCGTATGCGGCCAACTTGCCACAGGACATGCGAGATTTTATTGTAGAGAGGTCGAAAAGTCTCAAGGCCTTGTTCACCACGTGCACGGGCGGACTGGTCGCTGCGGCGACCGGGGTGCTGGATGAGAGGTCGGCGACTGTCAATCATACTCTGAGCGAGGCCGGGCGAGAGATTGGGCCAAAGGTAAGGTGGAATTGGACGCTAAATTGGGTGGTGGATGGCAAGTTCTGGACTGCAGCGGGCGCGGTGGCGGGCATGGATATGCTGGCGCATTGGGTTGAGGTGTCGTATGGGAAAGACTTGCTCAATTTCTCGACCATGTTGTTGGAATATCAGCCTAGAGACGTGAATGGGAAGCCGGTTAGCTACATGAATGGATTGGGCGACATCGTTGAGGTGTGAATGGTGGGAAACAATGTGGGAGCAGACGACCTGGCCATGAGTATGCTTTATCTCAGTCATGCATTGCAACTGCGAGTCAGGTCTAATAAGACTTTCTAGCACCGTTCAAAACGTCTCGACACACTCAAGCGGAGACCTTGCTTGTACACAGGTAGCTGTCATCGTCCACTCGTCTGATCCCCAAACCTACTGATGACCCATTGAAACCATTGGCGAGAAGATGCTGATCGTCGACATCGGCTCTAGTCTCATAATGATGCGACCCCTGAAACCATGTACAAATGAATAAGAACCCCGAGCCATTACCATAACACTCTAACCCCCATTACCATCTATTCATGTGTCATGAAACCTGCTTGATGCGGCACTCCCAACCACTCTCCTTTTCCAGTAGGGGTAGACTGGCACCCAAACACCAGCCCAGCTCATTGCCCTTAATTTTCTTGGCGATCTTAACCTCACGATCGATGGGCATCTCGTAACCAGTATGGAGGAGAGCATTCATGAAGTTGAGATCCAGACACCACTCTGGTCGATCATGGAGCTCGGCCAGGGCGCCCTCAATCCCTGCAAAGGCGGTCCATTTCTCCTCACCACCACAGACCTTGTTCGTCAGATCCTGTAGCTCACGGAGTGTGAACGACTCAGGCATGCCCAACTCGAAGGTGCGGTCATAAAAGTAGGAGAAAATATAGACATCCTCGCGTGCAAAAGTCTTTTCCAGGGATGGCTGATGAATACCGTTGAAAGAGCAAGGAGCCAGGCCACAGGCCTTATCCTTGTTCAGGATGCCTTCGGCAAGAGCGCGACATTGAGCGGGAATGGCGTCGATGGGGCCTTGCATGAGAACCGTATGCTCACCGGCGAGTGGGTGCCCATCAGGCATGGTGACTTCGACCTTTTTCTCAATACCTGGGGTGATACAGTGGTTGGGGATGGGTTTGGACAGCCAGGCCTGGGAGTTTGGATTCTGGTTGTGCATGTGGTCGAGGACAGAGGCATGGAGGGCCTTGCGGGCGGACATGAGACCATAGCCCAGATGAGAATGCTGGTACAGCTCAAACTCGCGGCCACCAAACTTCAGCTTGTATTTGTGATCACCCTCGGCCATCTTGGGGGGCATCCCTCCGCCCGGGCTCCCCTTAAAAGTGGGCTGGAAGACGATTTGAGTTGAGCCACCACCAAGATCAAAAACAGCTGCAGTAGGGGTCTCGTCGGGGCCTCCGATCTTGCCCAACAAATAGTTTGTGGTGATCCAGGCAAAGACACCCTCATCTTCGCCGTTCATGATCTGGACACCTCCCTTTTCTCGAGAAACCACGGGGAACGGGTACTTTGTCTCAAGGCGGGTTCGAACCGCCTCGAGGATGGCCTGACTCATCTGGTCGCCCAAAAGACGGAGACCGGCGGTGGCTTTGACGGCCACGGGAGAACAAGACTTGTAGGCGTCCGGGACGGTCTTGAGGGCGACCTCCATCAAAGGATCCAGACTCTTTGCTGCGCCCTCGGCATCAGTCTTGTATGAACTCAAGCCGGATCCGCCTTCCTTCTTCTCGGTCATTTTAAACTCCTCGTGTTCCAATTCGGGGGTGGGCCCGCAGTTGTTGAATTTGTAGACATGGATTCTACTCCCAGTGCTCCCTGCATCGATCATGAGGGCATATTGCACCAGAGGCTTGGAGAGATCGTGGGGCTGAGTACATTTTGTAGTAGGGGAGTCTGCCGGAGTGTAGATGTTTGTGGTCGATCCACCCTTTCCGCCTGACAAGAACAGGTACAGAAGGACGATAAAAGTCAAGACGCCGCCGGTCTTTAGATACCGGGCCTGTTGCGTCTGGTTCATCCAGGCGTGCTTGAGGGACTCCAGGTTGAAAGATGTAGGGTGCCCGGAGCCTGCAGTTTGTCTCTCTGCTTTCTCAAAGGGATCCCAGGGAGCGTGGTCGGAGGAAGTGGACGAGGTGGCCCCGGTATTTCTCAGGGGAAGACCGTTGGAGACGGAGCGGCGGCGAGGGGAGGAACCGAAAGGAATGTAGGACCAAATTCCCGTGCGGTCTTTAGAAGATTGGGGCATTGATGGATGGCATGGATAGAAGTGACTGCAAGAAGTTGTAATTGCAGTTGTAGGGGGAAGAGATTGTGTTTTAAAAAAAACAGAGTGGAAAGGGACCAAGTCGCTCGTTGGGGAAAGATGCAGATGAAGATGCAGGTACGACCGAGCAAAATGAAAGTTGGTCGCTCTTTCCTCCGACGATTGAAGAACCAACACTATCTTTTTCCAATCAATCCAACACCTCAACTTCACAACCTCACAACTGGCACCATTTCCCCCTCCCTCTCCATGCTGTCTTCACATCGAATCCTTCCTCTCCTGCGGGCAGCCGTCCCTCAGGCTGCTGCCCGAACCTCATGTCACCACTGTCTCTGTTCCCATGTCCCTCGAACCACCGCCGCCACTGCCACTGCCACTGCCACTGCCACCGCTATGATCAGGCGCAGACATTTCTCGTCCAGCTCTCCTCTTGGTGTCGGTCGACCAATGCCCGTGGTTTTCACCATGGAAGATAAACTAAAAGATGAATATACGAGCGACGAGGACGTGGACACGGCCATGGTTCAACTCAAGACCGATCAAGGCCTATCTGAACCACAAAGTCTGAGACAGCTCCTGTTCTCTATCGACCGATCTACTTCACATGTCGTCCAGCTCACCAAGGTGGGCGACCGCGAGATTGCCATTGTCACCATCATGCAACGAAGGGACATGATCAAGTCCATCGTCAAACGAGAAGAGACTGCCAGGAAGGCTGCTCATGCCGGCAAGGCCAAGAAACCCAAGCAGCTTGAAATCAACTGGGCCATTGCACCCAATGACCTACAGATGAAATTGAACCAGATGGAATCCTTTCTGACTCAAGGAAAGCGGGTCGAAATCATGCTGGCGAGCAAAAGACGCCAGCGAAAAGCCACCGAGGAAGAAGCTACAACTCTCCTCAGAGCCATCCGAGATCGCGTAGAGACCGCTGGTGCTCGAGAGTCCAAACCCTTGGAGGGCAAAGTTCTGGGCCAAGCTCTGATGATTATTGATAAATGAGTCCCGTTTGAGTCCCGGAAACCTATGTCACCCATCCCGGCGCAGAGATAAAATGGCTATGGCTCGCAGACACCGCACTCTCTTGGTCCACCTTGAACTGCACGCTCACTTCCCACTTTTGTCCACTGCTCCCCAGTCCATATCCTCCACTCAACCGGTTCCGGATCATGCTGGTAATTCTCTCCCTCAATTTGACCAGGCTGTCTTCGCTCCCTGCCACTCTCAACCTCAGGTTCACCATCCCCATCCCATAGTGTGCCTGCCAGAACTTGGCCTGCTCGATGCTCCTCACCATCGGCTCCGCTTCAATCGCGCTCAACACCTCGTCCACGTTGGCCGATTTGGAGGGCAGTGACATGAGCAACATTGCTCCCACGTTCCGTCCCAGCTGCACTCCCAAGATCAGCATGCTCAAGGCAATACTCAACGAGAGGACTTTATCTACCCACTCATACGTGTGCAACGAGAGAAGCGGCAGCATCAGGATGGTGCCGGAACAGGACAACGTCAGTAAGTGTGACGGATTGCTCAGGATCGATGGGAGGTTCTCCATGGCCGCAAATCGCATGGCTTTGCCGATCCGGGCGTGGTTCTGTAGCCCTACCGCCGACACCAATGTTGACACAATCGCCAACACCGCTGCCACGTCCACTGTCCCAGTCGTCACTCGCTCATGCGAATGCGGGTGATGCGGCTCGTGTCCCACTCCTTCCAATGCGTGTTTGGCATTGTGGGAAATCAGATCAAAGCCGAAGAAGATCAAGAGCACCGACAACGCGAACCCGGCAATGACCTCCATTCGCTGCAGACCGAACGGATGTCGCACACTCGACCGTCCCCATACTTCGAAGTTGGATAACACTTCGACAAAGACACACAATAGTGCCCCCAGGGAATCATAAAAGATCAAGTGTGACAGTGCCTCCACCGCAGCCGAACTATGCGAATTCCACGCCGTGTAGCCCGCCACCATCATGTGGCAGATGCTCCAATAAAACCGTATCTTTTGATCCGTCGTCATGCTAGCTCGGCATTCTGCAAATGTAGGGATTGGGAGGGAGGTCGGGAGGGCTTGGGGTGCTCGAGGAGGAGGTTCTAGGAAGATTTGATGCGACACACTGCTGTGTTTGTATTTGTGCCCACGTCTCTGCCCGATATTCTGTACAGGGGTGTTAGCCAGATTCTATGTCATCTCACGATGATGGCAGTAGCACTCACTGATTTTGCGACTGGCGACTTGGCCAATGTAGACGTCTGGAAATTAAAAGGTCCTCTCTCAGTGACGTTGCCCATTCCTGCGGTGGCCGGCTTCTCAGGCGTTGCCCCGGACAGATAATTAGCGGACGCCGCCATGTAGTCCGGTTCCAGATGATGCGGTGAGAGTGCGTGAGGATCAAACGGTGCGCTAGGATCGAAGATGGGTGGTTGTTTGCGCGGTGATGAGGGCTCGTCAGGGGGTGGAGTGGGTGTTCGAGGGGGCAGTGGAATGGGCATCATCCTGCTGGACATCTTGAAAAGGCAATGTCCACACGGAGCTTGCTTGGTGGAAGTGATGTGGACTCGCTCGACTGCAAAATGTCCGTGCCCAGACCTCAGACCTAAGACTTCAGTAGTCGTCGCAGGATGGATCTCGTCGTTGTCAACAGCCAAATTCCCATAGTTTGTCGCACGTGTCGTGCGGGACTCGGTGATACCTTTCGCCGAGCGGACCTGCTGTCCTGACCACGTGATCAGGCTAGCGACGACCTTTCATTTCCTGTGTTCTAACCTCGTCTTGGTTCACCATCAATTACTCCTCCCAGATATTATTTCCATCTGCGATGCGTCGCGATTGGCTATCTACTTGTGGATGGAGGGTCCACGCGTTGTTGTACTAGTAGTGCTCCTGCTCTTCATCTTTCTCACACCCGATCAGCCGGCTCAGCGACGGGCCTTCGTTGACGTTGAAACCCTCCAAAGCAGGCGCGAGACTGAGCTTGACGTCTTAACAAATGGCTCCTATGGCCAGTTCAACCCGTCAATTGACAGTTGGCTCAATTTGACTGGATTTCGGAAGGGCGATGGCTACCAATGGGACACATTGGCAAAGGTCCAGCAATGGAGCCGTAACCAGTTCGATGCTGCCTGGAAAGGACTTGATCGCACGAAAGGGCTGCCCATCTACGACCAATTTTCTGGCGAAATTCGTGGCGATTTCATTCAAGTCCAACCTCCTAATATGACGCCCCATCTCAACTTGACAGTCCTCGACCCTAAGAAGGAGTACATGACTGAGGTGTACGAGCGCAATGTGACCGAGCCAAAGGGTGAACTGACTCTGTCACTGTTCGACTTGAACCCAGTGGCGAGTCATGAATCTTCCTCTATCAAAGCAGATTTTTCCATGTGGACTGATTCTGCTCCTGGCAATGGTTGGCAAGCTAGGCTTCAAGGTGTTCACCTACCCTCAGGCCAAGTCATCATGTCCACCACCACCTCAAAATTCGATGCGCTCTTTGCCCTTCCCCACTTTGCCTTGGACGCGGAGACTTTCAATTCCTCCATTGGAGTCATGAACCGTACGGTACACCGTGCATGGCAAACGTCATTAGAGGACATGTCTGACGGTCTCGCATTTGCTCCCCAGTGTGAGCTGATCGTCTGGCTTCAGCCAAAACCTCATCGATACGATGGTCTTGATTCCTCTCAGACAACCATCTTTCTTCAACAGGTGGAAAAGGAATTGAAAACTCCCCTGGGTGCTCCTATCGGCCAACCACCACTCCTCTCTTTCTCCGCAGTCGTCTTTTCCCCAGACTGTGGGTATGTCTTGGAAGCAAGTTCTCTCTTCGGTCCCAAAATCGAAGCATACTGGACCTTGGCGCAAAGACTTGTATTCTCGTTCGTCATGGTCATCGCTCTCCAGATTGCACTACTCAAAAGACAGATGGAGAAGGCTGCAACTCCCTCAACAAAGAGTCGAATCGCATATCAGGGCGTTGTCATTGCTGCACTTGGAGATGGACTTCTCCTATTTGCACTTATTGCTCTGCTCATGATCGACGAAGCAGCGTTCCTTACCATAGCGTCGGCTGCTTTTCTCGCCTGTATTCATGTCGCATTTCTTGAAGTCAAGTTTGTGTTTGACATTTGGACTGTTCAAGTCGGTGATCCTGCACGTGCCGAGCAGGAGCGACAAAGAAGGGCACAACAAGCTGCAGTTCCAGCTCCTGCTACAGCAACTGGTACAGCTGCTGGCACCACAACTTTATCTACACCCCCTCCAGCAACCACAATCCAACTTCCTGGGAGCTTACCCCTACCAGTGACCGCACCCCAACCTGAAGGTGCAAATCCCATCATCATCCCTTCAGACCAGGGTAGTCCACTTCAGGCCGAAATACCCAGTACCCGTGCATCATTCGCTGCCATCTACAGCAGATTCTATTTCTCTCTCGTCGTTCTCATGTTCTTTTCCCTGTGGGCATTGTCTTGGCCCCGTCCATTGAGATCTGCCTACACCAATGTACTCATCTTCGCCTACTTCTCCTTCTGGTGGCCACAGATTTATCGCAATACTATGCGGAACTGTCGCAAAGCATTGACGTGGGAATATGTTATTGGGTCTAGCCTATTACGAGCCATACCAGTCTTGTATTGGTATTTTGCGGATCACAACATCTTGTCCACAGATACCAGTCCAAGTACCGCTTTCATCCTATTGGGGTGGCTCTGGCTTCAGGCTTCCATTCTACTCAGCCAACAGTTTCTTGGTCCTCGCCTCCTCGTTCGTGAGTCTTGGTGCCCACCAGCTTATGACTACCACCCAGTTCTTCGGGAAGATGACGTGGAAGCTGGTGGTATGTCGATTGGGTTGCTTGCATCCGCATCGGAGGCCAAGGACAAGGATGACAAGACCCGCAAAGTTTTCGATTGTGCCATCTGCATGAACGAGATTGACGTACCAGTCTTGGCTAAGTCCGACGGTTCTGGGGGAGGGATTGGTAGAGGAACAGGTGCTACATGGCTTGAGCAAAGGAATTATATGGTCACACCCTGCCGGCATATCTTCCATGCCGACTGTTTGGAAGGATGGATGAATCTGAGGCTTGTTTGCCCCGTCTGCAGGGAAGCATTGCCACCGCTTTAATTGATCTTGCCTCCGCTGTCGGGGATGCTCAGATACGATCAAGTATTTTTTTCGCATTTCAGCCCCCGCATCTATGATATTGGAACGACCTTGTGCATCATCACGCCTTGAGGATCTCGGGATACCTTATCGCCCCACTCCGCCTCCCACCCATGCTCGGCAAGATACAGCTTCCACACCTCGTCTTCGTCGTTTAGCCGCCTGCTTACATCCGGAATAACGAAGAAAGCAATCAGCATCCCGACAGCAGCAAAAGCGGACCCAATCAAGAATGCAGTCTGATTGCCTTTTGTTGGGTCATCGTAAGAATTCAAAATTGCTGTAAATACCTGCGCCAGCTGTCAGTAAAGCAACGCAGGATATACCCGAACACTTACTTGAGTGCCTATCGCTGCGCCTGCCTTTGACCAGGCGGAGACAAACCCCATCATCTGACCTCTGATTGCGGTTGGGAATGATTCAGATGCTGCAAGAACAACGGTACTACTTTCATCAGTACGTGAGAAATGATGCTCGGTGTTCTACAGCACTTACCTTCCAGGACCAACTTCTCCAAGTGTCAGGAACAGCCCGTATAAGACAACAAAAAGCGGGAAGATATTTTCAATTTGCTTGTTGGCGCCTCCGAGGATGAAGCCTAAGATGGCCTGGAGACCAAAGCCAAGTGCCATTGTCTTCCTTCGCCCAATCTTGTCGCTCAAATATCCGCCCAGAAATGGCCCGGGAATATAGAAACAGTTGATGACCACACCCCATCCCAAACTTTTGACAAGAGACTCTGAAGCGTTGACTCGATTGATGATGGTACCAGAGAAAATGCCAAAGGGAACACTGATATAGTTGTAGAGAAACCACGTGGAAGCACATCCGACAAGGGAACGCCAATACTGCTTGAATGCGAGCAAATATGGAACCCTTTGCTTCCTCATTGCCGACTTTCGGTATGCAGTCGAAGTTGCCATGCGGATTCGAAACCAGAAAATTGAAAGTGGCGGAATCATTCCTAGTGCGAAACTCAACCTCCAGACAATGTGGTAGTGTTCTTCCTTTTGCTTCAAGCACAAGAGCAAAAGCAATGGGACAAGCCCTCCCCACACATATCCCAACGACGCCGACAAGTCTGCCAACATGGCGAACATGAAACCTCGCCTTTTTCTGTACTGGTCGCCCTCATCGGTTGCTTCAGCAGCTCCTGCACCGCTGACAGGATACTCACCACCAGCACCCACTCCAGCGATTCCTCGTGCAATAACCAGCATCCAAAGAAGACCGGAAGCAGAAGTGCCATTGGCGGCTGTGCTCAAAGTGATTCCGAGGACCAAGAGCAGTGTTGTCGCAACGGCACCTGTCTTACGTCCCAATTGATCTACGATGGTACCAAACAGCAGCATACCCACTATCATGCCGATGAGGAAAGCATTGGAGAGCCTTGAATACATGGACTTCGTGAGTGCATCGGGGTAAAGGACTGCTAGTAGCAGCTCGACGTTACCGATCACGGCAGCATTACTAGAACAGCGTCAACGTCATTTAAGTATGCCATGAAGGAATTGCTTACTATCCGTCGGAGCCAATTGCTAGTCCAGAGAATAGCACCATCAACCAAACAGATTGTTTACTGTAATAAGTCTTTTGTGGCTCGGCCTCGCTGATCGCATCGATCTCGCCGTCTGCTGTAGATACCGTCGCTTCGCCTTTGACAATCGTTGGCGGAGATACTCCCTTCTGCTCCAGCTCGGCGGCGCGACCGTCACTGATACTTATACTGTCCATGGCTACGTGTCTCAGGTCTCGTGAATGATAAATATGTGCGGACAACCATCAGGGCATGCACTTGGTTTAGCAGCGGATAACCGTGTTTATCTACCACTGACGATCACACTCGGCCAACTGCCGATTCACTTTGCGTGACGATTCGTCAATTCAAAGATTGCTGCTGATCGTCCTTTGTAGCCCTTCATAATTGGGCCTATCTGCGGAGAACGGCGATTTTTCTGCAGGAAGTCGGCCTTTGAATTGCCGAATATGGATAATAGATTGAAGAAACACGACCTAACCACGAGCAAGCCTTCAATCCCTGCCCGTCGAATGACCCACCGCCTGATTTGAAAGACGGAAAAATAATCCTGGTCGGTCAGATAGTCTGAAGTTTGTGCTCCAAACAGTAATATCAATCTCGATTATGAACCGGACATCTCCAAAGTTCCCCTCATCGGCGTACAGCCACCTTCCACGAACTATTTCCCCAGCCCCTTCAAAGACTTCGCCAATCCTTAATCCAGCTATCCGATGCAATGAAGGAAACAAATTACATACAAGATTCTGTTCAAGATGGTCGCGAAAGCGATTCTTGGCGACTGCAATGCCTCCTCGCTCGCACCCGAAAGTTGAAAGCCGTGTGGCTCGGTGTAATTTTGCTTCTTGCATATGTGGTGCAGAAATCCATGGTAAGTACTTCGACGACCTGAAATGAAAGACGAGTTTGCAATCGAGAATTTTTGTGGCGCGAGGACGTCATTGATTTTCACCAAACTGATACGGCGCCAGCTATTCTGCTTCAAGCGCAACTCGGCGAGCTTTCATCGCCATCAAATCGCGAAAGCGCAAAAGTGTACCATTGCCAATCTGAAGCGAAACTCTTATTTTCTTGAAGATGCGGTGCCGATCAAGACTTGCGAATTTATCCATCGACGTGATAGACTCGCCGCCGCGCTCGTGGAAGCCAGGGTTGATGCTTTTGCTCTCGAGCCAGGCTACACGTTCCAGTACTATGGCAACATCAGCCAGGTGGATTGGGAGCCCTGGGAGCCTGAGGAACGCCCTTTCCTAATGATCGTACAGCCTATCGTGGATCAAAATTCTGGAGAAATCAAAGCCAAGACGACGTTTCTCTCGCCGCATTTCGAGGAAGGCCGGGTTCGAATGCTTGGAATGCCCTTTCCAAAGAATGAAGAACTGGAGATTGCCGTCTGGGAGGAGCATTGGAACCCATACGATACACTTCTACGTACGACGTTCAAGAATGCCTCCGGAATCAGAATCATGGTTGATGAAGAGATGCGCGATTATATTGTCCGTGGTCTCGACGCCGCTGGGTTCGAAACAGTTGGACTGAGTTCAGAGGTTGAAAGTGTCAGGCAGACGAAAAGCCCGGCAGAGGTGGAGCTCTTACGGGCGGTGAATACGGGTACGGTGGAAGCGGTCCGCCAGATGAGACCTTGTGAGTTGTTCTTACGTTTTGAGGTTCCATTCTGATAATGTCGCACAACTAATTGAAAGAACAGGCCTTGTCCCTGGCTTGACTGAGAATGATGTCACGGAGATACTGAATAATGCCCTACTCTCAGTTGGGTTCTCATTGTTTTTCAATATCGTACTGTTCGACGAAAATGCGGCCCTACCGCATGGGGGCTTCATCACAGGCAACAAGATTCTCACTTTCGATACAATGGTGTTAATTGATGTTGGGTGAGGTTTCATGGTCAAGGCTTTGCTCTCAAACGGCATGGAGCTAACTCAGAGAATAGTGGTCATTATCTGGGGTACTCTTCGGATATCTGTCGGAGTTTCTTTATCGATCCACCCAAGCACCACTCAGGAAGATCAGTTCCAACAAAGGCATTTCGCCAACTCCAATCATACCTCCATCTGAAACCTGCGAGTCAAACTCAGACCACCGATACTTCTCTTCATGCCTTGAAACTCGAAATATGGTCGTTAGTTCTGGCCGCCCAGGATGCAAGCATTATAGCCTTCACGCCGAACCACACTGCGGCAGATGTCGACATTGCAGCCAGGAGCGTAATAGGCTCCGCCGGCTACGAGAAGCAGTTTACACATCGCGTCGGCCACGGCATTGGGATCAAAGCACACGAGTCGCCATACCTCAACAAAGGAAATTCTGGAGTAAAGCTTAAACCTGGCATGACATTTACTAGTGAACCGGGCGTTTATCTAGAGGGGAGATTTGGAGTCCGGCATGAGGATATCTTTCTGGTGAGAGAGGAGGGTCAAGGTGCAGAGTGTTTGACTGGCAGGAGGGCTAAAGGGCCTTACGATCCGTGATTAATGATTGGAAAACGCGATCGAATGTGGTATTTACTGAAGTGCTAGCGGGGCTGAGCACTTTTCTGCATTGGGTCATAGTGCAACACCTTGCTAACCCGAGATTGGTTCGTGCGGCGAAATTTGAATTCAAGCCAGATTACACAAAGAAATGTACAAGACCTGAGAATGATTCTAATGTGTAATGGTGTTGACAATGTAATACGATCCCTCAGCAATTGAACCCCAGGGAAATTCACAATGAGACCAAGGCTGACATTGTCAAGGGACTTTATAAGGTGGATAATGGAAATGCTTTCACGAACATCTTTTATTTGGAACTTGAACTTTACAAAGAACGGCATTCAACTATCACCGGAGGGGTTATAAGCTCCCCATCAGACTCACGTTCAGCCGGCCCGGGTCACACATCTCTACCAATATATTGTAAGGATTTTCGAAGTATCATACGCGGAACTTCTTCCAACATACCAAGTATTTCAAATCGACAACCACCAACCGCAACACCACATCTCAATAAGCACCAAGCCGAAGTCCTGGATTTTTCACAGCAAACTTTCGCCGAGTATTCGAAAATGTTCAAATCAAGCCCCAATGACATCGACAGAACTCCAAAGCCAATCCCACAAATCACATTCACTGATCTGTTTCTAGCCACTCAAATGACTGAAGGTGCTTCCGGTTCAGATTCAGGTTACGGGACTGAGGACGACACAAAATTGAAAGTTCTCGGACGAAACATGACGGCACAACAAGTTCGTAAAGCTCCCACCGTCAAATATGTCGCGAAGAAACTGGTCCTTGGTCGCTCATGGCAACTCTCCGACAGATTTATTTGGCACCAGGATTCTAACAACCACGTCGATCATTCTATTGAAGATCCCTACAAAGATTTCCACCACGCCACCCGTGTTGTCTGTTATGTTCCCAAGCTGACCGAGCATGAAACTGTGTCCCTAGATGCCGGATTCGTTGAGGCCGACTTCTATCACCAGCACCATCCTCAACGCCGCAATCCGCTCGCTGACATCTATCAAGTCGAGAAGGACCGCATTTGCGCACTTGCGGCACAAGCTAGTACTCAGCATCTGACTCGTGAGGAAATGTATATCATGTCAAGACATTATGACGAAGTCCCAGAGGCAGAGGTTACTATCACAGTGACCGATATCAATGCTTACAAAAAGACCAAGTCTGCTAATAAGCGTAAAGACTTGAGCCGTGAGCGATTCAGGGATTTTCAGTACATGTGATCGGCGAGAAATTGAATTGAATGGAACGAAGGCAATTTCTACACTCTGATCTGCCTACTTTGTCAGGTAAGTACTCGTCACCTTGCTCCCACGAGTTGCAGCGCAGCTGTCTATTATTTCACGTCACCAAGACCTGCTTAACGCATGACCTTGCTGTTTATGTAAACATACAATCAGAAATGTGTCAGGCTAAAATACCCCATTCCTTCGCTTATTCTCGTGATTCTGGCCTACAAGCTTCTTGCGTCAGTTTGATTTGTGCCAAATGCTATATCGGCCATCTATGCTCACTTGGCAATTTTATTTGCTGCGCCTTCAATCAGTTCTGCCGTCGGCTCAATTCCCTTTTTCACACTATCTCTCGCCAATAACTTCTCTAACCAGGCTTGATACGCAGCATACTTCCCACCCTCGAAAATTTTGCCGTATTGATTTAAGAAATCCATTCTCGGCACAGCAGCGGCGTATGGGATGAAGCTGAGATCGGCATATGTGACTTTGTCACCAACGAGGTAATCATGCTGCTGCAGCCAAGAGTCCAACACCCCAATAACTCTTTCTACCTCTCTCACATATCGCTCCTCTGCGGTAGGTAGTCTCTCTGGATGATGTTTGTGAAACCAAACCGCCTGGCCATAGTAAGGGCCTTGTCCAGAGGTCTGAAAGAATAGCCACTGTGCCTGCTGATATCGTTCAGGAGACGAGCTGTAGGAGATCTTACCCTCTTTGTCGTACGTGTCGATGAGGTACTGTATGATTGCTCCGGATTCCCACAACGTTATACCTGTATTTGGATCATCGATGGCGGGCACTCGTCCATTGGGCGTGACATTGGTGAAGGGTTCTTTGTGTAGATTGTCCCACTCAATCATTGCGACTTTGTAGGGGATAGAGAGCTCTTTGAGGATTATCGCGACTTTTGTAGGACTAAAGGAGATAGTTAGGACAGGTTGCGTCTCAATTGAGGTGGGCAACTGAGTCGTTCTTACTTTGGAGTATCTCCGTGACTAAAAAGCGTCAATGGCTTGATGATAGACATTTTGAGCAGCTTTTTGTCGTTGCTTGCTTCGAGATTCGAGTACCGAACTAGTGGGATGGTTGTATATTCCAGAAGCTCAAATGATTATGAAAGGGATGCTCCCTATGCGACTGAAGGATGGAGGCGAGACTGAGGTCTTATACATTGGAAAAACTGTTCTTTCGTTGGTAGCCTCTGTTAATTGTCAATCAGTGGTACTTTGCTTTCCGAACTTTGATGTCCGCTTCCGCTCCGCAGACGAAATTCCACGATCGCTCCCTCGCTCTGCCGAGAGCACCGCGCGGCTGCAAACCTGCATTTGTACCTGATGTAACCGCTTTCTAAAGACAAAGAACCGAATTAAAGAGATTATGGTCCACCAAACAAGATGTCTCCTGAAAGGGACATCGTAGAATGAAGTTGACTCGCAAAGTAGACGCAGGAACAAGACTGGGAGGCGTTATCATTCTACATCTAAGAGCTTTTATCGATGGTCGGACCCGGACTGTAATGATAAAAAACTGCTTGTTTGCCAGCCTTCTCATAGGCCAGGCAAGCAATATTCCACACAGGGGTAGATGGCTTTGTTTACTCAGCAAATCGCCAGTATCTGGATAGTGGCGGAGGCGGGGATTAATAGTCAGCCCCGCTTTAGCTCAGCCGAGAACTCTTTGACAAGAATACTTCATAATGGAAAGTCATTATCATTTGAGTCGTTACCTCCAAGAAGTGGACAAAATGCTCCGCATGATTGAATCACAAGGTGCCGAAAAACAATATCCGCTAGTTGCCGTGGAACAGACTACCTCTGAGGACGGTATCCCTCTCGATTCATGTCGCCCTTTCGATTCGAACTGGTCCACAAGATGTTTACAGAATATGAGTGTTGACGGCTAACTATCTTTCGTTTTCATTGACGGGTCCCAGCGGTTTCTCGCCGTGAGATTGCTCTAAGACTGATATGCTAGGCATAATGCTCCATTGCAAACTAAGTCGGATGAAAATTGAGGAACACGTTGAGTGCTAATGAGGGTGGTCGCCAGCCCGGCCACCAAAAGTGAAATTAACGGATATTACTTTAGAGAAAGACCCAGCGATCCAGCTGCACATGCGCGAGATAGGGAAAAACATTTAATAATGACAGATCATGGTTGCAATGCGTTGAGTTATCTTGGTACAGGGATGCGTGCAAGAAAACCCGCTCCTCGCCCCACCTTCAGCTTTGGCAGGGAAATCAATGCGTACCCAGGCAGCTGAAGCAAACCGCACTCCTTAGTTCCACAGCCTAACTTAAGGGAATTGCCAGCGAAGAGATTTTGCGAAAACGGAAATGGAGAGTTAGAAATGAATTACAGAATGTAATTAAAGCGGCGGGACCTCGAAAATCTTGTTGCCAGCGTATGGCTTACTCACACCCGTAGCTCAAAGTTCGTGCGACAGGCCTTAGTAACATATACTGGAGGTGGTTATGATTCCCTTTTAAGTTTTTAATTCTGGCTCTCCATATGCTGGAGGTCTAGAACACACCTTTCGAAGGGATGTCGAAGGTATTGCCGACGCTATCAATCGCAGGCGTTGGAGCCTTTATGCTCTTGCCGAAAACTGTCATTCAACTAACCAGTTTTCGTGTACGTTTTTGATTACGCCAAGTCGCATCTTCTATGAAGTACAATCCATACACATACTTACATAATTAGACCTCTAACACTAGTGGCGAACACTAGGACAGCGCCACTCGATATACCTAGATGCAGTTCGTGACTAACGTCGTAACAGTCATATGAAATCAAAAAGTGGTTTTGTGAAACACCGGATCATATCTCCACGTTTGCCTAGAAAGGGGCCGAAACAGGTAACAGACTGGGCGGATTGATTATGGAAGCAATGAATGGCCACTATAACTGAAGTATTCATATACGGCGTCACGCCCAAGGATATTGGACAAAGTCACACTCAGTAACATTCCCAACCATTCGCAGTCTCCAATTTCACCATGGTTATCTCTGCAATATTGCTCGCAGCTGTATCGCTCTTTCCAACAAAGACGATTGCTCAAACTGACATCACGCCTTCAAGTGCGGTTACCTTCACCGCGAGTGGGACAGGGGCTTCTCCTGGTTCAACCGACTCAAGCCCTTCCAGTTCATCTGGATCTAATCACCTCGGGGTTGTTGGTGAAACCTTTCAGCAAGCAGCTCTCCTTGACCAGATCTGCAATGCCGCAAAGTTTGGACCGGTCGATTTCGGCAGTCTTGGGCTCAAAGGAGAGGATGTTTGGGCTCAATTGGGTCTCGATCAAACCCTACTCACTTATTTTCGAACCCATGATTGTAAGTACCAATCCCAACATGCGTAGAAATTAGGTCACAGGCCAGGCTGACTTTCATATCTAGTGAGTAATTGGGTTGATTTCTTCTACGGCTTCTCTGTCGAGGCAAAGCTGGGTCCTGGAGATCCAAGCAGGCTTGTATGCAACAATCCTGAAGATTCATGTGACCCTTCCCTCGATTGTAGCGTCTATGACACAAAGCAGGCCGCCATTGTGTCATGGGCAATCAAATCCTTGCATGATATCATCTCAGCCGAGGCAGCAGCCTACGATGATGCCCTTACGTTTCTGACGAACAAGTTAGTGATCCATGGCGTTTTCCCTTTACAGCTTTCAAGACGCTCAGGATGATCAGGTCATGAATGACGCTAATGTTGACTATTTTCTTAGTGACAATGCAGTTGCGAAGAGTCTTTTTGGAGATGTCGCCTTCGGCCCAGACGTCAACGAGGGCGCCAACGACCCGCTCTTCGTTCTTAAGTCGATCATCGATAGCGTCACTAATTACCTGCCTTTGTTTAGACCAGTAAAATTTCTGGCTGAAGGGGTTCTCAAAGTTCTCAAGGTTAGTAAACGCGCTGTATTCATGAGTTGTAGCACAGATTAATACTGACATCTTTCACAGACAGTCCGTAAAGTCGTGCAGGCAAACACCGATTTTCAAATTGTGAGTGCTTCGCAATCTGCAAATTCACGCTCGATAAATTTGGGTTTGAGCGTACTTCCACGGATCATTCTAAACTGACGGCCATGTAGGGCGACCAGCCAGATGTGGATGCCGGACCATTCGTTGACTCGGTCCGGAGCACCTTCACCAATACTCGAGCAGAGCTCAGAAGCCAGATGGGTCGTTGGATGGGAACCGGAACGATCACATCAGACGTTCATAGCTCACCTGAGGACACTCTGTCTTTCCTGGGGTCCGGAAGTGTGCTCAACTCGTTTCATCGGAGTATCCCGGATATGAGAGTGGAGGCACAGGACAATATTTTACAGCAACTCGTGAGTGCACTTTACGAAATACCATTTCCGCTTAGATTTTGGACAATCACAGTCACTGATGTCAAGTAGGGGATTTCTATCGTGGCGGGAATATGGAATGGCCAAGGAGCAACAGTTGATGTCTTTGACGATTTGGTGGGTTGAATGATTCCGGCGCCGAAACGATTACATTTTCCCCTTACGTTTAGGAACATTACAACGAAGAGGAGAAGCCTATGCTAACATACAACTCTGTCTCTCTGTCGCAGGACTTGTGCAAACCGATTCTCCTCCTCCCGCCCTTTCCGCCAAACTATGACCCTAACAAGGACTTCGTCCGCATTCTGGCGCCCAATTTCCCTGGGGTAAGCATATTCTGACTCCTTGTATTCATCTCCGGAGGCTGTATATATCTTGATTGGATTCATAAAGCGAAATTCTGTTCGCCTATCAGGGCCCCTCTATGTGTACAGTACCCATTACTAACGATGTCAATTTATTCCAGGGATCAAGGTGCATTGGGTTATTTGAAGGTCACCAAGTCTCCAAAAACTTTCGACAAACACTCGGAAATTTTCATCTCGACGCTGAAGATGTTGCTACCAATGCAGGCATCTGCGCACAGAGCGGTCTAGGGGGGATTTTCCCTCCCGCAGAGGACGATGTTAATGTAGATGGTGGCCTGCCTAGATGTACTTTCCCACTCAAGCTAAGAAGCTGAGGGCAAAATACAAACAGAACTCTACTGCCGCACTCTTGTCGATCAGTACTCAGGATAGTTGACTAGCTTACCCTCTCCTGGCCGTCTATCATAATCTACTTGTATGTGAGGAAATTTTATACTCTGATCGACGTCAGGCACTTGAGGCCCACATGCCAGCCACGATCTATGCAATACATGATTGATACATTCTGCCTCCAGACAACCTTGATATAAAAAGGATTACATTAGACAGCATTAAGTAAAGCATGTTCGGAAATTCCATCTGGATTCTACTGATGTCCCTCCAGATATGCTGATCAACAGTTCTGCGAAGTATATCTTGGCATCTCGGGGCTGAGGGGCCAAGTCATGAATGATGGCGTTGCCCCGCCAATGCTGTATGGTCAGTTGCACTTTCCTCTTCTGGAATCCTCAACGCACTTTCTCTTGCAAGGCTCAAGCACGAGGCAGATTCCTGGAAGTAGGAGCATTAACCGATTTATTTTCAGGGATTTATGTGTAATTGATTCACCTTATTAGGACCTCAAAACTCAATTGCCCAGGTCTCTCGATCTAAGCCAGCTAACTGTGCGCCAAGAGCCAGCCTTTGAAAGGTCCAAGTATCTGGGTGACTGAGACGAATCAACAGTGTTGAACATAGAACCCTCTCCTCGTGTGCATATCCAACCTTTGATTTCTTCATTTGTTTGGCGTTTCTTATATTTCCTTCACTGAATCCGTACACTTCTGCCTCCTGGAGGCTTAGCTGCCCAGTTCCGGTAGCCGGCGCTGATGAGCACCTAACTCGTGCCTAGGATACTGATGACCTCCAAGTTCAGACGTTTCTGTGGAGTAGATTCCTTCATTGTTGTATTGTTTCACAGCTGGGGAAGCGTATTGTACTGAATCATGGTTGAAACTAGCAGGTGCGGGTTGTGCTTGGAAATGTCCTTTCTGCTGGGCACGATTGCCACGTTTGTGCCAAATAAAGACTCCAACTCCAAGAATGATAGCCAGAATGCCGACACTTAGTCCGACAGCAAGACCAATCTTGGATGAAGTGCTCATCCCGCTGGAAGGCGACTCTATAGGAGAACCCTGGCCGGTATTTTGAGCCGATGCCCCAGAACTTGAAGAAGTGCTTGATGCGGTCGGAGTTGTTGTGGTCCTCAAAGATACTGAACTTGCAGAGACAGAGACAGAGCTAGCAGACGTGACATCGACCGAAGGGGCTGCAAAGACAATGCCTGCAGCGGTACTGCAGTAGTTAGAGTATATGGATAATGCACTGAAGAGCTCGGTGCCATAGTCGTTTATACCATCGCTTTCACAACGACTAGAGACACAGCTACTGAGGAATGCTGTGGCAGATGTTCCAAAATCGGACCGACAGAAACATGCGTTGAGATAAGGGGATCCGCAATTGAGGTGCATAACGATATCTGGGTAGGGGGCTCCAATGTGTCCACTATCAATCCAAACGCATTTTTGTCCACATGCACGCTCTGTAATCCAGGCGACATCTTCGTTGACCGAGACTGTCGCCGTAAGGCTAGAAGCGGTGGTCATTGTTGCAAGAAGGAATGGGATTGAAAGGGAGAGGGGGACAGGACTGAAGGCACTCGAAGATTTTGGTGCACCAAAATCTGTAGTGTAGAGTAGGCGAATGATGGGGAGGAATCGAGACAAACTGGTGAGCCAGAGTCTAGTTTATATAGGAAAGTGACAAAATTGGTGGCCAGAGGAACCTGGGGGGTCGTGGAAGCCACTATCTCGTGATACCTCGCCCCCAACTCCAGTAGTGCTAGCCAGAGCCATGATATACGAGCATGCTGGCCGACAATGACAATCGTGTATTTGATTGGCTCGTGAGTAGCTGCGCCCAAGGCCCTGAGTTTGGTGGTGGGAAGTATCGTTAGCCTGAGGTTGGCTTTCCTGTCCAGACACTGACCTTTGTGCGACTGATGATACGAGGTTAATTGACATGGGAAGAGACATATTAAGTCGACTTCTTATCGAGTCAGGAGAAATCGTGATATCAGGTAGGTATGTTACTAGTTAGCTAATGAACAACCCTCTGCACAGGGGTTGCACGTGCTTGCGGGCTACAGCAAATGTCATTAAATATAGGAAATAGCTTATAAGAATTAAAAAAAGTTTTCTAAGACAAACTCTCAGTGTTCCTCGACTATCTGGGTTTAATAAGGAGCGCTTCTCTCTGATTGATCTGTCCGAGTTAAACGAATTGTGTCTTTAATAAACTTGGCGATATTAAGAGTTATGAGTAGGTTTTAGTGTAGCGAGGCTCCTTTAGTTTTCTAGCACGCTACCGTACATAAGGTTCCTTTTACTTCCCTTTAAATCTTGGCTGTACTATTAGTTCATAACCTCTTCTCTAGACTATATAATAGATCTGCTAGGAATCCGTAAGTAAATTAGGTAATCCCTCTCTTTTTAAGCTGCCTAGGTAGCTGCTCCGGGGGTTCGGGTCGAGTTTCGGTAATTACCTTACGAGTAATACGTACCATACCTAGATAGGTAGGTAACCAACCCGTTAGGTAGCCTCCCTACCCCGCCCCTACTCCCCAAGCCCCCCTGAAAACCGTTCCTTGTGCCCCGGAGTCACCTCCTCTGTTGATTTAATGGCGCGACACATTGCTTTGGTTCGAAGTCTCGACGATAATATGTGAATAAATTCCGTATAAGTTATTCTCTGGCTACTTACGATACCTTGATAACTTAACATATTTTCGTGAGCTTTTGTAAGGGGAAAGGAGCGGACTATTTCTTGCACACAAAGTAGACGTGAAGCTCTCGCTCCCTGTACACTCTTAGTTTCAAAACATTCCACTCAAAATACCGATTAGATTCAACGTTCACGACTATGAGCTCCTCAGTTCAAAGCTCACACGATGTCTCCAACCTATCCTTTATCAACACAGATCTTGCGAGTAATGGGAAGCATCGCTACGAAGATCGGCGCCACTACGCCAGAACTTCTCAGAAGCTTGCCTGCGACGTGTGCCGAAAGCTCAAGGTAATCTTGGGGGGTTTCTAATCCTTGTCGACGGCTAACCAGACAAACTAGATGAGATGTACCATTGACGATGATCCGCCATGTTCTAGATGCCGTACAAGCGGCCGTCAATGCTCTCTAATAAACCAGTCTCAGCCCGCGTCGAAGAAACTCCGCCTCCTGGCCGAAAGCAACCCCGTCTCGACCCCTTCGCCGTAGTGACGACTGCTTTACCTCATGAGGAACATAGCCTCGATCTTTCATCTGACCCCAGAGATCCGGATGGCTCTAAACAAGCCGCAGCCCACACGCAGTCAATGCAGTCAATCTCAGAGTCCTCGGAGATAGACCCAGTCGCCAACGACCAACACCAAACAGGCTTGCCCGACAATGGCATTTCTCTCCAACTACCTTCTATATACTCTGATGCTCCGGTTGACCTCGTGAAGAACCAGAACGCCGCATATACTTCTCCTGGTCTTGAAGATAGGCGGTCTGACGAGAGTCCGCGGTCTGTCGCGGCAATCTCAGGCACTGTGATAACCAATGTCGGTCATGCATATTTTGGCACAAGGAAAAGCATACCAGTATTGGAGAGGGACGTGACGCAGCTCATAGACCTGTGAGTGATCCTGGCACCCAGTTGCATTTTGGGTACTAACTACGAGCATATCTCGACAAAACATGATAGTGTACAGCCCAGTTCTTCACCTGGAGGACTTCCTGAACTCTGCCGTGATTGTGCAAATGCAAGTTGACAAAATCTTGGATCGATGCGCTCAAAAATCTGCTGAATGTAACACAAAGCGGCTTCATTGGTATCAGAGTGAACTTCTTTGTTGGCTTCCCCCGATTCTGTATACGATCGTACAACATTAGGTATCTCCAGAAGTCAATGTCCGACCTTCACCGCCAAACAGCGCTATCCACGTCAAGAGCTGTTCTGGTGCCGCCATCGATCTCCTTGACTGGGTCCTCAATATCGAGCTCAAGGACCGCGAAAGTTTCAAATTTGCCTCAGATAGCTCATGGATCATGATGGCGTTATGCGTCCTCTTCTCGTTGCAAAGTTTGCAAATCCTGAGATCATTAGTTTGTTCTCCACCAGACGCAGGAGAAAGCATCGACAAGATAGAGGAGGCGGGAGAAATCATCATGGCCGTAACATTGCAGCCGCAGATTGGGCCATAATCGTATGGCTGTCATATCGTTGGATGTGCCGAAGCCATCGAAGGCATTGACCAGAGAAAGGGCCTTTGACGAAAATGGACTCGCATCACAGCTCAACAGGCATAATCGAATCTGGCTTGCCTGAATTGTCAACTCACAATTCAAAGCTTGAGGACCCCCTCTCCGGATTCGATTTTGTCTCTTTATACTCATTCGTTGATTTCTGGGAGATTCCGTTCTTGAACGAGTTCCTTGATATGGTCAAAGAAGCACATCACATTGAACTACCCTGATCTAGAGATGAACAGCCCGAGAATTTATCCATAATATCAATGATGCTTCTTTCTACATGAAGGGCTAACCCCGTGTGCCGTAGCACTTGAGTCATGATGTCAATTGACTGCGCAATGCCGATACATCTCTTCCAACTTGGTCCACAACAACTTTGTTACTGGATCAGGGCAGGGCTGGACCTGGACCAATAAGACACAACTGGTACCTGTTTTGAGATCGGGCATCTGCGAGGGAGAACGAGGTTGGTCAAGACTCTTAGAAGGGCGGATTGGAGGAGGAACACTTACCCAGCTCGGATTTGTCATACCATCCCAACACATACTTCGTCGCTTTCGACGACCTGCGATACCTTCTTCGACTACCAAGCCGGCCAACGCATGCTTCACGGGCACTTCTTTCGGACTATCAGGCGTGGACTAATCCAAGATCTCGTCCGACGGACAGGGCTTCCAAGCTTGTGCCTGATAATTGCGGCTCCAGGAACTCTGCTAGGCTTTCGTTGCTGACGAGCAGGCTGTCACGAGACATGAGTGCCTCCAACAGCTTCCCGTGATCTTCTGCGGTTGGGTACAGCCCAAAACCTCCCATCTCATTTGGGGCAGAGACTGGATAAAGAGAGCATCCGGGTGTGAGAAGGCGATTGTTACCGTTCGATCTTGCGCCTATACTCAGCATCGGAAGTTCCTTTCTGAGCTCTGGGTGAACCATCGTATTCTCCATGCCAGTACGTGACCATGTATTTTCAGCAAATGCTCCTCAAGAGTCTGTCCGGTCACTTCTTCTAGAACCTTCCCTGCCCAATCTATGCCTTGGCTATACGCTCAGTTTGACCCTGGGTTGAAATCAAGAGGGCATGTCCAAGTTTTCTATTCAGGAGTTCAGCAATTGCTGGCTCAAGGATCGACGACACAACCTACCCATTCACCAGAAAAGACTTCATGTTGCCCTCCCAACGAAAGATCTACACATCGTATGCTGACCGCAGCATTTGTAGCGCGTTACGACTGGGGCGTTCAAGAAGTATACTAGTGCGCGTCAAGTTGCCGGTTTCGATTTGGATGCAAGCTTATAGAAGGCCGTCACAACGCATGTTGACTAATATCTTGAGGGAAACGCTGATGTGTAAATACGATTTTCTTGTCAAGGAATAGTGTCCAAAATAAGCGAATAAGCTGCCTCGGCCTTCGGCCGTTCTTTCCTCTACACCACGAAGAGTACTATGGACCAACAGAACTCGTTCCCTACATAGTCACAAGAGGGGATATTAAGGTTTTCTCCTCCCCAGTCATACTAATAGCTCTATATAGCAATAGAAACCCTCTCCAACTCCGCATGGCCTGTAGTAGTACTCTTTTTCAGCCGACCACTTCTGATCTCCGTGAGTTATTCCTCCATTGAATACAGACCTTGTCCCTATCGATTTTAATTTGCCTGTCTCTCTTCCGGCAGCTTCGCATAGGTATGAGTTTGTAGGTGGAAGTCAGGCTCATCACTTCGCACAAGCTTAAAATGCACTGAACTGTAGCATGACAGGATGAAGTTCAGAAACTCAACCACCGCCACAATCACACCTGCCCAGAACCCAAAGTGCTTCAAGATAGTCAGCTGCAGGTAATTTATAGCCAGGGAATTGCTCACCATCTCTTGGCAAACAGTGCTGAAGCCAAGGTCCTTGTTCTCAACACGGACCTCGATATCTTTATGAGTGCAAGTCCAGTTCCAAATGTCACTCTGCGACTTCTTGCCTGTGTCCCAGCTCTTGTAATATACAACTGCAGCAGTCGATACGATGAAGGCTAGGAAGGAAGACACCATTGCCATGATCGGACCTATACGTTTCGCACGCAACTTCCGGAACTGCAGGACAAGGCATATATCAGGAACTAGCTGCACATGTTGATTCTTCGGGAATGTTCAAACTTACACAAGCGCAGAGTGTGAGGAGGGAGAGAATATTCAACTTTACAGAAACCACGGCCGCAACTAGCATGAGAGCTGTAGGTCCAGTCTGCAGGGACTGCGGCCATGCCGAGAGCGTAGTACCCCTAGGATAAGTGAACGTCTCGCTCTTGGTACGTTCGTAAACGATCAAAGCTTTAACCATAATGACGACAAGCGCAAACGAGAAGGCCAACGCGATAACGCGGAATGCCACTCGAATTCGGTGAGGTGTAGTCGCCTGAACGGCCAGTGTTTTGGGGCGCTTTTCCCGCTTAGGTACTAGCTGAACTTGGTCCTCATGCTTTGCATTGACGCCAGAATAATCTGTTGTAGAATATGGACGGTAAGGCTCCATCTGCGCAGGTATATAATTGATGACCGACGGAGGGCTGCTGCTGCTGCCGTTGTTGTGACGCGAGAGAGACTGAGGGGAATCGTGGTATTTTGTCCTATAAGACAGATGTCTTGTCCTTTCGGGGAAGGCCCTAGTGCCATATACTGATCCTCTGGGAGAGACTTCTGAGCTCAGTTTTGTACCCCCAATAATAGAGTTCAACCCCCTTCGAATTCAGGGTTTAATCCAGCCGTGCGGAAACCTCATGGCTAGGGTCGACGCTGCTGATGTGTGGTCATGTCTCGCCCCTGAAAGGTATACGATTAAATCCTACAGTTCACAAGAAAAACTTTGTTATGAAATAATCTTTTCGAGATCGTGGCTGGATCCGCTCTTAGCCCCTACGAAATGATATTCATATAAGTCATTACCTGTTTGGGCAAAGTGGGTTATCTTTATCAGGTATAGTGCTTAGCATCCCTCCAATCCTATACCGTTAACTATGGAGCCGCGTCTCACAAAGTAAACGCCTCTTCCGGGCATCGTCCGTTATTACAAAATGACACTGCCACAAGCCCCTTGGTGTTTGATCTACTTCGTCTTTGATTTATTCATATCTAAGGGGCTGATGAAGGATTTAGACTACCCCCTAGGTGAAACGGGGTGCTGGGTTCGATCCTATCCTTAGGTAAGTGGCTTTTAGACCGAGAATATTGGAGATCTAAGACGTATATACCTCTAAAATCACCTTGAATTTTCAATGATATCCGTTACCGCAATATATCCTGGGAATCCAGCCACCAGAACGCAAGCAAAGTTACACGATGCTCTTGAACCACTTCTTCCTCATCCTGACTGGTGCACTATACTGCCAAAGCAAGGCGACAGCAAACTTGGAGCAGATTCTCCCTCGCCAGGACACCACTTTAGTGGCTGGACCTGACGTGTGTAGAGATCCTGACATAGACACAGATCCGCAAAAAGCTTTCAATGACGCCAATGGCATTGATCTGATTCTCGATGTTATGGAACAAATCGGTTCACGTAAGTATATAACAGATGCTCTAGAAAGAGAAGCTGACAGTGGACTAGCTGCTGGGTTTCCATCTCTTCTTGTCAGCCAGATCGTAAATGATCCATCCTTCGTCTTTGACTGTACAGATCTCTCGAAACCCGGGAATTGCCGGGCGCCTACTGGTCCGGTCGAGACAGGAGGGCAGGTCTGTACTGAGCTCAAAACCGGTGTTACGGGCAGATCAACCGACGCTGGTCAGTTGCCATGAACTAGTTGAGCTCAATCACTAATTTTCCATATCTCACAGGGGTTGTCGTTATCCAGTCATACGTGAGGATGTATGGCTTCTTGCATAATTCTCTTATTGCTATAGACGCAGCAAAAGCCAACATTGAGTCTTTGTGAGTTGAAGTCTTATCGTACTGGGAGATTGATCTGATTTTCCCGAAGAAAACTATTAGATGCCATGGCAACGGACTTGAAACCTAAACCAGATACCGCCGGCAAGATTCTTGTCGAAATCCTTGAGATAGCGATTGGTTTCATCCCTATTGCTGGACCTGAGCTGTTGGTCCTCAGAACCGCTGTGAAGGTCGCAACGAAGATCGCCAAGGTTGGCACCTCGACACTCGAGAAGCCGATTATATGCTGACGCTACCTCCAGTCAGTGACGAAAAAAAGTCTGAAAGATAAGGATGATAATCAACCTCCCACCACAGCAGAACTGCAGTCGTATCTCGACCAGGTCGCGACGGATTTCAAGAATGCAATCACTGAACAACACGCGCAGATGTTTCTTCTGGAAAACACGGATGGCACTGGCAGGGATAATTCCCAGGCTAAGTGGCTGGACCAGGGCACTCAACTAGCTCTGAAGGTTACAGCGGATCAACTTACCTCGAACATCGAGACTAACCTGGTCGGTATTATCACGATCTTATGATCGAGCAAGTATCGAGACTTCACGCTAATATCTATGCCAGAAATCAGTACTACTGGCTAATTACATGGGGACAGCAAAGGCTAATGTTGGCCATGCGGTGAGTACTTTCCCGTTTGATGCCAGCGAATGCAGCTGCCGGCCATTTACCAAGGACTAACACATTGCTCCGGCTAGAATGCGGAGGAAGTTAAGCGCCCAATACTAAATATCCACTGCACATTGCCGACAGAAGTGTCCAATGGTGATGAGGTAAGCAGCTACCTCGGTGCTTGAAGTTAACGGCTCAACCGAAACGCATTTTCGGTGGAATGATGGCGATTCAGATACTAGAGCAAGCTTGATAACTAACTTTGTGAGTCCAGACCTGTGATTGTTTCGGGTATGAACCTAACAGCGCCTTCAATGGCAGACTCGAGGGATCTCAGCCGATCAATGCAAACGCGCTGAGGGAGAAGTCAGCCTTGTACGGTGGGGTTCAGTTTGAGGCAATCATCAAAAATGCGGTGCGTTAACTGTGGCCTTGCAACCCTTGTGAGATGACTGACAAGTTACAGCTCGCATGCCACGCCAAAGGGCTCACACAGAGAGATGTCGACATCAACAGCTTCCTTGAGGGCTCGAGTCAGGACCAAACTATACCGGACTGTCTTTTTGGCTTGTGAGTTATGGCCCTATCCACTCTATGTTTATGCAAACTGACCGGAAAGTCATGTGTTCAACTTGTGTGAGCGATTCACACAGGTGGGAACGACTTGTGTTCCTGCCTGAGGCGACCTGTTTTCGTAACAGACATTGTCCACCATGGCCTGTGGCTAAAGTTGAACTACCATCTGCTTATGATTTCATGATGCTATGCAAGAACGTGAAAGACAATGCCTTAACATACAAGCTCACAACTGGCTGCACTATAACGTCTTGGCTATGCTTCAATATGACGCTGGAAGTATCTAGTAACATCAAAGGAGCTTTGGCAGCAACAATTAGGTCTCCGATGCAAAGAATTGGAAATATACTGAGCTCAGCCATTCTCAAATAAAAAGAATGTCGTGCAGGCACCCAGCGAGTGTCAGAATTCGTGAACCACCCAAACTGCGTGTTTTGCTGGACACTCTACCCTTTACCACCTCAATTTTGGTGACTGCCTCATATATAGCTACTAGACTATATGAATAATTTTATATGTAGACCTCCTTTCGTTGTGTAATTGTTGAGTACAGCGCACTCCAGGGCGGAAATCGAGGAAGGTGGTTCACGAATTATGACACCCCCTCGGTGGCAGGAAGCCATGTGTAGCTTTGGGAGCATCATTGACAAGGTTCAAGATAGACGTTCAGCTGGAGACAGTGCGCCACGAAAGTCGTTGTATGGAGGACTGTCCGGGGCCATTATTTCCCAATCTAAGTACATTATCCTGCAATATAAAGAGAGTTCGAAAGTTTTGAGAATCAGTCAGATGTTTTCTTATGGCCGACTCGACTTTGACATTTCCTACTCTTGCGATTAAGCCATGCTTTGCGTTGTCTTAAAAACTGTGTGTGCACGACATACCTGCTTGATATAGTTTTGCGACCGCACGGATGAATAAATCAACTGGAGTCGCCGTGCAGCTAACGTCATATAGCAGTCTCGTGGGTGGCACACAATTTGGTCAGACCTGAAAATTCCAGTGGAGGTAAGCTTCGTTGCTACTGGGGAATTACTTCCACTCCTCTAGACTTGATCTGGCGGCTGAGGCCATTTGTGCTCGCGAAGTACTCCAGCAACACCGGGCCAATGTGGAAAGCCGAGTCCAGTGGGAGTCTTTCGGTTTTTGTGATATCTGCAGATGACGGATATGCACCAATCTATCCCTACGCTCTAAGAGTGAAGCCTACTGCAAATTATACGAAGACAACCCGCTTTCAGTACAGTCCCTCAAAGCCTTTTGATACGCAGGTAAACCTGCTACAAAGTTTAGAGATTCTCTCGGTTTTCCTGGCACATTCGCTGCCATGTACCATGAAGTCGTATTGCGTGGTAGAAGAGTTTTATTTGTATCATCAGCAACGCGTTTGGTCCATTCATACTCAGACTCTGGTTTGGCATCAATTCTCGTCAGCCTTTTCGTCCTCAGCTCCACCAAAGTCTTGATAATCCAATCACTCTGGATTTCGGAAATCACGGGCCCAACAGCGAAAGCCGTTGGACTTTGAGGACCGTATAAGAAAAACATGTTTGGAAATCCCGAAGTACTCATGCCAAGCGACGTCCTAGTACCACTGCTCCATTTTTTGCGAAGAGGTTGTCCACCAACCCCTTGGATGTCAATACGAGAAAAGCTCCCGGTAATGGCATCAAAACCAGTTGCAAGGATCAAAGCATCCAGTTCAATAGAAGTGCCATCTCGCATGTCAACACCATTTTTCGTAACCTGTACTATTGGATTCTTTTGAAGGTTGACTAACTTGACATTGTCTTGATTGAACACTTCGAAATATCTTTGCTCGAGGGACGGTCTTTTGGTTCCGAAAGGCACAGGAGGCAACTCAGGGGCGAGGTTCTCGATCAACTCCGGATCATTCTTTGTAATTCTTTTTCGCACCTTGTCGCGCCAGAAGTTGTAAAAGAGGGTATTGGTGTCGACGTCTGTCATCAGATCATGGTAATTCCCTTGCGATGGTGCAAATCCAGCTTTGGCCCATAGTTCCTCGAAAAATGCGGTGCGGGTCGCTGGGTCATCATCCTTTGCTCTCCTCGGCACGGGGCTGTAGTCAAAACCGGCGTGCGATAGTTTCATCTGTCGAAAGATTTCCGCATAGCCTGACTTCTTGGCCATTTCCAGGTCCCTGCTGAGAAGTTGTTGGCCCATGGGTAGAGCACAATTGATGCTTCTCTGTAGGACAACAAGTTCTCCAGCAATGGGGCCAAGTTCTTGGATCACCTGAACACCACTGGCTCCTGTTCCAATCACGCCAACTCGCTTTCCCCTGAAATCGATGTCCTCTTTTGGCCATTTAGCAGTGTGAAGTTTGAAGCCCTGGAATTTTTCCAGCCCCTCGAGGTGTGGAGTATATGTCTTTGCCGCGAACCCGGTGGAAAGAAGTAGAAATCTAGCAATTGCGGTATCTCCTCGATTCGTATTGACTATCCATTGATCGGAACTCTCATCGAATGTTGCTTTCGTCACTCTTGTGCCGAAGTCGATGTCTTTACTAAGATCCCATTTCCGGTCAACGTACTGGAAATACTCCACCAGTTCGGCTTGACTTGGGTAAGCTTCCCTCCAAACCCAGTCGTCCCAAAGTTCCGGCGCCGAGAATTCGTAGTAAGGCGCGCTGGTATCGACGCGAGCACCAGGGTAGCGGTTATGCCACCATACTCCGCCCAGACCTTCGCCTTCTTCAAAGACCTTTACTTTGAATCCCTGCTTGCGAAGGTTTCGTAATAGGTAACAACCTCCAAATCCACCACCAACCACGATTACATCGAGATCAGCGGTGCTTAAATTATTTGACATAATCATCTTGTTTGCAGAAAAAAGACATGTGTGAATAGGTAAATCCTACAGCCGTAGTGAATAGGTCCTTCCTTATGTGATGCAATGGTGTAGAACCACGCCGTTATGTTTGAAAGCTCGATGCCGGTGCCCGAGGGGGGTGGGGATATGATGACACACCTATGGATGACAAACTAAAAGACCGCAGAACCATCAAAATGGTCAACACTAAACCCAATACGGCACTTGACGGCCTTTTCCGCGTTTAACCGCAGACTTGCAACCAGACATGTCTTCCACGAAAATGGATAAACTTACGTAGCTAGAGCCTCGAAATACTATGCGACTCGGGTTGCCATTCGACTTAGTTAGTGTGGCCCAACTACTCGCCCTAGCAAATATTTATACCTACTTAATGATGCTTTCTTGCATTTTTAGCAGGCCTGAGCCGCGCTAGAAACGACCTGGAAGAAGCTAGTGGCAGCCAGGATGCACCCAAGCAGTAGTGAAGACTATAGCCGCAGTTTAGCTTAAAGCATGCTAACGCACTTCCAATGGATATACAATATCTAGGTACAGCAGCCTGGTGACAGAGATAAGGTCAGATACACAGATGAAAGGGTGGGGCGAAATTGTAAAATAGCAATGCTTGACACGCGCGAAAACTGCAGAAATAGGACGTAATACACTCGAGGATATATACTGCATGTGAGGCAATGATTATTCCTGTAATTTAATCCCTTACACAGAATGGTGATCTTTCGCTTCCACTATGTTACAGCCTTCCAGAGCATCATCTTATAACATAAGATTACCTCCCTTGTCAGTGGTTTCGGCGCTGGTACTTGTTGACTGTTTTTGTCAGTGCAGTCCAGCCCAGTTGCAAATATACTTGGGTCGTCACAGATGGTAGGATACTTAATCCTGAATGCGGGATCGAGTTTCACTTTCTGGCGATCATTCATCTTCAGAGTTTTGAATAGCCTCAGTGCAGCTTTCCTAGAGCGAAATATATCATCAAGGTGCATCGGGATCCATGGCTCTGTTTCCTCGTCTTGCTCAATGTGATACGGACTTTCAGGTGTCGTTGTCCAATCTTGAATGCTAAGAAATTCAGGTTGTCTCGAGTCTGCAAGTGACAGTGTACTGTCTATATCGGTTTCGTTACGCGATATTATCTGGATCAGGTCCCAAATGCGAAAATATCCTTGTCGTGGCATCTCATCCGGAAGTCCAAGCAGAATTTTTGAAATATCTGCTTCGACAACACAAGCGGCAGATTGCTCACAGACGATTTGGTCAAGCATCCAACTGTGAGAATAGAGCTCAATCAACTTATCCCTAATATTAGGAAAGAACACCCAATCGATAATGGAGGGATGCAATGTGCTAAGTTGTGTAGCGGTTGGTCTGTGGCACGGGAGTAATTCTTGAAAACTCTCGAGAGAGGGATCCAGTCTCCATCGAATGATTCTCTCCACTGATGCAGAAGACCCCATGTAAGCCCACCAGACCCTCATTTCAGGCCATGCGGTATTGACAAACATTGATACCATGCTGGAAATGTGTCGAGAAAGTCTGAGTCGGTTAGCGTTAGTACAAGATTGCTGGTGCTAGCTTACCTTTCACTGCCTCCCTTACTACGCCGTTGTTTGTAAGCTTTGCTTTGCTTTATGAAATACTCGCAAGCTGCCAAATGCCCTGAGAAAACGGAAGGAAAATTGATATTTCCCGGTGGGGACATAACATAACTATCGGATGATATCCTTGAATCGTGGAGGTATGCTCTCTCAAAGTTTGCAATCTCCATCTCCGAGAGATTGGTAAGCTTATCGACAATATCCAACTCTGCATGCCGAGATACCGTGGTCTGCGCTCGGTCCAATTCTTCGAATATGTTGTCGGTTTTGTTTTCCTGATTCGTCCTTTGAGTAACAGCAACACCAAAGCTCGCTGGCGAGCCCGTGAGTGGGACATTCGTAGCCCACGGGAAAAGTTCGACTGCAGAGTGCAGAGCCGAATCACTGATGTCGGTCATATTGGTGGTGTCTAAGTCGTAAATATCGTTTATGGAGACAGGTAGATGTATGGCAATCGCATTTGCATTGGTGTCTTCCAAGGTCGGAGACCTCGTTGCTCGCGGCGAACCAGCGTGCCTATCGTTCTCTGATGCTTCGCTTTCTTCATTGGCTGACCGGGCTGGATCCTTGTCATTTCCAGACGCCAAACCTAAGCTTGTGCCTATACTATCGGCGACATTGGCAAGTGCGGTATTCAAGCCTAAGATGCGTTTCCTGGCTGCAAGAAGAGATTGCCGAAGCTGCTGACACTCTTCCTTGGCAGCTTGTAGCCTGGCATCATCATGCTTCGAGGTCTCTGCAAGCTGTGTCTCTAATTCTCGTATGTAAAGCGACTTCTTCTCCCTGTGTGACTTTTGCGAAACTCGATTCCTAGCTCGCCTGTAAACAGTCAATTCATTGGCCCGCCAACCATGTCGCCTGAGTTAACATGCTCAGCGCAACATATCACTCACCGTTTCGCGATTGCGCTTTGCTTCGCGTCTGAAGGATTATGGACTGACGTTGTACCAGGCGCCATTGGTCCGCAAAGGAGTGACTGTATCCTTGTTCAGTCGAGCAACGAGTTCGAAAGTCGAGTTGCACTACTAGGACTTAAGACAACGGGCGCCCCCAGCGTGACTCAGCACTTGGGAATGCGATGTCATGCGGGGTAGGTTTGTCATGTTTTGGTGACACCTCGGAGTTGAGTTTCGAAATGTGTGTGGTCAATTTCCTCACTACTCATTATCGAATTAGAGGCTGGAACAATCCCTGACTAATTGATATAGGCTTGTACTAAATTTTTCAAGCCGAGGTCATCCAAATCTTGGGAATGCTGCTTTTACTGACATTTCAAGGGTGCTGTTCGTTGTCAAAGTCATTTTCCATTGTTGACATCAAATTAAACTGCTAAGCTCTTGTTGTTCTCATTGCGAGCTTTCGACCTACCTTTCATGCTTGATAGACGTTTCGCTTTACCAAAATGCGTCTTGATTATCTATCAAATCCACCAACTGGCTTATCGCCTGAAGGTGAGCAAGTGCTAGCAATGGTCAAAGCACGGCGTGGAGAGCATGGTCTTTTCCCTCTTGATCGGACATTGTTATATTCACCAAGTTTCACAAGAGGTAGGTAGTGATCACTATCAAAGTTTTTACTTTTAGCATAAGTTTACAGCTAAATGTTTCCTCAGGCTGGCATGCTTTCTTTGGAGCTATACGTGGGGAGGGAATTCTCCCCGACGTCATACGAGAGATTGCCATCATTCGTGCTGCTCTTTTAAATCAATGCTGGATGGAGTGGTATCCTCATGTGGAAATTCTCATGAGATGTCAGGGTTTCAACGAAGAGAAATTAAATGTTCTGAAGCAAGTTGAACCGCAGGAACAAGGTGCATTGTCTGATACGGAGTGGGCGGTGCTACGTTATGCCGATGCAATTACAAAGACCCTCACTGTGCCGCAAGAAATATTCGATGCCGTGCTTGCAGCAGGGTTCAATCAGCAAGAAGTAGTAGAAATCACATTGAGTTGTGCTGCTTATAATGCAGTGGCTAGACTTGCGATCCCTCTTGATATTGGGGAATTCAACAACAATATACCCGACTTCGCGAAATAATAACTTAAAAGCATCTAATTCTAAAAAAAAATCGAAAAGAATTCCTGAGCTACCTCAAGATCACTACCAACAGGGAAGGATTCAGTAAATATTCTCTGAGAAACATATCGTGTAGCGGCTTCCCTTATTCTCGGGCTGAAAAAGCCCCGAGTTGTACTATAATGAAGTTCAATTGGTATGCAAATAACAAAATAAATTGTGAGGCAAAGAAAGCTACTTGTGGAACGACATATATGGAAAACATTTGAGCTGGATATGAGGCTAGGTAGATTAATAGAAGTAGCAAATTGTAAATACCTAAGCAATTCTGAAAGGGAAGAATAAGGGATCTCTCGCATGCGAATCTGATTCCTATTGGCCATGGGAGTGGCCATCCTCGGCTAGCACGACAAATAATTCACGAACGCAAATATCCTTGGACGTCGCACTAACGAGAGATCCAACACACAATGTACCTAGTCGGATATCCTCAGATGGGGCTATATAACTGTGACTGGAATCTTTCCGCCCTTCCAAATGATGATTCTGTCCCTTTGGAAGCATTTGATTCCTCTCTAGGCTCGAATTCGAGCTTAAGCGACAGGAGAATTTTCGACGTGTGTAGAGCTTCTATTTTTCTCATCCACCACGACCGCCTGATTTTGCGGGTCGATGATGATATCATTTTGGTATATCATCACAAGATCATCATCTCCGAATAGCTTTGCAATCTCCTCGAGGGGTTTGTTCCGCGTGTCCGGGAACTTCCATAAGATCGTGCCAGCCGCCAAGAATGTTATGATGATAAAGAATAAGTAGAACTTCCATCCAATAGTCTTAAAGGCTGTAGGCGCTGACTGCAACCAGATGATGCTTGATATACAAAGCGAGACCATGCCGAGCGTCATGCCTTTTGCCCTTAGGTGTGTGGGGTAAAGCTCTCCAGAGTAGAAGAAGGAAGGTCCCTCCAAGAAGATTGAGTAGCATGCAACCCAGATGAATAGCATCGCAACGGTTCCTGCAAGAGCAGTTCGGTTTGTTGAGCCGATGAAGTTGGCCGTAAGAGCAGTTTGGATGGTCATCGTTATCCCACAACCAAGGAAGCCAAGACCCATGAACACGGGACGTGGGAGTCGGTCTACGATAAACAATCCGATAAGAGAAGTGCCGAATGCAGTGCCCAGCCACCCAGCTTGGAATAGTAATGTCTGGGTGGTGCCAAAGCCTAGGCCTTTGTAGAGAATGGTTCCATAGTCTGCAGGTGTCAGCAAGTTCACGATCATTGCACTAGAAGCCTAAGAACTCACTGTTGATGACGAGAGATCCTGAAGCGATGCAACAGAAAGTAAGTCCACAAGACATCAAAGCGCGCTTTCGATATGAAGGTCTTCGGAAGAACTCCATATAGCTGACGTTTAGGGTGCGCTCGAATTCAAGCTGTCGCCTCATTTGATAAAACTCAGCGCTTGCAAAGGCGTGGTCGGGATCGTCATCGCGAGAGTGTAAGCTTTTGACGACTTCCCAAGCCTTATCTGCTTGGTCCTTAAGCAAGAAGTATCTTGGGCTCTCAGGAACAAACCAAGTGCAGAGTATGCAAAGGATGCAAGGGACGCAGCCGATCGCAAGAGGGCCTCGCCATATGGCACGTCCAAGAGGATTCTGCTCGGCAAAATAGAAGCCAACTCCGACGTAGGATGCTGAAACATAACCAACGTCAACAAAAACACCGTTGATGGCTGCCAGAACACCACGAACCCTGGGTGGTGCAATCTCATTGATCCATAGAGGAACAATGGTAACCTCAGCAAAAGAACTTTGTCTTGTCAGTGTATGCGAAGAGATATCATTGTTGTAAACTCACCCTGCGCCTGCCAGTGTTCTAAAGACGATGAACATGCCAATATTTACCGATCCAGCCGATAGCGCATTTGCAACGAAAATCAAAGCAGCTGCGCCCATGATAACGGCCTTACGGCCATATCGATCAGACAGCCAACCACTTGAGATTGTCCCAAAGATGCCACCAACGTAGAACATGGCATTCATCGCACCAATCAATGCAGATGCGTTAGGGTTGGTATCCAGACCCATATAGTTCAAGAACGAGGGTTGACCGAGGGTTGTGCCAATGATGCTGGCCGAGTAGCCATAAGATGCAGCACCCCAAGCCGCTCCGGCTGTAAAGAGGATGGTGGACCATTTGAAGGGTTGTTTCTTCATTTGATCCTGAGTAACTTCCATCGCGGTAGGAGCTTGAGTCATATCGATGGGAGTTGGTATGCGATATGAGGTAAGATGTTTGCAGAGGTTGAGGATGTAGCAATCCACACGACCAAGTCGAGAGGAGTCAAATAGAATTATAGTCTCACTCACTGCGCTGAAAGCTGGGAAGGCGGACAATTACTCAATGTCGGGCCGAGCAGACCTAGCAAATCAGGTGCAGGACGAAAAGATTGAGTTTCTGACACACTTACGGAATGGTCACTAGCGAGACCACTGTAATTTGTTGAGGGGAGCGTGCAGTCTTTTTTCCACCCGTGCATGTCTCGCGGGGCGGGAAAGCTGGGGAAAGCTTCTCGGATTCGGGGAGGTTTTGGGCCGGTGACTGTACCATTGATTGTGTAAAGCCCTATGCCACACACAGCTCCGACAAGATCCCGCACTGTGGAGCCCTTCCTATTCGAACATTGTTGACAAAGTCCTTGATGCTGTTGCTTCAGAATTCTGGACACCGAACCCAGTGGCAGTATTTTCCACTGACAGGTAATTAATCTACTTCACAGCTCAATACGTATCTTGGTAAACAGCCTGGCCTCATCTTTTCGTGATCATAGATTTACCAGACTTGCTGCCAAATCTTACTCATAATGGCTGCCTCTAACATAAACCCTGTCTCGAATTTCAAATCACAGTATGCAGTGCCAGATTTCGAGTCGTTGCCAGAACGTTATGAGTGGGCTCAGGAAAATGAGAACGGATATCGAATCCGAGAACAACTGTGCGGCACCGAACGTCCCTTGAGAGTTATTCACGTGGGCTGCGGCGCCGCCGGTATTTGTCTGTCAAAGTTTCTCCCTGAAGAGTTGAACAATGTTTCTTTGACTTGCTACGATAAGAATCATGACATTGGTGGGACGTGGCTGGAGAACCGGTAGGAAGAGCAAGCGCCAAGTCAATAAGGCTCGTCTAATGGATTGTTCAGATACCCCGGATGTGCTTGTGATATTCCGTCGGTGAATTATCAAGTATTTGGGCATTTGAAAGGAGTTCTACGACTGTTGCTAACATGATTACCTAGTTTACTTTTGCGAAGAACCCGAGTTGGACTCATTTCTATTCGTTCGCCCCCGAAATCTGGCAATATATGCGAGATATCGTGGATCGCTTTGGCCTCCGAAAATATATGAAATTGAAGCATGAAGTTATTGGCGCTTATTGGCGTCAGGAAGAGGCGCATTGGGAGGTTCATGTCAAGGATCTACTAAATAACACCACTATCATCGACTATGCCGATATTTTTATCAATGGTAGTGGACTCCTTAAGTGAGCTGTCCACCATGGAGAGGTGGTGTTGTCACTAACTCAATGTAGCGACTGGAAATGGCCCGAGATTAAAGGTTTGCATGATTTTAAAGGCCAATTATGCCACACAGCAACGTGGAGGGATGACATCCAGTACAAAGGCAAACGAGTGGCTGTGATTGGCACTGGTAGCAGTGGCATTCAATTGACGGCCAATATTGCAGAGCATACAGAAAAGTTATACACCTGGATCAGGTCTCCAACTTGGATTACAGCCGGATTTGCCCAACAATTTGCCGGGCCGAACGGGGCTAATTTTCAATGTGAGTGGCCATCATATCAAATTTGACGTGGAGACTAACTGCATTTCCAAGACACCGTGGAGCAAAAGAAGCGTTTCCGGGAGCATCCTAAGGAGTATGTCACTTACTGTAAACAGATTGAGAATGAGCTAAACCAGCGATTCAAATTCATTCTCACCAACACCCCAGAGGCTGAACAAGCCCGACAGGTACTTGTTGTCCCCTATTCATGTCATCATATTATCTAACGATTTCCCAGTTTTCCGCGGCTCAAATGAAGGAGAGGCTCTCTGGTGACAAGGCCCTCATTGACGCTATCATTCCCAAAGACTTTGCTGTTGGCTGTCGTCGTCCTACGGTAAGAGTCAAATTGTTTTTAGGATTCTGTTCATCTACTAATGTTCATCAGCCTGGTAATGGCTTTCTCGAAGCTCTAGCGTTACCGCAAACCCATGTTTTTACGAAAGAAATGCAAACAGTGACTGAAAAGGGCTTCATTGATGCCGAGGGAGTAGAGCATGAGGTCGATCTCATCGTCTGTGCTTCGGGGTCAGTGGTATCTTCTGAAAGAGAGGACGTATCTAACTTTTGTAGCTTTAACACCAGTTGGAGATCCCGTTTCCCGATTATTGCACACGGAAAGAACGTCCAAGACCATTTCATAGGCAAGCCTAAGTCGTATTTCGGAATCGCTATACCTGGCTGTAAGTTCTCGCCCTCATTAGTTGAGCTCTGCTAATTCAGCCTGTAGTCCCTAACTATTTTACTGGAATTGGTCCTTATGGCCCGCTTGGTCATGGGTCTTTCCTGCCTGTTCTCGAGCTGGTCTATTATTACTTCATTCAAGTCATTAGAAAATTCCAACGTGAGAATATCAAATCACTTCAGCCACGAGAGGAAGTTATGGACAAGTTTGTAGAACATGCAGATCTATTCATGAAAAGAACAGCGTGGGCAGGACCATGTCGGAGTTGGTTCAAACAAGGCAAAACTGATGGTACGGCCACAATATTTCCAGGGACGAGATTGGTATTCTTTGATGTGCTCTCATCACCACGTTTTGAAGATTATGAGATTGAATATCAAAGCGGAAACCCATTCAATTGGCTGGGCAATGGGTTTGCGTTATGTGAGTACAACGGTGGTGACATTTCTTACTATCTCGGTAACACTGAGAATCCCGGTGGGATGCTGCCGTTACCTGAGGATGCCCTGAAAATAGGACCAGCAAAGAATCCCGTTGTTGCGAGTGTGGTACCATTGTCAGAGGAAACTGTCATTTAGACCAGAAAGGACAGCTAGGTCCCGGGGCCTTTTCAGAAGTGATAAACTTGATTGAACTTTCTATCTATCATCAGTCCACACTTAAATGATTGACAGCCTAGCTTGTCGGAGGTTGTTACGTGTGTAACTGCCTGGCGATTTCAGTTTGAGCCGTATTGCAAGGCACATGCTCCCCATCATCTTGGGTTGCATGTCTGTCATTTCCATCCATGCACGATACCCGGGAGCCGAAGTGTTATTCATGTTGAATGAGTCTAATCGAGCAAATGGTCGCCACCTCTTCGCCAGCTTTCGTGATGCAGTCGGTCTGTGAATAATTTGACTAGGAAAGAGTAGCATTTACAATCCTGTGTAGTGGGGCTACCGCTATGACTGAAGTCGTTTGGCTGCTTAGGAGGCAGCTCCTACTGAGCAGACCGTCAATGTGAATAAGGGCTTTAATGCAACTTGTATTGTCGTTATATCTGGACCATGGGTCGGATAGCGGAAATGTTCTTGGGCATTGAAAACATCCCTGGCTTGGTGTGAACGAGGAACTTGTCGCGCCAGAAGCGCATCTGGCCGACAATGCACCATCATGCCCAAGCTAGATCTGAAAAAAATGATAAAGCACATGTTTTGGCAACGTGGAACCCAGTAGGGTAAGCAAAATAAGGAAGCAACCATCGACACGCAAGTGGACGTGGAAAGGAAGCCTATTCTACAAAAGGCAATGACTTCTTCTTCGGTAAATCCGAATGATAGTGACTAAGACAGATCAATTACGGCATCCTCGGCAAGAATGAAGAGGTGTTAAGTATAGATAGGTATTATGCATTGGCAAGAATGTGATTATTGGGCTGTGGTGAGTGAACTAGGATAAAAAGACTGGCAGGAAGGTAGATAAATGAGCGGTGGACGTGCCAAGGCCCGCTACCACGCGACATCTATGCACCGCTAGCAAGTTTATCCGTCGGCCGAGAATCCACTAAGAACTTGCTAATTTCCAACCAGGGTTAGTGGTGTTTACAAGGGAGGCTTGGCGGCTAGGCAATTGCGTCCAATTGGTTAGCTCTTCTCTCTCCTCCTTCCTTGTACGAAATTTTACCACAATAAAGCCCTCCTACTGCAACAATGTTCGCAGCATTTGAACTCCTCCCTTGACAGCAACAAGAAGGTGCAGAACAAGTTCAAATAGAGATACCTAACGCTCCCGAACGAGCTAGGCCAGATCTATGTAACCATACATCTCCAACTTACCTTTATCGGCTTCCATCTTTCGAGCCCAGATCCTCATCGCCTCCATAAACCTCCCCAAGCTCTCCGGCTTACTCATATCAATGGGGGTTTGTCCTTTGGCAACTTGACCCATTTGAGTGCCTGCAATCATGTTGGTTAATGCGAAGTCATCCTGGTCTGTCAAGGGTCTGATGGCTCCTGTGACCTTGCCCTGTAGTATATCTTTGGCAAGTTCGAACTCTTGACATACAGTCCTGGCCAATCCAACCCCGTCGACCGTCTCTAGAGCTTTGACCATGCCGCCGACTGTCTTAAAACCCCCAGTGATGTAGACCTTGGTCCTCGTAAGAGCCGGAACAATTAAATCAGCAAATTCCAAGAAAAATGCTTCCCTCTTCTTGGTTGACTCCCGCCGATGTTCGAAGGCCATGGACTGGTACGTTCCACCGCTCAATTCGACGAAGTCAAACTCCGCTGCTTCAAGCATGATACAGAGCTCCCTAGCCTCTTCAACAGTAAAGCCCCCGGCCTGGAATTCCATACTGTTGATCTTGATTCCGAGTATAAATCCGGAACCAGAAGGGAGCTTGGCACGGATAGAGCTGGCGATATCCAGAACCAACCGCGAGCGGTTCCTCAAGGATCCACCATACTCATCAGTCCTGTGATTTGTCGTCTGGGATAAAAATTGCCCGAGGAGATAGCCGTGAGCCGCGTGCAACTCGATGCCATCGAAGCCGGCATTCGCCAGATACTCCGCTGAATGGGTGAAACGAGCCACAATGTCGTCGATCTCTTCATGTGACGCAGCATGTGGTTTTGCAAACCGCAGTCCAAACACTTCTCCCTCCAATTGGATGTCGCTGGCGGATACAGGGTTGGCTTGAATGTTCTGATCAACCTGTCGCCCCGGGTGGCAAACCTGGCCGGTGATCAAACTTCCCTGGCGTTTTGCCGCACTAGCTATCTTGTTGAAGCCTTCGAATCGTGGGCCTTCGAAAGGCGCCTCCAGTGGAATGATTAGGTTCCCGGGGGCTTCTAATTGATCATAATCGAGCATGATGTTTCCAGTGAGGATGTGCCCGAGACCACCTTCGCCCCATCGCCCGTAGAGTCTCTGGAGTCCTTCGCCTGGTATACCTCTCGCCTTGAGGTCCCGAGGATCCCAGGAGCTTATTCTTTCCGTCATAGCACCCTTCAGAAATCTGTTCGGCGCTACTTTACCGCTGAACTCGAACACGAGTGGCTCTCCCAGGGTGGCCGCATTGTCAATGTCTGAAGGATAACGGTCGGACATCCTCTTGACTCTTGTATAATGGGAGTAAAAATTGAAGAGAAAAATGTCTCATTGAAGTTCCAAACGTCTGGTATAACGATACTTAAAGGCAGTTAGAACGTGGCAGGACTTGTGTCATAGCCGGTGACAGTAAAGCGAAGTAAGCTTCAGCTCATCAATTGACAAACTTGTCGATTACTTCTGATTAGTCAAGCCTAAAGTGGCTAACCCGCATAAGGTAGTTTCGCTGCACGAGTTCGAGTGACGAATTATTGAGCTTTGATATGCTGTTCAGTGGAGATACCGCATGATTGGGTTTGCCACCGACTAATTCTTTCTAGTTATATTACTAGAAACCGAGCGATGAGGAGTTCCGGCACGTGGGAATTTGGAGCAAGTTCCAGGCCAAAGCACTTGATGATTCGTTTGTAAGTCGGAACATTGAATGCCCACGTATCGGAGACAATAGATGGTAAATATACTTTTATGGTGTAGACTTGTAGGTAAGTTCTGTTCTTAACCATAGTAGTATAGAGCCTGAAACCATCAGTTCCTTCCGCGAGATTGCCAGCCATAACCCTAAGTCCACTTCACGAAGAGTAGCCTCGACAATCAGTCTGTGGTAATTCGGTCTGTGCTCAAGGCCATCCTCCGCCTCAGCTCAGCTAATTCAATTCCAATCGGGTTTTAGCACGTACTGTCTAAAGTCTTTTGGTTTCGACAATAGGAGACACTGCGAAATGAACCTCTTGGTCTTTCCCACGGTAAGCCTCTATATCGTGTACCTGTAGGAAGTAAGGCCCTCGATGACACGTTCTCCACGGCCAGCTTGTCGATTGGCATAGGAAAACCACATCATGGTAACCACTGTTACAACAAGACTGACGATAACCAGAACTCCCACGGCGATCACACCAGGAAGATAGCCAGGGGCGTCCTACCAAGGTTAGACTTTTAGGGAAAATACCGTCAGAAGTCGCAAGAAGTTTACCTGTTGTCTGAACACCAAAGCTGAGTAGATACCCCCAATCGAACTCAAAGACGTTCCCCACACTGCCCAAATGCTTCTCTTTGCGTCCCCCCTGACATTATTCATGCCCCAAGTATTGCCCGTAACAAGAAGGGCGTTTACACCGCTCTGTCCGAAGAATGCACCCGCATACCGAGCTCCTGGCACTTTCAAGAATGCAATCATGCAGAGGCCAAGGATAGTGAGTAAACAATGGACGAGAAGAAATGGCCCACGAATTTTGAGCCTATCAGAGGCATACGCGGTCGAAAAACAGTACACTGCAGAGAAGCCCGCAGGTGGGGCCGTGAGAAGAAATGACATCTTCAGAGAGAAACCTAATTCTCTGCGAAGAATAGTTGGGAGGAATAAGAGAAAGCTGTAGCCCCCAGCTGCACCAACTAGAGCAATAAAACCCCTGAAGCCATCAGTATGAAGATCTCAGAGAATTACATTGACTTACAGAGCCCACATATAGGGCTTTCGAAGAGTCTCGAATATGAGATTCCACGTTATTTTCTCAGTTTCGAATGAATTAATGTCTGCAAGAAGCCGTTGTTTGACTAAAGCTTTCTCTGCTGGTGTCAGCCACTTGTTCTTTTGGTCATTGTACGGCATATCTGGGATGATGCGCCAACACAAGACCGCGTAGCCGGCTGTGAGTGCCCCTTCGACAATGAAGATGTATTTCCATCCATTATGAGCAGGATTATCTGCGACCTGTGTCAAGCCATAGGCCAGTATGTTTGCGAAAGACGAGAAGAAGTTTCCAATTATGTAATAAACAGCAATCCTAGTCTGCTGTTTAGTCCATTAACTGTTCGACAGGAAGAAGTCATACCTTTTCTGGTATTCATATCTGCAATACCATGACGACAGGAGGTACACAGTGCCGGGAAATAGACCCTGACAAGTTAGTTCAGTTTATTCCACCAGGGTAGGAACCTCATACAGCCTCAAAGACACCCAACAGGACCCGCAAAACTGCGAGCACTTGCCAACTGTGAATAAAACCAACACAAAGAGTCACAATGCCCCAGCAGGACGCCAAAGCACTTAGCCATATTGCCGGTCCGACCTTCTGGAGAACGATATTGCTAGGGAGTTCAAATAGGATGTACCCGAGATAGAATACAAGAACTGTTGAGTAGCTAATGAGTATATTTCAAGGAAACCCAGGCGGTGTTTAAACATACTGACAATAGAAGCGCGATTTCCAACATTAAGCCCCACTGCTTCATCAATTCCTGCAATGCGAGCTCCTCCTAAATTGGAACGATCAATCAAGCACCAAAGATAAAGACCACCAAGGATCGGAATAAGTCGGCGATCGATCTTCCAGCTAAACCGAGCAGTCAGCATTACATCCAGAATTTGAGATGTTGTGACCTTACAGGACTTGTCGCACAAGCGCTTGCTCTGTATCATCGTTTTCTCCTGAAGAATCGACTGCAGAGCTTTTCAATCCTTCCTCTAGATGTATGGCCTCCTCTTTGAGCATCTCTTCTGCTGAGGCAGCAGTCTTAACCGGGGTCTCCATCTCTTAGATTGAAAGTATAGGGTTTAAAGGTTTGAAAAGTCTTGCTTGTGCACTAGTGAATAAGCGAGGAAAAGATGTCCTTTGAGATTACGTTACCTCAATATATATGGATGTTTGAGATTCTACGGGCCGCGGTTCAAACGAAAACCCATGACCTTGGGGAAGGCCGAAGAAAGTAAATCCGCACCCACAATTGTTTACGAATAAACCCCATACTAGGTAGGTATACACTTGGCTACTTTAAGAGGGTGATCAGTGGATAGCGGCTCCGGTTAGTAATATTTCGATACACCTCTTGGCGCCCAGATTAGCCATGAGCAGCGGCAGTCCCTTTTAGGAGAACAAAGCTACTAGTGAACGACTACCGAAGTTAGTCCTTCAGCGTGCCGCCTTGTTGCTAATAAGAGCGCACTTTTCTACCTTTTGTGCCACCGCCACTGACTTGTAACGCCCTTAACATACTAAACGCACCAAATTTGACGGCAATAACTAGCAGAATCCGACTCCCCAATGTGGCCTGGTATCCTGCAATGAAGTGGATTATTGCCAAGACAATTGTCGAAATGACAGGAGCTGTGGATGATCGCCTTCCCCCAACAGAGATGCCATGTACGGCATCACGGCCCACCATGCATAGTCACATTCAACTTCTCATTACGTCTCGGACCGAGGATACCTCAGAAAACTTCTCGTATTCATCATATCAATCTATTTACGAGGTCTGTTGTACATCGACCACTTTTTAAGCACTTTCCGCGTATTGAGGTTCTGGCCTTGGCGATCTTTGACCTTGGTGTCAGAAACCATCCACCAAGGTTAGCAAAAAAAAGCCGGGCTTTCGTGTAATCGCGATAATGGCATTAAAATCCATAATTAACGATGCTATTGGGGCACATATAGCATGTTATGCATTAATGCTTTGAGCTTTATCTAAATTGCCTCCGCACGAAAGACCTAGCTGCCTGGATTGCGATTCTCGGTTTGAGAGGCCTCGTAAGTATTAAGCCCACGCTGGTGGTAGGTCATGTCGCCGAATAAACTCTCTTGAACGATCAATAAACCGCCGCATTGGGCATTCAGCGACATTGATAGGAAATTTACCTTGTTTGTATTGCCATCCCGCTCTCGGAGCTGTGTCCATCTCCTTCATTGCACCTGGACAAAGGGTGTTACCGCCTGGAGGAGATGTCAAAGCTTCTCGACGATGAGGTACCCGTGTTTGAGAACAGCTACAGTCGGCAAGGACCCAACATTTGAGTAGAGCCTGAATAGTACGGATGAAAACGATGTGCTACATCCTTAAGACACCCCATGTCATCTAGAAAGACCCAATATGGTATCAGAACGTACCACGACATGTCAGTATGATAGGATCTTAAGCTCTATATCTTGGCGAAGGCAAAGAAAGACTAGAACAAGTTAAAGCAGGTAACCAGTACCTATGGCTGGAATGGACTCATTGCATCAGGAGGTCACAGAAACCCTTCCGAACCACTCTTTTATCTTGCTATCCCTGAACTCCTGATACTTTCATGCTACAGTTATATCCGAGAGCATTTGATTCTGTGGCGGCAAAAACATCTCTCAAACACAGACTGCAATGCTTTGGAGAAAAGGAAATTTGTTTGAGCTTGGTGGTACCTGGTTAACGTCAAGCAAAGGATCTCGGTATCCTAGATTGCTCAGAAATTTCTGCAATATCCACCTAATACCTCGTACTTTCACCGATATATGTAATTAAGGATAGGGCCTGGAAATCAACCCAGAGGCCAATACGCAGCGCATCATCCTCGGACTAGAATCTCTGACAAGTTGGCAAGTGCCTGGGTCATCGAAGGTCAAGAGCCTCTCGTAACCTCTTTTGCAGATTAGGTTCGCCAGCGCTCGTAAGCGTGCTTAGAACGTAACATTAATACCATGTCATTCCCATTCGAGAAACTCACCCTCCAGACTCTTCTAGCCGATGATAACGGCAAAGTTCCTGGTCTCGTCATTAAGGCTATGTCCATAGACACGAGGGGCCCGATTTTCCACGGAGCTCTGCAAAACCTCCAAGAATTCAATGCAGGCGGTCTCAGCTTTGTATTGTCCTATAGTCTAAGCGATTTTCACCGCTTCGGTTGATGAAGTACTAGCACAAGGTGCAACCTGCCCATTCATCTCATAAACTACCGGTAGCGGTGCTTCTTTATAAACTTCTTCTATCATGTCGGAAAAATTCCTGAAGTTTGGAGTGGCCATTTGATTTAAGAGGTCTTTCGCGGCGTTCCAGTCTACGGAACATTATTATATGGTCCTAATCAAAACAAACATGCTTACCCGAGATTAGTAGAATGCCTTTCGCGCCAGCCGACTCGACTCCATCCCGCATCTTAATGCTTTCTACCTAGACTACATTCAAGCCTATTGTGTTGCTCTGAATAGTCTCTCCAGCTTTAGGTACTATCGCCCCAAGTCTCGCCCTGACCTCCGGATTAAGATGAGCACCTGCGATAATCAACTCAACACCTATTATGGTCTCTGACTGTTAATGCTTGGAAGTTTTGTCGTGAAACAAAAGCTGAGCTAGAGTACTTCTCCGAGAACTAAATCCTGTGCAAAATTTGAAAAGTAAGGCGACATATCCCACTAACGCCAATGAGAGACAGAATAAGTTACTTGACTCTACTACTACACTTTTCGAGGGAGAGCCGGATCATCTGACGTCCGACGGCTTAAGTTCGGCTACCCGACACCCCGCCGATGTTGATATTGAAATGTGACATCACCTTTCAGCCCCGATCCATCTAGAGGGTCTTGCCACCAGTATTTGCTTTCGGCTGTAAGTACTTCATACAAGATGCTCTTTACAGACTTTTACCGTGGGCCCATTCTTATTATCGTCCAGCGCCTCAATTGACCGCCAAGCGGGCCGCGGGTCGAAGCCGGGCCGCGGTTTGTGCCCTATCTAGCAACTGAATAGCCGCTATCGGCTCAAACGGAGTTTGCGAATTGGGAAAAGTCCCAATCCGGGGCAATTTACTTGGCGCACTTCCTATACTATCCTTAACCAGAGTTGGGATGGTCCGATAAGACAATGGTTCAGATTTCAAGCGAAGCAAGGAAGACGGCTACAGACATACAAGAAGTACGAGCACCACCTCTACGATGTTTAATGCAGTGTCTGACCATTTCATAAAGATCGTATATACAGAAGAGGATGGAAGGCATGAGACTGCTCACCAACCTGATGAGACAGTTGGAGAGTACTGCAGGCCACATCAACTCGAACGACTTGGCCGGAGGCGAAATCTAGACCGCGAGTGGTCCGTTCTGGGTTGCCGGGCTCCGTGTTCAGTGTTGAAGTGGCAGTGCAGCATGCTGTTCGCTGCCCTAAAGAATCTAGGACTGTAAAATGTGCTTCATCAGATGTCGGAGAATGCCAGAGACGTGTTTGAAGGGCGCCAAGCTCACCTCAAGAGACCTTGATGCGGTCGATCATTTTGGTACTTAAACTGTCGGTTGAGATCTAGCTAGGCCTGAAAACTCTACATTTTACCTCTTTTACACAATAATGACAGGTACACCCTATAGCCAGACTTAGCTATATATAGAGGCACTTACTTAATCCTCACTCAAGTCTATTATCCTCAAAACGATATTTCTCAATCAACACAAACTAATCCCACCACGGTATTCTTTGTTTCCCTTCGCAAGCAGACTATGAGAGGCTTGAGCTTTCAACTGGTGAAATTTCACCACAGTGATGCGAGTTATGTCTACGGTGTTTCGCACTTATGATATATGCGAACCTGACATTTTGAGTGTGGGGGATGATTGAGGCACTTATGCACCAGCTCTACACAAATCTTATATCAGTTGGCCAGCGGTGGTATAGCGAAAAGTTTGTTGAACATATTCCCAGGGTCAAAGCGAGTCTTGAGGGCTTGCAGTTCCTCGTAATTATCACCGAAGATGTCTTTCGATTTCTCGTCGTAGTGGTCGTAGTTTCCGTAGAATTGAGTGGCTTTCTTCCGACCTCTAATAGTGGTGACTTCCGCAGAGGGACAGACCACTTGATCGCTGTGGTCGATCAGCTCTTTCTTGAACTTCTCGTTGATGTATCGAGCCCATTCACGACAAACAGCGTCATTTTCTGGCTTTGTCCAGATTGGACAGATCAGGCTGTTCCCATGAGTTCCTCGATTTGCAAAACTACCGGCGTCGAATTCCGCGACTTTCCTGGTGTCGATTAATTCCCAGATCAGGACACTGCCTTGCGCGTCATCGTTTCGGTCTACGAATTTCTGGTATTCTCCAAATATCTCTTGGACGAAAGCAAGCCTCAACGGCAATGTAAATGCGGCGCCTTTCATACTAGCGCGCAACCCGTATGGTGGTGCAAGGAATTTGTTGATCTCCGCGTAGGGAACCATGCTCATTGTAGATATCTTTGGGCCCAAGTCAAAGAAATCTCGATACACAGCCTGACCTTGCTCGGCAGTTCCGAAATAGATGATGGGAACGGCGATCATTGCCGTATCGAGACCAGGGGGTCGCATGAAACCGATGCCCCCACAGCCGCGACCGTCGACCTTGACCTGTCCTGCGCTATTGATGACATACGCTCTGTTCACCGCTTCCGTGACGCCTTGCATATTGTGTGATGTTGGCTCGAAAAGAAGTAAGCCTGCATAGACCTCTGGTGGGACGTCGAATGCCTGAAAAATGAATTCCGTAGCGACACCGAAGTTCTGTCCCGCTCCACGCAAAGCCCAGAAAAGGTCAGCGTTCTCCTGCTTGCTGGCGGTGACGACATCGCCGTTTGCGAGGACCACTGTACACTGGATCAATACGTCGATCGACAATCCGTAGAGGCCCGACAGCCAGCCATAACCACCCCCAAGGGTCAGTCCTCCAACGCCGGTGTCAGCGACGGTTCCCCCCACGGTCGCAAGATTATAAGGGGCTGCAGCTTGGTCAACGTCCCCCCAATTAGCACCACCGCCAACGATAAACAGCTTTTTCTCACTGTCGACCCGAATAGTGCGCATTTTGTCAAGATCAAAGAGCAACCCGCCATCTGTGCTACTCGCTCCGGCTGTTGAATGGCCTCCACCTTTTACCGCAATATCAAGGTTCTCTTTAGCTGCATACTTCGCTACGATCGAAACCTCATCGCTCGTCGTGGGAACAACCACCAAACCCGCCGGTTTTACTGCTGCTTTCGACCATCGAGCGATGGAGCGATTATAGTCCACGTCGGTTGAGATACGAAGCTCTGCCGAAGTATCCTGGAGCAGCTTGCGAAGCTCAGAGACGTGATTTGGCGATACTGGCTTGCGGCCATAAGATGAGACTGAAGGCATAACCATAATCCCTCTGCATCAGTTAACGATATTGATTTTGGGCTTGAAGCAGGATGCAAGCCCTAGTGTAATGGAGAGCGTGGTCAAATGTGTAGAGTTGAGCAGTACAAACGTGTAGGCTTGAGCAGTATGAACAGGGTAGTCGCATTTGTCGAACTGCCTACTAGAGCTATTTTTATACACAACCCAGAGCGCAGAATAGCCCAAATAGCGACGCCCACAATGACGCTGTCAACAAGAACTTGCGTAATCCTACGTAATTCTGCGCTTGGGGCGAGCAAGTCTAACAGTCGATATAGGGCCGAATGCGGTAATCGGCGCCTTGAGGCGCCTAGCGATATGACCTCGGATGTGAACAGAACATGCAGCCCGGATATGTAGATTTCGTTCAGGGATCACCCCGGGAATGTTCACCCGGACCGGATAGCCGCACCGAGGCCGTAGGACGGAGGAGAAATTTGTGGGTCGGGTGACAGAGATTGGAAGCGGCTGCCCTGGCGGACCTGTATCAGCTGAACGAAAAAGGTCCTGCCGAGGCTGACATCGGACGTGGTGTGAAGGATTCCCGACGTTTCCACCCTCAACAAGTCACTGTTTCATCATAGTCGAACTTTGCCTCACTAAACACTTGTGCCATTACTCACAGTGCCTGCACGCTGGTGCGTTGGCTGTCATGGCTTTCAATATCATCACGTGGGAGAACGCTGTATTTTATGGAAAAGAATGAAGAGAGTCCTACGATAGAAAGCCCGTTCCGGCGCGAACAACATACAACAATATAACGGCCGAATCGTGATGATAACTTTGTTATCCTTTATCTGAGGCATAAATACATGATATGTGCATAGCCTTGATTCAGTATCTGGCATCACAAGTGTCCCAATCTGAGCCTAAACCCCACTGCTAAGAAGCCCACACATCAGTCGATTCCGAGTACGTGAACATCTTGGTGATGATCAAACATTAGAACCGAAGGACGTCATGTTCGAACTGAACATAACTTTGATAGATATGTCGATTAACCTGCCATAGACGCACATCAGTCAACAGCTCATGTTCGTGAGGTCGTGGGTATTTTTCAGAGCTGACGAATGCTGTCCTAACCTATGAATATTCTTAAATTAGACGTACTGAAGAACGCGTGAAGGGGGAGGTCGAAACTGTGCACGATTCAATTTAGGGGTCGATGAGATTTGAGGTGGTTGTGTATCTTGAGAGCGCGTTGTGCGTAACTCGGGGTTGGGTGATAAAACTTTTCATAAACAGTTTAAGGTCATCGTATGCATCCCCTTGTACTTATAGCTCCTCGCTCGCAGGGCTTCACAAAGCTTCCTCAGAAGTGATGCGCAAGATCGTTGCTGAAACAGCTTGACACTCTGAGGTAATCCGCCCGCCTCTGTGCTCCTTCTTGTCTTTGACCATGCCCTTCAACTCGTCGGTACTAAGCCTGACCTTCTACTTGATTGTAAAGACTCACACTCGCTTTGTCAGTTCCTACCTCAGTTGCTACTCTAACCACTCCATCACCACTGTGGCCCGATACAACAAGCTCGTGGGTGTTGTGGTCGATACTCAGGTCGGCTGCATAGACTGCGACTTCGTCGCCAAACAACTTCGCCATCTCTTCCAAAGGTATGTTCTTAGTTTCGGGTACATAGAACAGCACAAACGCTGCTCCGAAACCTGACAAGATTATAAACAAGAGAAAGAACTTCCAACCGATGTGACGAAAGGCCTTGCAGTTCCAGTCAGTACAGTCATTCATACCAGGTTATCATCATCTGTTCTGAAACTGGGGCGACTTACCGTTGGCGCAACTTGAAGATACACCAAGTCCGATAAAGTAATGGTGCCGATGCTCAAAGCCATGCCTTTGGCACGGAGGTGGTTCGGAAAGAGCTCGCTGTAAAATACTATGCCAGCGACGTCGATTCCAAGGCTATAGAAGAATAGGAAGAGGTATGCCGCAGCTACTCCCATCTGCAAACCGGCGCTGTTGGTACCTTCCGCAGCGAATGAGCTGACCATCGCGGCTTCCAGGATAAGGAAAACGCAGCATCCAGCTACTCCTGTGAACATGAGCGGCTTGCGACCCAGACGATCCATGACGAGAGCCCCGAACAGGTTTCCCAAAACACCAACCGAGATCCAACCACACTGGAATTTGAGCTGGTGTTCGGTATCATATCCCAGAGCTGCATAGATTGTTGGCCCTATTTTGAAGTTTAGCAAATTCGTGAACCATATTCGCTTTGGAGTACACAGCGACTAGCTCACCATAGTTATTCAGAACTAGCACACCCGTCGATTGGCTGATGAAAGCAAAGCCGATGGCCATGATCATGCGCTTGCGGCTGCTTGGTTTCCGAAATATCTCAAGCTACATCGTTTATCAGCATGATAGGTTACCTCTCTGGAGGTGCAGGGCAGCTAACATATGAAGTGATCGTATGACGGTCGATTTCGGCTTGCTTTGACATCTGATAGAATTCCTCCCTGGCGAACTCCTGTTCAGAGTCTCCCTTCACAGCATGGAGGCCAAAGACGACCTTGCGTGCTTCTTCGACCCTCCCCTGCATCAGAAGGAAGCGAGGCGACTCGGGGATGACAAAGCAGACCATTATCATCATAAGTGGCCACACCAGAGCTAGGCCGAGAGGTGCTCGCCACTGGGTCGCCGGATCGTCTATATAGTAGAATGCGAGTCCCATCTGTAGACGCAAATTTCAGGTTAGCGAAGCGGCATGCCCAACGAGATCAAGACAAGATCGGACATGACACGGGGAAGTTGATGGTAGGGTGCGGGCTGGTTCGAGTATAGAGAGCTCCTCTTCAACCTGCGGGTGGTGAACTCACATAAGAGGCCAGACTATAACCCAGGCAAATGTTCACACCATTCATCCCCACCATGAGACCCCGGAGGTCAGGTGGCGCGAGCTCTGCAGAGTACATCGGCGCTGATGAAAGGTCAACTTCATGTTCCAGTATGACCGAGTCTATTTACTGACTGAGCGCCAAGAAACCGTTCGCCCCTGCGCCTGCGAAGAGCCGGGCGATAATGAACATAGTGACATTTTGGGCTCCACAGAGAAGAGAACCACCAAGGAGGGATAGGAAGCTGCAATAGTAAAATGCTCCTTAACGCCCGTACTTATCGGCGACCCATGACGCGATAAACACGTTAATAGTGGCGCCGGCTTGAAAGACCTATCTTGCTATCAGGCAACGGAATCCTACTGCAGAAGTTGGACCTACTCCCGACATGGCCCCAATGAGGTTTTCCGCATCTTTGGTGGGCCCTGGTGGATTCTCTGTTGTATCGTGTAGGCCCATGTAAATCAAAAATGATGGTTGTGCAAGTGTCACGCCAATGATGCTCGCCGGATATCCAAAAGCGATCTGACCCAGAGACACAAGCCAGCAAATGAAGAAGTTCCAAGAATTCCAGCGGCGACCAGAGCCGAAGGCCATGGCGCAGAAGATGGTCCTTTACCGAAATGTAAATAAGGTCTTTAAATTTTGGCACCAGAAATGATCCTGGTACAAGAGTATGGCAAGTGGAACTCCCGTGATGCTGCAGGCAGGCAGGAAGTCTCCCCAGTGAAATAAACCTACAGCTCCGTCTGTATTTCAATGCCACCTGGAACATTCCTCGGCCAGATCACAAGAGTTCGGTACCTGAGCTGCCTCTCGGATTCGTCGCAACAACCAGGCCGAGAATCTCGCTTGTCTTCATTTTAGAAATTCTGGAATGTTTCCTGTCCATGCCGGACGCGTGCTTGTAAAGCCTCGGCACATGGCACTTCATTTGATTTCGTCTTCGTCCGTTGAAGAGGCAGGGATGCCTAGTCCATCGGTCGATATCTGCTTGCAGTTGCCCGCCCCTTGCAACAATTTGGCAAGCTGAGGGCAGGTCATTCAGCAGACCCCTCAATTCGACGATGACGAGGATGACCCTGTGCCGTTACGTGCAGTCACTTCACAAGCAGTTACAATGTGTCTCAATGACGTCATGTCAAATCCAACCCGAGCACCGATATTATTGCTTTGTCAGAGTGCTGCGTCTGCACAATCTGTGAAATTTTAAGGTAGAGGCTGCTAAACACTTATTTTTTATTGATTTAGGAAAGTTATTGAGATAATGATGGAGAAATACTGTTGTAGTAGATGTTGCTCATTCTAAACTGGCTGAGGCCTTCTCAAATCGACGGTAAACTTTCACCTCATTTCATAAAATCATTGCCGGGTGAAGCCATTCGAGTTTCGTCGTATCTTATTCACAAAGATTGCATTATCGCATCAAGGAGATGGCCCGCTCAGTGCTTCGGCGCTCCCCCTGCCGCACCTGCTCCCAGCGAAAGGTGAAGTGCGACCGAATCAAACCAAGTTGTCAACGCTGCAAGAGAGCCTATTTGAGCTGCGAAGGGTACGAAGACTCCGTGACGTTTGTCAACTTCACGAAAGAGCTAGCTCAATCCACATCGGAGCAGATATATTCAACAGAGTCCCAGATTTGGCACCATGTTGCAATCACACGTTACGTTCATCGACACGCGTCACAGCTCAGAATCGGACCGTGGCTGAATTTAAGTGCATATTTGCAGGACTTCTGCATGTCACACTTGACACGAAGCGTCTTCGTCGGAGGACCTCCTGGTCAAAGGCAAGAGGAGAACTCCTGGGTGCTGACCGCCTTGCGAAGAGACGAGACTTTGATCACCCATTTTGCAGCCTTCGGCGTCGCGAAAGCCTATTTTGCTCGACTGTACGAACAACCCTGGCTTTTGGCCGAGGCTGCACAAGACTACGGAAAAGCCCTACAACAATTGAACTCGAGCTTAGCAAGTTCTGCCTCTGCCGCTTTCGCTAGGCATCTGGTAGCGATGTTCCTACTGGTATTCTACGAGCTGTTGTGTCCAACTTCACACGCAGGCCTTTACTACCATTTCCGCGGTATCGAGACCCTGATCCATTCGCAATCGCCAACCTTTTATCAAGCTCAGCCTAATTTAGGCTACTTCATGCAAGCTCGAGTCCTCGTCATATCAGGAGCCTTGCTGAGCTCGAAGAAGACTTTTTTGGCCGAACACGACTGGAAGTTCATCCCGTGGTCAGGGCAAACATTCAAATCGTTATACCATGAAATTTGGGATCATCTCAGTGACGTTGCGACACTTCTGGAGGAATTCGAAAAATTAACAGAAACGAAGGAAAAGGAGGTTGCAGGTTGCAACTTACTTTCGAACAGAGTAAAAAAGAAATTCGACAGTATCGAATCGTGGAGACGGCGTTGGGACGAACAGAATAGCGGCAAAATACTTCACGTGGGAGTCGACTGGAGACAAACGTTGCTGCCACGTGTAGATCCAATCGTGAATGTGTCGAGTGCGCTTGCGTACGCCAACCAGCAATGTGCGCGCGAGATTATGCTATACTACACAGCGCTACTTTATCTCTACTCTGTGACAGCAAAGTCTCAGACACTACTTCAGTCTCCTCCCACCTCTCACATACACCTGGAGCTTAGCTCCCCGGGTTGTGGCCTCCACCATGTCACTTGGCAGATTATCCTCTCGGTTGATTACCTGATGACATCTTCACGTGTAAAAGCTGGCATGTCATTTCTGACCTTGGGCGCCGACGCAATGCTGAGATGTTACAAAAGTGCGGACTGGCTCATCGATTTGTTGATGCGCATGGCAGATATATCAGGGTATGGCTTCTTCAGGCAACTGCTGAAGTACCACGTCCCGCACGTGATCTCAGCATAGAGACCTTCTCATCTTGAGATTAGCTGTAGAGGAACTATGGATCGTCCAGTGCAAGTGTTCCCCAGTCGCCCGAGCAAGAAAGGCGGACGCTTGCTTTGTCGGACCTGCTACCCGAAAATGCGAATCATGGAAACACGCTTATGCTGTGAGACTCTCACCTTCTCGTTCCACTAGACCGGTTGACCAGAGGTGGTGACAATTTCTAAGCAGAGCGACTATGCCGCGCTGGCGGAGCCTTGGTCTTTCGCTATGGGCAAGTAAATCTGGTTTGCGTTAGTCTGTTGTCGTGGATCAGGCTAATCTTTCTGGATACGGTATAGTTCACCGAGGTGCTGGATTAGTCTCCCCATAAACTTTAGGCACATATACGGCTTAGAGTCGAACAACAAATGCCAATAGTCTGCTTTTAGCAGACGTACCCTACCGCCTCAAAATTTGTGAAACGCATCCGTTTCGACCGTTCGACACTGTCTCAAACACTTGAAATGACAGTTTGACCATTTCCAACTTCCATGAAAGATCTCTACAATTTCGACTCACACGTTCGTCGAGTCCATTTGCTGTAAACCATGTCTTCTGGGAAAGATATGGAACAATCAATCAAACCTCGAAGATCTGATCTCATGGCCGGAAAACAAAAGAATGTGCCCTTCCAAGATAAATCTTGTCAAATCAGGGATGTGAGCATTACGAAGTCTATATCAGATCTACAACCATATGCTCACTGGACAGGCTTTAGACAAAACTACGAGTACCCTTCTTCATATTTTTCAGGACGTGTCCACTACCGAGCTTAATACGTGTGCATCCGTGCTGAAAGAAGAAATTACAACAATGGAAAAGAGGCTCTTAGCATCTGTCGCCCTCAGGCAAAACGGACGACATGCTTCCAGTTTAGACACTTTGATGACACAAACCTCAGGATCTCCGTCCTGCTCGGCGACAGCTCCGCAGGATACTTTTGCACAACTGCTTTCGAGCTTCACGACTCTGGCCGACGATACGGACATCTTGGAAACCACAATCGACGACTTGCCATCGAGGCGTCTCCCTGTCATCGAGGCAGAAGAGATCATGATGTCTCCTTCCTTGGGCAACTGCTCGACGTGGAGTGACAGCGACATGCGGAATGACCGATACGACCATACGCACCTTGACGATCAGTCGACGATAATTATAGCACATCAAACAACCAGAGCACGGCTCTTGCTCGAGTCTAATGATTCTGAAAGATTCGCAAGGCCTGCAAAGAAGGCTGGTGTTCGCAATAATTCAGCACTTTCGGAAGTTATACTGCCTTTTACTCCACGAACAGAAATATGTGAGCCATTTCAGCCGAATCTGTTGCGATGTCTACGAATGCCTGGCGACGCGCAGGAAACCAGAAAGCGTGCGAAACGAGGCTTTTGGGCAGTTCGAGACAAGTGCCAAGGCTGCGAAGTCGGAGAACAAGCGGGGTATCATGAAAAGTCTACACAGAATAGCTTCACTCAACCGATCAATGACCTTGAGCGGATCAATACTAAGTCGATGGTGCCTACATCATTTTCAGACAAAGTCGAGCTGTTGGAAAACTCCCAAAACCACGACGTAACATCACTCGCTGCGCTCCAGACCCAGGCCTTTTGGAGGCCTAGTATGCCAAGATATATCATGCCGTTATGCCAAGGATCAAATAGTGTCCTTCACTATTTCGCAACTCGATTGGGCAATGACGAAGAGACAGTGTTTCTGTTTACACGACTGTTTCACGCCATTGGCAGCGCTGAAGCTATCGACCACCTCAAACAAGCCTTGATATCAGCGAGGAAGGGGAGGTTACGTGGAGCACTAAAAGGCCAAAATGACCTCCACACAACGTTTGCCGCTCTTGATGACCTAGACGGGCTCTCCGCACTTTCGTCTATCCTGCGACGCCACTACCTTGTCAAACTACTGCAATATCGGCTAGAGCAAGAGCAAATTCACCAGAAGCCAAGGAGCGTGTCCAAAAAGGCAAAGAAGAGTCACAAATACGATATTCACAATGTTCAAAGGCTTGCCTCAAGCGATTCGACAATTGCGGAGAGTGTGAAAGTGAGCGGAGCCGCCAGGAATACTTCACGAGCAGACTCGAGGGCTCTTGCGACCCTCATGGCCACGATCTACCCGGCGCTCCAACCTGCGGTTAAAGGCCGCGGTTCCCCGTCCGATACTGAATATCAAAGAAAGCTACAGAAGCTCAAAAATCGGATCACGTGCGCTAGAAACTGGGCGAGGATCGCGCACGATTACTCTGCCAGCATTATCGCACTGATCCCATCTGGGGGACCATATAAGATTTCGACAGATCAGTGAGACTCCCCAACTTCATACAGGGAGTGGCTAATGAAAAATATTAGAATTGAAAAATTGCCCCAAGCAAAAGTTTCCGTGTTCCTTGACTATCTGGGGTCGAAAAGGGGCCCGTTTCTCCGATCTATTTGCACAAGCTTAACGGATCGTGTCTTTGACATACTCAGAGGCGTGGACAGTCATGCACGATATAATTTCGAGCTAAACACCCCGTATGATGCAGGCCTCCAGTTCCATCGGTGCTTAGAATGGGAATGGCTGTGCTCTTTGGAGGTACCGGAAATACCTTAGCTCGAATACATTAATTACAGGCGAAGCCGGTAGCATACTAGGCCAATTCTACAACACCTTCTGTATGTACCGTAGTCCCCACCGCATTACAAATAACCCCGCATCGATATCCCGCCTTTTTGCTTGAGGTTTAAAAGCCTGGCGCATTTTCGGTTTTAGTCACTTTTAAGAGCGGCCGCACTCCTAGAGGTTTTCCACATCCTCATTAGCACGCCCTAGAACCTCTCATCTTCTACCAAAGTCGTGTTGAGTCAAATTTAATGATGAGTGCGGGAGTGTTCGGTGCAGAAAAGCGTAGCGCGAAACGGGCGCAGCAAGCATGTTTGAATTGCAGACAGAAAAAGGCCCGTTGTAACGGGGAGAAGCCAGTCTGTCGTACGTGCGCTGAATCCTTTCTAAGTTGTCGTTGGGCTATCGGTTCAGCGTCAGGATCCAGGACTCGAGCTACTGTATTGCGGAATGAGACTCTCGCCACCAGGATATCAATACTCGAGCAGCAGCTGAAGTCCATCGCTCCCGGAACCTATGATAAAGCCGGAATGATCGAAGTGGAGGCAGAGGTCAATCTCAATTCGATAAGAGCCAATTCGCATGCAAACATCTCGTCAACTGCTGTCGTGCCGATAACACCAAACGATCCCATACAGCTTCCTTCTCAGTCGATGTTTGCTGGTATTATAGACGACTTTTTCAAATACTGTCACAACCAACCGTATAGCTACTTTCGGGAGCGCACATTCCGTCGGCAGCATTCACACAGAAAACTTCCTGTCTACTTACTCTATGCGTTCGCTGCAACGGCGATTAGATTCTCACCGCTGTTTTTCGCTACGAATGACGGAGACAAACTAGTTCAGCCTTACTGCGATATCGCCTGGACACAGGTTACTCAATATGCCTTCCATCCAACTAGCGAGCTTGACATCACATTGGTACAGACGTCGAGTCTACTATCTGTGATAGATTTTATACGTAAGTTGCCCTTCTCGTTGGAAATAACAGTTCTAATACTAGATAGATGGTCATCATGAGCTTGCTTGGATGAAGATTGGCCTTGCAATACGCTTCGCGCAAGCACTCCATTTGCACCAGGAGCCGGACTCGACAATTCCCGATCACGAGCAGGAGGCTCGGCGACGGACTTTCTGGTCCATCTATCTACTCGATAGACTCATTTCGATCAGCTCTCACAGGCCAACAATGCTTACCGATATCGACTGTATAGTTAGACTACCAGATGCCGAGGCTATATTCCAGGAAGGACGAACAACGCCTCAAGTACCAAATTTATACCTATTCAACGAACGTTGCAGCCCTTTTCCATACCACGAGCTTAGCCATTTTGCAAGGGTTGTAGTGATTGCATCTTCACTCGGACGTGTGGTCAAATATAGCATGGCAACCCAAACGCACTATACGCAGCCACCGTGGCTTAGCAGTAGCGAGTACTCAGAGATACTCGGTTCTCTCCGGAATTTGGAATCCCGATGGCCTTTACCTGCCACGGATCTTGGACAGCTGGTGGAAGAAACCGTGAGTGAGAATAATAACGCCGACCAGCAGCCGGTAAGCCATTTCGTGTTCTCACAGGCACTACTTCACCTCTCACATTGTCTATTGGATCATCCGGCACTCTTACACCATCGATGCCGTTCTCATAACAGGGAGATTCCACACAGCTTTTTGGCCGAGGCGCTAGAAAGGTGTAGGCAACATGCATCTGATCTATTGGCTCTGCTGGACAGCGCAAGTAACTGCGGCTGCGTCTTAGAAAGTAGCGTCTACGGCTATTGCGCATTGACTGCCGGTACATTGCACTCACTCTTCGAACATCACGAGAATGCAGCTGTTGCTCTCGATTCTACTGCAAAGGTGTCAGTAGCCCTCCACTTCTTACAGACTAAAGCGGAACGGCAGCAGTGCTACAAGAATATGGTATGTTACCGCGAAATAGATCCACATCGAACACTTCGGTGCCGGTCGCTTGTGGTATTCCTCAAATGTTGTTAAAGGAATGACTAACTTTATAACACAGGCAATTTCACTCAAGAAACTGAAAATCGACCCCAGCACCGCTCGTGTCTTGGTCAGCCCGAGCGTCCTTGCCAGGAGGAACCTTGCCTTCGACGACCAGCTGCTAAGGGAACTATTGGAGTTCGCGCATGTCATCAAAGCTCCAGTATTAGCCAGACCCATCCAGGAAAATGCCACGCTAGATTGTCAGAGCACCCTTTCGCAGAGTTCCCACTTACCATCTGAGCGATCCAATTTCGGCCCGTTGGACTATTTAGCAGCTGTGAATACCGGGCCAGAGATTGCTGACATGCCTTCAAACTTCAATTGTCGAGATCTACTTGGTGAAGAAATTGGTGATATCTGGGATGACGTGATGCATGCAAATAGTGTCGCTGACATTATGTCGTATAGGACCTTCTCGTAGCCGCACTTTTAGTTTAGACCCATCCGAAAGAACCTCTCTTTGTGTTTAGGAGACTCCCACTTCCATTGGCTAGAGGGTCACGAGGGTCGACTTCTTCATGAGTACGCATAATTTTCTCCTACAGACGATGGAGTGGTTTGCGCGTGGTTGTGGACATCACAGATTCTGCCACTGACAACAGCCTTTAGCTGCAACAATGAGTATCCCAATGTACTTAGAGCGATCAGAACAAGCCTAATGTCTCATCATCTCTGGCTCACGACCCTAAAAAGTCGATCTTATTCGTGCAGCCAGGCAAGCAAAAGACCGCGTCGAGGCAGGATACGTTACCTAGACAGCAATAAGCGTGATCGAATAGAGTCCTTGCGTAGTCTAGGCCACAACTCCAAAGCGCACGGCGGACGAAACAACCGAGAAAGTCATCCGCTATCGACTACATCGCAACGAGGAAAGATGACTCATCATTTTTTGGTAATACCTACAAACTACTGCGGACCGATCTTGCGCCGAGCCCTAGGTCTGTCAACTAGGTTTGATTGTGCCCAAAGTGAACGAGCCATCAAGTTGTGCATCTGTTAGCTCCTCCATTTCAAATCACAGAGCTGTGAAAATCTGGCTAAAGATTTAAAATTGAGGCGAGGAGAATCAAAGTCAGGCTCTCCGTGTATCGTTCTATGTGTTGCCGAACTTCTATCACCGCAGCAAACACGACAGGTCTACAATCCGAAACCAGGCTATACGCCAAGTCGACTCCTCCTCGGTACTCGGTCCGTTTGATATGTTTGTTCCCCTGATTGACTTGATTCCATTACCCGATTCCACATACATATAAGGGTTCTATGTGTTTACTATCCCAAGGGACAAGTTGTAGCCGGAACCATTACACAACAATCTTTTCCATGGCTGTCGCAACAACAGTGGTGCTAATCACAGGTTGACTGATACAGTCGAGTCAAATGCGGAGACTAAGCTAACGCCGGTGCAGGAGCAAATTCGGGCGTTGGATATGCAACTGCCGAAGTGATCGCTGAAGCATCCGAGAGCTACCACGTCATTCTCAGCAGCCGCAATCTTGAGAACGCTGAGAAAGCCTTGGTTGAGATCAGCAGCAATGCCAACGTCAAAGGCTCGATATCAGCTCTGCAGCTTGATGTCACCGACAGAGTCTCTATTGAGGCGGCTGCCCGTGAAGTACTCAGAGACTTTGGTAAAGTAGATGTACTTATAAATAATGCAGGTTGCGGTGAGTGACTCAATTACACCCTACGTGGCGTGGCTTATGAGACATATAGCAAACCAAGATCCAGATCTTCAGATCAGACTAAAAGATACACTCGCGGTGAATATTATAGGTCCTGCGCTTGTTACCGAGATTTTCAAGCCCTTGCTACTGAAGTCTTCTAAGCCTCGATCGATTTATATAACTAGTGGACTAGGGTCCCTTCATAAGGCGTCAGATCCTGATGATCCCTCTTCGAATAGACCAGGCACGACGGTCTACCGTATCAGCAAAGTAGCGCTTAATATGCTCATAGTGGAAGAGTCAAAGGAACTTGGCCCACGAGGAGTCAAAACATTCGGGGTTTGTCCAGGTCATGTACGATCAAATATCCGTGGCCGCTCGGAGGAGGCCATCAGTTCGGGAGGGAGAGCAGGAGACCCGCGTATCTCAGGTCAGACAATTCTGAGAGTCATAGAGGGTCAACGCGATCAACATGTGGGAAAGATGTTACATAAAGACGGCGTCTACCCCTGGTAGGACTAGGAGGAGAGAAGTCGTCGAGTTCTGCTTGTACTTCAACACTGTTTCTTTACTATGGGCATAGTATGCTCGCAATCTCAACTTTAGTTCTTACCCGGAAAGCATGTCCCCACGTCGTATCTTCCACATTACCAAGCCACGAAGATAATCGCGCTGTATCGACAGTATCTGCCTAGCTCTTATCCCGAGGTGTCATGATCAAAGTGCTGTAGAGACGTAAACGTTGGGCTTGGATGAATGGACAAGCAGAATCGTGGCCATCATCTATCATGGAGATAGGACGGCAAATCCTGTTCTCCCGGACGTCTTTATTCCGTGACAAGCAGCGACCATGAGACTGTTCACAGTGGATACATATTGTTGCTGACATATTACCACAGAACTTATCACTCCGTGGAGCTGACTTCGAAGGCACTAGCTGGAGGCTTCCATTACAAATCAAGAGTGCTTCCATATTGTCGCTTGTGGATATCCTCCTTCGATAAGGGTTTAAATTCCCTCGTTCCTTCCTCCTTGAACTCATACTTTGCAATTCGATCGTGTTTGGAAGTGAGAATCTTCCGTATTCAAGATGGTCGTCGTCGCTATCATTGCTCCAACGAGCACTATCGGAAGTCCTCTGGTTCAGGCAATCCAGAGCACGCAACATAAAGTGGTCACCGTCTCCCGCTCCCCTCAGCCAGAGCTTTCTGCGAAAGGCATTCCGACTCATGTGGCAACATATCTTCCAGGCGGGCACGCAACTCTTGTTGCCTTTCTCAAAGCTCAAAAAGTCCACACTATCATCAGTGGTATATGGTCTTTGACGGGCCACGTGGAATCGCACCTCGCCGTGTTGGCCGCTGCCAAGGAGGCCGGTGTCCGCCGCTTCGCTCCTTCGGAGTGGTCTGTGCCTGTCTATCAAACAATCGGTCTCTATGCCATGAAACTGGAAGTGTGGCAAGAGTGCCTCAAGTCTGGCCTTGAGGTCACACGGTTCCAATGTGGGATCTGGATAAACACCCTTGGTTATGGCGCAACGAAAGAGCCTGAGGAAGCTCTTGCGGGTTATCATGGCCCGACTGTCGGGATTTTTATGGACAAGGGAGCTGCGACTCTTGTCAAAGATGGGAACGACGAACTCGTGTTCTCACGGCTGCAAGATATCGTGCCCCTCGTCGTCAAGTCACTTGACCTACCCAAGTGGGAGCACGATAGTTTCATTGTGGGCGATAGAACCACTTTCAAAAATATCCTCAATGTCGCTCAACAAGTTACTGGGCGATCTTTCGAAGTCAAATATCTCAGTGAGCATGACATCGATCAAGGTCTTCAAAGCAGTGATATCATCGAAAAACTATCCAGCCAATTCTACAAGGCTCTGGCTAATCGGGAGTTAAGTTTTGGACAAGGCCAAACACTGAACAAAACCTTTCCCAATGTTGGGATGATTACTGTGGAGCAATTCATTAAGCGTCACTTTGGAAGATAGTGCGATTATTATGGCTGCTAAAGGATGAAAAGACGTCTGCCCAGACTTTAGTGCGTCGAAGCTAAGGGTATTAGCTCGGACCCTCGTAAGACTCGATGCTCAGGCATTAAGACGCTATCATCGAAGCTAGCAAATAGTCTATATAGTCTAATAGCTCCTACGGCTGAATTAAATCCTCATATCCCGCAAGAATCACAACTACCCCGGTAGTCGTTACTTAATCGGGCAACAAATAATGCAACATTTCCGAAACCACCGCACCACTTCGTCATCTTCACGACGCGAATTATACTCACCACAAATTCTAATAGTTATGTTGAACAGAACTGAAATATAGTTGAAGGCTTTGATCACCGCCACAGGAGTTTTTCTAATCGAGTTTAAGCTCGAATTAGTCGGGAAATCATAAAGTTTACAGCGTGGATTTTTAGGTGGCTTAGGAAAGTTACATTATCTGTTGCCCCACTGAGTACTCTTATCTTAAGCAACCTTTGCCATAGCTGCTTCAAATCTTGGCAAGAACTCCTTGACAATTGTGGCATCCACGAATTCATCCACCCGTGCAATCTTGGTACCACTTTCGTCCACTGTGATAACAAAAATATACTCGTTCGCATATGGTCCGGCGACCGTTTCTGCTTTACTCCTGGCGAAAATTATCACCTTCCCAGCTGACTCGTCCACAAGTGGCGCCTTCTCATCGATAGTAAAGTTGAAGCCCTTTGGGATACCAATCATCAAATTTTCCACGAACTGGCGGAAGGCGTTGTTGTCGAGGGGCGCCTGACCTAATGACGATGGTAAGACATTATGAGTACAATCAGAGGTACGTAGTGCCATGATGTCTTCGAGATTCCATTTGTTGTAGACCTCGAAGAGGCTTTTCGCCATGTGCAATAGTTGAGCTCGCGTGCGAGTCATTTTGAGGGAGATTAATTATATCGTGGGAGAAAAACGGTTAAGGATATGGGTAAATATCTGAGGTGTCCGTAACAAACGAGTTTGCGGATATATACTTAAACATTGTCTCCGAGCTATATTGTAGGAAAACGGGTCGACACTCTAAGCTGTTATCTGCTTACGACAGCGCTTCTCGTGCCTCGGCAACGGTACGTTTGCCATCACCCAGATCCGTCTATTAAAAACAATCCGAACACATCGCGGGTCGGGTCGTCGACGGACGAAACTGTCTCACTCACAGGCCGAGGCGAAAGCTTCGTCCACATTAGTCGTGAGACTCATTCTAGCAAACCATAGTCAACAGAACGTACGCTGTTGAGGGATTATAATGTCCCTGATCTTTTCAGGCGTTCGTAAGGTTCGGAAGAATGCTCCTTAGGCACCTAGACCTGCCAGGCCAGGCTAGGTTAAAGGAGGATCGAGACGATCTCTAATAGTATGGAACAAATCCAGGAAATCCACATACTAGTACTAACATTAACCCTGTAAGAGCTCAGAACAGCAATAAATTGGCTTCTATAAGGCTTCTTAAGGATCTAGAGACGCGCGCAGAATCACTAAAGCCATTACCAGCGCCTACTCTATGTCCCATTCCTCATCTTCGTGATTGCGGATATATGGAATAGGCACGTCTTTGCCGAACTGCGTTTCGCCTATAGTCCACCCATTTCCCAGGAAGGCAAAAACATTGCTCGGATCGTTATATACAATGTGATAATGCTCAAAACGGGGCTTTTTGAGGTATTTCAAATGATGTAACAGAGATCCGGGCCAAATGTATACCCGACCATTGATCTGGTTGTCCTGCCGGTATTTCGTGATTAGTTACAATGATCGATGTGCGAGTCTCATATTTGTAACATACCTTGTACCAGCTCCTACAGTTCTCGGTCCAGATGCTATGTTTCTCGTGCCAGGCATCCATATAGAAGTTCAACTGCCTTGTGATATCAAATCGTGGCTCAATATACCGTATGTGGTCTTGTTGCATTTTGCGACAACATTGTAGAATATACTCAACCTGGACCTCCATCGATGGTAAAGTACAACCCTGGCCCCAATTGCCACGCGGACCGTTCACGATAAAGTAATTGGGAAAACCAGGCATTGCAATACTTGCATAAATATTAGGTTGCTTCTGCTCTTGCATTACCTGTCCGCTTGTGCCAGTGATGGTGAAGTGAGGCACAAATGCCACGTCAAATCCTGTGGCGCAGATAAGAATGTCGACTGCGTGTTGCTGACCATTGATAGTGTTGAGACCGGTGGCGGTAATCTCTTGTATATCTTCCAAGACCGCTGAAACATTAGGACTGGTAAGAGCCTCGAGATAACCCTCGCCTGGCGTAAGGCGTCGACATCCAGGACTCCAATCAGGAATCAAAGCCTTCTTGAGATCTTCGCGATCGCCTAAACGCTCTGCCATGGACGCTTGCAGAACTTCCTTAGATTTAATATTGAGGTCTGATTTGCGATAGAACATCTGGAATCCAGTAACGACCGAGCGCTCCAGACTTTTACGGTAGGCCAAATGATAATCTGAATTCTCACGAAACTTTGTTTTCTCTTTCTCCGTATACTGATGCTTACCGGCCGCATGCGGTTCCATGGCGTCAGGATCGGCGTCCTTGTTAGAAACATTACTGCCGATCTGCGGCCCAATGTAGGTTTGATTTCGTATGAAGACATCCACATGCTTCGCCGTTAGCACAAGTTGTGGGAGTATCTGGATTGAACTGGACCCGCTGCCGAGGAGTCCAACTCTCTTCGCTTCCCAGTTGATGGAAGAATCCCAAGCGGCGGAATGAACGAGTTGCCCTTGGAACTTTTCAAGGCCTGGAATTCTAGGCCACTTCCATTTGTTTACGGCACCAGAGCCATTAACTAGAACGTCACAGGTATCTTCAAATCGAGTCCCATCTTTATCTTTGAGCTCGAGTACCCATTTCGAGTCTTTCTCACGCCATTGCGCTTTCTGGACCGTAGTGTTGAAGCGGATATATCTTTCAACATTATATTTCTTGGCAAAGTTTAAAAAATACTTCTGGATCTCGTTCGCGTAGCTGTAGTAACCACTCCACTCTGGGTTTGGTTCGAAGGGAAAGGTGTAAGTATGTGCAGGAATGTCGCACGCACAACCCGGATACTTGTTCTCGTACCAAGTCCCTCCAACGACGGAGTTCTTCTCGTAACAAATGAGTTCATAGTTCGTCAAGAATTTTTCCGCCTTGTGAGCAAAGAGAAGACCTGCCGCACCTGCGCCGACAAATACAATTCTGATCTTCTGAGGACTGCATTGTGGATACTCGGGCACGTGGCTTTCTGAATACGTAGACAGCCTAATGGACCCCATTGCTGTACAACATGAACACGGAAAAATCGTGCACAGCTGTTTTCCTCCTCGTCCGAGTGAGTATTATCTAGAAATTTCTCTAAGACAACCTCGTGCAGGTTGGGGCAAGCCGGTGCCTAACTCCGACCGGCTGGCGTACAGCGAAGCCGAGGTCCGTGGTAAGGATTCCGAACCAGCATTTGAGTCCGTTTCCGATCGCTGAGCTCACGTTGCGCACCGGCCGAAAAGAATGTTATGGTGAACCCTAGGTTGTAGACTCTTCATCAGAACTTCGCTACGCTGGGGTATTAGGACTTCGCCTCAATCAACCTTGCCCATCCATGTATGGAAGACGTACAACTTTCTACGCGATTCCCCCAGCCGCTATAGATCAACATGCCCCGAGTCCAAGGCAAAAACATATAGTTTTTTGTTTAAAATAGAGCGGGTCACGAGGAGTGATTTTGTCACGCAAAAACTTGCTCTGTAAATGTAATAAGGCGTAAGGGCAGCCGCTTAGGGAGTTCTGCTTACTATTCTTATTACCATCTCGTGAATTCCTCGAAGATACATTAGAACGACTCGAAATTCGTGAGGAGATCCAGTGAGACGCTAAGAAGTAGATATAGCGGGCTAGGTTTTCTTGACACAAGGTATCCTTTAATGCTAGTCGTGAAGGGGGAGTAAATACCGAATTACACATTTTGTAGTTTCTCCAGTACTTTATATTTTCTATAGTCTATCAAAGCGCTCGAATTCTACAGCAGTTGAAGCTTTATATACGACCTAATAAGAAAACGGATGTTAAAATCGTCTCTCCCTGTCCAGGCTTCACGACAAAACGCTTCGCATTCCTTAGAGACCTTATAGTTGATAACGCTATTATCGTGCCGATAGCGGTACTAGTATTTATCTATACGGCTATATTCGTTATTATATAGTAGCGGTTTTCTCAAAACTATAAAAAGGGGGCAAGGGAAGACATCAAAGTTTCCGATATTAAACGAGCCTCAAAGTTTTATTAGAGAACATAAAACTAAGGACGTTAAGAGAATCCAGTGTTAATATAATTTAGTAGTACTCTATATCTACAATTTAACGTTCTAAGCCTATAAGTCTCGTAAATCCTTAGTAATTCTATATTTAAGCTATATTATATCGGGGTGGCCACGCGTTTCGTAAGTACCTTGGTCACGTAAGGAGCGGTAGATAGAGTAGAGCCTTGCGAGCATCAAAGAGCTTATCATTAGTCGATAAGAGGTTATTATTTAGTCGTTAAGTAATTAGTTAATAAGTCGATATATACACCTCTATAGAATAAAAGCGTTAATACCGTATTAGTATCCGTGCCTTAGTTGTTCCCTTACTAGTTATATTTATTATTAGTCGTAATCCTTCATTTATATTATATTTAATCGTTTAAAGAGGCTAGAAAGTCTTTAATACCTCTATTAAGTAGTCGCTAGAACACGATTTACCTAGACGTAGGACTAGGAGGAGAACTAGAGTAAGTTACTCTTATCTAGTAACGTAGATGATAAGCGAGTGAAACAGACAAGCGGGTGAAACACTCCACCCAAAATTATGCACTTCTTACCTTCCACCGCGTTTTCTCTATCACCAATGATGACAACCACTTCTACTGATCTTCAATTAAACCTCGCATTCAAGTTATCCAATGCGACCCAAAAGTTAGTATACGGTCAGCTGCACGCTTATACTCGGTCAGCCACGTCACGCTCAGTTGATGGCTTCGCGGGACCATGTCTCGACGCGATAGGGCTCCCAATTCACGGATCTTAACGGTCCTGGAAGGATTGACGATTATTAAGTACGTTCTAGGCCTTGATGTGCGATCTTTCCTTCCCCGGCTTTGTGAGGTAGAAGATATGGCTAATCGACTGCTTGCGAAGCGCGACGCGCCGAAGGTCGGGAAGCGCTGGTCCGCAAACTTTGTCAAGAGACAACCAGAGCTCCAGACGCGTTTCTTTCGTCGATACGACCATGGGAGAGCCTAATGCGAAGATCTAGGGGTGATTCGTGGTTTGATCTCGGTCGTGAGGAATACAATCACTAAGTATGGCATCGTGGACTCGAATATTTTCAACTTCGAGGAGACCGGGTTTATGATGGGTATTACAACAGGTATGGTCGTGACAAGCACCGAAGGACTTTCTAACACGAGACTAATCCAGCCTGGTAATCGGGAATGGGTTACATTTATTCAAGGTGTCAACGCGCAGGGCTGGACTGTCCCTCCGTACATCATCGTTTCCAGTAAATATCATCTCTCAACTGGTACCAAAATAGTACTCTCCCTCACGACTGGGTAATCGCTATATCCCCAAACGGCTGGACCACTAATGAGAGAGGCCTGGAATGTATTCAGCACTTTAAGAAGTAAACTCAGCCTCGGACCTCGGGTCGATATCGTCTTCTTATCCTCGATGGCCATGGCAGTCACCACTTCACCACTCGACCGACTTTGAGCTCTACTGCAAGGATGATAATATTATTACTCTCTGTATGCCTCCGCGTTCATCTCACATACTTCAGCCTCTAGATATCGGATGTTTTGGCTCACTGAAACAGGCATATGGTCATCGCATCGAGAAGAGGATGAAACCCGGTACCACCCACATTGCCAAGCAAGCATGATTGATTCTTTGACTAATTACACACTCGATCTGAGAAGTCTCTCAAATGTTGGGATCATCTCAGCCGGTAATGTTGGAAATGCTAGTTTAGGGGTTGGGGACACGGTTGATAAGATCATATTGACAATGTCCTCTAGGAGTCGTGTTTGTTCTACTGGCAACCGCAAGCCACTTCCAATTGCAACAATAGCCCATTTCCTGCTTTCCAAGTGCTCCTTAACACTATTTCTTTCCTCTAGAGGGAAATCGGGGTTGATAAATCGAGCGTCGAAGGCAATGCCTGCTGTGATGGCATCTTGGGCTATCTTGGCTGTGCCTTCAGCCATCTGAGCTGGTGTCATGCCTAAATATCCTGCTATTCCAATGGCTAACACCGGTCGAAGCTCTGCCATTCCGTTTTTTGATGATGCTACTATTGGTATTGTTCAATCTGCTTGGACATTAGTTTTAGAGCTGTTGGAGAGATATCGTGACAACATACGGTTCAGCTAAGATACTATCAGATAACCACGAGACTTGCTAGAAACAGTGAACTCGGAAATCTAATATTGCGTCAAACATCTGAAGGGCCAACTTCGCAAGATTTGGTGATATCATTAAAATTGGTAGCGACCGGCATATAGCAGTAAGCACTAATGCAGATAAGGCGTAACATCTATCTATATAAGTACTAGCTTCAAATTCTTCCTCTTAGTCTCTCTATACGACTCAGTAGCCATGGACCCACTTTCTTCAAGTTTCCGAGAGACACTTTGTAATTATTCTCTTTTGTAAATTTAGTTAGTCACGTAAAGTTGGCTGAGGCATCTTTAAACACGACTACTACCTTCCGGTAACAAGGTAATGCATTCGACAGCATCCACGCATGCTCGAGGAGAGACTCCACAACCACTTACACACTGTTCGTCACTAGAGAAGGCAGTGCTTATGTGGCGATAAAACGCACCAAGGCCTCAACCGCACGAGCACCAACCCACACCGAAGGTTGACCATAATGCACCCTAAGCGACTTCACTCTAGGTATGTAGCCTTTTCAAATCAAGTACAGGAAGAGCTTAGGAACCAGAACCTCTCCTTAATGCAATTGGCAAAAATGGTCGGTAAAAGCTGGCAGAAGTTCAGATCTATCCTTCTGGATGAATATGCAGCGTAAGCCCGTATGACTGCTTGAATGGTATCACCATAGTATCCTCCTTGACCATTCAAGTTAGCTCCTCCGTCGAGTAGTATCTGCACTGGCTTTTCGGGACACATCCTTGATCCTTTAAAATGCTTTCGAATTAAGGCAGTCTGTAGAGAGAGGTTCGAGAGTGTCTCGTTGCCGCTTCCTCGAGCGAGGGTTCTCCTCAAGAACAAAAATAAATAGTGGAAACTGGTCCTTCCTGACAAGATTGGCTTCGTGACATCGTTCAAGGGGAAAGCGGAACTTCGCGTATTGAAATGTCCCAATTAGAAATCATCCATAGTTAGTTAAAGTAATGTTCCCTCTTCGCACTCAGATACTGTATTTGGTGTGGTCGGTGTATGAGACAATATAAATATTCTGTCGTTGTTTCAAAACACTCCCCTGGAGATTATCTTCACCCTTCAATGGTGTTATCGGCCCGCCCTGCCTGGTGGGAGACTAAAAGTCACCTTGCACCGAGACATGTACAATACATATGGCCCTGGCATCCGCAAACACAAACAAGCAGTTCACCAAATATAGTGATTTAAGCTGGCAGGCGGCGCCTTCAAGGAGACGCTAGCATAAAAGTGCTAACCTTAGACCAATAATATCTAGACTAGCGTGGCGGAAAAGGATAGTGACTGCGTCATCAGGTAATTTACGAGGCGGTTGAAGTAAACGGCCCTGGTCACATCATCACAACCAACATTAGCTAGTGTAAACGAAGAAGTTCAAAGTTACAAAGTGGCTAGCGTACACGAGAACGTGCTCCGTTTACATCACTTACAGCAGCCATGCCGTCGATTGGTTAGCAAATCACATAACATGCTGGTGTCGTGCTTACTCGAGCCAGTCCATCAGCCACACAGCCACACAACCACACAACTATTACGAGTTGACCCGCGGCCTCCATGGCGACCTGCCCTGACTGGAAGGTTGGGAAAGGCGGCTTTGACGTTACGGACACTGGAGCGAGGCTCGGGCCACGTGAGGAATTACTGACTACCACTGATCATACTAAGCAGCGTCGAGCATGCGGGATTCTTACAAGTATACAGATACGGTCATTACACGAACCTTTCATAGACTCATCGTAGTCAATCTATTAATTACAACTGCACTATTTCATGCGCGGTCGGCACGTGACCTTTTTTTCTTGGCGTGACCTTAACCAAATTTTAAGAACATTGATCTTGGTAACCAACGTAATTCAAATGCCTACAGCATTATGATTTCTATGTAGATTTGCATGAAACTTGTCGAAGCAACCCGTCTTGATGCAAAAGTGCATTTAGTAAGAGGAAGCTTCCAAATTAAGCGCACTTTGACCGAATAGGGCGGCTGCCAGTAGAGCGCAGTGATAGGATAGGTAGCGTTCGAAGCTATAACTAGCGAAGCAATTTAAATAGGTGCGTGCCTAGAATAGCGATCTACGCCGCGATCGTATCCTACTACCCTACTACCCTACTCTATAATTCCCACCGATGGAGACTAAGAAAATTTATACGACGGGAACTAAGGAAACGTAATCCGGCCAATGGGATTAAGTATATTTACGCAATGTGTGGAATCGAAATTTGCAAGAACCTATAACCTTAAGAGATAAGTTCGAGCTGGCGTAAACTGGGAATTCGGATGTCGGCTTCAGTCTCTAACTGCTGCTCAAGTTTAGAGCATTGATAATCATAATATCCACTGAGGTCCTACTGGCAAGCCATGACGCTACACTAAAAGGGGAAATCCACTCACAGTAGTTGAAACCTACTGTAGAATCACCCTGATTTATGCCTCACCGTGGTGTTTGTAATGCACACGGGACATTCGTCCACACGGCTTTGCTTTGCCGGCCATGCCTCAACGACCATGCTGTACCAACCGGCGACGGTACACACTAGTGCTGACAAATAAAGTACCACTTGATGGAAGACGGAGGTTGTGTTTAGGGGCGTTTATGACAATGGCGATGATATCTAAACGACTCTATGATTAACTCTGGTCATTGGCGAAAGATATAAATTCCTCGGTCTCTACCATTCGCCCAATATAATCATATTCATTTTGAGAAACTACAAACATCTCTAATACACCTTCCCAGACTCAGAATGTCAGCATCCAGCAAATCAGTCTTCTTACTCGGACCAGGCCTGTGAGTAATCAACCATTTCCCAATGTCTCATGTCTTGTGACCATACTAATCGTCCAACAGCGTAGGTCGTAATGTCGTCGATCTCCTTCTAGTAGAAGGATACTCGGTCACGACCCTCGTCCGACGAGAATCCGCAGCTGCCGAGCTGCAAAAAGACGGTGTCAAGACCATCCACGGCACACTAGCCAACAGTGAAGTCATCACCAAACAGACCATTGCTTGCGACATTGTCTTCCACATCGCCACGGCCGACGACCTCCCATCCGTCCAAGCCGTTCTCGAGGGCGTTAAGTTTCGAGCGCAAGCCGGCCAGCAGACCATCTACATTCACACCAGCGGCACTGGTCTATTCGGCGACGCTGCAATGGGCCAATACAAAGGCGAAAGGGTCTACTCGGACGACAAGCCCCATGACATTGACGCCCTCCCTGACACGGCGCCACACCGGACGATTGACCTGACCATTATCCGGGCTCGCCAGGAACTCGGCTCTAGAGTCAAGGTAGCCATCATGATTCCGCCGCTAATATACGGGATTCAACACAAGTACAAACGCCTGTCAATCCAACTACCCACGCTGGCACGGTTTGCCCTCAAACACGGCTATGCCGGACAAGTCGGCGAAGGTAGGTCCGTATGGTCGACCATACACGTGCTAGATCTGGCTAGAGGGTACATCACGTTATTACACTGGCTCGAGAAGACGTCAGCAGTCACGGTGCTGGAGAACCCGTACTTTTTCTGCGAGTCTGGGGACGATATCGCGTGGGCTGAGCCTATCGCGGTCATCGGCCAAGCGCTGCATGCCGCCGGGCGCATCAAGGATCCTGCCCCAAAGACAATACCGGAGCAGGACTACAAGGACCTCTTTGGCGAGTTTACGCCCTTGGTGGTGGGCTCAAATTGTCGCAGTCGTGCCACTCGCTTGAGACAGTTGGGTTGGCAGCCGCGGGAGAAGGGAGTGCTCGAATCGCTCCGGGACGATGAACTCCCTCTGCTTCTGCAAGAAACTGGCGAGTTCAATGGATACACTGGCGTGGCTGCCTCATGAACACTGACCACAGCCCTCGTCCTCAAGCCGCTAAAGTTATGCTGCTCCCATATGGATGTAAACCTGCATAGAATAATATCCGACGGGGAGTCGATGAAGTCTCAGATTTGAGTCCCGATATTTATGTCCTTGTCCTGTTCCTCTAATTCAGCCAATAAGGCCCCTTCGGTGGTGTCGATACCACTGGTGAGCCCATCATATCAGTGTCATCGACAGAAGTACTCTGTATAGTTGACCAACAGCCTTGCTGCCAAATTTTACATGCTCCATCCTAGCTGGTGGTCGGAACAATTTATCTACTCGGTCGATATATCATAGGTCCAGGTTTGCACTAATAGTCGAAGCCGATCAGACCGTTCGTACTGATGTTGATTTGATGTGGAGGGAGAAATTTTGAATACGATGAGATCATAAAACTGGAAGTACAACCGAAAAAGCGGCCTGCTAATGCTAGGCTCATGCTCGCCATTATCTTCGTGGCGATCCTCCATCATCCTGGGTTTTGTTCGAAGAAGTCACTCGCTAAATAAGGATCTATGAGGACGTCCTCGAACGGAAATTGAAAGATGCTGTTAGAGCAGAAGATATCGTGTTGAATAGACGCCGAAGGGGCATCGGCCCCGCCTATGACGGAAGTGTCCGCCATAGCCTCATCTGGTTTATAGGTCTCATCCAGCGGTATATTGGTGATTTCTTGAATGACAGACGCCGTACGCTGGCCCATGTCCATGGGAAATTTTTGCATATCACATACTCGCATGATAGTTTGAACAATCTTGCGAACGTGGAGTGCCACAATCTCGGTACTCTCCATCTGCTTCATGATGCTGAGACAGCCTGTCAGTGCTGCCAATTCGGCTGCGACGTTATTCTTCTGCTTCTCTGCGATCTCGGCAATGAGCGTGGTTGCTGCTAAAGTGATATGATAAAGAGCAGAGCCAGTCAAAGTATAGGCTTGGTGATGTGCTGTATAGTCTTGTATCAACCTGGAGATTTGTAGGGCGTGTTCAACACAAGTCCGTCTCGACTTGAGCATATCTGAAACTCTGCTATCGAGGCAGGTCCCAAGACCAGCATTATGTCGATTGAGGAGGATGAATAGGGCGCAATACTGCATCCTATAGCCAGAGTCAGGGCGAGACATCAAATTCATTTCATCACCCCACCTACCGCAATTGATAGACCGCAGGTGGTGATGTGGCAGAGGGTATTAGAGTAGCGTCCATGTTGGCGTCCCAGGTCTCCAGAGCGTTCATATAAATGTTAATCTGCTCCTGGAAACATGAATTGGTATTTCTTTGAGTCATTAGCGGAACGGAACCACAGCACTGGTCAGGTGGAGCGTACAATCTCTCGCTAATCTGCCCTGCTATATCAAGGATCTCTGTCCAGGCAGCAAATATTACCGCGTCCCACGACGTGGAAGTCTTGCTAGGTTTTCGAACGTATACATCACATAGCTTGATGATGGGGGGACGGCCAAGGTACAAACCCCAATGCCTATCAATGATCAGTGAGATTGCTGTGGCATAGAGAACAAGTTGACAAACCTGTCTAGTCCAAAGCACCCCCAGAATACGACATTTCTGACTTCTATGTCGATCTGGCTGCATCTGCTTTGCGACATGTGGGACAAGTCTTGATGAAGGCCTAAGTCGAAGGCTAGCCTGCATGCGGTTCCTATGCCAGGTCAGAAAGGAGAAAATAGAGGCACTTTTCGAACTCACCTGATTTCAGCCATCCTTTCATGTCATCGGACTGTATGCAGTCCAGGACACTCAATAACATTAGAGACTGTATAGTGGTTATTGATGGGTTCAATAGTTCTTTCTCGAGAGCGTCTTGAGCAAGTCTAAAAAGCGCCGGTGTCTCGGTATGTTCTTCATCCATTGATGGGATCGACAAGGCTCGGATCTCTGGATTGGCCGAGATTCGCGCTCCAGACACTAGAATGCACAGTAGTAGACAACGGCTGTAGTAGGGACCGCGAGCCGCCTCCAAGCCCGCCAGAAAAGCCTCTTTGTGGATTATGCGCATGACGTTATGCTGATAATTCCAGTACAGTTCGAGTAGATACTGCTGCATTGCCTGAGGAATTTCCTTCTCAAAGTCCGAGCCTGCTCGAGAGATGTTCTCGCAATAGCTAAGGATCGATGTAACATTTTCTGTGAGGTGGAGACTTGACGTTGGTCCAAAATACCTTGACTGCCCATTCTCGATACTGCTGTTGAGGCGATTCCTCGTCCCGCGTAAAAGGGTGATGATACTTTCGCCGGAGCTTGAGCTCGGCGTGGTATCTGCCAACCCTAGACCGTCCCTATTGTTGAGATCGATAGTACTCGCAATGGGTTCAACGGGTTCCCTGTCCACAAATTCAGATGTTTCGAAGCTATTGGACGGTGCAATATTGTTCGACCCTCGGGGCTGGGGCTCCGGCTGGGTCTGTGATGAGACAATTTCATGTTCGCGACATGGATTACAGGAAAGAATCGCTTGTTGTGCTTCAAGCTGCGACTGTAGGTCTGCGAGTATGGCTTTGAAATCTTGCACTTGGTTTTCGAGGTCGACGATGTATTCCTTGGAAAATCGTCTCCGAATGATGTCAATTCTTGAGGTGAGCATTCGAATCTTCGTACGTACCTTTGGCGCTCATCGCGCTCCGGAAACCGACAGGGTATCTTCATTGACCTACACCTTTCACATACGCCATCTACACGCTCGCACTATTTCGAATGTCAGTAGCGTGAGCTCTAGAGGTTCAGAGCGACCGACCTTGATCTTTCTGGGTCGGCAGCTGAGGCACGCCAGCCCTTTAGAAGCCTTTTGTTGCTTCGGCATGGATGGTCGTCGTTATCTCAGGGTGTTTCGCGACTCGGAGGTTGATTCTGGCGGCTTGGACTTTTGAAGCCTGAGACCACGTTCGACAGCGCAGACGACTAGCCCAAAGAATCGATATCCCTCTCTCATGAAGTGTCCAGTGCCGTGCTAAGAGATCAGATCTGAAACACACATTGTTTGTAAGGTGGCCACAGTTTCCGGAAGTTGAGATGTCTAGATGTCGACCACGCGGGGTCAGCCCTTCCGCCAAGAGGGTGAGGGTTTTCTGGATGCCGATCGGATCGATTTCCCCAGTTCACGAGATCATAACCATGAAGCTGGTTTTACGTGGGGTAAGCGAAATCCCCATGGGAGACCAACAACCAATCATGAGGCCGTAAATGAACGCATGAAGACCTAGACTAACTACTGGGCAGAACCGGCTCTGAGCGTTGGCAAATGGCAGATTATTAAGCGCGGAGAAGCAATCCCGATGGGTCAGTAGTGATTGGCATCCCTACCCTGCACAGTAACGTGCTGCCAAGGCTGCTAGAACACCGGATTGGAACTAGTGCGGCGTAGGCACACCGGCAGAGTTACCAGATTGGGCTTACGCGCGGACTCGAAGGCATTCTAACATCGTTATCAGCCGCTAAACCTAATTTCACTTCATTATTCGCAGCCGAGGTCCGAAATGTCTCACATCATCATCAAGATCTACAAGAATACCATAAGTCTTCTGGGGTTTATTTTCTACCAAGCAAAGAATGACCAAATGCTACGGTTATTACTACGACCACAGATCGACTACAGCTCGACCAACAATTTTCCCTTCTTTCAAAAGCCGCACCGCGTCTGGGAGCTGCGCAAAGGGGAACCTTGTGACAACTGGCGTGATCAGCCCCTGCGCACACAAGTCCAGCACCTCTGCAGCTTCGCTCAGTGTTCCTACGAAAGTTCCTCTCACAGTGATGCCTTTGGTCACGAAATCGTGCGGATCGGCCCCAGCGATAGCTGAGCCAGTGGCAGGTAATCCGACGCAAACCATAGTTCCACCAGTCCGTAGATAGTCCATTGCTGTGGCGTAACTGGATGGATGAGCCGAAGTGACGATGACAGCGTGCGCTCCACCATTCGTGATCTCTAGCGTGCGCTGAACTGGATCCGGTTCTAAAGAAATGTCAAGGAATTCGGGTGCTCCAAGAGACGAGCATAACTCTTTTTTGGCCTTGCCCTGGTCGATCGCAATCACACGTGCGCCCATGGCTTTACTGATCATGACCGCGAAATGACCCAGCCCTCCTCCAGCACCAAGCACGACCACCCACTCTCCAGCGCGAACGCCACTCTTTCGTAGAGCAGAGTAAGATGTAAGCCCTGAGCACATGATGGGCGCCGCGTAGTGAAAATCCACTTTATTTGGAATTCGAGTTGCGTAGTTGGCGGCGACGACAATATACTGTTGATAAGTTCCTTCCATGGTCAGACCGGAAAATTCTGCCCGAGGGCAATGTTGTTCGCGGCCTTTCATGCAATTCTCGCACTCATGACACACCCATGAGATCCCCTTGACACCGGCCTTGTCTCCAATTTGCCACGTCGTCACACCTTTCCCGAGGGCTTCGACCACTCCGGCGCCCTCGTGGCCAGGAGTTTCCATCCTCGACTTGAACCCCGACCATTCGCGCAGCATCATGCTAAGATCGGAATGGCACAATCCTGTGACGCTAAGTCGGATAAGAAGCTGACCATCTCTAGGTTGAGGTTTGGGCTTGTCGATGATCTCGAGACTGAAATTCGGACCCGGGTTTCTGATCACTGCCGCGCGCATGGTCTCTCCCATCTTGCAAAGAGGTTGGTGAGGATGACGAGCATACAATTCAGGAGAGAAGAACGCTACCTCATACAGCAATTATTGTGTCTGTGATTGTTTTTCATCCGTTGGACCTGCCACAGCGGCCATACTTTGCCGGCCATGCCTCAACGGTCACTCTCTGCCATTCGGTGACACTTCGCCGGTCACGACGCCAATTGAAATTCGGGAGGAAATGGATCTGATTTTGATACCTGGAGGTGTGAATTGTCCGGTAACGGCACGGCATTAATGGTTTGAATAAAATTCTATCAACTTAAATTGACTTTGCAATTTCATTATTGAGACTAAGTTATCAACATTTCGATCGTTATTGAAGGACACCTTTCAGCTCAGTCAATCAGGATGGCCAATGGTGTTCAGGGCGTGCACGACATAGAAACGAGATGTTTCATCGATAATAAATTCGTGGAAGCTAAGGAGACCTTTGCGATTCACAACCCTTCAAATGGGGAATTGACTGCACGTATCTCCCAGGCTGATGTTGACCTAGTTGATTCGGCTGTAGACGCAGCCGAAGCGGCAGGGCCAGCCTGGGCAGCACTTGATTCAAGCACGCGGGCAGAGTGTCTCAATCGACTCGCTGACCTTCTAATCGCGCATACACAACAATTTTGCTGGCTTGAGGCCATCAGCGTGGGAAAGGTTGTCACGTTCTATCCGGCAGAGATTCAATGGGCGGCAAACGTCCTGAGATACAACGCAGGACTCGCACGAGAGATCCACGGAGAGACCAGCATGGCAACAGCAGGGTTCCTTAATATGACTATCCGCCAGCCGTATGGCGCCTGTGGAGCCATTTGTCCTTGGAACGGTCCATTGATCGCCATAGCGTTGAAAGCTGGACCCGCGTTGGTCACAGGCAACACTCTGATCTTGAAACCATCGGAGAAGTCACCATTGACGGCCCTTTACATGGGGAAGCTCATCATTGACGCCGGATTTCCACCGGGTGTTTTTAACATCGTTCCGGGTCATGGACGCGTGACTGGAGCGGCTATAGCCAGTCACATGCGGATTAGGAAGCTAGCATTCACAGGCAGCACAGCTACAGGCCGCATCGTCAAGAAGCTCGCCGCCGAGTCCAACCTCAAAAATGTCACATTGGAACTTGGGGGTAAGTCCCCTCTGATTGTTTTTCCAGACGCGGATCTCGAAGAGACTGCGGCGATGGCGGCCTTTTCCATCGCCTACAATTCGGGCCAAATATGTATCGCCAGCTCGCGCGTGTACGTGCACGAATCGATTATAGACAAATTCGTCGGGTTGTATGTGGCTCAACTCAAGAAAGCCATGGGGAAAGCAGGAGATGCACTTAATCCTACCACCACGCACGCTCCACAAGCAGACGCACTACAGTACGAACGGATCATGGCTTATATTGACGGAGCCAATAAGGAGGGTGCAAAACTTGTCACTGGAGGCAAGCGGATTGGTGTACAAGGTTACTTTGTGGAGCCAACCGTCTTCCTCAACCCGGGACAGTCTTCAACCATCAATCGCGAAGAAGTGTTCGGTCCAGTTGCAAGCGTTAATACCTTTGTATCTGAAGAAGAAGTTCTGAAACTGGCCAATGATACCGAATACGGCCTTTACGCATCCGTGTTTACCAAAGATTTGAACAGAGCTTTGAAATTCGCCAAACAACTCGAGTCCGGGATGGTGGGAGTGAATTGCACGTCGCCAACGATGCCTTTTGATCTACCGTTCGGAGGCAGCAAGCAAAGTGGAGAAGGGAGAGAGTGCGCTTTACAAGCTTTGCATGCGTGGACGGAGACAAAAACAGTCATGATCAAGCTCTGAGCCTCGTGGTTCTGGGTATGGATAGTGGTTAGCGTTCTTGTTTGTTCTACCTGGGACGAGGCGGATAGAGCTGCCATTGTCAGATTGCTGTACAAGACTGTGGTACATATTCATCGTTCAGCACTGTTGAGGTAGTCCAAGGAAATTTTACTGCTATCTGAAGGTTACTAGTGAGAGACCGCTTCCATGAATGTGACATTTAGAGTGAAGGAGTTTTACCAAGTGAGCAGTCACCAGCATATATCCGTTGGACGATACGACAGTGCAATGTGCTGGAGATCATCTCGCATACTGCACGTGTACAAGCTCTTGCTGGCTGGTCGAAGAACGGATGCGAATGTTTCGATCACAATATACCGCAAAAGCCTTGGGTCGAAAATTGAGGCGCGATAGATTGTTCAGACCCTGGAAGGTCCCAAATCAATAATCGCCGTGAAAGCATCAATAGCGCTTCTGTTCTTCGGACTCCACTACTGTACCACTCAAAAGCCTATATCCGACCTCTATTCAAGAACTTTACTGGTAAGTCCACCACACGTGCTCGCACAAACTCGCCCATGGCTTTCGCAAAGGCATCAAGACGAGACGTGTTTGACACGCCTTCGCCCAGTATACCACGAACCAGGAAATGGACAGCAAGGAGGCCTTCGAATTCCACTCTTTCCAATCCAGTGACAAGCTTCATCTCGTCACCCAGTAAGTACTCAAACTTCTTCACATCTAGGAACGTCCTTAGCCATTCGTACTCGTCAACATGTCGGACATAGAGGCCAATATTGGCATTCCCTCCCTTGTCGCCCGAGCGGCCCATGACAATGCTGCCTAGCGGTTCACGCGTTGTCGGGCCCCACTTGTCCTCGTACGGTGATTTTGCATCGTAAGATGCGGATTTCATGGCCGGGATTGTGTGCGGACGTGGGGAGAGAGCCCTTGTTTGTCCATGAAGGAATGTAAGTGACAGTTTAAGGTGGCGTTCCGGAACTAAAGACGGCCAGTAGTCGATGTAGAGTTTGGGAAGGGTATTCCTCATGTCAAGAGCACGATGAAAACCAGGGTATGTACCCAAGCTTAGACCCTCAACCATAGCCTGCAGACCATTTGGTGGAAAATCTTCCAAACGGTGGGCTTGTGCAAATATACGCAGGGTAGAAGTGGCCTCAGGCTCGTTCTTAGGATCTACCGCCGGAATTCCTACATGCTGGAATTCAAGAGTCGTGAATTTATATTGCGGTTGCGTGGTCAGCCAGCAGCGACATAGCTTCTCGAACATCTTCAACTTGATTGTAGTCTCAAGCCCAGTCGCAAATGCAAACGCTTCGGCCTGGTAACCGCCTGCTGCGAAGATGGCACACTTAGCCGTCTCTGGAGGAGCATAACCCTTGATCCCAGTTACCACGACACGGTCGGGACCTACATCCTCCACCTTGATATGGTGAAGATCGACCTGAACATCCGGGTTTAGATACATGTTCCCCTGGATTTCGTACAAGATTTGCGCTGTGATAGTTTGCTTGTTGACCAGACCATTCATCTCGGATGATTTTGTGATCACGAAGGAACCATCAGCATTGACCTCGGCTATTGGGAACGCTGTATCGTGAGGTTTCTCGAAAAGCGCCTTGTATCCCGAGAAATTCCCACCCGTGGCGTACATGGAGCATTCCATAACATGGCCGCACACCACTGCTTGCGCCAAATGATCGTATTGATCTTGTTTCCAATCGTGCCACCACGCCGCTGCTGCCACAAGGCCAGAAGCATCAGTGCTCCTTCCAGTCACGACGATATCTGCGCCACCTCGTAGAGCCTCAACGATTCCCCACGCTCCAATGTAGGCATTAGCTCCGACCCAATCGCCCTTGTTGAGCGTGTTCAGTGCCTTGTCATTGTCGAAGTGCTTGAAAGTATGCTTTTGGTCAAGTTCTTCGAAGCGATCAAGAATGTCATCGCCCTCAATATATGCCAATTTCAGCTGATGGCCGTGCTCCTGCAGTACTTTCTCCAGAGCCTCTGCACAACCTTTGGGGCTCAGTCCACCCGCATTGGTGATAAGCTTTTGTTTACGCTGGACAATGGTTTCTACTGCTTTGTCGAAAACCTCCACGATAGTTTTGACGTAGTATTTATCGATCTTTTCATTTGGATTGACCTCGCGGTCCATGTACCTCTCCCTTGCAGCCCAGCCAACCGTAAGTTCGGCAAGCCAGTCACCAATCAGGACATCTGCACGAGGCTCTGCCAGTGCTTGTACTAACATTGCCTCTTTGCGATCTCCCTGCCATCCAGAAACAGCACCAAGACGGATTGGTCGTCCCATGGCTTGGCGGGACACTCAATTGCTGTGATTCTGCACAAAGATTGTATGAATGATTATCTGAGAGAAAAGCGTGAAAGCCACTCCGCCAGAACTCTCTGATCAAGAGATCGAATGCTTATTTGGAAGGAGGCTATGCGGAGTTTCTAACAGGGTTCATAGTGAGCTTGGTCCTCGGACATCTATGACTGCCGATATAGCTGGCTTTTGTCTCCCTAGGTCTTCTGTTCTGCATCGGCAGTCGTTCGCCGTGAGTAGTCCTCGGATCGCTTTGACAATCTACGTATACCCGTAGCAGGGTTAGTAACCTCTAAACTAGTAAGCAATGAAGACGGATTTAACACTACATAGGTATTAAGGAAGGGAGATATGATGGCGCTGTTTGATAAGTAGACCAAAGCTTAATTTCGTAGGTTTTGCGTGTAAAACTCGGCACCGATCGTAAATGTACGTCTTCATGTGTCTGGGTAGCGTATGTCATTACAAGAAAATAGATATTGTGTCACGGTAATAGTTTTCCGTGACCGGTTTCACGTTCGCACTCGTGTCACTCTGTTGATGCTGGACAAGTTCGGTTACAGAGTGGCCAACCTACACCGAAGCGACTTGAAACTACATTTACAAGTAGTTGACTCCCCATTTTCGTTTTTGTTATTTTCTCACAGGGTAATGTCGGTAAAGTACCTCCGATATAGGGTAAGAACGTGGGGGATGCGTTCAGGAACAGGTATCGGTGGCCAAACTGTACCTTGCAATTTGCAGGCTATATCGTCCTTTCATGATCATGCTATACTAGTAAAATTTAGATATTTCGCTGCTGCTATCCACGGTTATCTATTACGTTAGAGCCTTTGTTGTAACGCCGACTGTTTCACACGAAAACATCTATCTTTACACTTCTCTAAGTGGTACAGTCGAGCGGCTAAAGAAGCCGAAATACATGATGAAGTTCGACCCTAACTCAAATGCATTGCCTATGCGTTCAGAGCTACCTGCGATTTCTGGAGCTCCAGCCGGAGCAGCATGGTTTTGGGGCTCGGACGATGAGGTACGAAATCATCACCGATATTATTGACGTGGACGATAGTCTTACTTCCAATCAGCTTGGGCGTCTTAATCTCCTGACCAAGGAGCGTATAGAAGAAGCAGTGAAGCTGATAAAGACCGGGACGATTATAAATCTCAAGTCGGTACATGACCAGATGACCACGGCGCATCAAGAGACTAACACGAGTATACTACAAAGCTGGCGCACGGATTATCCAGATCCTCCATCATTTGGCAGAAAGGGTTTTGAGCACACGATTCAACCTGTTAGCGAGTCTGCTTATGATGACTTGTACAATATGAATACGCAGAGTGGATCACAGGTCAGTGTCGTATTACCAATATCATTCGGCATCCACCAAAAATGTTAATAATCAACAGTGGGATGGTTTCCGGCATGTAAGACCACTACTACCATATAACTATGGGAGTACATTTATAATTTTCTGATCAGGTCGGACTCAGGTCCAACAATAATATTATCTTCTACAATGGAGTAAGTGGTATGACATCTTGAGCATCAAATAACCTAACGATGAAGCTTACCAAAGACGCAATTCCCAATGCGAAGTATGGTGGAATGCAGGCATGGGCTGAACATGGGATAGGTATGACTTCTGCCGCGTCTCTCATAGTCAATGAAGACAATAACATTTCCAGCTGGCCGTGGTATTTTGATTGACTATTGGGGCTATACTGGCAAGAGCTACGATCCGATCACTACCCACCGGATTTCGCTGGAAGACATTCACGCATGTGCCAAATCACAAGGTCTGCAATTTCAATATGGTGATTTACTGTTCATTCGTTCTGGGTTTGTCGACCACTATAATCGACTGAGCGAGACGGAGCGGAAGCATCTTGGTATGCTGAAAAAGTCGGAACATGCATTTGTCGGAGTCGAGCAAACGGAAGAGATGCTCGACTTTCTACACAACAACTACTTCAGTGCCGTAGTAGGCGATGCTCCAGCCTTCGAAGCTTGGCCTCGATCAGGCATAAACCTCCACGAATATCTCCTTCCACTCTGGGGTCTGCCAATCGGTGAGATGTGGGATCTTGACAAGTTGGCTGAGATGTGTAGAAGCAGGAAACAATACACTTTCTTCATCTCTAGCGCCCCGGCTAATGTCCCTGGTATGTATATACTGGGTTACCCAAAATGTGATATATGCTAACGTTAGAAAGGTGGTATAGGAAGCCACCCAAACGCTATCGCCATCTTTTAGAACATGATGAGATATCTGGGGTTTACGTATGCTATAGCTCTTGAGTCGAGTCTCAAGCTAGCAACATTATTTATGCTTAACTGGATTTTATATCTACTTAGGCTCTATGAATAGCCTAACCCATAGTTGAACTTACTGTAAGTCTCAGGAAGATATAGATGCTGGTTGTGTTGTAATCTACCCCGCCTTAGGCTTTTTTTCCATCTAGAAGCCCTGGGTAGGGAAAGTGTTATCTTTTCCTGCAAACTAATGCGTCTGTCAATGGATCAGCTACTGCTCTTGTGATTAATATCAATGACATCTTTAGATAACGGGCTATTCCCTACCACGTACTCATATTAATCTATACAAAAGAGAAAGGTTTCTCCTAGACCTTGACCCATTATCGAATTCTGAGTCGCGTATAGGTAGAAGTCACAATGCAGCGTGATTGCGTGACGTTCTCACAATAGCGGGATACACAGGGGAGGCATTGAGAATTCAATACCTTCTACAGCATATAGGGCCTCAACGACAAGGCAAGCAATTTCCACACATGTCTGAGCGAGAACCTGTAGCGCTTTTCGTTTTTCGGACACAAGGGCCATTGTTAGTTACATAATAAGTGTAAGCTGATGGCAAGAATAAGTCTTCGTGTATCTCAAGAACTACACTCGGCAGCGTTGTCGCCAGAACCGATAGCTTTGCAAGTTTTGGTCATCCAGGTAACATTCTTTCTGCAGTCTCAGCGGATATAGGCCAATTCCGTAACTCTCTTAAATCATGGACAACTTGTGGCTAGGGTTATGCGTAGCGACTGTCCCAGCCGTGCATATCTACAGACTTCCGTGACAGAAAGAAGCATAACTGAATCTGTTTGTGATTACTCACGCTCCCGGCAGTCGTGGTGTAAGGGTTCATCGCAGCCATTGCGTGAGATTAAAGCCTTCAGCACCCAGTCATCATATAGGTTTGGGATATTGTCAATATACTGGCTACAATAGACCGTGAGACACTCGGGTACGCTTAATTGCATTCACAACCCCTTCGTTAATCCTTATTGATTCAATATATCATTCGTAGCAATTCCATTCTATCTAGAAGAAAGCGTTGGATCACGAGCTGGCTCTAAGACCGAGGCCAGATGCTGCACATATCATTTTGAAAAGTTTGTTTTGTGACGAATGCAATGTTTAGGCGCACCATCCTCCGTCAACCATATAGGTAGCACCTGTCACGAAACTAGCATCATCGGAGAGAAGAAATGCAATGACTTTGGCTATTTCGATCGGCGCTGCCATACGTACCATGATCTGTTGGCTGGTAAGCCCATCACCCCAAACAGGATCTCCAGTGTCCGTCATGGGTGTAGTAGTCCTTCCTACAATCAAATGCGTCAGCCAGTCTTAACAATAAGAAGTAACAAGCTGCTATACCAGGTGAGATGGCGTTGATTCGAATTCCAGGTGCTTCTCGTGCTGCACTTCTCGTAAGGCCAAGCACAGCATGCTTGCTCGCAGAATACGCCCCAACCAAGCTCATCCCCCTGTGTGCTGCTACACTAGCAACGTTGACCTGTTGGTCGGAGGGAATTAGTCAATGCCAAACTCTCCTAGGCTACGCCCAAGCGCATTGCGATAAATTTGACTCATTCAACCTACTATACTCGACCCGTCTTTCATGGCATTCATTTGAGCCCGGAGACAATAAAAGACACCATTGACGTTAACGTTCATCGTTCTTGTGAACCGTTCGTCGGTTTCGTCTTTCAACAAGTTGTCGTCGTACAGTATACCAGCAATGTTTGCCGCCGCATCGATTCGGCCGTATTCTTGCAAGGTTTGATTGACCCAAGCATTAACTTGATGACTATCGGTTACGTCGACGGTGGTCGCCAGGTGCTTGACACGGTGGGGTACTCCTGCTTCCCGAAGAGACTTGAACGTTTCATCGAGTCCTTCCGAGTTTCGGTCCGCTATCGAGACAGTATAGCCTTTGGCTGCAAGCAGCTTCGCGGTGGCTCGTCCAATTCCCGAAGCTGCCCCAGTAATAGTCACCTGCAATCCAGCGTTAATACGAAGGTGTTTCAAACCAAGCAAGGCTTCGGCAATCCATTCCACAAAGTGTACTACAGTAACAAACTTTAAGCTTACCACTTTGCTCAAATCCATGTCCGACATTTCATCCCTAGCTCCTGCCGGGTTGTTTTTCCGTGTGTGAGCACTATACTGAAGTTCTCTTCGTGAAATCCGTTCGTGGGTAGATACAACTGACGACAATGATACTGGTAGTCATAAATATTAGGATTGGAAATATATTACCTTGCCATAGCTAGTTGGTATCTACCTAGTATCCAGATGAAGGAGAAAGTCTTCCGGCACAATAGTGGGGACGGCTATATACCTCCGCCCATAAAATACAATGCGTTGTAGCAGAGCTTTCGATGTGACCAAAAAGGAGCCAACGGAGTCTATGGTGAATACATAAGGGCAGTCACACTTAATCTATTCTTTCGACCAAAGTTCGTTGGAAATTTCGTGATCCAACTACCCTTCGCCTGTCGTCCACTTTTACACCTCACTTGGTCCACTATTCGAAGATGGAGACTTTCAAAGCACAGCCTACCCGCCAATTTAAGCTTAAAACCATCCTAGAATGTACAGGTGTGTGCTGGGCTGTCGCAGCCTACGGTTACAGCGCCTCAATCATTGCTACTACTTTTGGGCAACCCAGCTTCATCAGGGCAATGTGTCTTGATACTGCCCCTAACGCTCCAGATTTGATGGGAGCCGCAAACGCTCTCTTCTTTGTCGGTGGTTTCTTTGGCTGTTTGCTGAACGCTGTATTGGCGAACAAGGTCGGCCGCAAAGGTGTCATTGCCATCGGCCAAGTAATCTTGTGCGTTTCGACTGCTTTATTGGCGGGCTCTGTCCACATTGGAATGTTTATCGTCTTCCGCTTCACTGCCGGTTTCGGGTAAGTGTGATGCCATGGTCAACAGATCAGACGAGCTGACTCGTCAGTAGTGGCTACATGGGCTTGATGTCAGCTCCTCTTTGGGTTGTAGAGGTCGTCCCACCGAAAGGTCGGGGTCCTTTATTAGATATCAGCGGAATTATGATCAATCTTGGCTATGTCACCGCTTCATGGATCGGAGTTGGGTTTTTCTTTTATGAAGCCCCTCATGCCTGGCGTGCTCCATTGGCACTCGGCTGTCTACCGCCCATTCTTTGCTTGATCTCCCTCTGTTTCGTTCCTGAAAGCCCTCGACTTCTGATTCTCCAGGGAAAGTCGGAGCAGGCATGGAAGATCATCTCCGATCTACATACCGTTCATGGTAACGACAGTCTCGCGAGACAAGAGTTCGAGCAAATGAACAAGCAGATCCAGTTTGAATCGACGCTGAGAACGGGTTGGTTGGAAATTGTCCGGAGGCCATCCTACAGGAAGCGAGCTCTAATGACCATTGGTTTACTTTTCACTGTTGTCAGTTCAGGTGCTCTTGTTATCAACAGTGAGTCCAATTATTGTCTAGCTCGTGGAAGATGATGCTTATTCGTACTTCAGACTACGCCACTATTATTTACGGATCGCTGGGATACAGTCCTCAAGATCAACTTATTCTTCAGGCGGGCTGGCTAAGCACTGCATTCGTCGGCAATTTCGTTGCCGTACTCATTGTCGATCGCATTGCGCGTCCAAAGCTCATAAGTATTGGGCTCGGTATCTGCCTACTCAGCTTGATCCTAGAAGCCTCCTTCGTCGCAACATATGGAATGTCCACTAACAAGGCTGCACTTGGAGCTTGTGTTGCATGGAACTACCTATTTGTCTGGGGCTTCTCGTTGTTTCTTGATGGTGTTACCTGGTGGTATGCCGGAGAAATCTTCCCAACTCACTTACGAGCACACGGAATGGCTATTGGGATGGGAACATATGCATTGGCAAATATGGTCTGGTTGCAAGCTGCTCCAACAGCTTTCGCCAATATTGGGTGGAAGTATTACCTCTTTTTCATTATTATTACCTTTTCAGGCATGTGTGTCATATACTTCACATTCCCGGATACTTTACACAAGCCCCTCGAGGAAGTGGCAAAACTGTTTGGCGATACTGATCTTGTCGTTGCCTATCAAGAGCATGGGCTGGTTACCGGGAGTGATGAGAATGGGAGTGATGAGACCCAGATGAAACAGGAGTTCGTGGAATTACAAGAGAATGAGCTGGTTGAATAGTCAACAGTCTGACCTGCGAGTCAATTGCAGGCCGTTGTTCAGCTCTCGTGAATGTTGTGGAAGTACACAAGGAGCTACCGGAACGGCGAGCTCATCTTGTGCACGGCATTGAGCAGACTAGAGCATTGAAGTCGATATTGAGATTGAGCACTATAGGTTATGGTACTGAGAGAAACCTACTCCCTTGCCATCTCACCCGCTTGACTTGGATTCTTGGCTCTTGAATTGTAGCAATCTAGACCTAACAACGACTCTAGCTTGACGAAAAGGCGCGGTGTCAGTGCCATAGGATATCAGTTGCTACAGATCAAATCCTCAGGAACTCCGCAGCGCTGGTGTCCCCTGATGATCTACTCTGTCGCCGATTTGCCATCTCCCAGCCGCTTTGTCGTTGAGTGTAGTGATGCAGTCACCAAGGCACGCACCACCACCGAACAGTTGCTGCCGCGACTCCGACACTAATACCTCCTCTTCTACACTCCTCCTTGGCTAAACTGTCATTGCCTGCTATCTATTAGACACCTGACCCAAGTTTTCACAGCGGCAATGAATCTCCGCATACTCATAAATTGCCGTGCAACCTTTTCTGGCAGTCTCTTGAGCAACAATCCCCTCTCATATTGTGCTTGCAGACGGGTAGCATTGATCTGACCCCTCTGAGACTGTTCTGTAGCCTATCTTTGTGACAAGCATGACACCGTGACGAAAAGGTATATAGGTCATGAAAGGGTGATAAGGAAATTGTTATAACTATGTTACTCTTCATTAAATAATCTAACTTAATAAATGTAGCAAAATGTCTGATCCGCCTTAGACAGCTATTTCCTGCAAAAGCTCACTCAACGATACTATTCCTAACCGTTCGGTGAAATTATGTAGTATAAATATTTACTAGAGTAGTGAACACATATTGAGATCCTGTTCTATTCTTGGATTTCATATATACTCGAGTGGTCCCAAATACTCCTTGGCCATAGGCTGCCAGTGTTGTACTCGCAAACATGGTCCTCTTCCGACATTTCCACCGGGTCCATCCATCTGCACTCAAGCGGACAATGTGAATCCCTCGTAGCCTTTGCTCGCTGAATCTTCCAACATGGCCCGGTACTTGGGCAGTCCGGCCATATAATTCAAAGCCTCACGAGGTTTCCCAGGGATGTTATCTCCGTAGTACCAGCTCTTAGCTTTAGTGTAAAGACCCTGTTCGCCTAGATCCAGGACGTGGTCTCTCCACCACTGCTCAGCCTCGGGCTTTGCATCGATCTTCGTGATATCTTGCTCCCTTAAGTGTGATAGTAGTGTCGTGATCCACATTCCCTGGCACTCTGCTGATAGCGGTCCTGTGGCGAACGCAGTGGGTGCTTGTGGACCGTACATGAAGAACAAGTTAGGAAAACCTGACGTCGCCAATCCGAATAGAGTGTAAGTGCCCTTGGACCATTTATCCTTGATAGAGAGCTCAGGATCTAATCCATAAGTATCGATAGCTGTGATTGCTCCGGTAACGCTATCGAAGCCCGTAGCGGCCACAAGCATGTCCAGTTCAATGACTGTTCCGTCGACGGTACGAATACCTTCAGGCAACACCTCGTCGATACCGTTCGCCCGTAAATTGATCAGGTCAACATTTTCTCGATCGAACACCTCGAAATAGCCCCTCTCTAGACTAACGCGCTTTGTACCAAAGGGATCGCAGGGATTACCAGGGGCCAGGATCTCTTTGTTCTTAGAATCCTTGATGCGAGGGAGTACACTCTGGCGCCAGAATTCGTATGCTTCGTCATTGGCACTCTGATCGAATAAAACGTCCCGGTAGGTGCCTAGCCAAAAGTGCAGACCACCAGCATTGAGCAGCTCTTGAAAGACTTCGTACTTGACTTTGGGATCTAATGTTAACGAGGATTCGGGTAGAAATTCATAGTCGAAGCCTGCATGGGATTTGAGCATAGCCTTTTTGGTGTCCTGGAAAACCCTCTTCCAATTGTCGTTGGCGGCGATGTCATATTTAGGGTTGATCATTGGAAGAGCCGTATTGGGTGTTCTTTGAAAGACAGTAAGATGCTTTGCGGCTTTGGCCGTCTCTTGGATTAATTGCACACCACTGGCGCCAGTACCAATAATTCCAACTCGCTTTCCTTCGAAGCTGACGCTCTGCTGTGGCCAGAGCCCAGTATGATAGAACTCGCCCTTGAAAGTGTCCAGACCTTTCAAGGCTGGTATATAGGGCTTAGAACCAAAGCCAGTGGCGACGATAACATGGCGAGCGATAGTCTCTGAGGTTGTTCCATCGGTCTGGCATAAGTTTAGACGCCAAGTATGGGTCTGCTCGTCCCATTGTAACTGTTGCACGCGAGTGTTGAACTTGATCAAATCGAAAAGGCCCCAGACTTTGACTAAATGAGCAAAGTATGATCGCAGCTCTGCGTAATCGGGAAATCTTTGCTTCCAATTCCAGTCCAGCCACGAATTATCGTCGGTAAATTGGTAGGTCGGTACGGGAGTATCGACACGAGCGCCAGGGTAGCAGTTCCAATACCAAACGCCACCGGCGCAAGAACCTGCTTCATAAAGTCGAGCATTAAAGCCTGCGTTCTTGAGTTTGTATAGTTCGTATATACCAGAGAACCCAGCTCCGATGACAGCGACTTCGTGGTCGAGCCTTGTAAGACCTCGTGAACCCATCATGAAACTCTGGATAGGCAATAATACTTGTGTCGGAATTACTTACTAGAGTATATGAATGTTTAATTAATATCTGTAAATCTTCATTCTAAAACGCCGTTTAAATTCCACCAATGACGCTTCAAACCTTTCTGCTAAGTTAGAAGATATGGCGTTTCTCGGTAATAGTTTACCGATCGTTTATTCTTGTTGAGCGACAGCGGAGTATCCGGCACGTTATCTCATGGCCTGCGGAGTATTACAGACCACCCTGCGATTAGATTCGAAGTCTAAGACACTACTTTGTACGGGACGGAAGAGTAAAGTATTCCTCAGAGCCAGATCTTTTCATCGCTCGTGATTTCGTACAGAACTGAACGCGCGACGGTATATCAAAGGGGCATATGCTTCTAACGTCGTTTACCTATCAGACCTTCTCAGTGTTAGCAACACTATTCAAAGAGACGTCGCTCATTATATCTAGAATTCGAGTCCCGGGATCTAGTCCAGGGATCACGCCATGCTTAATAAGCATCTAGATAGCCTAGTAGAAAGTAAAGCGTGGGACCGTATGGCAAGCCTCGTGGTCAAGGTTCGGAACTCGAACGCTAGTTTCTAGACGAAATTGTATGCCCGTTGTTTGGAATAGGTCACACATCTTATTAAAATACTGAGGAATAGAGAGACAGTAACAGCGCTAATATGGTAAGTGACAGTTGCCTATATATTCGCCATACTAAACGCCCCTTAGAATTCATCCTTTCTCATACCAACCCTACCTATCAGCAACCTACTTCGACTGCCAAACTTTCACCACCGGAACAAATTCCTATAGCTCATCCACGCCACTTAGTCTTATCGCCAACTCTGCAAAGTTTAGGTTCAGAAGCTCAATAACATTGCCCCATGGATCTTGAACGTAGGCGCAGTAGGCATGATTTTTCTCTAACATTGTGATGGGTTCACCAATGATCTGGCCTCCGGCGGCCTCAATCTCTCTAGCCTTAGAGGGAGGATCAGGATCTGTAATGGCTATATGAAAAAAACCACCTTTGCTGTAGTCAAATGATTTTGTCACCCCTGCCGATTTAGGGTTCTCGAACTCGAATAACTCAAGACCTACTCCGTTGCCGGAGATGAGAAATGCGAATCTGCCTTTGTGTAATGTCGCCCCATAGATGGAAAATATCGGGGAACTAGGATCGTGGGCCCGGTCGAACTCGAGGATCTTAGGGGTTTGGTGGAAGCCCAGGACCTTAGTATAGCAGGCAACGGCAGCATCGAGATCGATGACGGAAAGCCCGACATGGTTGAACCCGTGGTTAAAGGTCATTTCCGAAGCAACCATCGATGAACGGTGAAGAATATAGTAATTTGTAGTATACCGTAGGCCGACTAGTTATCTTTATGGATCCTCTAGAGTCAGCCGTTATACAGAGCCGGGGGATGCATAATATTCTCTATTAGCCATCCTCGGGATTAAATAGGCTAGATCACGAAAATAAGTGCAAGTCATAAGACCTGCGGAAGTATGACGGCGGATTACTCCCGTATACGCCACTCTGTTCCCCGCCAGGTTTTTCAAAACGAGATAATCGATTCGCGAAGAGAAATGATCTGGTTCTTGCTCGCCCATTTTCTTGATCCAGTCATTGTACTTATTTTCGCCGTACGCGTAGCCCCGCCATCTGAGCACGTCGTTTGCATCCTCAAACACCGCTATCTGCTCCATAACAACATCGTGCCGGCGGGCAAGCCATGCCCACGTGCCATTCGGGTTACCCCTCTTCGCGAGAAACCCAAAGACGGCACGAAATTGAGGTTCGAGCAGAAGCCTCAGATAGGGACGTGACTCGATTTCCATGATGAACAGCCAGATGGCTTAGGCCGAATTTGACTCCTTGTAGGTCTGCTTGGTGATCTCGAGGGCGAGGACGAAATCCATCAACTCCACCAAAACAGTGAAATCGAGCCAGGGGCAGACCTGGTCGATGAGATCACGCACGATCTGAGTGATTTCTGGCGCGTATAGAAACTGGGCAAGGGGTCGCATGATGCTGTCGAAGATGCCATCGATTTTCTGATGGAATGTGAAGGCGGAGATAAGGCTGTCACGCACCACAGCCTTGAACATGTCACGGACCTGCTTCTTGCTCAGTGGGCCAAACGCGCCGATGCTGAGTGTTCCGGTGATCCTGCTCTTCTTCCATCCCGGGACGAGGTCCAGACTCCATTTCTTCCGGTACTGGAGACGGTCGTAGAGGTAGTCAACAGCGTCGCCGCTGTTCTTGATCAAATCTTCCAGAAAAGGCTCGAAAAACGTCGCATTGACGGTGGTGGAAAAATCTGCAGGCGGTAAGACGATCTCGTGCGGCACGGCTATCTCGATTGCACAGTTCCTTAGCGCCCACAGTTCATGTGGATACAGGAGATAAGTCTCTTGACCAAAACTCATGATTTTTTTCTGGTGCCTTTCGTCCTCGAACAGGTTGTCGAATTTCTTGTCGGATGCCTCGAACTCTTTTGGGATGTAGTTCGAATGGAGGCGCCACTGGTGCCTACTGAGATACTTGATCCACTTGCTCAGAAGACTTTGTGCCTGCTGCCGTACTTGCGAAGAGCTGTTCGGGCATGTGTAGGCGTAGTAACAGGCCAGAACAATCTGACCGAACGAATCCTTGGACATTGGCCGGTCTCTCACTTGGGCATCTCCATAGTACTCCACCCATGCCTGGTGCCGGATGGGATGGGTTTCGCCATGTTCATCCATATTTCCCCAGCTCTTGTGTTCAAGCACGTCTATGAATTTACTGATGTGCATGTTGGCATTCTGAACCTCCCATGAGTCCTGTCTGTAGTTCCCGCTTGCGAGAGCCACCACGGCAATGGCGGTGAAATTGGTCGCCTCGCCTAGTGCGTGGGTGGCCATTATATCCTTGCCTTCTTTGTCTTTAATTTTGTTCCATTCGACCAAATATCCAAATTCGTCCAGGTAGCCGATCTTTTCCGACTTTGGGTTCATGTCAAGAGGATCCCTGGCAGTCGCGAGCTGCTGTTGGACCTTGATCTTGTAGGGGTTGTTAACGGTGGCCTCACTGGTGAAAACATCCTGAGCCATGCTGATGATGATGTTTTGCTCATCGGTGAGTTTAGGAAGCTGAGTGGCCAACTTCTCCTCGAGTATAACATTGGTAGGCCCATCCAAGGGCGAAAACTCCTTCTCCTCGGGCATTTTGGCAGACGGGACAGTAAATTCCCCAATATATGGATTTACGATATCCGTAACGGGAGAGTGTATGCCACTCTCAGGGATGAAGCCATTGAGATTGTCCGGAATTTCGGGGAAAGCAGGGCCTACTGGTGGTGCTGTTGCGGTTAGTGCTAATCCTGGGGGAGGGAGATGCGCTCCTGGAGGTCCAGGCGGTGCGAATGCTATTGCGGCTACTATCTGGGGCTTCAGACCAGGATGTATCTAGGATTGCTGTGCCAAATGACCGATTCCGCTTAACCCCAGGGCAGACAGCGGGCCTGGCAGAGTTGGTCCTCCTGTAGTAGGGACCAGCAATGGAGGTTCGCTGCTACACAGGGTTGGCCGCTCTTGTGAGCCCATGTTATCTGCCACAAATCACCAGTTCGAGGTATGATTTTTCAGATTTTTCAATTTGCGGAAGTCAAGACAATGTAAGAGGCAGCGAGAGAAGTAACAGCCAAACAATCCGTGAGGCCCAAAGCACAGAGATTAGAGTAGTTGTTCATATGAACTGCAGCATTGCGCTGTGCAATCTGTCAAAAGAGGTTGGAAAATAGCGAATCGAATGAAAGAGGTGGACAGCAGAACCCTTCGTTCGTGAAGCGATTTATCGAAACGGAAGCATCTCGACTCTCGCCTGGGTCTTGCGCCAAGCAGGACCTGAGAAGCTCAGCTGAATGAAGCCTTGGGTGGTTTGAGGCTTAGGGGGAAGAAGACTCGGCAAAATGGATTGATTGGGCCGCTGAAGTCTTTGGTCTCTTTTCGCTTGCAAGAAGAAGTAGTCCAAAGTAAGACTGCGACGCCATTCAATGTGGCTCGCACCCTTCACACAGCATGGGGTTCCTACTCTCCGCATACTTGAAGCGCAGGCCCATTCGCCTGATGTCCCATTTTCTGCGAATTTCAACCCCATTAGGCACCCCTGAGGCACTCTCGAGGCGCTCTCGCAGGGCATTGGGGAGGCTAAATGCCGCATGAATGGCCTTGAATTCACTGTAGATAGATACATATCTCCATAATCGTCGCTCTGTCACGTTTGTTTCCATAGAATAAGGACAACAGACAGAACAACGGGACAATCGATCACAATCGATCCAATCAGGTCATAACTTCCTCTAAAATTGCCTCGGATAGAGTAGGGCGAGACAGCTGTGACGTAGCCAACGCCGATCGACATTTGCCTGGCGAGGATACACTGGCAGCTGAGCTACGTGGCTTGTTAACTTCTTGTTTCTACCATTTTCAGCACACCAGCTATCCTAATTGGCGAAGCCACTCGACCAGAATACTCGCTACTCTACAAACGGGTTTTTCTAGTTATACGCTGACAGCTCAGCTTTCAGCAGCTTGGCAGCCCACTTGCTCGTATTCGGGCTCTTGGTAAATGTAGGTCTCTGCTCGTGTGCCACATAGTCACCTTTGCTTGATCATAGCTTTGTTATATTATCCAAGCAGCTTCGTTCTGGAACTATTATCCCGTGCGACAATTAACTCTTTCAGCCTAAACCGATCGAAGAGCAACGGTCTATGAGCCACAAGCGGCACGACCTTCAGCTGCTGTGTGTGCGACACACGAGCCTACCGAATCACTATCCTAAAGATGTCAGCTCCCTGATGAGAGCTGAATCGCCAAACCTACGTGTGGTCTGGGCCTCAGTCTGGCGGAGACACCATCTTTAGTTGTGACCGGATACACCGAATAAGGGACGCAAGGACGCAATCCTCAAAACACGTCCAGCTATTCATTAAATAGACCAAGGTTCTCGTTCTCGGAAATCTCGTTCTGTGACAGGTAGTATCCCGCCCAAATCAGGTGCAGCCTCGCTGCGTCTGATGTCGGAGATATTTCTAATACACGAGAGACTAGATTTCCGTCATTATCGAAGCCTAGTGAAGTGTCACGACGTGTTTGAAATTCAACCTCAACGCGGGATGCAATGGGGCGAAGCTACCGTCGCTCGAAGACACCAATAGAGCTCATCTAGAGATAGGTCCATCATGATGCAGTGTGCACTCGACTAAAATTCGACACAGACAGTCAATATTCTCGCACAGGTACGATTAATTTCATTAACCATGTGTAAGAGTCAACGCAATCGGCGGTTGGGTGTTTCGAGGGAACACCTCACCCGTAATTTGCAGGATTTGGGTAGGATTCCATGTAGGCCTTGATCACTGATCTCGGAGGGACAAAATCAAGCGACTTCCGAACCATGAAGATCCCTGCCTAGGAGTAATTAGTACTGGCCATGACTTTCCTGCAAACATTGCCCTTAGAGCAATGCGTAGATTCTCCTGTTCTCGGTAGACATATTCAGTCAAAAGATAAGGGCAGATCATCTGTATGGAGGGATGTGGTTGCGAATTTGTAGTCGTGTCACGGGAACTTAATACTCTCTATTTCAGGGCGAGAGTTAGGCGTTACTCGACATAACCGGGGTGCGTAGTTAGGAGTTGGAAGCCTAATCGTGAGCTTGCCCTTATTGTAATCGAAGAGGTAGAACATATTAGGTGCTAAACGTCTTCCCCGCACGCGAATCTTGGCGTGCGATTAGGTGCAGGATAGGACCGAGGGGATATAGTCCTTGGGCCCAAGGGCCGGCCTTCGGGCTGTGACCTACCTAATTACCTTTAGGTAGGTAAGTGGTTAACGTCCTTACCGACGGCTGCGGATACGAGCGCCTTACTACTTTCTGCCAGGCCCGACGGGCCGTCATCTTATGGGATTTGGTCGACGGGACGTAGTTGAGCGTGAGTAAAGGGCATAGCCGCCGGGTGTCAGCAAGTACTAGCACTCGAGCCGTTGAACATCGGCGTTGAAACTATCCGGGTGTTCTCTAGCAACTTGACACGGAAATCACGCTACTAGGCCATCTCGAGCGGAACAGCGCAAGAGATCAATATCAAGACGCCCGAACCTCAACCCTCGGAGGCACTGGACCCACTAGTCGTGCGTGAAATATCCATCTTGCCGCTTTTGTGCTTATCTGGAGGTGATCTGGTCACCGCATTGGCCATGGAACCGAGAAGGTTCTCTCACGGACGCATGGTTAGGAAGTGGAGAATATGTTCTGAAATTTATTGGTTATGATGCTGCGCTGGAGGAGTATGGGTTAATTGTTACTAGCTGTAGAGATGTGAAGATCAATATTGATGCGAGCGGGAAGTATTTTGCTAGATTGGAGGGTCGTTGAGGGAAGTGATAGGCGTGGTCATGTCAGACAAAAAATCTGGCAACTTGCCAAAGGCGCCGAGCGTAAGCATCAATGGCACCAAGGGGAGCTGGAACTTACGTAAGGTGGACTGGAAACACAGCCTCGAGCGTAGAGAAAGGTTTCTGCCAAGGTAGAGAAGAAGGAAAGTATACTGACTACGGATGAAGAAGCGGAATTAGCTCAGTTACCAGATATATCCTAGTCTGCGCTAGAATTTCTAAGTCATTGAGGACAATTAAGATCTTCATCTAACAATGGAAATACAAGTCTTGGTTTCTTTTAGCTAATCGATTTAATGCGCGAATAGGCTCCATGATACCTTATCTCTTATAGAAAGTAGGGTAGATAGTCTGTGAGCTGACCAAGCTGATGCCAAATGGGCTCTCCTTTATTCGCATTTCGTGGGATTCGTGCTTTGTCTCAAATGGATAGCGACGAATGAATGGATTGGCACGAATCCTTGACCTGGAAGGTCTTCCACAACACTGCCTTCTGCCTTTCTTGACCGTAGTTAGCGGATATTGGAGACCCAAACCTATTGGCGAATACTGGAATCTTTCAAGAGGCCTCCTAGAGGAAGGCAGGCTCATAGCAGCAGAGTTCACTCCTTGCGTCTCGACCCCTCCACGCATTTTCTACAGCTAGCAATCCGCAGGATTATTGTATGGCTGCCTTCGATACCAACCGTTCAGCATAGAGTCTCACTTCGTGGATGGACTCCCTTCCTGTCTAGCAATCAAATCGGTCGAAGCAGAAACAACAACCGTCTTCTTCTTCTGGGGCCTGTTAGAGCGGAAGCAATCGAACCTACCGGGTATAATTGTTGAGAAGGCCTTACCGTAGATTGCCATCCTTCGAGAGCTAATTGAGTCCGCTGTCGCAGTGACAATCTCCACCAAACACAAATCCAACGACACCTGCCAGCGTTGCAAAGGCGTCGAGCCCGCGAAAAAAATCGCCCTCGGCCCACAAGCCACTCGCCGCCTCTAAGTTGGCGGCCTGTCGGGGAGTGATACTTGTTCGGATCGCTGGTTAAGTGAAACTGGGAAGCTGAAACGGGGGTGTGAGACTGCTACCACAGCTAATCGAGGTGCGAGCGAAAGATGTTGTTCCTATCCAGTAACGGTGTCGTCAGGGGTGTTTCCGCAAGCCTCACTATCGTAATCATTGTCTCAGAATTGAACTCGCCTGGAGTAATGAATCTCCTCGGAGTGAAACCCCAGTGAGCGGGCTCGCCAAAAGTCGATCACGTTTTCTCCTCTGTCGTCGCTCCGAATGGATTCCGATGAGGAGATCAGTTAGAATAGTGGCACTGCTGCCGTCTGGACTGATGCGGTGCTTAAAGTGTAGTCCATAACCGAGGATGCAGGTGGGTTTGCTAGAGTTAGGTTCTATCTCCTTCAAGAGAGCCACTTAAAAGCAAATGTTGGGCGAGGCCCAGCTCATCACGTGTTGTTTAACTGCTGATATGAAAATGGTTTATATGGAAAATTCATCAATATGGATAGTATCATATCACTGCTATATAATAGATATTCTGTTCAAAGTTTTGCAGGGCGTTCTGTTGGAAAGATACATCCACTGCTTGTCAAGGATGGTAAGGTACTCTCGTGCGCTTACTTGGCTCCCAACTCAGACACACGAAAGGAAGTGTAAGCAGGAGAGCAAAGGATTGATGGTCTCCTTTTCAGATCTCTAAAGGCTCACATGATTGGGTTAAGATTTCTGTTTACTTTCGACCATGTTGACCGTTCTTCTCCCCTATATACACCAGTGATGGAATAATCTAAAATCCCTCATTTTGCATCTTTTCGAGGTTCCATTGCTTTCAGGTATTTCCTCAATCTTCTAAAAGCGATTAGGCGGCCAAAGAGCCTAGTCTTTGCCACTTGGGATCTCCCAGGCGCCAATACTCCTATAAATTTCAGCTCCTACTCCCGAACTACATTTGGATCTAGTGGTAGCTGGAACCATTTAAGGTTATTGATCCATAAATCACAGGACGCATAAGACCTCGAGAGGTGCTCGGCGGTGCTAGAGATAAGGTCTAACAGTTTTGGTCTCTGCAGAATTATGCCATCGAGCATGTGGGTGGTGTACGTCATCAGTAAGGCTGCGACTTATCGAGACGATACCGGAGCTTGTCCCTAGTCTGAATATGGCATCCGCACGTGCACCATGCATGGCTCCAGGACCTCCGATACCGGCACAGCGACATCTAGAAGAAGAAAAATCCCTAGCGGCATGGCGGGTTGAAATCCCTCTCGGAAGTCTTGGCGGGTGGGATGCAGCATAACAGGTACTGCTTTGTAGATTTGTTGCCCAGCTACTTTACCCGGGGTGGTTATGTAGGCAAACTTGAGCACTATATTCACTGTCCTTATCCTCGGAGATATATACTTGCAACAACTCATAGCTCCGCACCTCGCGGCAATTGAAGGTCGAAGGCATAGCATAGTGGTTTGTGATCGATAGTACCAGTGAATCCACCACGTCCTCCCTGATCAGTACTGTGTTCGAACCAATGCAGACTATTTGTGAAATGAATACTAATTGATCGGTCTGACTCCCCCCACAGAAGTCGCCAAGATCGGCGTGTCAAGACCTTTCACCCACTTCATCTTGGCACTCTCAGAATTGGCATCTAAAAAATTGTTGCAAACATATGACCAACCACCAGATGTGAGAGACCTAAGAGAAAGCGCCCGACTAATTCTGACTATCAGATGATCTTATCAGATTAGAAAAAAACCTGACAATCTAGCCGCACTCCACCCATGTGCCGATGCCGAGTATCCCCATTAACATGGGTCAGTCTGGTCAATTCATACCCTGTCGCTACCTATCCAGGCATTGGATCCCCGCTATAGTTGCCATTTGTTCTCCTCACTTGCGTCATTCCAGCCTAGCATTATACAATGATCTCTCTTCTCTCTGGTAGTAGAGCATACAACATAACAACACAACAGCTTAACATGCTATTTTGCCCCGCTCGACTCTCGTTACTCTCAGCGCATATCCTGCACGAACTTCGTCCTTAGACCCATAAGTTCCAGGAACGTCCAAGCGAGAAGAATATCTTGGTTGCCCAAGAGCTGGCGGTTGGGGCCGGAGCTTTTAGTCTACAAAATGTTCAATATGAGAGCTCGATCAAGGAATTTTCCTTCGCTTCTCTTTCGATAGTATCGTCTTGGAAGGTAGGACATTACGTACAGGTCGCTAGCAAGAGGTTGGAGGAATATGTATATTAGTCTCAAACCCAGTCGAAAATATTCCTTTCTGAAGAATCTCAAGCCCCGACCAATTCTCTTCTAGAAAGCTCACCGGAAACAGACCACCATGGTCAGTAAGATCCTCGCCGTGTCTGCCCTGGCTGCCTCTGCCTTGGCAGTCCCTGTTCAGTTGCCAGACACCTCGTCGCTAGACCTGGTAACCCTTCTAAATCAGACGGCCGGGTTCAGCTACCTCAGCGAGCACGTCGGCCAGGTTCCTGCTCTAGCTGGCGCCTTGAACAGTCTCACCAATATCACTGTCCTCGCACCCAGCAACATCGCTCTAAGACTTTTCCCCTGGGATACCCGCTACTACGAAGAATGGGAGCTAGCTAGCGTTGATTTGTTACAGGCCATACTTGGATACCATATCATCGATGGCATCCACACCAACTTGACGACTTCTTTCGCCCCGTACAAGACTGCTGTCAAACAGGCGCCATGGACTACGGTCCCAGGCGGCCAAGTTGTTCTGGGACGCTTCGACACTCGTTCTTTCGAGACCGCTTTCATCTCTGGTAGAGGTCTACTCGCCCAAGCCCCTACATTCCGGGAGTTTCAGGGAGGCATCATCTATGCTATTGACAACGTCCTGAATCTTCCTCGTGGTGTCGCTTACGAGTTGAACAACAAAGCAGCAAACGCCACTAACTTCATTGCGGCTCTTGGCCGTGCTGGCCTATTGGATGAAGTTGAGAGTTTCGATCAGGTCACCATCTTCGCACCAAACGACGAAGCGTTTAGACAAGTTGAGAACGCCTTCTATGGCCTTAGCAAAGCTGAACAGGCTGCCGTGCTACAGTACCACATTGTTCCTAATCAAATTACCTACTCTTCGGAATTCAAGAACGGCACAACTTTCAAAACTTTAGGCGACCAGGACATCAAGATTAACAAACAGCGACGAAACTTTATCCAGAACGCACGCGTCCTTGGAAATGATGTTCCTATCAAGAACGGTGTTGTTCATGTAATTGACCATGTCCTGAACCCCGAGGCCACTCCCAAAGCTCAGAATGCCACCCAGGGGGATGGCGAGCCTGCATTCCCTCTCGGCCCTGGCTTCTTCTAGCCTTCGAGTGACAATTGAGTCGACTCTCACAGACGCCATTGCCTTAACGACCATCACTGATATTGTTGCTGGTCTCCCTAGATACTTTCTGCCGGAAGCGGTGAGCGCCACAGTGCTCATAGGAGTTGTGATCATCTCTCCGTAAGAGAAGGGTCGAGCTCCCTCAAGTCTGATGGCTTATAGACTATTTTAAGTGGTTTTACATTCCATAGGGTGCCAACCACTTCCCTTGCCGTTATCTCGATAGCGTCGCCGGTACCGATTGCAACTAGAGAGACTAATCTGGGATTACATAATATATTGCTCTACCGCAGCACCCCTACGATGTCGGTCAACCAAATAATACAGTTACTGATAATATGAGAACATCCTGAAGAGCTTCGATCTAATCCACGTCACAATCAATGAGCTGTCTTGGTTAATTAATTCCCGAGGAGCCAGAAAATGGCATGCTTCAAAGCCCTGGTCGAAAAAGCATTGATTCGAACACATTGAAAATGTTTTCTCTTGGAGTTGTAGCCTCATTCTCGGACAGGCCTATTTTACAGGATGGGCTCCCGCCTCTACTCTTGGAAAATCACATATTGGCTTTGCTTAGGTGATATGCAAGGGGAGATATAAGTAGGTGGAAGAGGAATCTTTGAACATAAGTATGGGTTTAATCTAGAATACTCAGCAATCAATCCCACAGAATTGGCTGTTTCTAGTTCATAGGCCGCGTAATATTCGCCATCCTTTCCCCTAACGAATTTATAGCCTACTAGTCCTCCAGGCTACGCTGCATAATGATTCACTCCTGGAAGCATCGCAATCAGTGTCTTATCCATCCTTAATGTATGTAATCAACATAATCACAACATTCTCGCGAGAGGAAACAACTATGTAGCAGTAGACTCCTTTAAATTACCGGTGAGACTGAATTTGTAGAAAACATATCGCTGCCGTAGTTATAGTTAAAATGATTTAGGCCACAGACAAACATAGCAGTCCTAGCGTATATATAAATACTAACCCCGTTGGCGCGACAATGAATCACTCGCTTTCTGCAGCTTATCGGCGTTTTACATATTCAAATATGGGTTGTTGACGTCGTCAGAGATGCTATCCTTCAAAGATATTCACTCATTCTTTCCAGACCATTTCCTCAGAAGCGCAAAGGACTCCGATTGGTCGACAGATACCTTAAGGTAGTAAGGATTAGGATAGTCATTGGAGAATTTCTGCTGTGGGCATAATTCGCGCAGGATAGCCAGAAAATCGTTCCAGTGAGCGTTGATGCCCCAACTCTGCAAGAGTGCATTCATAACGTCTGGATCTAAGATAGCCACAACATGAATTAAGGCCACGTCTTTCACATTGGCATAGAAGGCTGCAAATGAAATAATTAGCCCAACGCTGCAAAGGACCTTGAGTTGGTCGCCCTTGGGGGAATTTCTTACAGGCTTGCATATGATCCATAACCGCCTTGTTATCCCTCAAGACGTGAACTACCCAGTTCGCTTGTCCTTTGATGCGTTTTTGTCCAGTGGCTCTCCAATTATTCTAGCCGGGGACACGACATTGGCAGTAAAAGGTAGATTATTCTCCTCCACTAATCTCCAAGTTTCCTTCTCAGCGGCGACCTTGCTCGCGGGATAATGTGCAATGACACGAGACAATCCGTATGGAGGTGGAGCTCAGGCGGCGTTGAGAGCCTTTGAGTTCCAGGATCTCCGGTTGACTGTACTGTTATCGGCATCTTGGATTAGAGGGGAAGCCCCCAAGCCCTGCTAGTAAACACAATTTGTTTAGCTCGTGGCTCGTGAACGGCAGGTTTCGTAGAAGAACGACTATCAGCGACCGAAGATATTATTACCTATCACAAGCAGACCGTTCAGGCTGTTGGATGGGTTCGTGTTGTTGGTCACTTCACGACCCCGGTATCTGATCAAAGTACAAGGGTCGGAATTGCTACCAATTTACTCTAGAGATCAAAGCTTTTACGAGAGTTGAAGAGCACTTCGAGATGATCGTCTACGGTCTTTCGGTCAGACTCCACGTCCTCCAATTCTTGAAGATAGAAAATTATCTTGTATACCTGTTGCTTTCCAGTGAATCTTCTTCCGGCTTCGTAAGTAGCATTTCGAATGTGACTGCCTCATCGCTGCTGTCAGTCTTCGAATCGCTGTACCGAAGGCGTCTATAACGTTGTTCATGATTTTGGACCAATATTCCATGATGAGTCTAAGGAGTTAAAGCTTTAATCAACGAGTCTAGACTAGCGCACTACCATAAAGTCACAGATATTGCGTAGTTACTAGTGGATCCGAGGGGAATTGTAGGCAGGCTCTAATTTCGACTCTGGTTCACATCACAGTTCGAGTGATCAGAAACTGAGCGCGTATGTGTGAAGATGGTGGTTATATGTGCTCGAAGACCTTTTCCGTTGCGATGAGTTCTGACTAAGGGATCTCAGCTGTCAAGAGCGTTCTAATCGCTCCTAGGTTCCTCGTGAGTGTTGTGGCTGTCTCGATAACTGAGAGACGAATCTACCTTGGATCAATATGCTCCGATCCGCGAACATCGCGCGTTGCCTGCCATCAGTCACAAGTATGTGGCTGCCACTCCGAAGAGTGTGTTGGAAGAGACGATAAACAGATCGACATTAACATATCGCGCACCATCGAATCCTATGTTATATTTCGGCGTCAGTATCGTGGTGGGCAATACCTCCTAGTTCGTGTAAGACAAAATGGGGCCACTATGGAAGGCTCAAGGCTTCCGTTCTTGTCAATGATAGAGGCTGTTCTCTTTCCTATATATGTTAGATCGGAGGTCCAATCCCCTGGGATCTTGCGTCACCAGGCAGCACCAGTGTCTTACATTCTCCTTAGTTCTCACCAGGGTCTTACGATATTCTGCGACTTGGGGTACACGTAACTGCTGACAGATTATCCTGGTTCCGTCGAACACCATGTCCCTTTACTTGACACGCTGGAGTGCCACACGCCACAAAGTATCTATACCTTGATTTTAAAAGATCGACCATATTTTCACTTGCAGTCGTACATTCCGGGGTGCTCTAAGCTCTCTACCTATTGGGGCATGCAGTTCTTCCCCGCAACCTATCTTACTATACAAGTACTTCAGACATATATGAAGCTATCCCAAATAATAGTGATACCACAACTAGAGGTGTACTCGCCGCTCAGCCCGAAGAGATACTCTATCGTTTGGCTAGAGTCTGGATTCAAAACACGATCTGGAAAGTTTTAACCTGGTGCGAGGGAGAATGTTCCGGCCGACATTGGGATGGATATCTCGAAACGCCTGGCTGGACGAATCTATTGGTGCCCATAATAAGCACAGCAACGGATCTCGCCACCTCGTGGCTGTGCGCTGACAAATCCAAGTCTTAGGAAGTGTTCGGGCCCTGCAACATGCAACAGACCTTTTAGTCTTCGACCTTCCGTACTTGTTCCATCGACTCCTCAACTAACTTAGAACATTCGACATCTTCTTACTCCTGCTTAAAACTGAGAGTGGTAATCTGGAGGAGGATTTGGGTCTACAGACTCGAATCCGTGGTGTTACGCCGTGGTTCATGAGAACAGGGCTTGAACTTGGTGTGAATTGATCGATTGAGTCTCTATTCCGTCCCTCAGGAAGGAGACCTATCTTTGCAATGTAAACAAAGCTATACCGCATTGGGCGGTCTCGTGACCGGGGATCCTGTCTCCTGCCGGTACTGACCCCAACACGTCGCCTGAAGCGTCCATGGTTGGAAGAAAATAATGAATAGGAGGCAGCAAGCTGAATTGGTGGGATTATGATGGGGAAATTCCAGATCTTGTTGGGAAGGCATTATTCAGTTTGTCATTACGCGCCGGGCAATGCAAGTCAATGGATAGATTTGTAATTGAGATAATGGTAGACGGTCCAGAGTCTCGGTCAATAAGTCCCATAAGTAGTCTCATATTCCATCAGCCTGGATCCTCATCCAGAGCATAAAGTCAGTAGACGGAGAGTCCCACATACTTTACAATAAGCTCTTCATATTGTCCTGTACAGCTCTGATCTTCAACCAGTTCGGAGCTCATGTTGTCCCTATGGAGCAAGCAAGAGAGCAAAGAAATCGGAATAAATTCAGTCCTCGACTCGTGTTACATCCCGACTGCTTCACGCCATGCTGGAATGACATCGGCGTTAGCCAGGACGTAAGTTTACGAAATAACCGGTGATGAATGCGGTCGCGCATGGTAGTATTGGTGTAAGGAGTCGACCGCAGTCGAGGCCTTGGATATAAAGTGTGGGAGGTGCCTACCAGGCCCCATCACCGTTGATTAGTGGTTAAGTACATACTCTTTAACTAACTGGTGAAATAGTATATTAGTAGAAGCTTTGGGAATCCTTAAGAGGTGCCACCTGATCGGTTTCTGATCTCAAACTTTTTGGAGGAGCAATGCTTTGCAAGGAAATCGCATGACCCATCTCCTCCAGAGAGATTCCCATTCCAACAGCGCAAGTCAAAGCTCCTACTGGAGGCCTAGCTGATGCCGTCAGCATCGGGAATCGACGGGAGCGATGCTAGAATCGGAGCGACAGCCAACAAGCTGCCGAAGAAACGCGGCGTACTGTTGGAGCCGGACAGCATAAAGAGAAAGACACTGGCTACCGCCGCTCCGTTTGCCGGTATATCGAACCCTGCTCCGGCGCCAGTACTGGTTGACTTGTCTACAGGATTGCAAAAGATTGACTGCGTCACATTTGCTCCGCCACAGATCACTAATCTCCCATTCTCGCCGAAGGATTCTCCGACTTCTCAAGCATGTTCACACGGAACGTACTATTGGCAAACAAGTTGGATAAGTTCTTTTACCCCCGACCTCAGGTAGGGGTCAACTCTAAGCTATATACCTAAGATTACGTGTAGCCTGGGCATACTAACTAGATCCTTGGGGATGAAGAAGTTCGATGCCTATATCGTCCTCAGTGAAGCCGACCTAGACGCTGTCCTTATG